GCTGTTTCCGGAGGGACGGATCCGAGCTCGTCCTTCGAGTGGCTGATGCATTTCACAGCTTGCAGCATACGATTATCACTCAAGGAGCATTCGGTCTCGTCGCCAAGCTCCTTTGCGCGGCTCCGAAGCACATCCCAGATACCAAGGACTATGCTTTCGCCTACCGAGGCAGGATGCTCCGTATAGGCATGCGACAATGCGACTCCAGTCTCTTTTCGGACTGTAGAATCGATCTCCGGAGTAAGCATCAGGTGTAACACGGCGGTGGCCCATGCTGTTTTCGCGTCCTTTGATGCTCGTTCAAGACTACCGGCCAGGTTTGTCAACGCGTAGAGCGCCCAATGGCAATCCTCCCCTGCTGTTAGCCGGGCATAGACCTTGGGATTGAGTATGAAAGATAGCCTGGGCTGAATAGCAAGAGACTGGTTCCGGAGTTCATCGTGAGAATTGGATTTATACCCCTCTGTCGACAGGATCGGTGCATCAAGCAGTCCGGGAAGACCGAATCCTGCGGCAACGTAGGCATTCTGTGTGGCTGGTAGTGGATTAGACGCAACTTCGTCATGGGCCTCTTTCAGAACTTTTAAAGCTGCCTTAACAAAATCCTGCGATGATTGTTGAATGGGAACACTGCTGAGGTGCTTGAGCACAGTTGCAAGACACAAAACCCACAGTTTGCGAAAAGGAAGTCTTTTGTCGGCACAGCCCTTCAGCACTGGTTCTGAGAGAGACTTGTCAAGACCCTCCGAGGCAACAAGAAGTCGCAGGTGAGGAGCAAGTGCAGCCAGCTCTCGTCTCAGAGCTCCCTCGTTAGCTTCCTTGGAACCAGCAGGGATGATAGCCTGCGCAATGATTGCCGATGTCTTGGATTCTGGAGTCATCTTTAGTAGGACATCAGCAAGAATGCCGCGCAGTTCAAAACTTCCTGCCTTCGAAGTCTTGATTGCCGCTCCGAGTTCTCCCGCAATCTTTTGTAAAGAGTCTGCTGATCCACCTCTGCCAACAAGCGCGGAAAGTGCTCTACCTGCCCCATCACGGATAATTGCATTGGTAGAGTTCATGGCTGATAACAGCGGTTTTACCAGTTTTGCACTGACGACCCCTGAAATATCAACACTCGTGGGTAGACATTGGGACAGTGCTTCCACGGTTCCCTGTAAGATCGCCTCAGGTGACCTTAAGATCGACTTCTCGATCGCAGGTATCACGACCTCGCCCACATCTTGTGCAGTGACAAAATCGAGGAAGAAATCATTCAAGCCCATTGACTCATGAAATGGCACTGCAGTCTTGGAGCCGACGATGACCTTGAGGTAGAAATCAAGGACGTGCTTCTTGGCACTCAGAAGCTGCTGTTTTCTCTCCGGGATACGGGCGCTGACGCCGGCAATGACGCCCAGGTACGGCCCGTGGCTGGCATTCGCATCACCGGAGCTCGCAACGTCCTGGAGGGCCAGCTGCAGCGCCTTGTCACCACGTTCCGTTCTGAATACATCGCGCAAACCTCGTCTGGCGACGGTCAAAGCCGAGTCTTGTACTCCACCACGCACCACCTTGTCCTCGCACTTGTCCAGCAGACGGGCTGCGGCAATACATAACTTGCCGAAGAACTGTTCAAACGACTTTTCGTGGTGTCGGATTTCCTGCTGAATAAGGCAGCACCATTCAAGCAAGACAAACGCATTTCCAGGTGCGATAGCCGCCTTTTGACTTTCTTGGCCCAAGAATTTCGTAGTCGCAGAGTAGACAACACTGGCAGACGACGAAGTTGTGAGATATGCTCGAAGGCATGACTGCACCGCACGGCGAGACTTTCGATCTGGGTATCGAGGATAGGTCGCAAGCAGGGCAGGCAAGATGATCGTGGGGTCTGCCGAGATGTTGTCACCTGTACAAACAGTCAGATATTACTCGTAGGCCGCGATCCAGTTACCATACCATCGGCTTGAATAGCGTGCTGCAGTTTGCGCAGAGCCTCGATGCGGATGTTGGTGGAGCTGCTATTGAGCGCAACAAGTTGGGCTTCCAGAGTGTCTGGACTACCCTGTTCCGAGATGTCGCCCATTGTCCATGGACTGGGTTTGATCCCTTTGAATTGAGCAGGAGACGGCCTGCTGGTTGCGACTGAATCAAACAACGACGGGCGACCAAAATTATTGTGGTGGGATTCCGCGGGGAACTCAGCCTCGTCTCCGCAACAAGGCTGAGCCATGAACCTTGTGGATCTCAACCTTTGGCATGGCAGATGCACTCAACTACTCCTCGTTGCTTCCGGAATGCTTGAACATTCCACTTGATTTCCTTCATGCGGCGTCGAGCCTTGCGGGATATCGGGCGTTTCCTCGTATCCAAGGGAGCTTTCCAGTCTATACAAAGTCTAGGCTTGTTACTCAGGCCCTGATCACGATGGGATCCTCCACAGCTTCGTACCATGAGACAAAGTCAATGCGACTTTATGCCTAGCTAACATGCCGGGAGTCGACCGCTCACTCCGTTCTGGCCGTCAGCCTTTATGACAGCAGGGCTCAGGAGAGAAATGCATCAAGCGATCCATTTTTCTTCAGACGCAATCATCATAGGATTGGGCCTTCGAGGCTTCTGACAGCTCGGATCCTGCCTGGTACCACAGTCTGTGGTCAGAACGGGATAGTGTTCCCAGCGCATCTATACCGCGTATGTTTAACAAAGGACTACCAACGGCAAGTCATACCGCATGGTCAATCTTCAGCTATCTGTATCAACGACCATCGCGATGATAACTGCGGTTCTAGGACTTTAGTACGCCGAGAACAAGGTTCCGAAGAAAACGGAACTAGTATCTCGCATCGGTTTGATATCAAGATGTATATGTTCGATATCAGTAGCTTCAGTGCTCACGCTCAGGTGGGAGGGCCTAACAAGGTAACAGACCGGGTCGATGCCATCCAGAACTTTTGCAGATGGCCAAACGGAACTCTCTGGTGTTGCAGGCCGTTAAAAGAAATCCATGGCGGAATCACTGGTGTTGTCTTGGTGATGACTCAATCGCTATCACTAACCGCAAATTCATGGAATAGGCTCACAATTGTCGACAGTCTTTCCAGAACAGTCGCGCCTGTCTGGCGGAATGGTTCAACTCATTGTTCGGGCGCTCAGAGGCTTCGACTGATAATTACAGGTGCGCCATGCGAGCAATGCAAACATACACATGCACGAGCCATATGGCATCCTTGCGCAGAGCGACAGAGTATTGCGGTAATTCAGCGATCGGTCCCGGGCTCAATCTCGAATGGGAAGAGTAATTCGAGTCCGAAGTCCATGCTCGGAAGGATGTCCTTCGCAATCGACTCGACCGGGAAACATGTGCCGGTGGCAAGACTCACCCGTTGATAGCAATGACTCGTTCGAGAGCGTCCATTTTCGGGCAGATATCTTACTACTCGGCGCATTGATAGCCGCGGCAGGAGGTCGAATCTGACAAAGACGATTGCTGACAATGGCGACCTGATCAAAGGTCTGTTCAGGTAGCTGAGGGTCAAGTCACTAATCAGGACGCATAGGAGATGCAACTTTGATGGCACACGATATTGACCGCAGGGTAAGAGGTGTTCAGCTGGACTTGGACTTTTAACAGCGGATCTAGACTCTCAGCTGGACTCATCAAGGTTCGGAGATTTTACTCTAAATAACCTGCATGGCGCAAGCGGAGTTGAGAGTTCGAGCATGGGAAACCTGGTGCAGTAATCAACACGATGCGACCGGCACCTAACCAATCCTTTGGGATGATATCGCATCATATCATAACCACAAAGAAGGTCCGGAGAATTGTGGGAGGGCTGAACCAGGCCAAGGAGGATGTAGGCAGCCTCCAGGGTGGTCAGCGTTCACGTCGAATCATCGACTACCTGTAAACTCTCACACTCGCGCATCCTAGTGTACCTCAGTACGGAGTAATCATGCACGGATAAAACGGGTCTAACGAGGTCGTACCATCATGGCACCAGCTTGGAGAGGATTTCACACTCGGCATGCGATGAGTGACGACCTCGGGGCCTGTCACAGACCTACTGGGTGCAGGTTGGACGAGCGGCGGGTATGTCGTTGCCGTGTATTCGGACACAGGCGGACCAGGGCGGACCTAAATGAGGTCGACAGGCGCCAAGGAGCCACTCCGTAGGTGCATTGTTGTGATTCGCAGGCCCTGTGCTTGTTTCCCGCTTGTTCCTGGGGTCCTGCCCCTTTAGCCTCGCAGCCTAGCTAGGTGGCCCTTGCTCGCACTGGTCTCGCTTCGACTTGTCCTCGATGGCTCTTTCCCTCTTTCTCTCTGTTTCCAATCTCAGTCAATTTGCGCCGCCAATCATTGCCTTTGTCTGCGCTCTAGACTTCACGCCTTTTTTGCATCACCCGAAGTTGCATCCTCGCTTATGTTCCTTCACAGTCCTTGGTGCCGGCTTTGGGATCAGATAGGCCAGATGCTAACCTCACATCCCACTGGTCAGACAAGCCATCGCGTGGATGGCAGGGTGGCTGGCCCTGGGACCCTTGCTGAGTTATGTCCAGTGGCCCACTCACAGACACGGCCTTCAAGAGGTCAGCTTGAAGCTGAAACCTCACGCTGACTACTGCCAGCACGCCGCTGATCGTAATGGCTACATCGACTAGCATAATACTAAGAGCACAATCTTCGCGGTGTCACTGTCTCTTCCCTTTCGCGTTGGCGTGATTCTTGTTGCACTTTACTTGACTGCCTTTTCGGCTCGATACATCAGGTGTCTACCCTGGTGCTACCATTCACGGAGATTTTCTGTTGCAAATCAAGCGACCTTCCGGAAGACGATAGAACAACCGTTTCCCCGGAGAACAGTACAGGTTGAAAATTCACTTCAAGCTGCGACATGTTGTGGAAGAGGTTCACCTGAACCTCACATGCGTCTGTCTAGCGCCTCGACAAATTGCCTTGCTCACATTTTGACTGCTGCTTCAACGATCCAATCTATTCAAACACAGGCTCTACACACACCATGAACACCAAACTTCCAATGCAGACGAACACTGTGGTATGACTGTTATCGCGGTTGCGCACTGTGGTCTAAGCTAACTTGTTGCCAGTCTCTAATCCCCAAAAAGTACCGAGGAGACGATGATGACCCGCATTTCATTCCGAACTCACCCATCATCAGCCGGCAGGAACTCAGCGCACAAGAAGAGGGAGAGCTGAAGCGCATTTGCGCTCTGGTATTGGCAAATGTGCCACATTCGGACGACATGTCGGATGATCCCCTCAAATACATCGCGACCCAGATTCAAGAAGGAACGAAGATAGCACAGCCAAGTATCGGAAAACAAGAGCAGAAACCGGACCCGGTACAGAACATCGAGACTACAGCCAGTGTGACACACCAATTCCTCGACGCACAAGGTGACTCGACGACACCCTCAGAGGCCTCACATCGCGATACCATCAGCGCAACCGACTATTCCACGCCTCTGACGAGTGCGGGCATGACGCCGGGTGAAACGGCTCGACGCTTCTCAGACGCCGCACGAAAATCCATTACGGGTGCCAAGAAACCCGGTAGTAACCTTCGCAATGACTCAAATAATATGACAAATAGCCGGACAACTTCGACCGGTGTACGGTCGCTCGAAGCACACAAGCACTCAGGCGAAGCAGAAGCCATCAAAAAGACTCTACGACTCATCACCGATGGAGAGTCAAGTTCGCAAAGAGGCAGTGCCAAATCCATGGAGCAGTCGCGCCCGCTCAGATTTTCGGCTCCAGATCTGAACAAAAGTTTACCTCCTCCTCCACCTGAGTCGTCCACTCTCGAAGACCAGAAACAGCCTCACATTAGCAGGCTAATGAAGAGTATCCGCAAGAAGAAGAGCATGACCGCTGAGGGGAAGAGTTTCTCGACGGGCTCAACACCTCCGGTACCTGCAATGCCGTCGACCAACGCTCCCAAAACACCCTATCCGTACGAGTCTTCAAATCAAACGGCGGCCCAGGAGCCCCCCAAGAAGAAGTTCAGGATCCCGAATCTTTTCCACAGGAGACAACGACCGGCTGATGTTCTGGTCACTTAAACTTTTGGGCCAAGCTTACACCCTCTTCTGGTCAGATTCATGCAGTATACTTTCGTCCTTCACACTTACACTCTTTACGACACCAGCAGCGTAGGCGTTCAGGACATGGGCTCAGGAGTTTTACCATCGCTCCCTCCTTTTCGAGGAGGAAACATACCCAACAAAAGCAACCACCACCCGACCACCTTTTCACGAAATGTTCCGGGCTGTATTTTCACGACCTTTGTCTAATGCTAAATAGCAAACCTTGAGGGGCCTTTTGCCTTGCACTCCCTCCTGGGGAATGATTTTCATGTCACTATCATGGGTGGTTATCTGACTTTACGTGGTGGAATGAACTTGCGTCAGCTCAATTGCAGAGGCATACACACGTGAGAACATACTGAAAGCTTGGTGCTTGAGGACGAGAATAGGGATCGTCTTCCGAGATATACTTGGGCTTTGTCCCTCAGGGTAGAAATACGTGCAATAACGACATACATGCCCTCGACTGATCCTCTAACTGAACATATGGCTCTTTCTGTTCTCAAGGCTCGGTGAAGATAGGTCGTCTACATTTCATTCCGCAATTTACTCATTGGGATGAGCGTACCTAAGCGTTACTGTAGCAGAGAAGCGCACTTTCATGGTCTTTCCCGGATTGTAATATGGTTTCTTCATTCTCCATTTCCCTGTCCGTTATCCGACATCGCGCACCCGGCCATTTTCCACCGTGCCTGTCATACTCCGTATTTCTCTCAACGCCGTCGCTATGCCAATGCTACAGCGCAAAGAGAGTCCGCTCCCATGTATTCGTCATGCGTAGTCACTTTTCATCTCGCCTGCTCTAAGCTGGTCTTCGTGCTTGGGCTCATGCTCCTGCTCCGGAATTGATATTGGTCAAGTGTTGTGACGCCTCTGCAACACCGTGGTCCACGCAGGCTGGCTGATGGCAGCGATAATCCGTCACTAATACAAGTGGACAGAAGGATCGATGATGAAGAAGCCAGCCCTGTCCCCAGAGCAGAGGGGCATGTCTTCTGGAGAGATTTTGGGCGACTGAAGCCTGCAGGGTGGAGAGGTGGCTCTTCGCGACAGCTGACTTTCCGCGTGACTGGACCCTCATGTTGGTAGTCGGTTTTCCAATTTCACTTGAGCTGGCCTCGTTGTCTCTGCTTTCGATGTCATACTGACCAAATCCGCCCTCGGTGACTTGTCGCTTGCTGTCCATCCGTCCAGCCGTCTGGCCAGGCCTGCGACTCCCTACACAAGGGGCCCGACGGTATTCAGATCCTGGGACCCAGCCCCGCCAAACCCTCCATCACCGTTACCCAAGCCCGAGAAGCCACCGCCGGCACTGCCCAATCCGCCTCCTACGCCTGCAGCGCCTTTTGCGCCGGGGCCTGGCTGCTGTGAGTGCTTGCCTTTTGTGCCGCTTTTGTTGGATTCCACTGTGGAGAACTTGCGGCCCAATTCACTGAGCGATTGGATGTCTTGGCCGAGCAGGGAGAGAATGTAGGCGAGGGAGACGTCATTGGATTGCGAGAGGGAGGCGGATGCGAGTGCGTTTTTGGCAGAGGCGGACGAGCCGTCTCTAGCGGGCGTGAGCAGGGCGAGCCGCGTAAGGAGGGCTTGGATGTTGCGCAGGTGAGGGAGGTGAGCTGGGTCGGGGAAGGCGGATTCCGAGGAGGGCGAGGGCGGGCTTGTGAGGTATGATGGGGGGAGGGACTGCACGAATGTTTGGAGGAGAGCGAGGCGGGACTGCAGCATCTTGACGCTGTTGAGCCGGGTCGTTATCCCGGCGATCTGGTCTTCTTCTTCCGCTGTCAGTGTCTTGAGTGGTTCCTCGACGCCGTTGGTCGGCTTCGTCTCCGCCGCCTCGGGACTTGGGTCTGCGCGCTTCTTGCCCTTCTTGTCCGCCGGAGGGGCCTCTGTTGGCTGGACCACTATGGGTGTGTCGTCGATGGCCGCTGCACTACCGGCTCCTTTGGCTATGTAGTCTATCGCAATCATCTCCGTCTCGTCCGTGTCGATCGAGTAGGGTAGTGGGCGAAACTTGATGACGGATGTCTCGTGGCCGTCCACTTGCATTGAGCCTTCATCTTTTGGTTCGGCATCGACGACGCTCTCGTAGACGGTGATGGGTAATTTGCCGCCTGTCGGGGCCTGGCCCGCAATAGCTTCGGGGTGCAAGGCGAGCAGGATCGCATTGTCGCTGTAGAAGTTGATGGCCTGTTTCTGGAGAGGGACGAATTCAGGCAGAGGGCCGTCAGATGGGCAGAGGGCAAACCAGCCTACGAACTCGAGCGCCGGTGCTTTGTGGACGTCCTTATCTGGTACGCGTCAGAGACAAGGGCTGGTAGCGAGAGTCCCAATGAAACTCACATTGCTGTATCCTCGTCCCCATCCACTCGTAGTTAAACAGCCATCGACCATCCGGTCCTTTGACCAACGAGGCGGGGAAGGCATGTTCTACTGTGATTTCTCTGCCTCTCTGCTGGCCTAGAAGTGCGCCAGCAACTGGCCCTTCTTGTTTCCGTACTGAATGTCTGGTAACTTGATCGGAGACTGTGAGCAGGGCGAGAGGGTGCAGAGACACGGTGAGGCCGCTTTCAGAGGGTTTCGACGATATGAGAGGGTTGCTGGAAGGTTCCGCCATTGTGACGGTCAAGGTAGAGGAGAGAGAAGGGATGTCGACGTGGTGGAATCAGAGATGAAACCAGTTTCACGACCACTGATGCGGAGCCTTGTGAGTTGGAGATGATGAACTTCAGGGAAGTTGACTCTCGTTTCGTGGGGTAAGACAGGACAGGGCAGCAAGGGTTGAATGCAAGGCTGCCACAACATTCGTAACGCTCGTCTTCATTCCGTCTCGGTTTAAATTCTACAATGTCCCCTAAGAATGTTATTGTCACAGAGCACCTGAAGTCAAGCCCCCAAGATGGATGCCCTGGTTGATGATACAGACAAACTATTCCCTGACGTCTTCGCGCACCTTGCCGCTGTCGGGACACAGGGCTCGCCACTAGATGAAGAACTTTTGAGGCGAGCAGACAGGAATCTTACTTTCAACTCACCAAAGGACCTACTGTGGAAAGTTCTGCGTACTGGTGAGAATCTATTACAGACACTTCAACAAGACCCACGGCCACTTACCCGGCTCCTGGAGCGCGTCATTTCACTGCTACCCTTCGACGAGCTCAAGAAAACCATCTCGCCAGAGAAACTCGAAGGGGCCCTGACCTCGCCCTCGGTTCCAATACAATTGCTCTGCTTGGCCTATCTTCGCAAAGCTGCAGACTCGCCGAGCGGAGCATCGTTCGTCGCGGCCAGTTCAAGTCTCGTTCAATGTCAATTCACGACATGGCTGTCTTCAGAAAGCACTGAAGTGGCGGAGCGCTCATTGGAGGTCATTGAAGCTCTGCTGTCGGTTGACAGTCCTAACAGCACAACTGTACTCTCGGCCGGCCGCAGCTTCGCCGAGGCACAAGGTCAGGGTCTGTTGTGGCGGAGGGTGTTTCACGATCCTGAGGTGTATGTGATTCTATATGAATGGACGTCATTGCGGAAGTCCAAGCGAGATTTGAAGACGAAGAAGGGCATACAACTTGTCACAATATCCCAGGCGAGGCTGTTTGACTTCATTGCCAGGATCGCGCCATACGACTGGAGTGCTGTAACGACATCGTCACTGCCTCAAATCGAAACCCAGTTTATGACTCAAAACAACGGGGATGAACCCGTCGGGGGAGTCCTCCTCTACGCTTCATCAAACATGATTGATAAAGAAGACATCCTGATGAAGGTACTGCGGCAAGATTTCTTTCAGAAGCTACTCGGCGTGGTCGAAGAAAGCAACGGCCAGAGCTTGTCTCCAAAACTTCTCGAAGCAATTCAAGAGGGTGCTGGTATTGAGACCACGAGAAATCCTGAGGATAGAGGCTTGCATCTTTAAAGGCTGTCCGTCGCGCAGGCTACCTAGGTACTCAACCACCATGGCTTTCCACCGCCCCGGAACTTCAGGGCACACGTAAGAGTCTCCTCGGAAACCATGTTGATCGTCCTTCCGCCTCCGGTGACGGACCAAGGCGGCCTTGATGGTGTGAGGACTAACTTGGGACTGGGAAGCGGATTTCACGTCCCTCATGGCAAACAGAGGTGAGATTGACCAGAGACAAGCGTACGGGTGTGTACAACAAATGAACAGGAGAGAAGGGTACTAGAGCGGAGAATCTCTGGAGAGCAGCTGGACTAGCATGAGTGGGAGCCGGAGGCTTTCAGGGGCAGTCAGGGAGGCACATGAGGCTTTCGGTCTCGGCTGTCGCTCAACCTTCTCCAAGCGGACGTGACTAGTGGAGCCTTGTGACCGTGAACTTTTGTCCTGCATTCGACGCAGGTGATTTCCGCAATCCGAAGCAATGCGATACTAAGACTTCTTCGTTGTTTTTTATATATTGGTACGTTGCAGATGGCGATGAATCCGGAGTGTAGTGGTCGTATTTCTGCCTCTCTTCATTCTTTCTAGAAGGTTGTCTTGCTCCTGTCAACGCGCGATACCCAGGTCATGGCTGCCGTCTCATATTCCGTCCGACCTCTGCTCCGACTGCGAGCTGCCCGATCATGCCTACCCCGTCGATGCGCGAGCTCTGCGGCTGCAACTGCCCGGAGCAGTTTCAAGCAAACCAATACCGTTCCTCAACCACCCGTATCAAAGACGAGTTTGCATAAACCTCAAGTACCTCCGCAGTCCCTCAAAGCCCAGAGATCCAGCATACCCGCACTCGATGCAACAGGATCGCGGCTGAGCGATCTTCCTCCTGAGCTCGCCAGGAAGCAGTGGTGCGCCCATAAGCTGTATGACTCTGGGCAAACAGCCATCTACAGGCCACCGTCGCACTTTGGGATATATGTGGCTTCATGGCTCATGGGTGGCAGCGCTGTGACGATTGCGGGCTTTCTCGCGTATGCAAATCTGTGGGCATGGGAAGGCGATACTGGTCTGCACTGGATCGTGCCGACCGCGCACCGTTGTGGCATCATTGTCTTCTCAGCCATCGGCTGGCTTATCATCATGCGGTCATTACGGATCATCAAGTCCATTGATCTGGTCTCTGTGGATGGGATGGTCAAGATGGCGGTGCAAGTGCGCCGGCCTATACCTTTTCTACGGCCGAAAGAATACTTGATCGCCCCCTACCACTTTCAGATGGATCAGAAGTTTGTGACGCAGATGGAATATCCAGAATTTATGACGGACGATGAAGAAATGCCGGACTCGGAAACACCCTCTTCACGGTCACTGCTGTCAAGGCTCGGCCGGTCAATCAGCCAAGCAGTTTATTATCCATTCGCCTCAACGCGGAGGCTGATGACTTTAGAGGGCTTCATGTGGGTCAGTTTCGAAGGGGCCAGCGGCAAAATGAAGCTGGATACACAAGGTTTATTTTCAAATGGGGCAAAGGATCTTATTGAAATGGGGACTATTCAACGGTGATCGTTGGTTACGGCGCCCGAGTCCTAACGCATTTCCGACCCAGAACCTGAAGAGAAGGGCTCACGACGTTGCCCTCTGACCCAAACAATAACTCTGGAGATGCCTTTCAGCTTTCTCTACGTCCAGTCCAGCGATTGTCCAAACTAGTCGAGGAGATCGAGTGAAGTCCTAGTCCAGCACACATCAGAGACAGGAGGTTGGAGCGAAGTCTTGCGCATTGCGAACGGAATACCGCAGTCCTGTGGCGACAGCGAACAAATATCTCCCTAGTAGTGCCAGTGTATCACCACCGAAGCGTTAACACTCCACATACTGTACAATTTGGGGTTACGCCCTTAGCTCGATCCCTCTCCATGTAGAGGCAGCACACGTGGATCATTTTTGTGAGGAGAGTGAATTTTTGCTGAGACAGACGCGCCGTAGGCACTCACTTCATGCGCGGAACGCGAGCTTCATCCAACTCCATCTCGTGGAAGGCTCAACGACGCTACCACCTTGTCATCGAGGGCGGAGATCTCGGATATATAGCCTCGGCACCATTGAACAAAGCTCAGAATGGCTGTCCTTCCAGGCCGGCGCTACGGTGAGCCTGCCTGGCGTAACACGGCACTGCACAGTGAGGACGACCGAGCCTTGGGGCACAACGGGAGCTACGAAGAAGACAGACTTGGCAAGCAAGATCCCATGCACGCTGCACCAATGGACAGTAAGATTTCTACGCTGAGAGAACGAACGCCCATGAGTACTTTCAAAAGTGCAGTTGTACACTTTGATTCCCCAGCATAGTAAGTATCCACCACCTTGTGAGGTTGTAATACTAACAAGAGGCGTTAGTCTCATTGACAAAACAGCAGTGGTCACCGTTGTCGTGGGACTCTCACCGGAGAGATGCTGGGTTGTTCATGAACAACTCTTGACCTCTGCCTCACGCTTTGTAAAAACTGCCCTCACACCCGGCTTCAGAGAGAGCGAAGAGAGAACAATTCGACTCCCTGAGGAAGATCCGGACGTGTTTGACCTATTCGTCAACTACCTGTATACATCTACGACCGGAGGCCTCTCGCTGGATATGCGACTCCGGTTATACGTGCTGGCCGATCGGTTGCAGGCAGTCGTTCTAGGTGACAGCATCCGTGCGACTCTCGATGGCATTACCTGCAGGTTCCTTAGTGAGGCGCAACTAGAGTACGTCCTCGAGCACACCAGACCCGGAGACCTTCTACGGCGCTCTTGCATCCTACGCTTGGGAGAGGTGATTCGTGCAGGGCCCTACTTTCTACTCAGTGACGGGTTCGCGAGGCTTCTCTGCGAAAAGTATGCTGGCGAAATCTTTGCCGATATGATAAACAAGTACGACCAGATTATCATGGAGCCGGCTGAAGAGGATGGAAGCACTGTAATGAGCTTATTGACCCCAGATGTGCTCGCAGGTCCAAAGGTGCAAGATGAGCCCGAGGCCTACCGCCGTTTATCAGGGCAGGATAGGTAAAGCGGAACCTTCGCCTTGATGAGGAGTGCCGGGATAGGAACTGCATGGTGTGGTGGCAGTCACCACTTAGTGTCTCAGCATATTCTGCTCGGTGGATGGATGATAGTTTGCCGCCTAGGGTCTACATGGAGAAGGCGCATGGAGCGACCATCGAAGGAGCTGGTGGTCCAACACGTGTTAACAGCACTGGTTGTGTGAGAAAATTTGGATTTTCTCTCATCCGACAGTCACCTCAGGAAGAGCGAAGAATTCAGCAAGTCCGCTGCACAACCATCAAGCCTTTTTCCCGGCACCCAAGGCTCCTTCTCAGAGTGTTTACTAAAGCTCGTCAGCGACGGAACCCCAGCAGCTTCTGCGAATCCAATGCCAACGTCAAACACCGCTCTTTTTCCCTACCTCCCCATTTGAGTCCCACCGCGATCAAATTGGACAAAGACTTAACCACAGTGGCTTCTGGCAATGCCGACGAAGGTCCGAAACAACCTGCTGCACAATCAGTGTGACAGGACGAGAACCCGTTGTAGTTCTCCTAGGCGTTTATCCACCATGGCAATTTCAGTGACTTTAGCGACACCCGGTCGATCTTGAACTCTCCTTCGTGTCACTGCAACATGCGACGGCATCGAACATCTCTTCTTGGAGTCGCTTTGGCTCATGCCCTGAGGCCTTGTTGTCGCGTCGGGAATTTGGAAGAGGGATTGGCATTCGGTTTTCGTGAACAGTCGTGCGGGTCAAGGGAATTGCGGCCTGACAGAAGCGGTAGAACACGGTGTCACATGTGATCTCCATGATTGACGATGTATGATTTTAGAATCGTGTCAAACCTGTCGTCTACCCTTGAGCGCCACAACGATGCGAGTAGCGTCTTGGTCCCAGTCAATCACATCCACTCTCGAGTCCTCACCCTGCTGTGTTCTCCGCATAAAGTCTCGCTCGCACCCTTTGCATGCCCACGGGCCCTCACCAATGCACATTGTTCGAGGGCCCAGCAGCCGGCGGTTCCTCGCTTGTCACATAGGCCTTGCTCAAGCCACCATCAACCACGAACTCGGTTGCGTTGACGAAGCTGCTCTCATCACTCGCCAAGAAGAGCACTGCCTGCGCCTGCTCAATAGCTTCACCAAATCGACCCATGGGGAAGTGGACCTCGCGCCTGTGTCTCTTGTGCAGATCATCGCCAAGCCAATCCTGTAGCAAGGGAGTATTCAACGGGCCCGGACACAGCGAATTGAACCTGATGTTCTCTCTGGCATGCACAATGGCTAGTTCTCGCGTCATCGCTAAGACAGCACCCTTCGAGGCCGTATATGCCAATTGCGGTGTGGCGGCGCCCATCAACGCCACAAAGCTGGCCACATTGATGACAGAGCCTTTGGTCTTCTTGTTCCTTCGCATGGACAGTACAGCATGCTTGCTTCCATACCACACGCCCTTAACATTGATCTTATGCGTCAGGTCCCAAATGTCTTCGGGGGTGTTGATGGCATCATCGTCCTTGGCATGCATAATACCGGCGTTGTTGAAGATGATGTCGATTCCTCCATGCTTGTCTTGGGACTCGATTGCCGCCTGGACATCTGACTCCTTCGACACGTCGCATTTGATGGTTTCTAAGCGCGGGTGGTTGGGCACGAGTTCCTTGACCTTTGCCAAGGCCCTTTCCAGGGCTGGTTCTGAAATGTCGGCCATGAGCACGGAAGCGCCCTCTTTGGCGAAGAGAACCGTGGTCTCCAGACCAATTCCGCCTGCTGCGCCGGTAATGACCGCGGTCTTGCCCGCCAGGCGACCTTGTCGTGTCTCTGTGACCATCTCGGAGGCGCTTTCCGCACTCGACCTGATGTATGAGTGAGTGAGCGGTGAGAGTGGGGTGAGCGTCAGAGATAAGAAAGTGACGGCTAGGAGATGGACACCGTGTCACCGCTCGTGCAGTCTACTGTAGTACAATGGGTGTTGGTGTGTCGTCAAGGTCACACAATGCACATGAAATAAGATCATTCGAGTCCCTCGAACATCGTGGCTCGATGGAAATTGGAGCCCTATCTAATCATGTAATTATGGCCTTCTCCGAATGGGTGCCGAAGCAACCCGCCATGACCCATTCATGCCAATGCTTCGAGCACCACCTGTCCAATGGGCGATTTTCGCGACTTGAGCTGCGTCTTCTTGTCGATCGGAGCACATGAGCTCTTGCCCGGTGAGGAGCCTCGAGTCGGTGGCAGGATCCGCTGGTTGCATGTGATGGGCAGGCACGGGCGTCATTGATATTCCCAGGATGCAGTTGACAGCCTTGTGTTAATTCCCAGCTATTTCAAGACCCGGACGGAGTAACCTCATTATCTGGCCTTCGGTCTCTCGACACCGAAATACCTCAAGCCGTTCGCTTCGGTTGAGGAAGCTCATCAGCTCCGGCCCGCCTCCACATCCAAGCTTCCTTGTTTGAAAGCACCTTTCCACGCCAATCATCTTCCCCGCTTTGTGTAATTACTGTGTAAGGTAAGAGGATTCGCAGCTCGATCCCTCCAGTGCTCTTTGGTCTTTGTTCTTTGCTCATTGTTCTCTGGTCCTAGCTCTGCGTTACACACCCTGCCAACAGTGTCTCATCGTCCAGCCATGGCCAACAAGGATAATCTCACGCTTGACGACCTGGAGACTGAGTTGGCGCGCGATAACAAGGTGAAACTCGCAGGCATAGATGTTGACGGCACGCGCCCACGCAGCTTTATTCCTGGCTCCTGCTGACGCGCGCAGGCATCCTCCGGGGCAAGTTGGTCTCCAAGAAGAAGTTCCTCTCCGTTGCCAAAGATGGCTTTGGCTTCTGCAGCGTGGTGTTCGGCTGGGATATGCACGACCTGACCTACTTCCGCGAACTGAAGATTAGCAACAAAGAGAATGGATACAGGGACCTGGTTGCAAAGATTGATCTCTCGAGCTTCCGCCGCATACCCTGGGAGGGCGGTGTCCCGTTCTTCCTGGTCAGCTTCTACGACCCAGATACAGATAAGCCAATCTCTGCATGTCCGCGGAGTGTCTTGCGCACTACAGTTGGAAAGTTACACAAGGCAGGCTATGGGGCCATGGCTGGTGCCGAGTACGAGTTCTTCACATACCGGGCACCAAAAGACGAGACCATTCAGACCAGTCACAACTCCTCTTCCACGACAGCCCCCTTCCTACAGAATAACCCGGTCAACGCCTTGCAGCATCTAACCCTGGGTATGTTCGGTTACTCCTTGACCGACCCTATACACAACCAAGACTGGTTCTACAGCGTCTTTGAAACATGCGAGCAATTCAAATGCAACGTCGAGGGCTGGCACACAGAGTCGGGTCCTGGTGTCTTCGAAGCAGCCCTGGAGTTCGGAGAGGTCACCGAAATGGCGGATCGAGCAAGTCTGTTCAAATACGTGGTTAAAGCAATGGGAAGCAAGCACGGCATCACACCCACATTCATGGCGAAGCCAAAGCAAGGACTACCGGGCAACAGTGGGCATATGCACTGCTCAATTGTCGACAAGTCAGGAAAGAACTTGTTCTACCGAGGCGAGAAAGACCCCAACCCACCATACAAGGACCTGGAGTATGTGTCGGACCTAGGCCGACATTTCCTTGCGGGACTCTTGGATGGTCTCGCAGACGTCATGCCTATCATCGCGCCTACGGTCAATTCCTACAAGCGGCTGGTGGAAAATTTCTGGGCCCCCGTCACAGTGTCCTGGGGCCTGGAGCATAGAGCAGCATCCATTCGTCTAATCGCTCCTCCAGTAGCTTCAGCCAAGGCGACGAGGTTCGAGATCAGGGTCTGCGGTGCGGATGCCAATGCATCTCTGGTACTTGCAACCATTGTTGGCCTCGGTTGGAGAGGTATCGAAAAGAAGCTGGAGATCAAGCTACCACCACTCGGAAAGGGTGAAGAAGTCGGAAGTGTCGCTGACAAAGGCGAGAGATTGCCCAAGAACCTCAAAGACAGCACGGCACGATTCATGGCCAAAGGCAGCGTCGCTCGGGAAATATTCGGGGACGATTTCGTCGAGCATTACGGCGGGACACGAGAGCACGAGTTACGACTATGGGACGAGGCAGTCACGGATTGGGAGGTAAGGAGGTATATCGAGACCGTTTGAGATGATACCCATTCATGACCCGAGCAATGAGAACAACTGACATGCGAGATGTGCGGAAACACGATTCGAGTATATTGTGTGACGATGTCCACCAGCATACAGCCCGAGGCGACATGGACGAGGATCGCCGGCACAATGAGCACCAGTGGACTATATCCACAGGTTCTAAGGCCTACATTTCGGACGGCGACTGCCCAATGTCCAATTACCGATACATGAACCGAGTCAAATATGTCCTGCAGACCGGCGGACCGTGTGCGACGACGACGTCGCGATGCCGCTGACCCCAGCACGGAGCATCAGATCGATGATAAGCAGATCCATCAGGCCACAAGCAGCATAGTCCAAGGCCACAGCATCCATGCAAGGTGGGATACTACACCGATTCCCTAAGCCAAGAATGCTGGCACGCAGCTTCAGCTTCATCCTCAAGAACATCTTTCTAATGATAGGGCCCGATCTCCTCTTTGTTCGTTGGTATGATTCCCACAATCAATGCCGAGCAAGTGGTGGCCGACACTCTGCTTTGTCACAATGGACTGTTCCAGGGCTACCCGTGTATGGTTTCTTTGTACTGGACCTGTCGACGCTTACATTCCAGCGCACCTTCGAGGCGTGTTGTCTTTGTATCCACATCTATTGTGTCTATTGTATCCAGAATTGGATGCTTCGACGATAATGACTATCCTTCTCAGTTCCGATGCTGCTATTCCTGTCGCCCGTGTTGTGTGCTTTGGTTTGCACAAATGTTTACCATGTTCCAGTTTGTCCTGGTGTTCCTGCCTTGTTTGCTTCTATCAGCCTCCAAGCTCTTACATTCAATTACACTATCTTCAATAAGGAATCTACCAAATTGGCTCTCCAATGAGTTCACAAGCACAGGATTTACAGCCTGGACAGAATGATGGCAATCTAGGAAGAGGACAGAGGAAGACGAAGCCAACAGCCAAGGGCGAGGCATATAGAAACACGCTATCAAGGAGAGGCATTGCTCAAGGTGCTACTCCGTCACAGACCCCAGCCCAAGGCACTACTCAGGCTCAATCTCAGGATGCGGCGCAAACAGACCGTCGTGTCACCAGGTCTCAAACAAGAGGTATAGTAAATAACCCGGACAACGCCACCTCCAACGGCACGGGGAACCGCCACAGGCGAGCTCCGATATCAAAGGTCAAAATTGACGGCTTAATGACCAAGATCTACGAAGAGATACGCTGTGCAGCTATCAATAAACTGTCTTCTCGCACGAATGAAATCTATGCTGTAAGGGAGTTCCTGTTCCAAGCTCGGTTGCGTCGCTTCTTCGATCTTCAGCCAGAGGATGAACGAGAAAATCTCCGACGATGTCTCGAAGAATACGATGTGCACCACCCCCGGGGTGGCTCAGTCGCACAGGATGTAAAAAGGGCACTTGACTTTCCGGAACCGGACAGACTGACAGAGTTCTGCGACGGTCCCAAGCTTCTTCTGTTGACATTCTGCGCACATTCTGCGAGCTTTAGAGACGTCATACGACGCAGCGACGCTGACAGCAGACGTGAGGGTCTGTCTAGATGGGTCGACATCTATCCGGTGATCGAGTCGTGCAAGTCAAGCCTGGAGCTGTTCGCACGTTGTTTCGATTTCGACTGGGTAGGCAATCTGCAGGCCTTTGAGAAGCATTTCGATACACTTCTGAGGTACGTCTACAGCGATGAGCGTGAAAGCCTCGAAGGCATCAATCAATCAAACTTTGGGATTGGCGAAGGAGATCTTGCTGAGACTCACCAAATTCCAGATGAGGAGGAAAGCTACGTCCATCACCATTGGGCATTGCCCACCGAAGACGATCAGCCTGCCGTCCGGCCCACAATCGAATATACCGTGACGCGTGACATGGAGAGGGCCCCTTTCGTGAACGACTTTTACGCCATCGTCGACCGTCCCAGAATCCGAAGGAAAGCCAAGAAAGCGAAGTTGCCGGTCACACTCCCACTTGGCTCCAGCCTAACGCTGAAACAACTGGACATTATCAGATCTGTCATCCTCGATCCGAGTAACCATACCTGGCCCCCAGGGGCGTTTTCCAACGTCCTAGAAAGGCCAGACTTTTGCGGCGCTGCCGGCCACAAATGCAAGGCCTGCGGTGTGGCGGCCCCCGATCCAGTCGACCAGTCCAAGGCGGATAACGAAACGGTAGTCATTGACAGCAACGGCAACGCGGAGCCTGAGCCCGAGCACGCTTCCTCTCCAGGATACCCTTGCCAATGTACGTTCAACGAGCTGATGGAGCTGAGAAACGACAAGAGGGCCGGCTTCACGCACCCGGACTCCCTCCTCATCGAACTCTTCACAACGAACGACAAAGGCCGGGACATCCGCTCTCTCCAACGCATACCCAAAGATACCTTCATCGGCGAGTACGTCGGCGAGATATACCCGGTGCGGGACGTCGACACCGGGAAGACCATCACCCGCTATGGGCATCCTGATGGCAACGTCTACCACTTCAGCGTGCCTATCGGGGCGCCGCCTTCGCCCGGCACCACGGACAACCGGCCCAGCTTTACCGTCGACTCGGCGCACCTGGGCAACTGGACAAGATTTATGAACCACCACTGCTATCCGAACGTGAGCTTCTACACCGTCAATGTGGGCCAGGTGTGGACCACCGTCATCCGCACGGTCCGGGAGATCAAGTTCCGCGAGGAGATCACGGTGCACTACGGGCCCAATTACTTCTACTATCGAGGGTTGGATTGTCGGTGCGGGCACGCCCGGTGCAAGTTAAAGAACGTGAGTCAGGGAGTGAAGAGTCGGAAGAGGACGCGATTTGGAGGTGAGGTGTCGGGGAGCGACAGTGCTAGTATTAGTGCCAGTAGCGAGGAAGAGCAGCGGAATGGAATGACAAAGTTTGCAAGGAGGGGGACGAGTACAAAGTCGAAGTCGGCGACGGATGGGCAGGATAAGGAGGATGTGCGGCCCACGGGTAAAGAAAACGGTAAGGGCAAAGGCAAGGCCAGCGGTGGTGGTGGTAGTAGTAAAGGTAAGAGTAAGGGAAAAGGTAAGGCTGCCAAGAAAGGGGGAACGAGGCGTTGAAATGAACAGCGACGATACATCAAGGTCAAGGCCGTGTTTTGAGTAATATGTACTACTAGTGTGTATTTTATATAGCATATCGAATGATGGTTGTTCTCTAGCATCTGTTTTTGGTCTCCGATCTTGGATCCTGCATGGAGCTGTTGTGTCCTGCGTGAAGGTGTAGCGTACACAGGCACGACAGGACAAGGTAGGAAAACACTTCTTCCGATCCTCAGAAGGTCCCAGTCGAGGTCTGACGTAAGATGGCTAAGAGATGGTGGTGCACATCGCTAGTACCGAGGACTGTGACCCGTTTTCGGAGGAATTATTTGGCATTGCTGGCGCTTGGGGGTTTCCTGGCGCTCAAATGGACCGAATCCTAAGGTAATTACTACCACTACTGTATATTGGTGCTACTGTGCCCCACGACTTCAGTTGCGAGGGGAAAGAAGTCCTGGTTCCACGAATTTCAACTTCCCCTTTCTTCAATGGACAGATTCGGTCCGATCATTCGTCCAGAACGTGAGGCTCCATTTCATGCCGACCGCTCGCCTCCATGTCTAGAGTAGCTCGTACAGGATAGTGTTTTTCATTCTCCAAATCGGTCCTGGGATACCCCTTTGCTTGCTCACATCTCCGAGATCTTATGGTGTGATATGATATGGTACAACTAAGCGTTCGGGGTAGGACTGCGATTCCAGTTACTCCATAACTAGACCGCCCCTCCTAGCTACAGTATGTAGCTCCACCGTACTGCTGTTCTTCGCCGTCGCCCGTGTGCTCGCCTACACCGTCTTCTTTCGTGCGGATTTCCAGGATGCAGAGCTTGGAACTTTAACGTGTCCTGTCCAGCAATCTGCGTTTGATTTAGTTAATACCGAAAGTGTCATGTCGCATATTCTAACGGCTGACGCGGCGCGGGCAGACTCCGTATCGGTAGATCACTACGGGCGCCGTATGCACACATACATACTGCGTAGCCTCATACTGTCGGTATACATATCAACACCTGTATCTGTGGCTATCTGAGGTGGTCCTGAGCTCCGATCCATCAACATCATCGACCTACTGTAGCTCTACAAACCATGTCCACTTCCACGACCAAGGTCACGGCCCACACCGTCGAGGTCAACGGGTATACCTTCTCGTACCGCGAAAGCGGACAAGGTCAAGGCGAACCCCTGGTCCTCCTACACGGGCACATCAGCGACCAGCGCGCCTGGGACGAGCTCGAGCCCCGGCTCGCCACCCGCTTCCACGTCTACAACTACAGCCGCCGGTTCGCGTGGCCGAACAGACCGATCCGCGACGACGAACGGTGTCCCTGGGAGCAGGACGCGCTGGATCTCGCAGGTCTGATCGAGACGTGGGGTATTAGCCCCGTGCACGTGCTGGCCAATTCCTCGGGGGCAGTCATCTCGCTGTACACGGCCAAGACGCGACCCCAGCTCTTTCGCACGTTGATGGTCGAGGAGCCGCCTCTCGTGGGGCTCTTCCTGCCATCACTACCCCCTTCACTGCCCTCATTGCTGTCCTTCCTCGTTTGGCACCCTATCACGTTCTGGCCCGTCATGCACTTCGCCACTACGACGACTGGGCCCGTCATCGCGCTCTGCAAGGAAGGGAATTACCACGAGGCGATCGACACGTTCTGCAGCGGCGTCATCAACGCCAGGTACTGGCCTCGACTGCAGCGGAATCCGGACCGCAAGCGCCAGGTCGAGGATAACGCCAAGTGGTTGTGTCAGTTCTTCAGGTACAGCGCCGTGCCGAAGTATGGGCCGGAGGATGCGCAGCGGCTGAAGGTGCCGGCGCTGGTCATGGCGGGGAAGGAGAGCACGGCACATCAGCGATACACGGCCGCCGAGCTGTACATGGTTCTTGGGAGTGGGAGGAAAAGGATCGCGTATATCGATGACGCGGCACATCTCATGCATGAAGACAATCCGCAGAGGGTGTTCGACGAGGTGGTGAGTTTCGTGTTCGAAGATGCAGCGAAGTGAGCGACGGGCTGAAGAGTGAGGGATGCAAAGTTCGGCAATGTGATGTTGTTGGGTTTCACGACGGCTCTGAGAAGAGAGTGGCCGTATCCTTCTTCACCAGCACAACGGGAGGGACATGGATATGTCGACCTTTCGCGAAGCAGTCAGCAACAAGCTGCCAGAGCCGTGATGTCGGTGCAATGATAGTGTTAGCCCGTGGTCTTCTGATAGCCTTCGCGGAGGCATGTCGCTTTTGGTTAGTCCTCACCTACAGTAGGGCCTTCACACGGCTGTAGCTTTGATCACTTTCCCTCGAAATCGCATACAATACGCGGTTGGTGACCTCCGTGGTCAGGCTTCATGGGACCACACATCGAACGTCTCGGGATGCCACAGATCTTGTGTGTGATCTCGTTTTCGAGCAGACGACCTGCATGTTGGGATGTCCCTATAACCCACTTTGCTTCTTTATCCACGGATTGATCTCGTCAATCGTTCCCGGGCACGCGTGATATGCTCCGAGGAATTCTGTTTCCAGCACCTTTGATGGGGTAGAGCATAGCCAAATGCGCCCTAGGTTCTTTGCTCTCTGAGCGGTATTTGCCCCGGAGTAAGCGGACTATGAACGAACACAAGATACTTTCTGTTAGTAATCCCGCTTTATGCGCAGCCATCAGTTCTGTTTGATATGTCCTCATCTGTTGCTGGAGAGCTTGTGCGACCTGCGCTTTCCGGTTGTTGGCCGGTAAAGACGTTGCATTACAGACGCTTCAGCGCCTTGATGTCTAGCACGGTGTTTGCACTCACAGAAAGACCAGGTAGGGTCGGGGAGTTGGTGGAAACTGGCACATGGTTGGCGCGTGTTGGCGGCGTCAAGCTGGGCGCATTGTTGGCCAAGCGAGCGTGGCAAGGCTGCAAGCTAGCCTTGCGTCCTGGATTCTGACCCCGATCTCAATCGTTTCCGGCCAGAAAATCTACCCTGACCCAGTAATCCCATGCTCGAGGTATGAGCCTCCGATGTCCGTACGGGCACATTCCTTACTCTGCATGGCGTCTGGACGTGCTCCGAACCTTGTTCCTATCGCCTGAGAAGGCTTATCGCGGAACCTACGCCCGTGCTTGTCGGTCGAACCGTCCAACATACAGACGCAATTACAGCGATTCACAGACTCCTGCACCGGGCGACCATGTCCCTGACGTTCCAAATGAAGCGCGCACGGGCTCCTCACCCGCAAGCGAGAAGAGGAGCAAGAATGCAGGACCAACGCCGCCTTTCAACCCCTACAGCGTTACCGGACTTCAAGCGGTCAAGGACTTGCTTGCGGAGCTCCAAGCAGTGAGCAAAAAGGTTCATTATGGCAATGCAGACAAGAAGAGCGGGACGGATTTCAAAACGGTGGTGATTGAGCCTCCAGCTGATCCAGGAAGGAAAAAGAAGGCATACAAGAGGATCGCCCTTGACTCGTCGACGGAACACGGACCATCAGTATCCAGGTCGCCTGTCGTACGCTGGGTGGACAAGGCAAAGAGGCGACGCAGAGAACAGAAAATTCACCCTTCGTATCACCACATCAGAGGGCTGAAGAATAACCCTTGGGCAGAGATCCTGGCAAGCCCCATCCGGGCATGTCAAGGCAGCGGTGCAAGGCTGCCGGTGGACCTACTGCTGGACCTTGCATACGTCAAAAGTCCCCAGGATGAAAAGGTATACCTTTTGCCGGCAACACTCGCGGACCTGGATGCTCTGGAGGCGAAAATGGCGCCCGAGTTAAAGGCAAGCCAGCGACACCCCCCACCGGTCGCAGACGAAATGGAGCAAGGCAGCAGGGAAGATAGTCCTCAGAAAGACGATCCGGCAGAACCACCTCCACAGGCCAATACACCCGTCGGATCACAAAGGCCTTCCCAGCCACAGAGTCGCCTGTTCTTGAACCACACCTTTCTCACTCACATAAACGACGCAGTAACCCAGCCGGTGAAGAAGACATTCAAGGACCCCTCACCTACTGGGCGCGAGAGTGTACCGGCCGAGGTCGTCAAACTCATCCACTTCCAAGGTCGCGAGGCCTTCTCAACGGCACAGCACTACCTACAGAACAAACGCCGTTTCGTCAGCGGCCAGTCCGGGACGCATGATACGCCCTCCGCTGACCAGGAAAAGGACGCCTTCAACCTGAGCAAACTGCAATGGCAAATTGGACTGCCGTCACGCATTGTGAACATCATGCGACAACGTGTTTTGGTCGCCCTGAGCGCGCTTGCAGAGTCGGAGTCCGCCGCAAAAACGCAAGGCCTGACGGAGACACCCAGGGCCGTCATTCCTCTTCCCTTTCCAAAGAACGGTCTACTGAACGGCGATGAGCTACGACCCCAGTGGTCCACAGCTGAAGTGAACCACTCGGCCACCACGGAGATAGCCAACCCTACCTCAAAGATCCGAAGAGTTGGGAGCAAGTCCCGAGCCGCAGAGGACACCACGGCCAGCGAAGCCATCTCCTCGACCAGCACGTCTCACAGCGAGCACGCTCCATCATCTTCTCCATCATCTTCTGCGCCTCCGGAATCGACCTACCAGCGCCTAGGCCACCCGGAATGGCTTCCAGGAAGTATATTCCTGCACACCGGCACCAGCGACTTTTCTACCCTTATCTCGAGCTCGTCGTCCTCGTCTTCGTCCTCATCCCTCCCCGCCTTACCGACGGACAATCCTCTCATCCCACCAATGCTGTCCGTAATGGACATGCACCGCTTTCCCGTCTTCTCCCTCGACCGTCTCTTCTCGCACGGCCCCGTGGCCCCATCCGCGCAGCACACGGACGAATTGAACGAGCTACTCTCCCGCCAGATCTTTCAACCAGCTCACACTCTTGGCGGAAGCGACCACTTGCTGTTCGTCCGCTCCCTGCAAGGTCCCGCGAAGACGGTGATTGAGGAAGTGTGGCGTCTGTGGCGATATCTAGGCGGCACGAACATGGACGTGTCGTTTTTCGAGGTGGAAGATATTGAGTCCGAGGCTGAGGCAAAGCTCAAGGTCGAGAACTCAACTGTCCAAAGGGAGGATGTAATCCACGACCACGAGGAAGGGAACATCCCGTCGCGGCAGCGAAGGGAGCGTCAGATGATGACGCCTCCTTGGAGGGAGACACGTCGTCTTTTCGATAGCTAGGTTGAGACAATTGAGAGGAGAAAATGACGCGGGTGGCCTTTTGATTGTAAAATAGTAATAGGGCAGTCTCTAGCGAGCGTGTAAAGTGCGTAGGACATGGTGAATAAACAAGGTCAAAAGCTACAAGCTACACTGTGCAGTGTAAGCAGAGATCACGTATACCATAGATATTGTCACGCTGAGACGATGATACTCCTTCGCACTGATCCTGGAATTTGAAGAGTCCGGACGCTGGTTTCACAGTCTAGATATGTACCGTAGTTACGAGGTACTTCCCTTGACTTAGACCAAATTACACACTGCCTACGTCGACGAGGTCCGAATGAAGAATCGAAACCAGAAACGAGTCCATTCCGTGCATATGGTACCTCCTCGCTGTATGTACGCTACACGTCCAAGTCGAACGGTCGCATCCCTCGATGTATGTTCATACAAGTCATTAGAGCCGTCATAACGCCGCTTCCCTAACTTTGGTATCCTACCAATAGTGACGATGCTCCTCGATCCAAATACCTCTTGAAACAGGTCATCGACGCCCGAAAAGACCCATTTGCAGTCGACTGACATATCGTCGCTGCGATCCTAGCCCGATTGTCCTCCATCCTGGATACTCCGAACCCCAAGCGTTCAGAGATAATAAAACAAATTCAGCATACCGAACATAGCAAACAATACGCGGCTTCCTCAACTAAGCTAGTGGTCAGACGAACCTGTAGCTCGACGTCTCCGATCACTCGTACATGGGTGTTCCGTCCGTGTTGAAAAAGCCCTGTCTGTCATTGAGGAAGAACTCCTCCAAGACCAATCCGTCTGGTTCGGGAATCTTATCGTCGACAGCACCCGCCTGAATGTGATCGATCGATTCAGACCCCTAGCCGACTCGATACGCGTCGTAGATTACTAGCAGATGTTAGTCAATCACGGATTCCATGCACTTCATTCACTGAAAGCAGACTTACTTTCGCCGAGTCTTCGACTTCCGCTCGCCATCCAGAGGCAGGCGTTCAGAAAGGCATACCTCTCATCACCGGTCTCGAATTCGACTGTCATGCGAAACTTGTACTGATTAGCTGGTACCGTGTCCGCCACCGTAGGGTCATTCAGGCGTTCGAGGACGTCTTTTGGGCCAGAGCGCCAGCCCTTGTGTCTTGCGGTGATGTACGCGGGAGGATCATCGTTGGTTTGAAGAAGATAAGTGGCATCGCTGTGTGTTGCGAGGTCTTTTACCACGAGTTGGCTGTCTTGTCCGCCGGGCTGCAGAGTCGTTAGTACAAACATCTTCACATAGGTGAGGTGGTGCTAAGCTCACAATGACAATTCCCTTCCCCCACCGTCCGGCCCACTGCCCACCTACGATACTGACCCAGTCGCGGTGGCCGAACAGTCCAGATCCCACACCGATCTTGGGATTGACCTTGATGCTCATGCGGAAATCCAGCTCGAGCGTGGGAGTTGGCAATGCCAGCGAGCGCGCAACATCACCTTCATCGAATCTGTGAAGCAAGTTGTTTGCAGGTATGGACTCCTTCATGACATTTTGGTATGTCGCGCACTCGAGAAGATGCTGGCGTTGCCTCGATGTGTTCTTGGCTCTGATCTGATTGCAATAGATGCATTGCACAGACAAGCACTTGTCCTCCTCTTTGGCCCGGAACTCGACGAACGCAGCACGAACATCGTCGAGAGGTGGTGCAGGGAGGCCAGGGAGGCTGGAGCCCGGGGTGGTCTTGGGTGTCTTGGTTGGCTTCGGTGTTTGTCGCTGAGTTGGGGTTGTGTTGGCGCCTTGCGGGGGCATCGAGGTGCCATTTGTTAATCCTTGGATGGGCGTGCTGCTGGAGGGTATGCCATTGCTCAAGGGGGCATTGGATGTATGCGAGACCGACGGCGTGCGGAATCCATTGACGGCGCCGATGCGATCTTCAGGAGACGGTTCTGGTCGGGGGGCATTGGGATTGTTCTGGAGGCCAGGACACTCGAGGAGATGCTGCTTCTGGCGAGAAGTGTTCTTTGCGCGGATCTGCTGGCAGTAGATGCATTGCACCGACATGCACTTGTCGTCCTCTGTGTGGAGACCGGGTCAGTCAGTCAGCGGGCTCCTCGTCACTTGTCACAGTACAGTATGTTGTATCTCGATACGCGGGTACACTGTACAGTACAGTCAATACTGGAGGTGACGATACCGACGTACCCTTGGCCTTGAACTCGACAAAAGCCGCGTGGACATCCTGGTCGATGGTGCGCCCCATCCTCGCGGACAGCCAGAACCAGAGAGGCCAGCGGTGCCCCAGAAAACGAGTGCAGTTGTGACTGCGTTGATCACCAAGTGGTCTGCTGAAGGAGAGCCTCCTTACCAGAAGGTGGTGGGCGCAGGTAACGGTTTGGGTTGTCAGCGTCCTCCAGGGAGGCGCCTCTGACGAGTCATGACTGCGGATCCACCAAGAACCGCGCTAGTAAGTTTACAGGTCTCCTGGCGTCGGGCGTCAGCATCGACTTCAGCTCACTCTCAACTCACCTCCACCTCACATAGAATTGACTGAGTGCGCAGGGTGTAGAAACTGCGTACGCACGATGTCGGGATACCTCAGCCTTGGCCAATATGCATATAGTGAGACGCCACAGGTAGGTTTCTCATGTTGACTCGGATTGAGCACTTTTCGTCTTCCTCTTACGTTCACCACGTTGATGTTGGGCTTCTAAATGGCAGGCACATGAATTAACGGCGGGAAAGCGCCCATTTGACACTGACGGCCAGATATTGCTTTGCCTGCGTGGAGAACATGGCTAGACTGGATGGAGGGAATGCTCGGAGTGAGGTTGCTAACTCGTTACATGCTCGGAATGAACGGCAAGACGACGGAACGTGAAACAGCCAATTCCCTTCCAGCCTACATCAACGCACCGGTTATTGAGGCGACACCTGTTGTCTTGGGATGATCTGAAGCAATGGTGACATAGTCCATGGGCTTTTCTAAGTCTACTTCGCAACTTCAAGGTTTCCAGTTCCCATATGCTTCTAGACTCAAGGCGTAGCCGCCGCGAATCTTGCGTGGATGAGCTTCGAACATTTGTCTCGGCAGGCACTATCAACAAGACATTGGCCGTGGACAAATGAATGGTGTTTGTTGCTCACTCTTTGCTCTTTATGGACATACCGGCTAGGCTACCCAAGCAGACACTTCGGGAGATGATTGCTCGATCGGTCGTTGTGAGATCTGTGCAGGAGGACTTCTTTCGACTACCGAGGTCGTTCAACGCGCGGACAATCACGAAGGTGGCGGGTAGCAACGTCCAATGGACCACACGGCGGACCTCTCACCTGGAGGTCTCGGGTAACGACTGCGACGTCGCAGTGTTCTATTGCGGATCGGTGCTTGAGCTCTATCAGCGGTCGAAGCATTCCAACATCTTCCCTGACGGGTTCTTGTCTGAAACTCGTAAGACCATGTCGTTGTTGCTACCAAAGTCAGAAACATCTCTCCGAAAGTGGCTCGTGAATGAGAAAAGACAGCTCGGGCTGGATAGCTCAGTCCTTGCATGCCCATATCTCCGAGCGTCAGAAAGGAACATTCGTTGCTTTGACTACTACTGAGAACGCCTGATCATCTTGAAAGAAGTTTTTGACGAGCACGAACCTCGCGGCATTGGGCAGTTTTGGCGCGACGATAGGAAGCCTGTACAATGGTGGACCTTTTGCATCGCCATCGTCGTCTTCGTACTGACATTGATCGGCTGTGTTGAAGGGGCGTTGCAGGTATACAAAGCCTTTTACCCGGAGGATGGTTCGGGTTCCACATTAGGATGTAGAAGACCATGAGAGACTGGAGAGTTTTACAATTGCAGCAATGTTGCGGATGCCAAGCAATCGAGGCTCCTGTCATAGATCCATCATGTCGAGGAGCATTTAACATAGTCGTGAATGTGCTCCGTGTCTGTTCCAGGAATCCAGACAAGCCTGCCAAACGAAGACTTAGATCTGGACGACACAGACTCCCCCAGATGGCACTTATCGGCCGATAGACGCCGAACTGTTGTCTGCCAGAAGCTTGACTTCCTTACCTTTAAGCATGCAATAACGGAGACGTTCCGCTGTCTAGACCGTCGCTTAGGTAAGGCATGCTTACCAGCACCACCAGTTCCCCAGATGCAAAGAGCCTATTAGCATTGCCGGCGAGGGCTTCGTTCCGAGCACGTCTCTTCTGCTATACATCATACAGATCAGGAGGAGACAGCATAATCCATAGTCGAAGTGCTTGGACACAACTCTTCGAAAGTGTGGAGAGGAGGAAAGCAAGTGAAGACGAGGAATCGCATCAAATGCAGTGAGGCGTTAATAGATGCTTCGAGATATAAGGTTGGCGACGGCGACTATAGCATTCACCGCGGCACTTGTCATACTCCTGCTGGCAGTCAGCCTGCATCCAAGCTCTCCATATCGTCACCAGTATTCGCACGATCTGGCCCCTGTGCGACTCTCAACGCCTTTAAGACTCCTCTCAAGCCTGATCCAGCCCTCCTCAGCAAAATCAGCAATGGCCAAAAGAACGCCAGTATATTTCGTTTCACATGGCGTAAGTCCGCGCTACAGCCACCAACACTGCTCCCTTTCGTGCGAGACTGACATAGGGGCAATAGGGTCCCAATACAATGTACGAGGTCAACCACCCAGTGTTCCCCCAGCTTCAAAACATCGGCAAAGAAATCACGTCCAAGGTCAAACCCTCGGCAATCGTAGTCTTCTCAGCCCACTGGCAAGCCGAACGCGTCAACACGATCGAAGTCAACGTCTCGGAAGAAGAGCCTCTGCTCTACGACTATTACGGCTTCCCACGCCACTACTACATGGAGAAATTTCCAAACAAGGGCTCGGCGAAAGTCGCTCAACGAGTCATTGATGTCCTGGGGGACAATGGCATCCGCACGGAGAGGACGGAAAGGGGGCTCGACCACGGCGTCTTCGTCCCCTTCAAGGTCATGTTTAATCCGGAGCAGAACCCTCTGACGGTGCCCATCGTCCAAGTTAGCTTGTTTGACGACGACACGGACGCTGCAGCACATATTAGACTGGGTCGCGCTGTGGAGAAACTCAGGGAGGAGAACATCCTCATCATCTGCTCGGGAATGAGCGTACACAACCTTCGTCATCTCATGATGCTCGGCAGAGGAACAGATCGAACAATGCCGTACACCGTGACTTTTGACGATGCCTTGAAAGTCGCGGCCGAGACGGAACCGGGTGAGCAGAGGGACAAAAATATGATTGGACTGCTGGAGAGGCCAGATGCGAGACAAGCTCATCCGACTTTTGAGCATTTACTGCCTATCCATATTGCGGTCGGGGCAGCTGGTAGCGATCAAGGTAAGCAGTCGTGGACGCTTGCCGAGGCCAGCATGGGATGGGCGCAATATCGTTTCGGAGAACTTGCGGCATAAGCCAAAGTGACAATTATGAAGAACTGTCGGTTGTCGTCCCTTTAGCATGCAGTCGTATGTACAATGGTATTCATCTTCACCCGCCGGCTTGTTCAGGTACAACAGGTAGAGCTCTTTCGCCGCAATCCTGTGTTGCCTTTCGAGCAGGTTGAGTATCGTACACGTGGTTCCTTGGAGAGTGGGCTCATGAAGCGCCTTCGCCACTCTTCACCAGTGTCGTAACCTTGTCTTCAATTTCCTTGTCTGAAAGACCTGCGATACCGTGTGAGAAGAGGCTTGGTGCTTTGCTGGCACAACCAAGCTTACCTGCTAATGACTCCGACTTCTCTTTGCCATACCCTGTTTTGTCGACTCATCAGCACTCCGGCGCGACCGTCGTATGTCGAGGGAAAACTGTACCATATCTTGCCCACACTTTTGGCTCAACGCCTGTGGCTTCTCGTATTAAAATGGGGATGTTGGGGTTATGGTGCTTCATGGTAGGATATGCTCGTCTCAAGAATGATCTAAGCTGCCAGTCAGTCTTCTGCATCGGCGCATGGTCACAGAACGGGTAGACACACCTGCAAGCATCACTTCCCTGACCTGAATTGCTGAGGTGGAAGCGAAGCTCTCTCAAGCCTTGAGTGAAAGCATACTTTGTCGCCATAGCGGCCTGTCGGCGAGGCACAGGAAAGCGTCTAGTCAATATGTCACCAGCACGCTACTTCGCGAACAGGCATGAGAGTCTTCAAGTATACATAAATGCAAGTTCAGTCGTTGGAGCAGCAGATGCAGGCGCATCAAACCCAATCAAGCTCGAGGGTATTGCCGGTTGAAATACCGCCGTAAATGCGTCTACTTTTCGAGACCCACGGAACCATCTGGGCGCTGCTGGGCGTCATTCCTCCGTATTGCTTCGTCAGACTAAAACTACAAGCTGTCGGCGTTGTACACAGTACCAGCGGAGATTGTGAAAACGATTTACCGGAACGGCCCCGGATTTTGGCCTGAACTTCTCCTCATCGCCAATTCAATTCAACCTCATCGACCTTGACTCATGTTCCACCATCACACCTGCTACTACTCACAAGCGTTGTCATCTCCAGGCGACATCCTCCACTCCTTCAACTTCCCTCGTCGCCGTGTTATCGTGTTCAACTGCCCCCAGTCTCGGATCCGACTGACTCATCAATCGGGGGTCCGTGATTATGTCCGCTCGATTCGGCCTGCGCTTTGCGCAGCAGACTGCCCGACAGCCATTCGCGTCACGAACACCTTTCCAGTTTCGACAAGCCTTCAAGCGATGGCAGGGGACGGCTGCGAACCCTGCCGTCGAGGGTGCCCCAGCGCAACAGCAGAGCATGTTCCAGAGATTGTGGACCAGTGAGGTTGGGATAAAGACCGTGCATTTCTGGTAAGGTCACTGGCTATGATATTGCTTAGGACTTTCGGAGTCAAGATGGCTACAAACTCGAAAATCAATGCAGGACCACCAAAATTGACAGGTGATTGAATAGGGCACCTATCATGAAATGGGGTGTTGTCCTGGCTGGTGCTACGGACTTCCTCCGTCCTGCCGAGAAGTTGTCTCTGACACAAAATGCCGCTCTTATGGCTACTGGTTCTATCTGGACGAGATGGTGCTTCGTCATTCGACCCAAGAATATGCTGTGAGTCCCGCACCGTTTCCATCTGCATCCTGGCGTGACACGCCTTCAAAGCATCTTGCTGGGATTAATGAAAAAGGCCATCTGCCATGAATGGATGCTGATGGCATATCAATCAACAGCCTCGCCGCAGTGAACTTCTGCCTCTTCCTCGTCGGCACCATCCAATGTACACGTATCTTCCTCTATCAGTCGTCACAAAAGGGCAGCGAAACCGAAGCATTGAAGGCAATGGAGAAGGACATCGTTGACCCGGCGAAGAGCGTCGAGAAGAAAGCTGAGGCAAAGTTGTAGAGGCGAGCGAGATGGACTTTCTCGGGACCTGAATCGGGGCCGAAGCTGCGTTAGGCGGACGCAATGATGAGCTGTGTTCGGGCAGGTTACTGTGCAGGCGGAGAATATTGCCCTTTGGACTTCAGGAAACGACGCATTGCCCGCAGTTGCCCGTGACGGACGTTGCAGGCTTTCTCTGAGAAGTCTTCTGTTTGGAGGCTAACAAAACTGGCTTCCGCTAGCGAGTCATGTTTCATACCTTCGAGTGACATATTTGAGGCAAGTCATGCCCTGGAAGGCGACACGGCGCATTCTGTTCCGCCGGTGATCGTTGGAGACCTCGGCCAGATACTCGGTCGTTCGCATAACTCGTACAGCGCTCGGTTCCAAGTACAAGGAGATTCCAACATTGGATTATGATCCGTGACTCGCATTGGCCGCGTTCACACCAGTCCTTGAAACTTTTGTGCTGCGCGTAAAAGCAATCCACCGTGTTGTGAGTACGAGGAGTTGAGGGTCGACCGGTGGAGGCCCGGATCCAACATCCTCGCCTACTCAACGTTGCTGAAGGTGGTTTTGCGTCTGGCGCCGGTAGCAAGATGAGGCCTTGATAAACACCGAAAACTTCAGTGGGTCATGCGGCCTGACATTTTGCGCCACAGCGCCCAACTACGAGGCAGCATGTCGATCTCGTTTCTACCACAGTATCGGACCTTTGATGAAACAATGTCCTCATCAGTCATGTGGATGATGTTCTCATTGTGTCCGTGCCTTTCGCCTTTGTTCGCACCACCAGCTACTGTCATGTCAAGTGACCATCCCCGGCTCATCCTGCATAACGCGTGGCCTGATTCGCTCATGCTCGGTGTCACGGAAGAGATCTGTATGGACGGAACGACGTCCCACAACGATCCGGCAATGCAGGACCAAAAGGCCCGAAGTTTCTGGGCTGACGACTAGCGATGCTCGCCCTGTCGTTTAAGGAAATCTGCGAAGATCTCAAAAGCCACCACAGGCAGAGACAAATCTCCGATAAACCTCAGTCTTGCTTGGTTCATCGTCATGCGGCGACGAGAGATTTGGCATCGTACAGCTCGCTAGTGGCGATCGGAGATCATGGCAAAAAACGTGGGGTTTTCGTACTTTGGGACGCTCCTGGGGGGCAAATTATTTGAGGCAGACTCTGTCGAATACCTACTCGTACGAGTAGCCACTTCCACCACTTCCTTTGTGCCGCCGCCCCCCCCTCTCTCTCTCTCTCTCTCGCAGAGCCTACAAGTACCCGTACGGATCTTTGACCCGGTTTGCCTCCGCACAGAGTATCCTCGGCTCGTACTCCGTACATACCTATCCAGCGTGCACCAACCAGTACTCGTACCTAGGTAAGTTTGGGTTGGTCACTCGGCCACCGGGACCGAAGCATTGGTGACGTAGTCTCCACTTCTCTGCATATCACACTCGTACTTCATACATCTGCACCCCAGACTTCTGGTACTGGCGAGCGCGGACTCTCGTACTCTTACTTTCCAAGCCTGCGACCGTTGAGAGGGAAACGCAGGAGACGTCGGACCCTGCATTCGGTGCAAACAGCACCCTCGGGAGTATACTAGACCACACCAGATCAGTCCGTCACCAACCATGGCCTCGACCATGATTCGGTTCCCAACATTTCGATCCACCCACGGTGCCGACGACAAGCCTACTGCGCAGCAATGTTTGCGTGAAATCCTCAGGAAAGCCTCTGAGAGCCCTTCGACAACAACAACATCGCCGTCATCATCACCAGCATCTCGCTCACGATCCGAACCAGTCGGCCCTCGTTCCTCTCGGCACCACGAGGAAAAGACGAGAACCAATTCCATCTCGACGACATCTGCTGGTACGAGTTCGAGACGGTCGCCCTCAACCTCGACTCCGAGGAGTAGTCAGTCCTCGGTGAGGAGCCACGAAGAGAAATGGAATTTCAATTTCTTTACCGGTCGATAGCGAAGTTGGCGAGCTCATCCTGAGTTGAACGAACAAGCAGCGTCCAGGATTCAGGTCCAAGCACTTGGCCGCTCCTGCCACAAACCTACCGGAAGTTCTGAAACGCTTGAAGACCGGGATAACCCGGCGGGAGCCGTGGACAAATCACCCGTACCGCCAATACCACAATCTACCTACAGCTCGTCGATAGCAGCTAGGACATCAACACCAGCCCACAAGGTACCACGGCTCGCATATAACGCGGATCGACCAGTCAGAGCCAAATCACGCCTCCTTCAAAGACCACGACCTTAAGGTCCATAGCACCATACGAATGTACCGACCTAGGTCCTGGGTCCTAGTTCCTCGCTCGAAACGAACCCTCGTCAAGGAGTAAACTTCCGCGCAGCCCAACTTCGGTCGAGGATCAAAGCAGGAGTTGATGACCGCAGACCAAGGAAAGGATGTGTACAGCACTGATCCATCTCCTCTCTGCCTCAGCGGAGGTTTGGTCCATCCTTCCACCATGCAAGTTACTACGTGCTAGAGCGATTGCTGAGTGCGGAGTGCTGAGTGCGGAGTGCGGACAAAACCATTGATCATCATCAAGGTCAGTCGAGGATAATGCTTCGATTTTGGCCTTGAGTGGGTGTGTTCTAGGCTGCTCTGAGAAGGAGGAGAAGAGCAAAAAGAAAAGAAGAGAAGATAGCGAAGAATAAAAAGAAGAGAACGAGATAAGGGAGAATAAAGAAGAAAAGGAAGAAGAGAGCGAAGTACTTTCCTCGCTTCGGATATATTGTCACAACCCCATCATGCTCTTTCAAGCATCACCATCGACGTCGGTCAATCTGGCCTCTATGCCATATGTGTATATATGTCTGTATATCTAAGTGTAACTCTATAGTCCTCTTCCCGGACAGCTTGATTTCTCCTCGTCCTCCCAGTTTTGATGGGCACCAACCCGCCGTCTTTCTCTTCGTCACACAGTCCACAGGGCCCACAGTTCCACGTTCTCTCCCCAGCTTGTTCAGGTCAGTGACTCAGTGCACGAAGCGAAAATCCAACCTCTTGGGCCCCTCGTCCTTTGTGTGGTGGATATACTCGATCTTGTCCTCGCCCGTGAGTTTGCCCCACGCGAGTTCACGCCTCTTGTTGCGCGTGACGTAGTAGAACTTGACGAACAAGAAGAGCACGATGTTGAAGCAGCAGATTGCCAGGAGGATTTTGTTGCCGCGGAGGTCTACAGTAGCCATCGTTAGGATAAGTGGACCAGGACAGACAACACAAGACACGCGACACGGATAGGGTAGATACGTAGTGGCCAGAGAAAGGTGGCAAGTGGTGCATCGGGGAGAGAAGGAGGGTGTAAGTAAAGCAGCTCAAGCGGGGATCTAAAACATACACAACGGACGATCATCTTCGCGGTAGATGTTGGAGCCGACAATGTTCCCGGCCTGCACAAACATGTTGTACAGCGCGGCGGAGACGGCGCGGTTGCGCACCGTGTTGGAGTTGCGCGAGTTCCACGCCACGAGGATGGCGTGGCAGTACGGGTAGGAGAGGAGGCCGGTCAGCAGGGCGTAACGCACCCACGTGCTCGTCGTGGCCGGGAGGGTGACGAGCGCGACTAGCCAGGGGAAGATCCAGATGTTGGACGTCGAAGACACCAGCGACCTCTCGTTGACCCACTCGCTGATGCGCGAGATGATGAGCAGATTGACACCGAAGAGGAACTGCGACGGGATGGTCAGCAGATTGGCGTTGAAGGTGCTGAAGCCCATCTGGCGAAGAATGAACGCGAGGTAGTTCTGCGGCGGGTTCGGGGGGATGTATGTCGTCAGTCCGACCAGATAGAGGGGCCAAAGGTCGTAGTCTTTCAGACACTTCCAGAGCCGTTTGGCGTCGACGGCTTGTCGGTTGTGCATGTCCCCTTTCGAGGGATCATCGCGGAGGAGCCGGTTGACCAGGATCTTCTCCTCGTGCTCGGTAAACCAGCCCTTTCGTCCACGGAACCAGCTGGCTGTTTGGCAGGGGCTGGCGGGCATTAGGCCCCAGCTTAGAATGCCGACGACACCGGTGATGACACCCTCGATGAGGAAGAGGTATTGCCAGCTTTGCAGCAAGGTCAGCGCCAACGGACAACTCCTCTGGAGGTAAATCCAACATACCCGGACCAGCCGTGAATGCCGCGCATCTGGAGAATGCCGGCGGCGAGTAGAGAACCGACAATATTGCAGGTGCTGAGCACGGTCCAGAACCAGCTCAACCTAATGGGCAGCTCACGACTTTTGTACCAGTACGTGATATACAGGACAGTGTCGGGCTGGGCAGCAGTGAGTCCACGATACCTGCGCATGGTTTTTGCCAGACTTACGATGAATCCTCCCATGAACAAGCCCAGGAGAGCGCGGCAGACATAGTAGCCAGCTTTGCCGGTGAGGCCTGCCTGTGACGCAGAGACAATCGACCATGCCAAGATAATGAATGGGATCCAGCTGCTCTAGGTCAATAGCCGCACGTACAGGGAGGCTGTGGGCAGACACATACATATCTGGTCCCAGCTTCTTCGAGATCAGGCCTGAAGGAAGCTCGGCGGCAAGAAAGCAGGTAAGGAAGATCGTCTGGCCGTAGTTGAAGTCGTTGGTGTTCATGCCTAGCTCGGCCAACATGTCATCACTGATTGCTATAGCACGGTTTCAGCTGGCGGTTCGGTATAAACCGAGGGCTATTCAGCGTACCCCTGTTGATGTTTCTCCGGTTCAGGTCCAAGGCCAGAAACATCATCCAACACCATGTCATGATCCGGATATCGATCTGCGCAGATGTTGGGCTTAGTTCCTTCGAGGCCGGTGGGCAAAACAGAAATCGTCGTACCTTGCGTTTCAACCGTTTTTCTTCAGTAGCAGACCACGTGAATGACGGGTCGAATCGATGGCGACCCTCGTAATGGGCATTCTCGAAGACATGCCGCCAATATTCAGCTACCTGTCCAAGGTTAGCAAAGCAAGGTAAGGCTAGGGCTCGCCTGCAGTACCTTGGGGTCGGAGAAGACGTGATTTCCATACGAGCCATAATCGCCATCAACGTCTTCAAACGAGCTGGCGTCGTCACTGGCTGGAGGAACGGCTGTTGCGCTTGGGCCCTCCTTGTCAACGACGGTCTTTTCCTGGTATGCCCGCGAAGGCAATTCAGCCACAGGAGACATTGCACCTTCAAGGAGTTAGGAGACAAGAGGTAATGGAATGGTGCTGATAGAGCACTTCTCCTCGGACAGTGGCGATGCGGCCTTTTCTACTGAGAAGTGCTCGAAGTTCCAAGACTTTTCTTTTTCATTGACCTTCCTCTTTGGTGCGATAACACCATCCTGCGCGAGGATCTCGACAGCCGGACAACGTGGGTTGCCACGAGCATTGTGGATGAAGGTGGATGTGCGACCAAGACAGCGACAAGACATCGAGATGCAGAACACTGCCGTGTACGGCGTTCGGGAAAAGGCGCCATGAGGTGTCCAAGCGAGTCCTGAATAGACGAAGAAGCTTGAATGACCTGGGCAGATAAGATGACGACCTCAGGCGTATCACAGGTGGTTGATGCTCAGCGAAAACCATTGAATCTGGCCGACTCGCGATTTACGCCAAGAGTTGCGTGCTTTTCCCGCACTCGACTTGTACAAGTCATGTCTCCATGCCTGGAACATGGATAGAGAAGTCTTGGTGGAAACCGAGCACAGAAATCCGGCGGCAGCACGCAACCCGGCTGCATAGCAACCACTTGCATACTGCATGAAGAGGAACGTACTTTGTGGGAGTCCTGAGATGTGCCTAGCTCTTCGATGGACGACCTGCCCAAGAAGTGCCTCGCTACGACGACATACCATATATCCAAGCTGGGGAAGGCGTCAGGAGCCACAGCGTCCCCAATGTGCCAACGCTTGGCCATGCAATAGAGCAGGGCAAGCCATGACCATCGGCAGGTGTGAAGTACGTTAGGATGATACCATGGCAGGTTCGTTCCAGTTGCTGTCCAAGCCCTGAACCCGAGATCCATGCCAGTCATCGAACTAGTCATGTGACAAGCATCGTAATTGAGGCATAGAATGGCTGTAGAAAGGGTAATAGAGTGTGAGCAGTAGAGGCATTGAGGACGTCGGAGCCAGGACAGTGTCCAAGAGAGAATCTCCAAGATGTAGAACGCGCATGCCCTTCGGAATGATTCCCCGTGCTGCTCTAGTGAAGCATGTGGCCCATTGCCGCAATTTTAGCGCCTCACTGACTGAACGATGGGCAGGTATCTGTGCTCCCAATGTATGGAATCTGGGTCTCACCTAGCTGGAGGGTGCATTTCCCAGTCATCCCTAGCTTTACAGGCCCGAAGGATATATTCGAGTCTGTCGATGATAAAAAGATTCATCAAGTGCATCGTCGATACGTACATAGACATCGGTCTTCCGTATGGCGGACCGTCCCCTCTTTTTCGTCGATGAAACGCTCGCCAGACCGAGGGCCATTCATATTTTACAAGAAATCCACAAACAGACGCCCTCTTCCGGAAAGATCCTTCACCAGCTCAGAAATGGCCGTGTTCCACAGGTCTCCGTGCTCGTCAAACGGGCTCCATCTGCTGGCTGAAGCTGGGAAGAACGGCTGTGGTCCGTTTCCCCTTCTACATTACTACGCACTCCCCATCGCTCTGCCTGTTGACATTCGATCGTGACATGCGCGTCTTTTGCTGCTTGGGACCGCCTCGTTTGAGCTCCTCAAGTCTCTCTCGCGCTTTGGCAAAGTTTTGTGCTGTAAAAATTGGTTAGCCCTGGTAGCCCAATCGAGGGGGAGAGGGAATACTCACAAGCTGCCCTATAATACCACCGCTTCGCCTCCTCCACATCCACGGCTGTGCCGATACCCACCTCATTAAAATAACCCATCGCGTACTCCGCCTTTGCAAGTCCCGAGCTCGCGGCTTTTCTCGCCCAGAGGAATGCCTCGGTATCACTCTGTGTGAGCAGTGGCTCCGATCCGGTCAAGTACCATCCACTCAGCGCCAATTCAGATTGATGTTCTCCTTGGGCTGCAGCCCGAGTGTACCAGGCAATACTCTGTCTTGCATCAATCGGGCAACCGATGAGTCCGTACTCATAGGCCGACCCGAGGCGGAATTGCGAGTATTTGTAGCCCAGTTCTGCAGCTTGCTGGAATAGTTGGATTGCGTACCGCTCGTCGCGGACGATGTTGTCTGGCGGTGCCGTCGCTTCATACAGTAGACCGAGCTCATGTAGCGCGTGTGGATTGTCCTTGTCTGCACGCTCAGCCGCTCTTTTCAACCACGAGACTGCTTCACGGGGATTTTTCTGCTGACTGAGGAGCCCCTTCAGGAGGATCATGCCCATTTTGTACATGGCCGGTGTGTCACCTAATGTTGCGGCTCGCTTGTACCATTGCATCGCTTTGAGTGGGTCACGTCGAGTTCCACCGCCCTCTTCAGATCCCAGTTCACAGCACACGGCCACTCGATAGGCACTCTGAGGATGGTTCAGCTTCGCGGCGGATTGATATAGGATAAATGCTTCCTTGGCGTCCACCGCCAGTCCCAACATCCCCGATCCGTAACAGTCTGCCAAGTAGAACATTGCGTCTGGGTAGTTGGAAGCCACCAGTTTCTTGATCACCTTGTGCGCATCGAAAATGTACTTCTCGCGGTTCTTTTGAGCCGTCTTCACGTCCGCTCTTCCATCCTCGTCTGCGAGCACTTTCGCGGCTTCGACCATTTTTTTGGCGAGCTTCAATCCAAGAGCCTGGTCGCCTGGGTTGCTGCTGTACATTTGCCGGAGGCTATTCAGCTCTTGGAGGGTTACCGGCTGGGGCGAATCCGAAACAACGCGCCGTTGCGGAGTCTGTGCAGGCGCTGATTGAGTAGATTGATAGCCATTACCATTGTTCATTCCACTTCTGATCGGCACCGGATGGGCTGGAAGAGCGTCCGGATTGGTCTCGGCATCTGGCGGCGGTCCATAGTGTCGAACTGGAACTGGGTGTGCAGAGCTGTTTCCATTTGGTTTGGGAAGCCCCTGGTCGTAAGGGCCTGGGGGAATCTGTCGAATGGCCGGATCTTGGCCAAACGGCTGGCGAAATTGCTGGTTCTGGTTGTAATTATCTTGCGAGGCCTTGCGCATGGGAGGACCTTGCCCATACGATTGCTGGTATTGGTTGTTCTGCCCAGGTGGACCAAATCCTTGCTGAAATGGTACGGGTGCAGCAGGCGCCGAAGGAGCTCGGTTCGTGTAACCTTGATCATATGGATTCATCATCTCGTAACTTTGAGGCGTTGACCGTTGTGCATTGCTTGTATGTGGTCGCTGCGGATAGTTATCTTGGCTGAATGAACGATGCGGCTGACCGTTGTTGGGCAACGGTGGCTGCGAAGCGACATTTTCCACCGAAGGCTTCATCCCATTCCGGCTAGCAGCACGAGGTGGATATTGTGATCTGGGTGTTTCTTGAGGCTGCCTCTCCCCATATCTGCTCGAGGCCACCCGTGAGCCGGGAATATGCTCATTGTGTCCTCCGTGATACATGGCCGCTTGTGCAGGATTTCCATTCCTAGCAGCATTGGTGCGTCCATTACTAACAGGAAGATCAAATGAGAACTCAGCCAGTGGAGAGTTGGTTTGGTTCGGTGGTGACTGCTGTATTCCTCTGGGCTCAGTTTGTCCTGGTTCTCCTGCGAAAGCACCAGGTACCTGATAGGTTGGTTTTCGATATACGTTCTGGTCAAATGACGGTTTCTGGCCGGCAATAAAATTGTCTTCAGACCTTTCCGTGACATTCGTCGGAATGGAGTCGAAGTCCGGCAGACCGTTGCTCACCCTCTGGTTGTGCACAGTGGGGTTGGGAGGCGGTTGACTGCGATACGGATCGGCATAATAGTCCTGCTGGGGAGCTTGCTGGTATTGATTTCCTGCAAGCATATAGTCTATGGGCGAGACATGTGCTCTTGATTGAGGAATGTAGTCGGAGGCATATCCTTCGTCAAAGGTGCGGTTGCGACGTAGCGGTTCATGAGGCCGGTCATTCCCATGAGCCCCGTGACTTGGTTGGCAGTTCTGGTCCTCTCGCACCCGGTTTGGACCTGGGCCTGGAGCTGGTCGATCGTGCCTCAATTGTGGCTGCTGACTCGGTGGTGGTGGACCACGTAACGGACCTTGTGGTCCTGGCGGGCGCATACGTGGACTGTCTACCCTCTCCTGAGGTCTAGGTATTGGTTGTTGCTGGAAATGCATGTCCGGCGAGTTTGTTGCAGGTGGCATTGGATAACTCTGAAGCGGCGGAGACCGCCCCATATCGGGGCGACGGTCATGCGAAGTGCTTGGTCGTGAAACCTCTTTTTGGCGGACTGTGGGAGCCTGTTGTCGTGGTGCGGACCCACCGCTACCAGGACGCTCGTCCAACTTCAGATTTGCCATTGCCTGATCGAGGCTTGCATGTCTTTGGTGTCTTTGCTCCTTCGCCACTGGCTTCGGTTTGCCCAGGTCGTTGAATGCTCCAAAGGGATTGTCCCAAGCGAGGGTCTTGGGCGAGGCCGGCTCAGTGAGAATACGATCACGAGCTATATGTCGTCAGCAGCAGGTATCAATAGACTTAAGTGAGGGGCTCTTACGTTTGGACCGCTTCTTCTGGGGCGTTGAAGGTTGTGACCATTGATCCCTTTGCGGCCGTGGGTCTTCAGCATAGCTGTGACCCGTGGGTGGTGGCCTGCCTTGTCCGTTGGTGCGATATCGCTCATCATACTGATACTGGCGATCCTGGGGTGGTTGTCCTTGATCATAATGATCCCGCCGAGGTCGAGGAGGACCATTCGCCGTTTCGTAATGTGGTCCGTCGTAACCTCCTTGCCGGGCATACTGATCTTGGCCTTGCCATTGGTCATATCCGTTATTTTGTGGCGGTGCTGGTGCTGAACCTGGCCCGTAACCGTTGCCGCTCCGCGGGTAGTCATTATAGCCCTGATAACCTTGGTTGTATGAGCCTTGTCCCCGCCCAACCTCTTGCCTTTGTGGCTGGTGATCCCTGCCGTCGTATTGGTATTGATGTGCTTGGTTCTGCGGCCACTGTTGGCCATAATGGTTGCCCGCCATCATCGTGAAAAGAAAATAGGTATTGCGACTCGGTGAGGCCAGCTGCGGTCGTCTGTCGTTCGTGCGCCTGCACGCAGGATGTTGTGGGTTCGGTCGCAGACGATGTGATGCGGACAAAGAAGCCGCGAGGAGAGCTCACTCAGGTTGTGATGGAAGTAGAGATGGTCTTGTCATCCATAGCCCGTTTCGCACTGTGATTGCTTGAGAAGTGAGACGGAGACTGGACAAATGAAGTCACGACTAGAAGACAACAGTCTCGCCGGTGTGTTGGTAGAGCACTGAGGACTGTAACACTGCCTCTGAATCTCCGCGGGCTCTACGCGCTGTTGTCCGTGGTCAAAGTCGAGTGAGCAGTGTCCATGCTAGAAGTGAGGTATACACAGAGAGTGCGTTGCTCCAAGTCAGGTCGGCATCGACATGTTCCGCTCGGGGTTTAATTGGGCACTGCTGGAAACGGCACTGGCGTCCCTAAAACGCGGGAGGGGCTAATTATTAGGGTTGACGGCGGCGCACCTCGTTTAGCACGTCCAGGCACGTCCAAAGGCACGCTCCGTAGCCCCAATTTAAAGCACGAGTAAATCCTAGATATTTTTGCCTAGGATAATACCTCCGGCTCAGTGCACCTGGTAGCGATAGAAATAAATCGATCAGTGCGTCCTACCGAGCACGACGCCTGCACAATAGACCATCTAGCGACAAGGGTTGACTTGTGCCGCGTCTGGCCCGGTTTGGCAGGTCAGTGCCAGTCTAATCATTGCCGTGGAGTGTGCACAAAGACAGCCGCGCCATGTCAGGCACAGACCCATGATTTGCCGCAACCAGATCCCTTTGTGGTTCCTTGGTCGTCAGGATCAACCGCTAAGAGGAAGCCTCCAACCTTGACGGATGGTGGTCGAGCCAATTTGCCGTGCCATTCATGCCAACAAAGCCACACTTCTCCGCGTACCACAGTCCTGGTCAAGGCAGCCGACCACGGGAATTTCTGGAAGGATGGCCTTCAACTTGTTTGGCTGGAGGGCTGTGCAACCATGATATGTACGATAGAGCGAATACTTACCGAGTATTCCATACGGGCCTGCAGCTTCGCCTTACTCAGGCGGTTCGGGCGCGTTGAACAGCATCATGGCAGACAGCAGACGCTCCCAAAGAAAAGGTCGTGCGCGTCATCACGCCGAACTCTGAAACCACACGCGTGTCATCTTCAAAGCAAATTGTGGCTGGAGAGGCGATTTGGGTGGAAGATGGACGCCTGCGCCACATTGCTCATCAACGCTTAGCGAAATTTTTCAGGTTGATCAAACAGCGATGGTCTCGTGCTTCCAGTGATCATCCCAGTTGGAATTCCTCAGCTCGTGTTAGGACAGTCTTGTGACGTGTTTGAGATGAGCAAAGGCTGGACGTCGTTCGAGGTTGATCTGACGAACATGCATCCAGCTCTCAGCTTCCCTGCCGCAGAAGACACTGACCGCCATACCCTCTACATATCTCGTACTTTCACAGCTCTATTCCCCTCATTGCCTGGATTACTTTACAGTCCCCGACACACATCGACCCGAATCGTACATTTGATACTCTTGACACTCAGTCAGGCCGGCGCTCGAGACCATCACGGCTCAACACAACAACTTTCGGTGCCCGCGCTCAAACGGTCACCTTAATGGCTAACCACAGAGATCTGGATCTCCCCGAAATGTTCAGCCTGATACACTTCCAACAAGCCCTTCGTGGCTAACACTAGCACATGAAGCAACGCCTGAGCACCCACAATAGCCGAGTTCCGCGCTGGTGGAAGCAGTTCGTCGAACGTGATGTTTTCCTCTTGCGTCTCCGGTATCTCTTCTGCCGCCACCTGGTCATGGGTAAGTCCTACTTTCTCTTGGACCTTGGTGTTCACGAATGCGAGGAAATTGTACGCTTCATTCTCCAAAGTTGCGGCGACCCATTGACTTTGCGCTGCCGTTTGCGTATCAACGGTTGCGGAAGGTCCATACAGTTCGAAGTCCGGATCGAGACCCGCACCGAGCTGGGCGTCCAGATCTACAAATTCGTCCTCGTTGCTCGTGAGACGTGAAGGCTCCCCAGGCCCTTGGCTGCTGTGTTTCGACAGAGGCGGCACCCCTCTTCCGAAAAGTGGACTTGCGGAGGTGAGACGCGATCCTCGTCTGCTCAAGGCCGGCAGTGACCCGAGCTCCATCCCACCTGGGAGACCTCCGACACTAGAACTCAATCTTGGTATGATGCGGCTACCAGGGGGGCGGGTTGAGCTTTGTCGCGATGCTCCTGTAGACAAGTTCCATGGCATACCAGATGAATGATCCGGCAGAGAAGGAGGAGCATGTCGACCTACTTCAGCTTCAATGTCAAATTCGTCGCCTAGTAGCATGAGCCCGTCTTCATCAGCAAACTGGTGCAGATCGCCATCGGTACCGCGTACGACTTCTTCCTGCGGTGTTGTCTTTGCTCTAACCCGTCTTCCCTCTTCTTCTTGGTCATCGGTTACGGAGCCAGTGCGTGATCTTTTCGTTCCCCGTTCAGGCCCTCTCAACATATCCCACAGCGACTGACCAGTGAAGATGGCAAGTGGATGCTGGTCTCCCTCAGCTCCGAACGTGGATGCGACATTGCCCAGGCCTTGCAGGAGAATCCAGAACTCGGCGTTCTTCTTTGCTTTAAGACCTGAAAATTGTCTCTGTCTGGCCTTGGCTTTACAGGCCATATTCGCGAGATAGTTCTGATTCCACTCATTGAGGTCACGGTTGGTCAACTCTGTCTCTCGATCTGGCTGGATTGCCTTGGTGGTTCGTCTTGGTCGCTGGGCCGCCTCTGCCGTCACAGAGGACTCTTCTGTCGGGTCGAACAAGGAACTAGCTTGTTTAACTTGTTGCGCATTCTCAACGTCGGGCTCTGGAGTCAGAGGAATCTGTGGAGCTGCTGGCAGGATCAAGGATTCACCGTCGCCAAATATCACCATGTCGTCGTCAAAGTTGACCATTGGCTCGTCCACTTCCACTGCAGATAAATGCTCTGTGCCAGGGTGGCCGCCAAGTCTTGTGTCGCGCCCCAGTGGTTGTTGCCCTTCGATGGATGGCACCTCGGGCTCCTCGACAAGATCACGCGACATGGCCGGGCGGAGAAAGCCATCATCGTCGACGTCGAACACAGGATCATCGATAATGGCGGGCTCTTCCCCGAAAATAGAAGGAAGGCGGCCGACTCGGCTGTCAGTCTTCGCCGCAGAGCTCGTCCCTATGCCCGAAAGGATCTCAAAGCCACCGAGCCCAGCAGCTGGGGTGCTCAAGGAAGGAATGTCCAGACCAAGTTCTTCTGACTCCTCTTCGTAATGCAAACTAGTCTGGCTCGAGCGCAAAGCAAGCATCGGTGATCCGCTTTGGGATGGGCTGGAGCTATCGGAGGAGAAGCCGAATGCAGAGAGGTCGAAGTTGATGTCAATGTCTGGCATGAAGTATGGGTCTTCAGCGAGGTTGAGTTGTTCCGGCCTGGTATTGCAATGAGCTTTCACCCAGGAGGCATTGCTGGTTAAATTACTGACCTTGTCCTGCCCACCTCGGGATCCAGCTCCATCTCCTGCATGACAGTCCTACTTCTCATACTGTCTCTCAGACTCGTTACGTCCGTCAAGACATAGCCGCATTGTTGCTGGAACACGCGAGAAACACCGAACAACAAGCTGCCTTGCAACCTCAGCGCCAGAGGCACCTCTGGCTCGGTGATGGTTTCGCATGCTTTTAGGAGGTCGACATCGAGAATGGCGCGGCGAGTGATCTTCTTCAGGTTTGATTTGGAGCCAAGCGTGGCCACCAGCCTGGAAATATTGCGACGCGGACATGGTCAGCGGAAGTGAGACCTGAAGCATCGCCACGGACCCACCAGATCGTCGCAACACCATACTGACGATTCGTCAGAACTACCAGTAGACATCTTGTCAGCACGATGCTGGCCAACGTTTTCTTTTCAGAGCACAGCAGGACAGTAGGATGACAGAAGTGACTCACTCTCATGGCTATAGAACATCCCGTCAGTCGGACGGACGGCAAAGATGAGTGCCCATCCACCCGGACTTGAGGTTCCGAGAATCGAGTCAGGCAGGCAGATCTCGGGCACGGAGCACAATGGGACCACCAGCGTTAGCTAGCAGGTTTGGAAGGTACGATTGGAGGTACCGTAATGATAAGGTGAGGTAAAAAAGAAGGACTACGAGGGTGTGATGTGGTAGTAACTTGCGCGGAAGTGAGAGCGAGAGTGAGAGTGAAATAAAACGAAGTGCAGACTCAACTCAGCCTGCCATCAACATGGGAGAGAGGGGAGATTCTGCCGCACTGCCTTCGCGTCGTTCAGCTGATGGGGACTTGATACACGTAAACGCAGAACTCGGGAGATAAGAGGAAGCCCTAAGAGTTAGTGTTCCCAACACTGCTCGCTCAATGCGTCTCATCTCGCATTGAGAGGTGTCCTTGGTGTGCCTATCCCAGTAAAAGCCAGATGGCCTTTCCTGGTTCAGCTTCGCATCAGCATGGACTCAACCCAGGTCGTTAGAGAAGAAGAGAACGTGAGACGGGACAGAAATTCTACCACTTGAGGTGCCCTGCTGTGTGGAACGGGGACATGGTAATGCAAGGAAGTAGGTTCACTCGAGGAATTGGGGAATTGGTCTCATTATTGTGGTAAAAGCGATCTTTTCCTTCCATGGCCATGGCACTTGCGGCATTGATGGATCTCGGACGTTCTAGCGTCTATCATAACCATGTATCGCGAGTCCCGACACCCGCTCAATCAAGCGGAATGCCCTCGAACTCTCCATAACCTAGCGCCAAGTTCATGTTTTCTGCGCATTATGTCAGTAGGAGCTTGATGACACAAACGGAAAGATGACTTACGAAGACATTGTGTTGCCGCGCCCTTCAATAGATTGTCAATGGTCGCACAAACCACCACTCTCTTTCCGCTGCTGTGCACAGCAAATCCGCCCACCTCGACGCCGTGTCTCTTCGCAATATTCTTTACTGAAGGCGCTTCGCCAATAATCTTCAGTAGCTTCTCTCCCGCATAACGATCCTGGTATATATTCCGAACGTCGCGAGACTTCATCTCCTGCTTCAAGGGAATGTTGATTGTGTGGTGGATACCCTGGAACCATACGGCGACGTGCGGGATGAATGCCACGGAAGTCCCCAGTTGCGTGGAAATTTCACGTTCGTGAATGTGATCTGTCAAACTGTACGCGACGATGTTGTCTGTGAGGTTATTGACATCGTTCTTGGGTGACGGCTTTGTGCCCGCCCCTGAATATCCGGAGACGCCAAAGACCGTGGGTTCGCCACCGAGATAGGGTAATAACGGAGCAATGCCCAGCTGAGCGGCAGTTGCGTAGCATCCAGGATTGGAGATCCTGGTGGCTTTGGCAATTGCTGAGCGGTCAACCAGCTCCGGGAGACCATATGTCCAGTTGGGGTCGAATCTGTAGTCGGCGCTCAGGTCGATAACGACGCTGTTCTTGCCCACTTGGTCAATGGCATCTACAAATGGCTTGCACACGCCGTTGGGGAGAGCCATGACCCAGCAGTCGACAGCTCCATTTTCCTCCATCTGTCGAACGTCTTCGACGCTCAAATTCTCGTAGATGATTTCGCGCTTGTTATAGCCTTCAAGCTTCTTGCCTGCAAGCTCTCGTGAGGAGACGTGTCGAAGATCCATGTTGGGATGGCGGTTGAGCAGGTCGACCAGCGCTTTACCAGTGTAGCCCCGAGCTCCGATCAAAGCTACCCTCGACGGCTTACTGTTCGAGCTGTTCTTCGAACCAAGCGGTGGGTTGGGATTCGTCGTAGTGGCATACGTGCGGACGGCGAGGGCTGGCTTGGTGACATACCTTGCTTGTCGTGCGGCTCGTAGAGGGTTGGCTGAAGTTGAGTATGATCGTGTCTGAGCCACTCCCTTGGTAGCGGCACGTGCAACATTTGAAGCACCTTTTCGGGCAGAGTCCGCGACTTCGGAGGCGGCCCTCGCGGCACGTAGCAATCTCGACTCGAGGTTGATATCACCGAACATCTGTCGTCCGTGCTTGGTGAACTCAACCATCAAGTCCTTAACCTCATCGCTTGTCTCAAGGCCGTACCAGAACAGCACCTCACCGTCCTTGGACAAACTGCCATCGGCCTTGTCGAAGAACCATGTCAAGTTCTCGTCATCCTCCTTAACAGTCCACATCAACTTTGGGAAATCTTTCTTGACAGCGGAAAAGATATTATCGGCGACGTTAGTCAGCCAGCCGTCTCTGGTGATGGTCAGCGTTGCAAGTTGAGCCAAGGTCGTCTCCCGGCTGGGCGGCAAAACAAGAGCAAAGGCCTTCATGGGCTCGTCGAAGTACGCCTTAAATTCGCGGTCTCGAAGATGGCTGATGTATCGATCCACAACGGCTCTGGCGTCGAGCCCGGCACGGTCACGGATGAGGACTTCCTTAAGCTGCTCAAGGTCCTTGAATTGGTCAATGGACGTGCTGACATGAACCTTGTTTCCGCGCCGGATCAGGGTGCCAGCACCGGAGTCCGTGAACAACTCTTTCTGCAAATCAGCCGGATGAATGATAGCGACGCTGGAGCTCCGCGGGAGATCCATGAGGAGGTCCTTCATCTCCTTGATCTTCAGTCTGGTGCCGTGTCGAACCCACCATTGCTGCATGAGGTGGTCATACTCCTCGTCCAAGTTGATGGCAGATATCTTCTGCTTCGTGTCACCATTGAACAGACCACCCTTCTCGGAAAGATAGACAATCTTCAAAGGTTGGAGTGCTCGAGCCAGCTCGCCCGCCGCCACGTCGGCATTGACGTTGAGCACCTGGCCCTCTGGCGACTCGGCCATGGATGTCAATATTGGGAGGCATCCCGCCTGTATGGCTGCCTCTATGGGCTTCTTGTCGACATTAGTGATCTTTCCCACAAGGTTGTATTTTTCCTTGTCAAGGTAGTCTGCTGTGAAAACACCAGAAGTGATTGGTCTTGCTCGCACTCCTAAACGCTCGAGCTCTTCGACCAAGCGCAGATTCTCTTCCAGAAATAGTGCTCGTGCGATACCCAGCGTCTTGGGGTCCGTGACTCGGATGCCCTCTTCAAATTGCGGCTCAACTCCTGAGTCTTCCAGGATTTTGTTCAGCTGTGGCCCCGCACCGTGAACAACGACGGGATATAGACCGACATGATTCAAGAACGCTAGAGCAGAAGATAAGGTTTGGAGATGCTCGGTCAAAATAGCACCGCCAACCTTGATCACTGCGAATTGCTGGGAGGAGACGGAGCTGAAGTGTGACAGATATTGCTGTACCTCTCTTTTGGAACCGATGTTGCTCAATAGCTGCACGACCGTAGACCGTGTGGAAGCAGAGCCTTGCGAAGGAGAGGAATATGGTCGTCGGGCAGAGGTCGTCTGGACGGCAAGAGGGGTGTATGAAGGTCTGGCGACTCGGAGGGCTCGACAACCCAAGGACGAGGAGGCCGCTCGTCGGGTAACTGCACGCGCAGTAGCAGCTCCCAATGCCGACATTGCTCTCTCAGTACATGCGGCAGCTGGCGAGGACTACGGGCTAGAGGTATGGAGACGGGGACGTTTCGTCGTCCGGAACCGTAGCGTGATAAGAGTCGTTGCTCGAGGACTGCGGAGGGGAGATGGAAGCAGGAAGCAGAACGCAAAAAGAACCAACCACAGTTCTATCGTCAGAACGCCAGGTGTATATGCCCAGAACGAACAGAACAAAAATCTGCACCGGCGAGCTTCGTCGGTCAAAATTTTCTGCTCGTCTACGGTGCAGAGAGCAAAAATATTTTGCTATTTTGCGGGGGTGATCATTGCATGAGGTCGTCAGTGGGAGGACCAACCACGACCCCAAACTCTGTGACTCCGGAGCACCAGCCAGAAAACAGCCTCTGCGGTGCGTCTCCGATGGGCGGGTGGCGTGCCTCTTCTCCCCTATCAGTGCTCCACCGATTGTCGGCCTAGGCATTGACGTGAGCAGAAAAAATACACTTGAAAATTCTCCAGTGAGGGTTGGGTGAGGGTATCTTGTCTTGATGCACGATGAGCGCATGTTACTGGCCTGCCCCTGCCATGAGTATCTGATCTCGATGCGAGAGTCCCAAGATAAGGGTCGCCGTACATAATGTCAAGATGTTGGCAACGCGTGAGGCTACCGTAACAAAGAGTTGCGCAATCGACACAGGACAAAACATTGATACGGAGTAGTGCAGACACGTATTACCGCAAGCTGCTCACTACCATAGGCCAATTCGTGGTAATCGTTTCGTGGATCAAATTTACGATCAGAGAGCAGGATGGGCAGCTTCAGAAATGTCGTCAACAGCGGAGTAGAAAGAGACACATCGGGTAACATCAGGAAGTGGTTGAAGCATGATCCATTGCATTGACCGAACGCCGAGTTGGTAGAGCAAGAAAGGCCCAAATGCGCATTGTTGTAACAGGAATAGCCCGTCCGACCCATCATCCATCAGCAGAGCGCTCTTGAATAGGTGTTGTTCAACCGTTTATTCCAAGACTTTAAAGAGCTTCTCTCGCTTCGCTTTCGCTTTTGCTGGAGGTCGTTGCCGCTAATCGTTTCTCCACTGCTGGGAAGACTGTGCTGATCGTAACATTCAAGTATGGAGAAACCGGTTTCGAAGGCAGGTATCGTAGGCAGACATCGAGCGCTTATCGTGTAGCCACAACTACAATCAAGTCAGCACTCTGCAACATCGTTCATGCACAAAGGCATCACATACCGGCCGGGACGATGATGACAATGAGGAGCACAATGATGCCGACGATCAAGCACATGCGCATCTTCATGTCCTTCCACCACATCTGTTTCCGGACTCTGTTTGCGCCCCTCCGGAACCCCTGGGCCGAGACGGCGAGGTTGTCGGTCTTGTCTTGAAGAGAGTCTAGTCGCTCGCCTCGCTGTGAAACTTTGTTGATGTTTTCACGCATAACCCCGACAGTGTCGTCGATTTGCTGCAGAAGACTTCAAGTTAGCTGTTGCTCTCAAGCGAAGACGAGGACGGTATGGTCGCACGGCGCCGCGTAAGGGTCATCTGCCTGCGATATTGGCTTGGACATAGCCATTGCCAATACAAAGTAGATACGTCGCGGTATCGAGCCTGGTCAGCCTAAGAGAGCTACATCTGCGACAGTGTCGGCTGTAGTCGTCTGCGGTCGACTCTGGCACCTTCCCATTGTGCATGTCAGACAGCGCGGGTTGACCTACCGCTTGTAGAGCAGCTGTTCTTTGGTTTCCACCTTGTTGCGCACCACCTCCCTGGCCGCCCTGAGGGATGTAGGGATCATAAGGCGCTTCTCTGTCGGCCATGTTTGGTACAGGCGTAAGCGGAGGCTGGGCAAATGAGTCGGAAAAGGAGGCGACTCAGCGATCGAGCTACGAATGGACAGTTTCGGGGACAGTAATGTTGCTAGAGTCGCAGACTGATGATTTTGGAAATGTGTGGTGTGTGGTTGAGCGTTTGGATCGGGCGAGGATGGTTGATGGGAAAGATAGGTTAAGATGGAGGTTGGAAGAGTTGCTGACGACGGCTGGTAAGTTGGCGCTTTGACCTGCGACAAGCCCCGGACTGAGGAACGACAGGCCACCGCGGCTGATTCTGAGACGAGCAGCAGCGCCACAGAAATGCGACTCCGTTTCAGAACACGTGATACAGCCGGATCGGATCTTTGCTCACTCTGTTGTCACTTTGCTGTCATTCGATGATCTATTATTAAAGACTAAGCATTCTGATCTATTGCAATCTAAGCTGGACTGTCTCCCCAGGTCAAAACAGAATGGAGCCGAGTTCGAATCTCGTTCGTCTTGATCATTATGAAAGAGGCCATCTACCTTCGGCGCCCGTGGCTACCTCGTAGACAAAGCGAGATGGATCCCAAGCATCGCTGACAGATCTTCCCGCATGCATCCCTACCTCGTACGAGTAGGCTTCCGCAAACTTGAAGAGGCAGTGCTCTGGGCAAGCGACGTAACATGACAGCCATCTAGCGTTTGCTGCCTAGAACGGAAACAGTTGCAGCTGCTCGGCTTTCGCGCTTCCTCCATATGTGCATTAATAGCGCACTTGCTGCACACTGCGCGTTGCTCGGGGCTATGGCGTGCGTTATTACTCGCGGTGCTTCCTTTGCAAGCTTCGATGGTGTCGAGTTAAGGGGGTCCTGTATACATGCGGCCGATGCTTCAAGTGGCCTTTCGTTCGCATCTTGCTAATCCATTGACTTGTCATTGCCCTACAGCAAAGAATGCGCGCGAAAGGAGGAATTCGTCCGAGTTGCGATCAGAGCCGCGCTCGCCAATCAGGGCCTGCCAAGCACATCTTACATAGAAATGTCGTGCATCATTGATGTTCCCCGTGGATACACGCGATCTCTGCACCTGCAGTCCATGCAGTCCGATCCTCGACGAATTTCCCAGCCATTGAAAGAGGTCATTTGCACCATAGCCCTCTGTCGCACAATGCTCACTTGACGCGGTCGTTAGCAACACACCGCAACAGGATACGACGGCAGCGGATCTGTTCGCCGCCGGTCACGGGCACTACATTGGTCGAAGCCCAAGATGGGTTCCCGGGGTTGGATGTATGCAAAGATGGCCGGCATGTATGATTGTCCTCTGCTCACTGGTATGGATATATCGACTAAATCGTTCCAGCTTCACAGTGTGCTGCGTCGGCGGACCCGCACTCATGTACTACGTAACGCCCGCTGAAGGCGAAGTCTTCAAGCGCTTCAATCCGGACCTGCAGAAACGCAATCTCGAACTGCGCGAACAACGCCTCAAAAACAACGAAGAATTCGTGTCCAAGTTGATCGAGTACTCAAAGTCGGATAAACCGATATGGGTCGTCGCAGCCGAGGACGAGAAGAGACAGAAGGCCGAACAGGTGAGGAAAGCGGCCGACGAATTGGCGGATAGGGACAGGATAAGGGAGGAGATGAGAAGAGCCCAGGTGGCCGGGAGATGACGCAGTAGACGCTGGTGCGAAAGCAGATGACTTGTACAAATAACAGAGCGGACATGCTGAAACAGCGGATTCCTTCAGCACCGAGCGCCATGATTAACTGTGTCCTGCGCGACGATGGGTCACATTGGATGCTCTATGCCTGTCCTGACGCCTGACTGCCATTCAGTTGGCACAGTCAAACGGAAAGAATATCTTACACGGGGCATGCCAGCTCCCGCCTTCACAAGTGTCCACGATCATGTTCTGAAAATCCCCCAACGCCAGCCCTTTCGAAGATTTTTCCCTGAACAATCTCCACAAGCCAATGTTCCTTCGGCCTGGAGCACCTCGACGCCTTGCTCATGCCAATCGTCAATCCATTGAGATCCCCAATCCGCTTGAGGTCTTTGAGCCATGTTTGAATTCTTTGCCATGCAAACTCAACTCTAAAGGATGAGCCACCATGCGCCGCCCACAACGAAGAAAATGAGCAGAACAGTCAAGATGCCTGCTCCCGCTTTATCAGCCGCGGTCACGTCGTGCTTGTGCAGGTCCCCAGGGCCAATGGGACTCGAAGTGCCAGCATTGGGGTCCCCTTTACTTGTTCCTCCTGAGCCTTCCGTGACAGGCCCAGAAACCTCAGTGATCAGATTCGACTGAATGACCTCGAGAGCACACATCTGTTGACCAACTCCGGTTTCGCCATCGAATATAGCGCCTTTCCACCACTTTGATCCACAGGACGTGCCATTAACACCACCAGTGCAAGTTGCTGCCGCTGCCGAGGCCGTTTGCTCCAAGATCGGTTTTAACAGTGGGTAGGTGAAAGGTGCTCTGACGATAGTCGCCGCTATCCATCGAGCAAGGTAGGCCTTGAACGAGCGTTGGTCCACGTTGCAGGTATCAGAGCCATCAGGATTTACAGCTTCGCATGCCGTCTCCTTCATGATGTTACCCTCCAGAAAAACGTTGAGCCTGGAAATGATTCCATTGATGCGATCTGCCCAGACTTGACTACCATCAGTCTGTTTGCCAAGGTCAGTGCTCCCGTGTTTTCATATCAAAGGTTGCGAACACTTACATAATTGTACATATTGGCAGCCCCAACGAGAAAGGTGCCGGCGTTGTAAGTCCACTGAATATGATCAAGCTCGGTGCAGTTGAGATTGTCGTCGCTTCCGTCGAAGAAATTGTACTGCGCGTCTCGCAATCCGATAGCCGAGACCCAATCCCACATGCGGTCAGCCCAGTCGGCGTATGTCTGATTGCCGGTATACACAGCCAGTCGAGCCCCCATGTTGAAGAAGCAGCCATTGGAGATGGTGTTTTTGTAATTGTACCCGTTGTTGAAGGCGAAGATCTGCCACTTCAGTCCACCTCCGCACGACGCCGTATCCCAACGAGCGGCCTGCGTGTTGAAGACAGCCTGCGCCAAAGCGAGCCACTGCGGTTGGTCCGGGGGCGGATTTGGGAATACATTCTCCGCGGCAGAGAGAGCGGCCATGCCCCAAAATGCTTGATCGTCGTTTCCTTCGGTCTTGGTTTGGTTGGGAGGCATGAAATCATTGTCTGGACCAACTTGATGAAGCATGGCTTGAGTCGTGATCTCGTTGTACGAGTCGTCGCCAGTAAAGTACCAGTAGTCGATCAGGGACCCGAACATGGCACCAGCCTCCCACCAGTAGTACGGTGCAGGAAGATTCCCAGGAACATCTCCAGGACGGTACCCGGTATAGTATGTCACCATCTCATCGGCGACTATCTTTGCGGCACTCTTTATGGAGTCGGGACTCGACAAGTCGAGATCTATTGCTAGCGCACTATGGGTAAAGAGTAAAGCCGACAAGGTGAGGTGGAGGAGAGGTCTTCTTCGAGAAGGCCTCATCGTTCTTCGTGCGGTAGGATGATCAAGGGTGACAAGAGGTTCCACGGACAACGAGCCTGCTCAAGTCGTCGTTTGCCTCGTCAATAATCACAGGGATTCTCGAAGTACTCGTGCTCGCAATGGTCTTTGGATGGTGACGGGTTTCCGTTAGGATTGGTTCGTTTAACGTGGGGGCGATCTCAACCCTGGTCGCAGATCTCAGATTCGCGATGACGTGCCGACGGCGCCGGGAGATGGAGCGAGAGGCGGCTATAAGGAAAATAACGAGTGGCCGATCTGCGCAACAAGTTGAGAGTGGAAATATTCGAGCACAGCGACGTGGAAGTGAGGGTTGGGTGAGAGAGACACAGGCACCGAGGCGGAGTGGATTTTCTTTGACTCTTGTGTCCTTGTTCCGTCTCGAGAGGTCTCATGCACGTCCGGGAATGCAAGGCACTGCGCAACGCAACACAGCGCCAAACGCCACGGCTGTGACGGGATGTGGCGGAGGACTCGACAGGCTAGGCGGAACGAGTGGGGATGCCCGTTGGCTGTATGACGCCTAGGCTTGCAGCGGGCATTCCAAACTTGCTCTGAACAGGCGCTACGGAATGCATGTCGGTGGCATACCACTTGCCTCTTCCCCTCCTTAGATACAGTACCTAGATAAGGACAATCGATTAGCTCGCTGGGCGTCTGATTATGAATCTGACTGTTCGCACTCGATAGGCGGGAGGTTTCTACTGTACAAGCGCCTCCTCTGAACCAGCTGTGAGTTATCTCTCTCTGAAACTGGCTCCATCACCCAAGATGGTGCCCAGCAGCCCAGCCTCGTGCCCAGAAGGTCAGCCCGACGTCCGCGTCACCACTTTCTTGTCTGCACGCTTTCGTCACCACTTCCTCGCCCGGCCGCTCTTGCGAGAGAGTCCAAAACGTTAATAGTGCTCAGCCCGGAGGTCAAGTGATGGTTGCAAGCCTTTGGAGTACTCCATAAGCCACGTACCCTTTCCTTGCGACGGTTTTATATGCCAGCGTATGTCTCTTGCTCCACTACTTGACAGGAGCCCCAACCTCCGCCATCTTGATATCGACTGTTTCACCACTACGGTAGGCTTACAGCAGTCCGTCATATGGCATGGCAAGCTTGGAAGTATCCGTTATCCGTTCCGCAGCTGGCGACAAGCAGTTGGGATAGCTTGGACGAAGTAATTTTGTTTTACCGCCGCTCAGCTCCAAGCCGCCTCGACCTGCTCCGGGCACCAAATCAATCCCTGGCTTCGGGAGGCCTTTCTTTTGTGGAACAGCCTCCGGGACAAGGCTATCTGCACTCTCTCATTTGGTTAAAAATCATTAACGATTGCACGGAGTCCCCGTGGGATTCCACTAGGTGAGGTGAGGCTGATTCAAACGCTTTGAGGGCAGCCTCCATAGGGTCTTGACGCCGTCTCGGATCTTGTGTAACTCTTCGTGGCGCATGGCAGCATGATGGCGAATTGAGGAAGCTGGCTGAAATCAACCTCAGACAAGCATCTGCGGCTTTCCTTCTGCATGGTAGGCCACTCAGGACACATCACGGTCGGTTCTCTCGAGGTGTCATGAAACTTGAATTCGACTACCACCACTCTGGTACAGAGAATCTGTTGTCCCACAGTCGTCAGCGAGGTCCACAACAACCAAAATCGGCCCCGTCCTCCGTGGTTTCAGGTTGAAGAGCCTTGATCTTGGCCACCGCCAAGGCAGAAAGAGGAGCCAGGGGCCTGGGCAGAAAGGTCATCAATCCCACATGTCATTCTTGGGTGGCGGATATATGAGAGAATTCGACTTCGAAGTGTTCTCCCCTTCTTTCACCTTAGCACGCAAAGTGAGCAGAGACCGTGTGCGATCGCAGCGAAGGAGAACCGGATATGATGCTGTGTGAACAAACCAGATTGTCGCCTCGCTTGTGCATGTGCCCATCAATGAGAAAGGTAAGAGGTTGCCCATCTTCAAGATTCCCTACCATGAGGTTAGCAGAAGGTAGATGGATGTAGATGTCAGGAACGCTGCCGGGAACCCTCTGGCGAAGACAATGCCAGGTGGAACTGAACGGCAAGCTTTCCACATAGAGCACACTGGTACCCGGAAGATTAGCAGTATCATTCCGAAATCAAGACGACAAGCACATTGATCTTCGACTGCTCCTGCAGTGCAGACTGCTTGCAAAGGAGGACAGCCAGTAAAGAGGTGCATAATGTCGATGGACGAATAAGTCATTTTGAGGGTTTCCCAACACAGAGGCGAGATCTGCCAGCTGATTGACTGGCATCGGCATCGGCCAACACTATCCTCGGCTTTGCCATATTGTCCACCCGCCAAAGCGTAGATTTCAATCCAAGCATACAACCTTCCTGGCACGCCTCCTTTCCGTCCGTATCAGTGTCCCTGCAAAGTGGTCGTGTCACGCTCCACCACACAGCCCAACGCAGCAGCCATCAGACCTCCCATCAATTCAACCGTCCCTATTCGTCTCATCCCCTTCATGGCCCAGCCTCGCTCTTCTTGTCCATCTTCAATAACTTCAAAATCTCACTGTCGTTGTCCCCGATGACGGCGCGCCCTTCGTTCCAATCCACCGTGACCGGCCGAATAAACAGACCTCCATCCTCTTTGACCTTTCTCAAGGCATCACTCTCGCTGGCCGCACCCTTGACCAGCTCCCCAGCCCTGCCACTGCCCACATACTCGAAGATACTCCGCAGTTGGTCAGGCGTCGGTGGCGCCTCTGTGACTTCCAGATCGAAGGGATCGGTGCGCGTGACGGTCGCGTTCTGATGGGAGTGGTCGGACGCCTGGTCTTCCGTGGCGCTCTGGGAGGCCTGCGCGGCGGCCTGCCTCAGGACGGTCTGGGCCCGGACACTGGCTTGGACGGAGGGTCTGTGGAAGAGGGTAATTACGTCGAGTGTTTTGCCCTGGCCAGCGATTAGTTTTACTCAAATGTGCGTGGGGGACCACAAGCTGCATACTGCGCGGAACATTTTGGACACAAAACCTTTCATAGGCTTGGGCTGCCACATCAGAAGGGAGGTATCGTCGGAGCCGGAGGAAAGGGAAGACTCCAAGGTTGATATATGCAAGTAAGTAATCAGTCCAGGCTACTTGCAGTAACAAGTCATTGGCACTGCTGGTAGTGCTTGCACGTAACTTGCTGCGCGAACGTCGATCGCCTGAAGCTCACGGCGATCAATCAGTCGCGGCACCAGCTGGGGGTCTCCAACTACGTCATTGGACACTACGTTCTCCGCTTCCAGTCACCTTCACCGCAGCTTCACCAGCTTGTGCGTTGTTGCTGGGCTTCAAATATTGGCCCTGGACGAAGGGAAGGACGCGTTGAGGATTCCCTACTGCGGTGGTGTGACTGCGTCGATGATTACTGTACCAGGCTTGTCGCCGGCCGTCTGGTCCACGCGATAAGCCCTTCCTTCGTTGAGGATTCTTCTAGACACAGCATCAAGCTACTTCTTCATTTTGGACTGCAGGATGCAGCGGAGCCTTGTCTGCTTTTCCGAGGAACCACTTTCATAGTCTTGTAGAGATATCATGACACAACTGTCTTCGAGTAATCCAGCTGGCGCGGACATGCGGCTTTGTAACCTGTAACACGGCGTCGTGCATCGTTCCTCGTCCAGGGACAGAATGCTGTTCAGGAACTGTATTCATTCACTGGCGCCGGGAATGCAAGATCAATACAACGAGATTGGTAGCGGTAGCGACGGCTGGACACCCAAGAGATCTACCGCGTAGTTGCGCCAGATGGTGTGTAAAATGCACAGTCAGAAACAATGTGACAATGTAGTTTGCTACCGCTGCTTCTATTCCGCAACTTGCCAGACGACTGACGCTGTTGAAATGCGTTTCCGGAGGGTCTGCCAGATCTCGGCGGATGGGGACCTGGAACCCCTGCCGATTGCAAAGAGCGAGCAGTAGATACCTGGTATTGCAAGACTCTACAGAAGTGCGAAGTTCGAGGCAAGAACGGATACGATGGACTGAAGTCTTGACATTCAACTGACAGGCGGAGCGTACCACGCTGGGCGCATTTCGTGTCCTCCTCGTACATGTACTGTAAATTAGAGCTTGAGCTCGACGAAGACCGAGCCTGACTGGCGTGATACTTTCCTGCGGTCACCCCTCTACGCTCCATCGAATGATGTCCACGCTCACAACTCATGCACCGCTGCGGCGACTTGCTTCTTTCTTGCTGCCAGGGACCGCCACGTGGTGTGAGCGACAATTGATTAGTCCCCTGCATGATGACTGCCCTAACATTACCCCGTAGATCAGATACTAAGCGAGAGACGTCCTGCCTTGACTTCTTCGTGGTGAAGTGATGAAGGATTGATCGAGTATCGCGGTTGACATTCCACCACCACTTCGAAAACGATACACTAATTAATCGTCTATGGCCACGCCACCACGATCATGGCCTCCGCTTCAAGGTCCTGCGATCATGATCATGCCAAAGTGCAGCGGGCAGGACTACTTGGCCTGCCACCAGAAGTACGACACGAAATCTACGGGCAGCTCTTCTGCCACAAGCCGTCGCCAATCACGTTGGGCGTCCAAGATTTCTTCACCAGATGGGCGTCGTTTCAACCATCGGCCGACGAGCCCCAGCAGGAGCCGACTTTCTACACCGCGATTTTCCGGGTGAACAAGGCCATTTCGCGCGATGCGCTACAGTACGCGTACTCGGCCAACTCGTTCCGGTTTGACAAGGACATCGCGACCTTCTCGAACCTCGGGACTATTGCGCTCGCGTCCATCAAGACTCTTCGCGTCTACAAGAACACGTGGCTGAACAGCTCCTACGCCACGACTTTTTGGCAAACCATCAACCACTACTGCTCGAGCCTCGAGCTTCTTATCGTCGAGGCGGCATCGCACGTCCTTCTGAGCGCAATGCCCTATTTGAAGGACTTCATGGCGTCAATTCCTGCTCGGCAGGCAAAGCCGAGGTTGATCTTGGATCTCACCGTGTTGGACAGGCATTTCTCTTTTGACTTTCCGGACCGCGAATATCAATCCGCGAGGCAAGATTTGGAGGGGAACATGGCAGACAGCAACGGCGCGAATTCGCCGAGACCACAATATACATATGTGATGAGGCTGCCAAGGCATGTCAAAGAGATTAGATTTGTACTCGACATGGGGCCCGGCGCGTTTCGGGCGTTAAAAGGGGCCCTTGAGGAAGCAACTGACCTGTTCTTCGTCAAATCCGACGATATTCCGCCAGTTGCTAGAGACGGCATTGAAGGTCGTGGGATACGCCACTGCTTCACCTGGCAGGAGACGGGTGTCTAGGTGCAAGAGCGCTAGAAATGAGATGCCTGACGACATGGAGATCCAGCATATCGACACAATGCCAACATGGCTGTGACTTGGATATGAACTGGAGAGGCAAGATCAAAACTCGAGGAACCACTACGTCTTGAAGCAGTAGGTGAATATTGCTGGGAACCGCCGGTGTAGATGATCCGGCTTCGTCGGCATTTGTCGTCGCTGAGAAGGGGTGTCGTCTTGGTGGCGAGCATGGCCGTGAAATGGATTTTCCATGCATGCTCGATCGATGTCTTGTTCCACCAACATATGGCATTTTCTTTTTGGAAGTTGCCGTCACAGGCAGGATGTGCATTGAGATTGGAAGGAGATGCCTCAAACGAGTCCTCAGTCGACACTTGTCACAAATGAGACCAGAAGTCAGGTGTCAGATCGACAGTGAAAGACAAGATTTCCAGCATATGAGATAGACCTGAATGGACCAAAAAACTCTCCTACCGTAAACAAAACGACGTCTACACGTATGACTACGCTAGATGTCAAAGTCTCTTAAGCCGGACAGGCAAACGGCTGAGACATGATGAGAGGTCTAAACAAGGCTGTAGGTGGCGCCTAGGTAACCAGGATTTTGCGCCTCGTCGGCACATCTAGCATGATCGAATGAGATCGGGAATGGGGACCCAGGTGAGTTGAAGGAAAGGGGGGCGTTTCAGCCCAAAAGCCGTGTCCGATTTCAGCCTCCAGGCCATCGGCGGCCATAAGATTTAGGTCAGAGCGCAATCACGACTTCATGCTTGTGAAGTCGAGTCTCAGTTCCAACCTCAGGCCCTTGTGGCAATGGGCAAAAGTCGTTCTGTCGACGGGTGTCGATTGATGGCCGGTGTCTGTGCGGAAGAGATACAGTACTTCGCGAGGTCGCCGTAGTGACATACAGTCACCTTCTACCCGACTCCTGAATTGCTCGGACAGGTTAGGAAAGCATGGAATTACCCAAACCGATGGCCCGACAGGGATGACAGGAAACGCCGCGATCTGTTATAATAGAACCAGCGGATCGGCGCTTTGACATTCCCATGTGCGACGTTGAGCTGCGCTTGACCTTTCCATCCGACGCTTGACAATCTGAGGTTCGTCCGTCCGCATGTAGATACCCGAAACGTAAGTTGAGAGGCAACCCCTCAGCCTTGCCGAAAAAAGCCGAGATTACTGGTGTCCAGAAGAGGATGATTTTCACGTCAGCCCTGGGCGATCCGGCGTGTCGAGACAGATGAGGCTCACAAACGGCCAATTAGTCTCGCACTATTATTCCGTACCATCGAGCAAGTTCGACTTCGGGGTCCAGATAGAGACAGAAGAAGAAAAGAACAAGACGCGTGCCGGTCAGGCCACTCCCCTTTGTGCATGAGTACATACGAAGTCCTCGGCGCAAAGGCATGCATGTTTGAAGGCCTGTTCGTCGTTGGCAAAAGGCCACAGACCGGTTGACACAATCTCCGACACAGGGTCTGATACGAGGTGTGGGCTATTTCTCGAGGAGGCTGAAGGTCTGCAGCGTTTCAAGGCAACGTGAGAACGGTAGGCCATCAGATTTCTGAGCGCGAAACGTCGGTAAGGCTGGCTAAGATGGAGAATAATAAGGGGAGGCGTGCAGGCGTGCGTTCGGATGCTGCAGGAGGGCCGCCCGTCGAGCGACCAATCGCGCACTCATGAGCCCAATGAGCCTTCCGGAGCGGAGCAGCGCCAAAGAAAAGGCCCGGGCGCCAGCTGTCAGCCCCAGGCGCGGGAAAACGCGATCTGCAGGGGCAGCGTGGGCGATGCTTTGACCAAGCGTGGTGCTTCGCCTAGGGACGCCGGCTATTGGCCACCCCCTTAGCCTGTGTTTCTTCCGCCTGCCCCTTCCTCTCAATGAGTGTCGGCACACACCCAGCAGAGCCTGGGCATCGCTCTTTGCCACGTGACAAACCCAAGGCTGAAATTGCTCTGGTAACAGCGCACCCACAGCGAGGCATTCATGTTTGACGTAAAGCGCTGACTGAGGTCAGTCGAAAAAACGAATCGCATGGGATGTTAGGCCACGCGTTAACCAAGACACCCCGAAACAAGGTGACGATGATCAACTTCAGGTACCAGCTGTGTCGTGGGACTGAGTAACTCGTACGAGTACTGTGCACTCGGCTTCTGCAACGACTTCTGCAGGTAAGCGATGGGCAGAGCAACGTCGATCACCAGGAGAAAATAATTGGAGTCATCGTATGGAGTTCTGGCTGTGAAGTCAATAATGAGCCCGAGGCTGCCTACGATCCGCACACGGGTCTCCACGCACCCAGAAGTGCTTCTCAGCTGAGCGGTGCAGGCACACACAGTGCATAGGTACTCGCTGAAAGAGCGGAAGCATGACCTTGTCTCATGGGTAGTCATACGAGGTAGATGTTTCCCCGTTATTTGACATGTCTCCTGCGGCCTCATCCTTGCTTCGAAAGCGTGGCAGCCTCAAGGCGCTGCACCGATCGGACTAAAGCCGTCAGGAAGAAGGATATCGATTCACGGTGGCGGTTTCTGCAGCACATCTTGGCTGGCTGAACCCCAGGAAGACCACCATGCTAGGTAGAGTCGGGTTGGCCTCAGGTGGAATGGATTCGGCGTGCAGGAGAACAAGCAAACGCCCAACAGGTGTGGAGCCCCCACCCGAAGCGTCTGCATGCTCGGGAGCAGATGCTGACGTTCGAGCAAATAAGGTGGCAGCCACATGGCTCTGGAGATTGCTTTGATCGGGCTCAAGTCGCTTAAAGGAGGGCGACCAAATAGGAGAATCCGCTAGGGCGCTGTGTGGCAAGACTTAGCCCGAAAGCTAAATGGCGGTGCTTTCTTTCCAGGATACTGTATACGAGTCGTCCAGAGTGGGGTTGCGAAAGGTCACTGCGCTGGGACTAAGCTGCCTGACACAGCAACAAAGTGTGGTTTGCCCCAGGGTATCGGAAGCCCCTGCTTCTCTTTTCATGTCAAGTACGCAGTCCTCCGTACTTGCCGCCCATAGATTAATGAGGCTCTGAACTTGTCCAGCGAAGAGCGGGGACTGAAAATGTATGGCCTCTGCGAAAGCGCAGCAGAATGTTGGCTGCGTAAGTAGCGGAACAAGCGTCAGTATCACTAGCAGCGACAGTAGCAGGCTACTGTGTATCAGAACTGAACCTCGGATGGGGACGACGCTGACGGATAGCTTTTGGTGGTGACTATGCCGGAAAGGATCCGACGCGATGGCTAATGTCCTTTGACTTTGCTCGTGGTCGCGATGGGCCCACTCGAAACGCTTTGATCACTATGCAGTCCATGTGAGTGGGGAGTGATGTTCTAGTGCCAACAACGATCAAGATTTATTCCTTTTGCCTGTCTCGTCTGTCCCTCTCCAGACTGGGTCTAGTCGGACACACAACGAAGGGACATGAGATCGATAAGCAGACTAGCTCCCTGGCATCTCGCCTATATTCCCTGCTAAATCGTCGTGGTGCGGGCTACTGTAGGGTGATACCCTGGAGGCCTTCATGGTTATTTACCGCCTGAAGTATACTTGGTACAGCGCGCTTTGTGTGCTGGGTATACTCGAGGATCCAAACATGGGCAGTACGTACTGCGTATGACAAAAGACCGGGGCCAGGGTGTCTGAACGACTGCGTGCAACACACAGTAGAGGTACTCATTCGACCCCAAGGTCGAGAATGGTGGGCACCAAATGAACGCCGAACACGGGTCAATATTGCAGGGGAAGTCGGGGTCTGGAGATTGAGAAAGACTGCTACTGTAAGCATTCGTGACTGAACATGGTTGGTCACCCAATCAACGGTAAGCAAAGCAGGTTGCATGCACGGATCAGGACATCGACACACTAGAAATGCACACGATCTGAAGATACACGGAATCATGGGTGACTGTGACCGTGATTTCTCTGAGTCGCTGAATGCTAGTATTGGGGTAAGTGCGGACGGGCGCATATCCCATTGTGGCAGGTGGCCATTCTGGAGTGAGGTGCAAGTGAGGTGCAAGTGAGCTGATGCTGAGGATGAAAAGTATCACTTGGAGTCGAGAGACACAACTACCTGACTGTACCGGGTAGTGTGGGATCAAAGTATTCGCGACCATAGATCCACACTTTCTCTTGTGCCTTTTTCTATACTGTGAACATTCTCTTTTCTTTGTGCCTGTCTTGTGCCTCAGTCACAGGACGTGCCCGTAATACGTGACAAGTCCCAGAAAGACAATTCCTACCGGAGGGGGCAACTGGCACGGCTGGCAAAGTTTCTCACTATTCTGTGGTCAACTTCGAAATAAATCATTGTCGTGGACCAGCTGCCAGTGTCTACGGGACTCGCGATCCCCAGCGCTTGACACCACTCCACCAACAGCGCTCCTAGTAGCCAGTTGCCAGTAGTGTATCTTGTTCCCGTCGCAAATGGGTCCAAGCTTGTTCCAGCATAGTCGGGCCTCAGCATCCAATTTCTTGCAGTCCCTTTTCGGCGTCGAACTCTAGCCCCAGCGCTCGGTCCAGACTGCTTTTTCTTCATCGGCGGAATCTGAGACACCAACCGACCAGGTCCCCTGTCGACATATGGACTATTTGGTCATGGTGAAAAACTGGTCGGAGGCAGTTCGCTCGGTCCCCCTGCCTGCGCTCCCAAGTTAGCCATTTCCGTGGCCGCCCACCTCCCATCCCTGGAACTCTCGAGTCTCCATCTCATGCATGTTGAGACGGGTGTGACTCCACCATCCACACCACCGCATCCTCGCAATCAGCAATCAGCGTGTGCCAGTGTTGTTCACAGTCACGCCTATCCCTTTCAGAGTTTACGGCCTCGCGTCAACCCCAACCCAGAGCCCGTCAAGCCTGCAGCCGACAGTCAAGTGCTATCGCGCCCATGCCCATCACATCCTAGCACCTCCTGTCTCCGATGTCCATTTTCGACCAACACTCCTCTTTTTAGGCGAAGCAGGCGACAGGCCCGTCCAGCCAGCCGGCCGCCAGCTGCCCGCTAAGAGCGCCATGTGCTGCCCCGACCAAAAGGATCGCGACACTGGTACTCTGAGAATCTTTGAAATCGTCTCGCAACCGCTCTTTTCGCAGCCTGATGTGAAATCTTCCCCAATTTCTCCATCTGCGCGAGTGACCTCTGCCTCGAGGGCTGCTGACGAGCCTGAAAACGACGTCCTCTGCACTTTTATCGCACAAGCCCGTCATTGATCAGCACGGATATAGCAATCTGAGTCGGTGCAGATCTCTTTGCCCGATCATCGACAGGAGGAAAGCCGATTGAGACAGCAGCCCCACGGCCACTGAGAAGCCCCGAAAAACCACCCAGTCCCAGTCAGAAACTGATCTTCATTCAATATCGATCCACCTCCGACACGGTCTCGCTTCGCATCAGATCTTGCTGTAGAAGATACATTTTTGGAGATACATTTCAAAGGAGTCCACACTCTTGAGCAGCAATATTGTATAGCCTGAAGACCAGACGCGCGAGCATTTCCAACCGTAAGAGCCGCAAAGTCACCGGAAGTCACGGGGTGCGAACCAATACTCCGCGAACCACAACAACAATCGTTCTCGACAAGAAAGCGCTTGCTGAAGCCCTCGCTCAACCCTCACAGTCGGGATTTGTCCATTTTTATCCAGTCACCACAGGCGGTCACGCACTGAACACTCCCACACAGTCACTCTGGCGTCAGTAGCAATTCCCCTTCCAATGGGGACTTCCCTTGATGGCCTCAATGCACCTTCCGGCTTGAGCCAGCGCAGGCAAGCCACGTTCAACCTTGAACTTCCACCTCCGACAGCTCTGCAATTCAATCCCTTGATATCAAGCCAGAAATTTCTTCCTCTTTCCAGTATCAACACATCACATCCTGGACCTCCGCCGGTCAGCGTGGGCCAGCTCCTGACACCTCCGTCCAACTCAGCCTCTGAGTCAGGCGCTGTCTCGTCTTCCATCCCTACCGGAACCACTCCGAACAGTGCAGCAGTGCCAGTCTTGCCTTACACGCCGACGTTATTTGGAACAGGCACCACACCGACCGGGTATCATACAGGGTTTACGCCACCTTCCTGGCAAAATGGTCCGCTTGTCCCGGCACGATCGATGTTTTCGCCGATGACAGGTGCACCACTCAGGACCAGTACAAGCTCTCCCACTGCTGGGGAAGCCTCAGCGTTGCCTCCGCCGCCCTACGACATGCATGCAGTTCAGCCCTATGGTGGCCCCTTGCAGCTTTCCCCTCCTACGAGTGCCACCCACCCAAACGGCCAGCATAACATCATACCGCCATTGCAGCAGGGGGTCCGACCGCCCAGTCAGCAATCACCTATAACACCAGGTGATGTGAGCAGGCCGGCTTCAAACCCTACGCTGTACACGACCATACCTACAACGGCGCATCCACACCACCCAGGCTACCATTATGCATCGACTCCAGTATCGCAAAGCCCTCATCCCCATTCGCTATCCGCACCTCGTGCCTCCCCGACTCTTCATCACGGGCAGGGGCCTACTCAACCTCCCTTCCTCCGGCCCCCGCCGCCCTCGTACTCGTTGCCGGGGATGCCAGGACCCGTAATGTCAAATGTGCATAGTCCTGGCGCCCAAATGACCATGCTGGGCAACATGCAAACCAATATGTTGCCTATGTCATTCAACAGTGGTTATGCCGCAAACCCCCAAGCTATTTACGGCCAGCCACGTACAAACACCCCTCATCAGCAGCCGACACACGATCGGCCGTTCAAGTGCGATCAATGTCCCCAAAGCTTCAACCGCAATCATGACCTGAAACGTCACAAAAGGATCCACCTTGCTGTGAAGCCATTCCCATGCAATCATTGCGACAAGAGCTTTTCTCGCAAGGACGCGCTCAAGGTAAGTCCAGGCCGTTGGTTTTGTCCTGGAGGTATACTGACTTTCGTTACAGCGGCACATCCTCGTCAAGGGATGCGGTAATGGGAACCCGGCGGAATCAACGAGGGAGGATAATGTCAAATCCGAATCCGGAAGCGATGGTCTTAACGACAGTCCTACAGCTGCACCAGCAGCGTGATTTAAAAGCATTTTGTTTACACTAATTCAGCCCTGCTTTCTTCTCTGATCAGCGATTGTACAATACTGCGGCGGCGCACTGTCCTTATAGGGTTTCGCTTCTACTCGACTTATGACTTGATGGTTGGCGGCCTCCAGCGACAGGGGGAACGAGATGGATAAACTTTGACGGATTCTATTGCTAGGAATGTGCATTCTGAGATACCACTTTGTTCAGATACCCATTGGCGGGGCATGGCATCACAGGACTATGATGATAGTGGTTATGACAGGGCGCTGGATACTGAGATGGCAGACTCGGAGGCCAGGATGAGCGTTCTCGAAATTTTCCATCGATTTATACAGCCTTAATGAAGGAGTTGCTTGCTCTTCGATACTCGGGGTGACTTCGAATTCGGCGCTCAGCCCGCAGCAGTCAACAGAGCCACTCTCGCAGCAGTAGTGTGATCCGCAAGTCGGGGACAAGCGGCAAGAGTTGTTGATCTACTCCGTGAGCTGCACTACAAAGGGATATGACTACGTACAAGGATGATGTCCCAAGGAAGTTTGCCTCGCGAGAAGATCCCTGCAGCCATGCGACGGTGGCTTGAATCGGGCTTGAAGATGGCGTCAGCCTCGCTTGCGGATGAGGCGTGGGTGAGGCGCACGGATGTGGTGGGATGTTGCAGCCACGCAGCTTGCCTCGGCACCAGCCAAGAAAACAGCGGGGTAAATGGATCACGTGGGCACGTTGGAATGGGAAAAAATGCACCGAAGACAGTGGCTTGCGCCTTGTCGTAAACACCCGCCTGTCAGGTAGCAATTTTGCGTCTTTCCCTTCTCCCTGCATTTCGGGCCCTACTTCCAGGCGCCACGTCTCCTCCCTCATGTTCTCTTGACACACCCTCGATGGCAGCCTGCGCCAGTTGCATCCCCTCTCGGCAAACCTCTTGGAACCTTCTGCGACCATGCTGTCGAGTCAAGCAAAAGAGCATTGTAGTACACTTTGGGAACAGCGTTTGAGGGCGCAAGACTCAAACAGCATTGTCATACCCAGATCGGTCTGTGCGTCTCTCCTCCTTTCTGTCCTCTGAATAGACTGGTGCTGGTGCATGATCTATGCAGGTCGCGATGATGGGTTGCTTCCATGAAGCCGACCATAATCCGTTGCAGTAGGGAGCCAGTTCACACTACCACCTACATTTTCTCACCCAAAATGCTGGGCGACCAAATCGAGGCATCTCGTATCACGGCAAATTGAGCAGTCGTGGTGGTGGTGGCTTTCTGCGGAAGACAGTGCTTTGTCACTTCTGGCGGTATTCAATACGCGCCTTCCGTGCGCCACTTGTAGCATGTACGTAGCACGTACGTACTGCTGCCAAGTTGGCAGCTTGAAGCTCGCTACAACATCCACTTCTCCTACAGGCGCCAACCATGCAGCCACATGAACCCCGGCGCCGCTCCCATCTCTCATTGACCGATCGCCGTCTCACGGCCCACATGAAATCTCCAGATCGATCGTCATACACAGATCTCGCCAGACGCCATTTTCGCTTCCGTCTCCCTGCACACATATCGGCACCGCGATGATGCTTGCTTGACCACGCTACTGTCATGCTCGATGTCAACGTCGGACGTCTAACCAACCCGTCTGTTCGGTCTTCAGGCACCAACCGGATTAGGCCCATCATTCGAGCTAGGCGAAGGTTATTCCAGATCTTACACGATCTGGGCCAGAGTTCGAATGATGTCGTGCAAAGGATCAGTACCACCGGGACCACATCTGGCTCACTTATTGGTCCAATGCTGATCGTGATGCAGTCGGAAACGGACATCGTACCTTTGTTGCATCTGCGACACGCACAGACCCCAGATCCTTCTCCGAGAGAGCTACTTGGATGCTACCTCTACATGATGTAGCTATCCATGATCGCTGACTCGCCGCCGACCCTCCAATCCTCTCAATCAGTGAATAATCAGACAATTTGACCTTCGGGGTGGGTGGCGCTTGCAGCCTGCTGCCAGCCCCGGTGTTTTGGTTTAATTCAATATTTTGTTTAAAGGCCACGGGAAAGTCTCCAAGGAGTTCCCTTTAATGGGGAACAGCTTGACCTGGATAACGCGATCTACATTGCAGGAGCAGTGCAACCCATCAGACAGGCACAACTGGCCGCCTTTCGAACTTCCAACCTGTTTTGGCCCCACCCTCCTACCACAGGTTTGCTTCTGCAGCCGGAAAGGCCATCAGTCTCGTCGCCAGAGCGATGACAGCGCAACGCGTGCTCATCTACTTGTTACGGCGAGACCTACGACTCGTCGACAATCCAGTCTTTCATGAAATCCACAAGCTATCGCAACAGCCCCAGTGTCCCTTCAGCCATGTCTTGCCACTTTACATTTTCCCAGCTCAGCAGATAGAGGTGTCGGGGTTTCTCGCCGATCCGGACTCAAAGTCGCCATACCCAGAGGCCCGTTCAGAGGTCGGCAGATTCTGGCGATGTGGTCCGCACAGAGTGAAGTTCCTTGCAGAGTCCGTTTGGGATATGAAGCTGCAGCTTGAGAAGGCAGGAAGCGGCCTCCTTATCCGAGTTGGTCTGCTTGGGCAAGTCGTAGAAGACCTGTTGCGGCAATTCCAACAGGCAGAGGAAGAAATCTCGGTGGCAGGAGTCTGGATGACCGAGGAGGAAGGTGTCGAGGAAAAAAGGGACGAACGTAATGTGAGAAACGCAGCCGAGAAGTTTGGGGTTAATTTTAGGCTGTGGCTGGACGAGAAGTATTTCATTGATGAGTATGCGACGGCGACGAACTGCATGTTGTGAGGCTAACGACTCCGCAGCCGCGACCTTCCCTTTGATAAACCTACAGATCTCCCGGACATCTTTACAAGTTACCGAAAATCAGTGGAACCGTTGAGGGATGCGCCACGGAAGCCTGTGCCGAAGCCGTCATCACTGCCGCGATTGCCATCTCCTGTTCCCGCAACGACACAGCCCTTCTCGATTCCTGCGACGTACGAGGGGCTGGAGTCGGCACTGATGAAGCCTCTCAAAGACAACCCTCCGCTTCCGAAGCCGCCATCTTTCCCAACCTCAGGAGTCAAAACTGCTCACCCCTACCAAGGAGGTACGTCTGGCGGGCTGAGACGCGTACAGTCGCTGATCGGGTCGGGCGCTATGACCAGATACAAAGACACCCGCAATGGCTTGCTTGGGACAGACTTCTCCACCAAGCTCTCGGCGTGGCTCGCACTGGGATGCATCACCGCCCGCCAGGTACACTTTCAACTTCTCGACTTCGAGGACGGGCGAGATGATCAGTACAAAGGTACCGAAGGGTACGGCAAAGGCGAGAACAAGGGTACCGCCGCTGTTCGCTTTGAGCTCTTGTGGCGAGACTATATGAGGCTGTGTGCCCGGAAATTCGGCCCTCGCCTGTTCCGGCTGGAAGGGTTCCGGAACGATACGTCTTACCCGTGGAAGACGCCAGGTACCAAAGGAAGTGGTCCCGAGGTGGCGACGATGCTCGAGCGATTTCTGCGGGGCACGACGGGGACATCTCTGATCGATGCGAGTCAGCGCGAACTCTTCCTCACGGGATACACCAGCAACCGAGCACGACAGAATGTGGCAAGCTACCTGGCCAAGCATCTGGGCGTGAACTGGAAGCTAGGGGCTGAATGGTACGAATGCATGCTGACTGACTACGACGTCAGTTCCAATTGGGGCAACTGGCAATATGTCGCTGGAGTGGGCAACGACCCACGGGGGGAGGCGAGAGTATTCAATCCGGTCAAGCAATGTTGTGACTATGATCCCCAGGGCGAATACTGCAAGGCGTGGGTCGAGGAGCTGCGCGGCCTTGACGATCCGCAGGAGATTTTCCAGCCGTGGAAAGTCAGCAAAGCAAGCAGGGCCGAGCTGGGACTTGCGGGCCTCGAGTCGGTTGAGTATTCGTTGAAGAGGATCGACTTTAAAGTCGGTGGGAAGGGCAGAGGCGGTAATGGAGGTGTTCGTAACGGAGGCAGTAGCAGAGGGAAGGCTAATGGAGGTGGAGAAGGCGGACGAGGGCGAGGAGGAGGTAGCTTCGGTACGAGAGGCGCATATCGAGGACAGGGCAAAGGCAATCGACGTGGTGGGTTTGGTCGTCAGGGTATTATGGACAAAGCTGCTGGTCAAGTAGCGGCCAATGGACAGTCGCATTGAGCCAAAGAAGCTTGCATTGCAGCACACGTGCGATTCTGACTAGACCTCTAGTACGGAGTACGTACTCTCGACATTTGACGACAGCGGCGGCCACTATAGTGTGTGCTGTGTGTGAGTCCGCTGAGATCCTCCATCCTCACACTACCATAATTAAGCCGGCCGCTGCAGAAGGAACGATGATGGTGGAGGATTCAAATGGTAGCTGCCTACCACAGTAGATCTTGGCTCAGGCGCCCCGGTCAAGCAACTCGTTCATCTCCCGAACCTCTCTCAAACGTTGCATCTTAGGCCGTCCATTTCCGGAGCACGGTCTGGAATACCTCGTATGGAGCACTTGTTGAGCCCTGCGCTGCTCCGCCGAGCAAGGCCTGAATGTTCACGCGGATCGCCCCCACCCTCCCTCCGTGTCAGGCAGTCGGTGGGCAGCTCGGGGCAAGAATCCCTCAGCAATTGGTCTGAGCAGTGTTCTCATGTGTGCAAGCGAGATCAGAAATGCCTGGGCAGCGGACGCGCAGAACAGGTGAGAAGGAACAACCAAGAGCCCGTCGGAGGAATGACCTAAGTTGTGCACGGGTCAGCATGTGCGAAAGAGGCAGCGGGAATACTGTCGGATTGCTGACACAGACGGATGGTCCGCTAAACGACGGGGAGGGAGCGACGATAGTTGACGCCGAAGCGAGGGTACTGTAAGGGCCTTGCGTCTCATTCTCCGCGCGCTGTAACCCTGATTCGACGCGAGAGATTGTCTGCCCTGTTCGTATCGCATACGAGATACATACGAAGTACCCCCGTACTGCCATACAAAAATGCCTCGGCATCTTCAGGTGGCACAGAGTGCATAAAGCGTCTATGCACATGGTGAAAGCTTCGATGAGTGCACTGTCATTGGGCGGATTGCTGGCTGTCCAGGAATCCTTCCCGCCATGCCTCCACTGCGTGGAAGAACAGGCAGATGACAAAAGAACATGGCCGGATTCGAGGTGATGCCGCGTGCTAGTGATGCATGGCCGGTGGCTTTTAGACTGGCCATCTCGGATTCCCCGACAGCGCAGTTGCGGCCGCAAGGGATCTCTGTCACATACTACTACATATTAAACACGCTCGACGTCCATCGTGTCAGCTATCTACACGTAGGTACATATATGGTCGATCACCTCGTTGCTGCAGCTGAGAGCACCCTCGGCTGCGACTGCCTGTTACCACCGTCCGAGGTGTCTGAACACGGCCGGCTCGAGCTTTGGTTACGCGACCCCGCCAGGCCTCCAACAACAACACAGTTTCATTCGAGTCCTCTGGATTTGACACACGACAACTACTCGTAGCACGCTGTCGACTTTGGAGGCCAGATATCGGCCGGGAGCTGCTCGATCGAAATCTTCACAGGCCAGGTAGCGTCAAGACTGCCCGAACACCAACCATGGCAGCCATGTCGATTCCTCACGTTCCCATCCCGGTCATCTTGATCGCCCTTGTCGCTATCTTTGCCATCCAGCGAATCTACTATGAAATGACCACTGGTGCTCGGAGGCGCCAGATGATCAAGGACAATGGGTGCGAGGAAATCCCATGGTACCCCCACAAGGGCATCTTGGGCAAACTGTACGGCCTAGATCGGATCAAGGATATGGTCGCGGCGGCCAAAGAAGGGCGGATGCACGAAGCCAACCGGATCAGAAACTTTGGAGACGGCAAAAAGACGCTCAGGCTTAGGCTAGCAAGGAGTAATGGTCAGTAATTGCACTTCATCCGTTTTGCGTTGCCGGCGTGACACCGTCACTGACCCGGTGTGCAGTCATCTCGACGATCGAACCCGAGAACGTCAAGACGATCTTGTCCACCAAATTCCAGGACTTTTCTCTGGGCGAGAGGCGAAAGGAGGTGTTCCTGCCTATCTTCGGCCATGGGATCTTTGCAAATGACGGCGCTGCTTGGGAAAGGTCGCGCGCCATGGTGCGGCCCAACTTCACCCGTCAACAGGTGGCAGATCTGGACATGTTCGAAGCGCACATGTCTCATCTGATCGACTCGATTCCCCGAGATGGCTCGACCGTGGATTTGCAAGATTTGTTCTTCGGCTTGACGATGGACTCCGCCACAGAGTTCCTGTTCGGCAAATCGACAAACACTCTTGCATCGGGCCTGGAGACCAAGTCGGCAAATGAATTCGTCAAGGCGTTCGTATACGTCACTGAAGGTGCGTTGCCCCTGTTTGCCACGTGGTGTGCTGTTCGCTTCACCGGCTGACGGATGGACTCTACAGCCTGTGCAAAGGACTTCCGCTCTGGCGGTCTCGCCAAGTTGATCCCCGACGCGAAGTGGCGGAAGAGTGTCAAGATCATGCACAACTTCGCGGACGAGATCATCCAACAGGCCATTGAGGAGCTGAGGAGCGGCAAGAAGGACCCGAACGGTCGATATGTCTTCCTGCACGCCCTGCTCAGGCAAACACAGGACCCCTATGCGCTGCGCTCCGAATTGCTCAACATTCTCCTGGCAGGCCGTGACACCACGGCCGGGTTGTTGTCCAATACGTGGCACGTCCTGTCCAAGCGGCCGGACGTGTGGGCCAAGTTGAAAGCCGAGGTCGAGCAACTGGGCGGTGAAAAGCCCGACTACACGACGATCAAGGAGATGAAGTACCTGAAGTGGACGCTCAACGAATCACTCCGCCTCATGCCCGTCGTGCCTGCCAATAGTCGTGAGGCCATCCGCGACACGATCTTACCCCTGGGGGGCGGCGCGGACGGCAAAGCGCCTGCTCTTGTAAGAAAAGGAGATGTAGTAGGGTACTCACCGTGGTCGAGTAAGTTTCTGCCCTCCCCCCTTCTTTGTGCCTCGTCACCACGACGCTGACGCTAACGATCAACCACAGTGCACCGCCGCGAAGACTTCTACGGACCCGACGCGTTGGAGTTCAAGCCCGAGAGATGGGAGCACTTGCGGCCAGGGTGGGAATACCTGCCCTTCAACGGCGGGCCGCGGATCTGCGTGGGCCAGCAATACGCCCTGATGGAGGCCTCGTATGCCACGATCCGACTGATCCAGACATTCCCGCGGATCGAGAGTCGAGACACCGAGGAGTGGCGCGAATGGATGACCATTACGCTTGCGAGCGGGACGGGGGTCAAGGTCGCGCTTTTCGAAAAATGATGGTGGCCGTGTGCGCGCGACGTTGCCTGGCTTTCATCTTCACCTGGTCACGATGTCATGACACCGAATGGTACTGTGAAGTGTATCTCCTAGGTATTGTAATTCTAGAAATCCCCCGCAGTACTCCATTGCTCCTTGCGCTTTCTCATCCCTGTCGCGTAGGCTGACGTTGTGCTTGACTTGACGCGATCGAGGCGAGGGAAAAGCGCAACTACATCAACCTAGTAGGCGAGTGTTGTGCTAATTAGTAGGCAATATGCTGGCTGGGGTAGAACTCCTCAGCGGCGGCATTCGTACTCGGGTAGCAATGCACAGGGCAAGCATGCCATGAAAGACGGGCGTGGCCAGCCAAGCGCGAGGCAATCCAAAGTCACACTTCCCAGGACTCAGACCTCGGGGCAAGACTGACTGGAGGTGAAGATGGAGAGGAACCATTGAAGGACTTGAAGGAGGATACTCGGTAGCGCATCACGGGACTCGGTGTCTGCTGGGGCGTCTCTAATGCGTCGTTGGTCAAACGCTGCACGAGGGGCATAGATACTAGGGAGACACTCTCCCCGTCCAGACCCTGAGCCTTCCGTGCGCCATCGTACATGTACCTACGGTAGATACTGTACACGCGATAGGCGAGAGTTCTCTATTCCGACACATGTGGACATGTCGACTCGGAGTAGGAAGTCTGCCTCGTGTCAGTCACAGTACCCCTTACCCCGGAATCCTCCTGCCCCGTGCCTGCGTGTCCGGGCGTGATTGAGTTTATTAGTTTCGTGGCGTGCATGGCTTGCATCTTTACAGTAGCCGTCTGGATTTTGCGGGGGTCAAGCCGTGGTTTTGACTGCAAACGTGCAGCCTGCGTGAGCGTTGAGCGAGCAAAGCATGGCACCCACATGCCAATCCCTCTGTGTTCTGGTGGAGCGTTCCAGCATGGCGGCACCTACCTACCTGCCACCGAGGCATCCATCCGTGGATTTTGCAGAAGCTACGAGTACGAGTACTGAAATATTGTACCCTGGGTCCAGTAATTAGCGAGTCTCGCGACTATGCGCACCACCCGTAACTAGGTGCGTTTTCTCCGGGGCCTACCTCGTACAGTAACGATGATGAGGATGATTCCCCAATCCCCACCCTATGGACCTGGCCAGCCCCTCCCGCCCCCCTTTTTGTGGCTTACCACCCACTCACGGTGAACTCACCACCAGCTCCATTTAGCGAGGTCCCGCCTGGGTAAATGCCCGTCAGAGCCAGACCGAGAGCCAGACCGGCAGAGGGTGACACTCCAGTGGTGTGGTAACTCGGTGCCCAGCGCGCCCAGCTTTAGTGACAACGGCGGACTCGATGGCCGCTGACCCGCCCTACGCCTGACGCCCCGGGGCATGGGTTTACCGGCGATCTTACGGAGTACGTTCTGCCCATGTCCAACATCGGCTCTAAATGGTCAAAGGATGGTTGGGTTTTCCCGAGGCCATTCGCTAGCGACAGCTCCTGAGCGCAGCTGAATTGCCGTTGTGCACACAGCACGGGGTACCCTTAGTTCTGGGGCACATTTCCTGCCTTGCCAGTCATTTTCTGCTTCATCTTCGCTCGCTGTCGCTGTCGCCGCTGTGGACAAAATAATTTTCTCACTTTGCATCGAAGCTCTTTGGTTGGTGTGGAGAATCTGCGATCCTACGGACACCCACCTGTAAAGCCCTTGTCGACCACAGCGTCGCTCCACAAATCTAACCAGGCCACCGGCCACGTTCGACGTCCAGGTTCTACGAGGCTGGTGCTTGACCGGCCCCGTTGAACAACAAGACGGAATCGACGTGGGACAGGCCACCACTCCCTTCTCTCCTCTCTTCCTCCCCAGAACAAGCACTCACCGCCACCTGGAAGCGTCGCCATCGCTCGAGCTCGATCTCGTCCCTCGCGCCGGAGCTCCCGTTCAGCGCCTCGACGAGATGACGGAGTTGCGCTAGGAGCTGAGGATCGGTATGGCTCCTCGATTCGACCTGCAGCGGCGAAATGAAACCCCCGAGGATGGCAACTGGCGCATGCTTGCCTCGGACGAGGATTTCATCCTGGAAGGCTGGTCCGAGGGGTTTATGGTCGGCGCGCTCGTCATCATGGCTTGCATCACCATTGCCAACATGAGGAGGAAAGTCCTTTTACACAAGTTGATTCTGGTCGAGGTAAGTCGAACTGCGCGCGCGGGGGTTAAGGGATGCCCGCGGGAAAGGCTTCTGGAACAAGTACATATCATATGTGAGGCTGACACATCCATTCCCTCCAGCAACTTGCAGCGCTGTCACATGGTAAGAGTGGCCGAGCATGGACGGCAGTGCCTTTGAGACATGCGCACTGTAGAGTAGCGTGACGTGCTAACTGCTTAGTAGGAACGTTCTGCTTCTTCGGCTTCAAGGGCTACGGCTGGTATCTGTCGTCGACGGCCATGTTCTTGTACTTGTCGTGGATTATTCACAACATTGTGGCGTGGATGAAGATCAAGCCCTTCTTCATGGACTCGAGAAGCATGTTCAAGCCTGACACGGGCAAATGGGTGCGCAGGATCTACTTGGGGACGTTGGCTTTGACGGTGCCGTTCATCTGCTGGCAGATCGCCAACAATTTTCGATTCTTCAACAACATCAACGACTACTATGTCAGCGTCCGTCCATATGAGCCCCTAATGAGGGATCCGTGGTGGGTGTTTACCTGCCTGACACTATTTCATGTGATCAATTCCGTCTACGGCACTGGCGTCTTCGAGCTGATCAAACGCTCACCGCGGTTCGCGATCTTGTTGATCGCCATCTGTTTGGCGTTGATTTTCACGGCCGTGGACATTGCCGCAAGTATCCATAACTTCACCGGCAGCACCGATGGGTATGTTGCAATCTATCCTCGACCAGCCCCGTGACTGACAGGGCGCTAGCATCAATCCTTGGTGGAAGATCAGTCTCGTGTTCAAGTGCCTGACAGATACAATCATGCTCGACGATTTCAAGACCGAACTCAAACGCCTCAACGTGAAGCGCATGAGGAAGGAAGAACTGAGGAGGCAAACCTTTTCTCTTGTCGACGACCTGACCGACCCCAAGTACGGCGACGACGATCAGATGGAGTTTACTGACGCGCTGCGAACCAATTCCCTTCGATTTCAGACGGTGCACAATCTGGACAACAGTCCAGGCCATAGCCCGATGGGCCGTCCGAGGCAGGATTCGGTCGCCGACTCGCAGACGAATGAGAAGGAATCGATCGGTAAAGCGGGCAAGAAGATCTCCAAACTGCCGGCTTTCAAGGACTTCGCCTTCGCCTCGGGAGGTCGGAAGAAAGGCAGAGTCCAAGATTCTGAGAGGGACGCGCGAACCGAAGGCCCTCGCCCTCCCACGCCACCGCAAGCATCGGATCGACTGGCAGACATGCGACGGAGCCTTGGCGTCATTGACTACCATACTAACTGAACGACGAGGATGTTTTGCACGCGTCGGCGAGCCTTACCCCAGTTCTTATGTGCTCACGAAGTCACGACCTTATGTCCTGTACCATCAGAGTGTTCGCGGAAAAAAAGCAGGCGGCCTGTATTGTTTTAGCTAGGCGCCATGGCGATTTTGAGTTCGTCTCGCTTTGCGCTGTTGGGATTTTGCATCTTGCACACTGCCATACCTCAGGGGTTGAGCCACTGCGGCCACGATGAATGCTCCTTCTCTGTCGGCTTGGCTCGTCACAGCACCTGCCTTCGCGCCATAGGTATACCTTGGTCTTGGAAGGAGCAGTCTTGCGGCTGCCGTCAGGCGGTTGATGAAGAACCTAGATCTCTTCATCCTACTCCACCGTGGTCAACCTGTGCATCAACATCTCGTTCTACGGCATTGATACTGTCTCAGTCGCTCATTGCTACACTTTATCAGCAGTGTCAACGTGGTCAGCAGAGTCTACCACATCGGTGCCGGTCCATCTCCAGCCCGTTGACCTACCTTCACGGAAACATCACCTAAAATGGCTCCTCTTTCAAGATTTCAATCACCTATCCTTGGAGGCAGTGACGATAAAGCCTCGCATTCTGACAGCGTCCCGCATTACAACTCTGTTGTCGACTTGGAGCTGGGACCGGAAGAATTGACACGCCCGCTCCCAGAATACAGCTTGGTACGAGGATAAGCTCTCTGTCTTTTGGTATTCCGCTAACTGTCGTATAGGCTGGACCGTTCCCACCAGCATGCGACTCGCAAGTCGACGGCGCGATCGGGACGCCCCACGTCGAGATGCGCGACCTTTCGGCTCGCAGCCACCACACAGAAAACACCATAGAGCAACCGAACGATGTTCCTGCAAGGAAAAGACGGCGAGCCTTGCTCATATTATTTGGGTGGCTGTTGCTCGTTCTCGCCTCTGCTGCATGTGTGGTCCGGATAAGTATCTTGATACGGCGCCGCGAAACCATGAGCACGGTCGAGGCAATCTTCTGGTTCCTTGTCCAGGATGCTTGTTTCTTCTTCCCACTGGCTCAGCTTGTCGTTCGGGGCGTCGCTGTTGCTGGACCTAAAGCTTCCCGTGGTCGGAGACTCTTTGCTCAGATTGTCGCACTATTGTCTTTGGCAACAGCAATTGGGCTACCTCTTGGATTCCTATAGGAAGGAATGCGCGGCGGCTATTTGTACACGAGTCGGTGATCCAAGGGGCACGATCCAGGAGTCGATGGTCGTCTGGTGCTTCTCTTGGGAGGATGACAGAGGTTGAGGTCAAACATCGGATCCTGTGGCGCGCAGAGGCAGGGCCAATTGCAAAGTGTGCCCAATGTTGCGGTGGTTTGGGAATTGATCAGATGGGCCGAGACGTCAGCTTATCCTTAATCCTTTCGCATTCAAAATGCCGCGCCATGAGGACAGCTCTGCTTTTGCGTTTCTTGCCGTCATTCTGTGTCCGTGGATATTGCTAGAGAGGTTATCGAAAGGCCGTCAGTACTCAACGTATCTTTTCAAGGCCATCAGGTTGCCTCAGTGCTCTCTCCTCCCTGTCAGACGCCATCTGCCTATACCTCGTTTCCTCCTATCTCGACTTGCCCGACCTCCACCGCCTGCCCGCCCATTCTCTTACTTCCAGTCATTCTTCCCCTCCACTCTTGTCGCCTTCTCTCTGCCTCCGCTGGCAAGTTCCGAATCTCATCTCATGCCATCCCGCAAGATGCGCCATGGATCATCTTCCTCCAAACCTCCTGGATTCAGACCACATCGAAGCACGGGTGTAACACGGCGGTGTTTCGTTCTTGGTTTAGCTCGACCTTGGTCTGATGTTGGTATTGGTAATCCGTGGTGGTGTTGATCTGGCTCGTGCTCCTTCTCTTGGTTCTGCTGAGCCTAGGTCCAACCCTAGGCCTAACTTAAGGCCCAAGCATGAACCTGATGGACAGTTGGTCAGTATTAGAGTCATGGCTAGTCATACTCCATACAATCTCGGGATCTGATCGTGCTTTTGCTCTCCTTTCCTTCCTTCCTTCATTCACTCCCAATCTGGCTTTCTGCTTTCTGCTTTCTCGCTCGCTCTTCCCACCTTCCAACAAGCCCCTGACCCCTAGGCCTTCTCGGAAAGACGTATGATCAGGCATTGGCTAGGTATTGATCAGGTCAGCTGCTGTTGGTCCCGGCCCATCGGTACTGTATGTCCAGTGTCCAGTGTCCAGTGTCCCCTTCGCCCTATACTGTGCGTACTTGGTTCCTCCCCCCTTTTTGCCCTTCGTCTAGTTATCTTCCCTTGATTTTGTTTTTTTTTTACCGTTCCCTACCTGCCCGTGTCTGCCCTTGCCCTTGCCGTCTCTTGCCCTTGCCCTTGCCGTCTCCTGCCCTGCCCTGCCCTGCTATACTGTGCCCTTGTCGTCTACTGACCCTTCCTGCTCTACTCGCCCTCTGCGCCACCCATCCATAGATCCACGAATGGGCTGCGCACAACGTAATTAGTCGCTCTTGCAGAGCGGAGAGCGGAGAGCGGAGAGCGTAGAGTGGAGGCTCCTGTAAACAATGCTAGGTAGTCGGACACAGGCATGGCTTAAGTCACTGCAGAACATCAGGGGGCTCTCTTTCGAAGATTCCACCCAGCTATTCATTTATTCATACTCACACGCGGTGCATGACTCGAGGTGAGGCAGCCCCCCAATCTTTCGTCTTCCTGGGGGCTCTTGCCTGTAGCTTTTCGGACATCAATCCCGAACGCCGTTGTCTGTGCTCGAAGGGTGCAAGATCGGAGGATGGTTGCAGAGTAGGCCTGCCCGCGGACTGTCCTGGGTTTGCTGGGTGGGCGCTTCTATTCGCTCATTCTCGAGTATGATGATCCCGTGAGCCTCACCGGTCCTGTCGACTTTACTGACTGGCCATCGTGGGCGCATTGAAGATCGTGGTCTGACCGCGTAGGGCACAAAACTACAGGGCGCTTTTGTGACGGCGGAGAAGCACAAGCAAACGTAGAAAGAACTAATAAGAGCAAATCTACGTGAAAGGCGTCAAGCTTCATTGAATGCATGTCATTTCATGGGGCAAGCTAAACTAAAAGGAGAGTCGCCATCTGCCAGCTGTCGAGATAAGCTCATTGCTGCAGGATGGCGGGCAGTCAAAGACCGACTCAAGCGCACCCTCTGTGAAGAGGCATGGATGAGAAGTGTCTGTCGGAGGCTGTCGTTGAATCGAAAAGGAAATCAACTGGTACAAAGAAATCTCCTGGCCATTCTGATTTTTCCGCCACTTTTTCCAAGGAAAAGAAGAAACAATACTGAAAAACAAGGAAATGTTGGCCCGCTTAGTAGGGCTTCGTCTTTTGGTTCCGAAGCAGAGACTTCAACTGCTGTGGAAAAGCTCTGGAGCACGAATTGCGTGGTAGACCGACATTGCCAGCCGTTGAGGGCTAGCGCAGTCGCCGCCACTGTTGTTTTGGTCCTGAGTCACTGTTGTTGTGTATCTGAACATGTTGCTTGCTGATCGTGCACTAACCGGTGCATGAGTACGCAGAAGTGCGTGTCGTTGTTGCCATGACCGACTTAGATGTACCACATGGCAAAGACAATGCCATTGATGTTGAACAGAGGCATCAAGGGTCGGACCTCAGACTCGGAAGGCTCGGAGCTGCGGCTGGGAGCTTGCTGCTTGTAACCAGCACCACCTTGAGGACCAGCCGACGCAGGGAGGTCCTCGTGGGCCTTTGCACGGTTGGATGCAAGATGTGCGTAGTACACAGCAGGATGCAAAGACACAGAGGTCGTGGAGCGCATGTATTGATAACAGTGCTCGTAGATCATGTTTTGAAGCTGCTCCGGTTTGTGATTCAACTCGTCGTACAGCACCGAGTAGTGCACCGGTCGAGACGTGCCTTGCAACGCAATGTGCGAGTAGAGATAGAAGTCAAACTCGTTGGGGGTGGTCACATCTCTCTCAATCAGTGTACCGGGAAGAGGATTGCCATTCTTGTCGGCGCCAGCTTTCTCGGGGAAAGCTCGAACATGGTGGCGCTTGGACGCGATGATGACAGTGATCTTGCCGTTGAAATCCTCATGGACGTCCTTGAGGACTGTCTTGATGTGCGGCACCTCCTGTCGGATGACGTGCTCGAACTGGCCTTCGGAAACGCCATCTCGGATGTAATAGATGTGCTGAGGCGGACGATTGCCACCAACACTGATCAACCATTGCTTAGCAAGAGGTCTGAACATGTTGACCCAGTTGGCCTCAGAGATCATCTCGACGCGATGGCCGTTGGTTTGGCATGCAGCAGCATAGCGGCCAGCAAATCGATCGAAGGAGACAGTAATGGCCGCCATAGACGCTTGCTGGCTTCCGGGAGAAGCGTGGGAGACATCGGCGCCGATGATCATGGTTGGCGCAGCGAAGGATTTGAAGCCACTCGTGGAGTTGGGCACGACTTGAGCTGTGGTACCGCCTAACTTGGCGTTGATCTTCATCAACACGTTGGAGTAGTACTGCGGATTGCCTTTCTGCACTTGCTCGATCTGCATGACCTGAGAAACCACACCGAATCGACAATCACAAGACTTCTTGATGCGAAGGTAATTGAAGGCGTTCTTATCCTGAACAAGGAAGACGAGAAGCTGAGGTCGTCGCTTGAATTTGTTGCCGGTCTGCTGGTGCAACTCGGCCACTGCAGCACCTGTATCATTGGGGAGCATCATAGTGTGAGGGGGCGCGTTGGCGACGTGGCCACCGTGGGCGCGATAAGCTCGAGCAAAGTTGAGCGCGAACTGATCGATCTGAGCTTTGTCAACGCGGATTTTGCCGGGGAAGACACCAATACCCCAGGAGACAAGTTCCTGAGGATTGCCGGTGAGGAAGACCTTGCCCTTCAGGTCCCAGCGACCACGAGTACCAGGTTGTTCAACGCGGTTCTGACCAAACTTGATGCCCGGAGCTGGGAGAACCCGAGCCTGAGTACGGATTTGTTGCGGATTGATGCGGAGACCGTAACCTCTCAGATAGGTGTCGCCTTCCCAGTTCAACCAACCCTTTCCTTCATTGATGGCATCAAGTCGAGCGCGAGGTCGTGACACAGCAAACTTGATCATGTTGCTGGTCTGGTAGTCGTCCAACTTCGCAGCATAGCGTTGACCTTCCATAATCTGTAGGAATTCCATAGGGTAGAGAACATTCTTCTTGCTCATCTCCACCAGCGGCAGGTTAGGATGTTGGAGGGTAATGTTGTACTTACGCCGGAAGTATTGAGCAACAGAGATGCTCTCGCCGGTGGGCTGCTTGGTGTTCGGATCCTTCCAATCAATCATCTCCTGATTGGCGTTGTTGACGGAGAATCGAATGATCTTCCACACTTTGTTCGGGAGTGGATTGCCCTTGTAGACGGCCTTGACCTCGACGTTCTTGAAGGCACGCTGGACTGTCTTCTGCAAGTTGTTGGGTTCGCGGGCACCGTTGTTCTGCGCTGGGCGCATCTGAGCTGCAATGGAATTGACGTCGGTGAACTCGCGCCACTTCGTTACGAGAGCAGATGTGAGGGAAGTGGGGCGCCAGAAGCAGGTATTCGCGACATCGAGGTTGATGATGAGCTTCTGACCTTCAGCAAGACGCATAGACTGGTAGATACCGCGCCAGGCCTCAATACTGCCTCCAAGATCTTGACGCTGACCTTGTCTCTTGAAAAGAGAACGCTTGACTGAAATGAATTGCGGGTTCTGGGATGGGCCTTCGCGGAGCAGGTGATCCATGAAAATGATAGCTTCAGCAATTTCCTTGGACATCTGTACCTTCCGCTCGAGGAAGCTTTGGACGATACTCGGATTGATCTCACGGGTCTTCTTGATATGGAGACGGAAAGAATTGCGACCATCGCGAGAAGGACGGCCGTCTTCGGCGTCAAGATCGACCATAGCGCGGATCTCGCCGTGGTCTTTGAGCGACCAAGCGAGACGATTGCCATCCCAGATCATCTGAGGACCAGTCTTCTCCTTGCGGGCCTTGGACTCCCAGACCTTACGATTGACGATTCGCTTCTCAGCGCCGGTGCCAATGACAACATCGTATTGGTAGATCTTGGTGGTGGGATATCCGGTGACCTGGAATGCATTGACGTTCATCGCAGCTGGTTGGCCAGTGGTATTGAAGCCCGGACGCTTGGTGAACTGTGTTGGCAGCTGGTACTGTTGTTCGTACTCGTTAATGCCTGGGCCACGAATATTGCGGACATATGGGATGTAGGTAACAGCGGGATTTGCTCTGGGAGACGCGTTCGCTGATCTCGCCTGAGGTGGGGAGTTTAGGCCGGAGGCAGATGGCGAACCACCGTCAGAGGTCGGACGAGACATGTTGGCAATAGGGAATGCGGTGGAATGAGTTGGTGGGAGATCTCTGGGAACAAAGCCACAAAGCAGGGGAGGAGAGGGGTTATAAGTAGGCCATGAGGTCGAGCAAGGGGAGCCATTGTGCTTTGGTGAAGATAGGGCAGTGGGAAAGGGATGACTGTGCCACTAAGACAACTCGGGTGACAGTGCAGGGCATCAGATGTGTAAGTAGTATTGAAGGAGAGAGATGTGAAGGCAGGATTTCGTGAGCCTCAGCGTGAAAGCACTGTGAACGACTCGAAGGTGGAAAAGGAGTGACGGTGGGAAAAGGGTGTGACAAATGAGTAGACTTCTGAGAGGGAAGAAGTGGACTCCAGACTCATAGGGATGGATGCCAGAGGGGACGAACATGGCGAGATAATGAAGCATGATCGTAGATGGGGGATGACAGACACGGGTGATGCAGCAGAAAATTGAAGGAGAATGACTCACCAGTTGATCAATGTTGTAGAATGAAGGGGGCAAGTCGATATTCCGCATCTGATCGGTGAAGCGTTGCGGACGATCACGAGCTGGGTCTCCAACAGGAGCTGCTGCTTGGAGTTGAATTTGTTCAGGGCCACCAGACTGACTGCTGCGACGGCTACTGCTGGTAGGTGCTTGTGCTTCGAAGCCTTCAGCCGGAGCACCGGGACTACCGGTAGCAGACGTAGCGGAAGGAGCTGTAGAAGCGGCACCACGACCGGCAGTGCCAGGTCCGGACTGCGAACCACTGCCGCGAGAAGCAGGGCCATCGAAACCACCGGCTTGTTGACGATCTCCACGACGAGAAGCGGTTTCTGCTGGCTGTTGACCTCTAGTCGCACGGCCAGCACCACGCTTGCGGGCAGAGCTAGACATCTTGACAAGATGAATGGAAGTCTGCGGACAGGGGAGTTAGTGTTGGATCTTGAGAAGAAGGTAAAAGGATCCAAGTTGATCGCTTAGGCCTCGATCGAGAAAATCAAGCTGAGATGGCAGTTCGACGATGGAAATGGTAAGGAAGATGTGAGTTGTACGATGCTGAAGAGATGAGTTGTGGGGAGAGTGGTGAGGTGGGTGCAAGAGACGAAAGGATCAAGATATCCCCCTCTCAAGTGTGTTTGAGGAAAGGTTCAGAGCGTGTTTGTCGCTTTGTTGTGAGGGGGGGCGCAAAAGAAAGCCAGGCAGGAGGCATTCGCGGTGCAAGGGTAAGAACGATTGAGACTCTGAAACTTGGTTGCAGAGTCCAAGGAAGGCGGTCTGAACAGGTGCTAAAGGAGACACAAAGAGCGCTTGACTGCTTACCTTGGAGGCTGAAATGTTCTTGGTTGCAACTAGGCTGGAAGTTGATGTTGGCGAAGTTGAAGCTGTCTCATGGAAGAGCGCGTCGCTGAGATGTCACGGCGACGACTCTTGAGGAGCAAGGAAGTGTTTGAACTGATCAGGTTCAAGAAGGAATGATTGAGGCCAGGTCAATCAGGAGAAGGAAGAGAGATGATGGATGATGAGAAAGAGAGAAGAAGATCAGAAGGTCAGAGAGGAAGGGGATATTTGTAGTCGTCGTTGCCGACGCTCATGCTCGTGGCCTTGGCGATACGGGGCCGGGGTCGGCGACAGTGACAAGGATGATGTCGTTGACCCTGTATTCACTGGTTATCGTCGTCGCCGCGACGCCGCACGTGCTGTCGTCCAGTATGAGGTTGAGTTCATTGCCAGGCTCATCTGAGCGCTGCGGTGAGGTGGAAGGTTGGAATCAGGCCGAGAACAAATGTTGATTGACGGCCTAGCGCCGTTGGTGTTGCGCTAATCTACATCTACACTAGACCTTTCCAGCGACGAATCACTGACATTCTCCAGAGCTGGGTTCGAAGGCTGCCGCCTCCACGGTCATGGCTCATCCCCTCAAAAAGAGACCCAGCACAGCCAGCTTCCAGACGCTAGGACTCCAAGAGCACGGCTCACCCTGAAGAGACCAAACAAGACGAGCAACCACGCCAGCCTTTTGATCACTGCGCCCTTTTTGCAGACAGTGCAGCCAAATACTTGAGGGCTTAACAAGCAACCGAACACTGAGAAGAGCAGGCTTTCAGGTTTTGTCGAACTACACGTCGACAGCATGCACGGAGATGCAAATATGCTAAGAAGTGCATTGTAGATACCTCAGCTGTTCAAGACAGCCAACTTTGAAGGACCGAGGTGGCAGAAGAGGGAAGCGAGATTGATACCAACGATGTTTTTCTCAGAGTGTAAGACTCGCTGAGTTTCTGAAGACTTGACGAGCCTAGATGAGGCTTCAGTCGGCTCGTGCAGGATGGTGTCCCGACTGGTCGTCCTTTGAGAATGCATCGTGCCATGGATACCGAACGCTCCCAACACGTTTGAAATGAGTATAGAAGATTGAAAATTGAAAATTGAACAACAGCCACCAATGGTATCGAGCATCACGATGCCTCCAATGCCTTCCAACGCCTGTGACATGCTTGGTAAACTCGCTAATGCTACATTCCACACCAATCTATGCGTATCGGAAGGGTGCTGGTATCAAGTCAGTTCACATAGCTCGTGCCTACAGAGTCTTGAATGCACTTACCCGCCTTGTATTGACTTTGTGTAACGTTTGGCGCGGGTGAGAAGCCCTGCGGCGGCATGGGTGGATACGGTGGCCAGCCAGGTTGGGGCTGTGAAGGCGGCGGTTGGAGGGCCTGGCTCGAAATTGCGGATGGCGCAGGTAGCTTGATGTCGCGTATCAACTCCATCATCTTGACCGCGTCAAATCGAGTTTCGACATAGGTTGAAGCTTTTGGCAGTATGCTCAGGATATAGGCAATCCCCGGAGGCAGAGGTTGAGGAACTGGAGGAAACGAAGGTAGCGAAGCAGGCGCGTTCACCTGGCGTTGCTGCTGTTGCTGATTCATGCGGCGACCAGCTGCTCCCTTTAGTGGGGACTCGCCACGCGCCATCTTGCGTGGCCCGCCACCGTCTTCCAGATCGTCTGGGAAGGGTCGCTTAGGGGAATGTGTTGTAATCGCATCGATGACTTTCTGGATAGGCGAGTTCACCATTTCCGACGATGTTTCCACGGAAGGAAGTACGTGTGACAGCAGGGGCCGGATCTGTTGGGGAGAAATTATGGGATGGACATGCATGGCGTCGAACAAGGGAGTGCTGTATCGACTGGAGAAGAGCTTGAGCGTCGGGTCTTCTGGGAAATGCTTCCTCATCCTCTCTTCGAGGGCCTGGACCTGGGCCAATTCACCGTACTTGGATTCATAATTGTGCATGAACGCAAAGAGCGGTTTAGCCTTGGCAGTTTGTTCGGGGTCTTCGTGAGCAAGGAGTCGTTTGACAGTCGTCTCGAACACTGCTCGTGCATTTGTGACATCTTGAATGTCAAGAAGATGTTGAATATACTGAAGCGGCAGGTAATCGTCCTCAGGAAACAGTTTCATGCCACGCTCAAGGATCTTTGTGCCAGCAGGATCTCGGTAACATTGCCATTCGATGCGTGCCGATTCCACATAGAAGTCGCTGGTGAGTTTACCTCGTTTGCGTGCTTCAGTAAAGATAAGCCGAAACCCTTGCGGGCCTTTTTCGCCAGGAGGTCCTTTGCCTTGGACTCGGCGTGTCGAGCGCATCAATGCAAGCCATGCATGTGAGACCATCCGACTGAGAACGTCCGTCTGTGCTTGAGCCCCCTTCTTGATCACCGCGATCTGATTGTCGAGGGCGGCTTTTTTGGCTGCGACATTAGAGGCATTGATGTCGTCGTCGCCGTCGCCATCTCCTTCTCCGTTGGTAGCGGCAGCAAGCTCTACTCTCTGCACCTCTTGCTTTTCGCGTGCGGATACCTTTTTGATCAATTCGTAGATCGCATCGAGTAATCCGTCGTACGGCTCGCGGATCTTCTTCATTCGCTCTTTGGCACCGGGGTCAGCGCTTTCATCGCTTTGGGTCGACGCCTCAATACGATCTGCAAGTTTGAAAGCTAAAAGGGGCGATTCAGGGTTGGCCGCAATGCCGTGGTTGAGAAGCTTCATCCCATCATTCTCAAGGCCGTTGGTGAGACAGAAATCAACCGCATCGTACCACATTTCTGGCCAGAATTGTAGTGCCATGAGGGCTTGTTTATATGTGAAGAGAATGCGACTCCGGTACAGAGCAAGGTCTTCATCCTTGAGGACGAGGTTGTCTTCTTTCTCCCAATCAATCCACTGCTTCCATAGACTGACCTGCTGCATATACTCGGCATGGCCTTCAAAGCCGGCTGCTGGTGGCAGGCGTGGCTTTGAAGTTCGCTTGAGGTCTCTCGTCAAGTTCTGCAATTGTGTATATGCAGTCCTCGCAGTCATGTAAACAGGGGATTTCTCCTGGAGGTATTTTCGGCCCTGTGAAGTATTAGCGCAGGCTCGCCAAGCATAACGGACGAAATATGCATACGTTAATCTTGCTCAGTCCTGTCTCAAAGGCATCGTACTCTTTCCACAGAGCTGTTGTTGCTGCCGTGGGAACAGCAATTGCCTTCTGATAGGCTGCACGAAGAGTATCGACCTTTGCTGCATCTTGCCAACCAGTTCCACCGACCGTGCCAGGCCCGGTCTTCAGGAAGTTGATATAGTCCTGCCATAATGGGCCGGACTCTTTGTCCATGCCAATGGTCTTGAGAGCAAAAGAAAACGAGTCGTTGATGATGCCATACGACCTGGCTACATCACCTGTCTGCATGCTATTCCGTCGGCGGATGTAGTTGATGTACAGTGACCAGAGAGGAACGTCAAGGACTTCTAGAAGAGATCGATTGAAGAGAGTCTCCATGGGGCGCATGCGATCGTGCTCCTCCTCAAACTTCACATAGGCGCACCATTGATCAGCCTGCTATCTGTCAGTCACGGTTCGGCACAATGTATGCGAGTCGACACGTACAGCAAAGGGAAAAACTTTCAGGTACTCCTCGTACACGCGGCGGGCGTCTTCTTGTTTATTCCGATTCTTGAATTCGTCGATTAGTTCAAGATAGGCATCAATATCACCACGAGGGTCATCTTTGATGCGATCTTCCAGAATTCCAACCACATCATGAGCAAGTCGAGACTTGGGCAAGCCTGGAGCAACAAGACCGTTCACATGAGGATGGGGTGGAGACAGCTGAGCTGGAAGATCAGAAACAGTGTGAGAAGGTGTCGCAGTTGCTGTGCGCGGAGCATGTAGTTCAGTACTGGCACCTGGAGCAGGAGTGGAAGAAGAAAGGTCAGCGTCAGCAGGACTACCAATGGCCTGGACAGGAGCAGGAGTGATTCCATTTTCTTTTTCTGGTGACTGGGAAGTTCTATCAAGCGACGTTGGGATTTGGTTTGCAGAGTCATCAGCAGGTGTTGGGGCATCGAAGTCCATGCCCACAGAGGGGTCATAGACATCAGCATCATCCTTCTCGTCTTGCGCGCCTTCCTCATCCTCAGGGTCATCATCAACTTCAAACCCGCCGACTATGCGAGGCTTGCGTTGCGCAGGGATGGACTGGGCCATTTGTGGTTCGGCAGAAGAGTTACCGACTGGCGCTGCAGGTAGATGATGGAGGTTGGACTGTATTGGCGATAGTATGGGGTCTTTCTGAGTCTCGACAGGACTCTGTTCCGAGGACCCAAATGTCTGCGAGGGCGTTGCACTAGGCTGATCATTGGGAGCGGCATTTCCGTTGTTGAAATATGATAACTGCGCAGCGGTCCCAGGTGAGAGCGCCTGCCGATCTGGAGTTTCCATACTGGTGACGGCTGCCTGTGCCACCCGGAGAAGTCGAGGATGGAGGAGGGCAATAAAAGCTCTGAAGGGTGTCAGCGGTGATGACTTTTCCGACTGTGTTGATGCGGACAGACCAGTGTTGCGACAGAACCTTTGCTAACTTCGCACGAGAGAATACCATAGTCTGGAAACTTGAAGTTCAAGGAGGGGAGAGTAACATGTCGCGAAGAGAGAAGATAATCCTGGGTTCGGTTCAATGGCCACGCGAAGGCAGTGACGAAGTTGTGAAATTGCTCGCGTGCAGAGGAAGGTCGAGTGAATTCATTGTTCAAGATTCAGTCATACAGCAGCGCCGCGGCAACCTCGGAAAACCTGCCCACCGGTCTGTCTCCTTCATCAGTTCCCCACTCAGGCGTCACTTCTGGCATCCTCGAATTTAACTGACATTCAGATTCATCTCTGAATTTTCACAGGACCCGATCTACAGGAGGTCGCACCAAAGAAGCCTGAGTCGTGGCTCAAGAGTCATGATAACGGATCTGCAAAGATCCCTTGCATGAACGAACACCAGCTTGGCGCAATGGAGGAACGGCCATGATTGATGTTACTCTGGGTGATTCCTGTGTCTGCCATAATCAATTGATACCTCTTTTTTAGAGAATCCAGCTCTGGGCTCATACGTGTCATTTTGAGAGCTCGCTAACTCGCCACTTACCGCCCGCAATATGCGAGGTGCAATCCTGGATCCTCCTCACCAAGGTACGTACCTTCGCCATAGACTGACCTCGCCGCAGAGGTCAAGTAGGGCATCTCATTTAGACAGGCGATGCTCCTATTACTTTTGACCAGCATGTGGCAATATTCGCAATGCTGACACTGTGCGAATCCCTGCGTGCAACAATGGACAGCTATGGTATCGCCGTTTCTACCGTGTCATTTCGGACACATACAGTACATGTTCAGAGACAGCTCCCTCCCTCTAAAGCAGCCACTTAGCCCACAAGCCTTGCAGTGTCGTCATGCAAAAGCAGCGAGATGTACGGACCAATTAGGTAGTCATTTAAGACGCGACTTTTCGCGCGCCATAGAGAACCCTCACCCCAGCCTGTTGACAACCAGACTCTTCATTGCAACAGACCACCAACAGATCGTATTGGCCACACACGTCTATTGCCACATTGAGACTGCCGTGTACGGACTACAGACACCGTCGCGCGTGCCGCAACCATGTCAGTAGTCTCTCTGCTCGGCGTCAAGGTGCTGAACAACCCTGCGCCGTTCACCGCGCCGTACGAGTTTGAGATCACGTTCGAATGCCTGGAGCAATTGCGAGAAGGTAAGGCCTGTTTGACAACTGCAAAGCGCACACACATAACCGCGCGCATCAACTCTCTTTGTGTACTGCAGATCGACTGACCACTCAACCGCGCACAGACCTAGAATGGAAACTCACCTACGTCGGCTCCGCCACGTCGGCAGAACACGACCAGGAGCTCGACTCGCTGCTTGTCGGTCCCATCCCCATCGGTGTCAACAAGTTCATCTTCGAAGCCGATCCTCCCAATACCCAGCGCTTGCCTTCGTCTGAGATCCTCGGCGTGACCGTCATCCTTCTGACCTGCTCGTACGACGGAAGAGAGTTCGTCCGCGTCGGATACTACGTCAACAATGAGTACGATGATGAGATCTTGAATGCCGACCCGCCTGCCAAGCCCGTCATTGAGAAGATCCGACGCAACGTGCTTGCTGAGAAGCCCCGAGTCACCAGATTCGCGATCAAGTGGTACGTTCATTCAGTGATTTCGGCTGACCAATACAATGCTCAATGGCTAACCCGATTGATTTTCTACGTCGTATAGGGACTCCGAAGAATCAGCACCAGCCGAATATCCTCCCGATCAGCCTGAAGCGGACACCCTTGACGACGATGGCGCAGCGTACGGAGCGGAAGAAGCCGAGATGCAAGCCGCACTCGAGAAAGAACTCGAAGAGACCGAAGCCAAGTTGGTCAAGGGCACCGGTACCGACGCCGGTGAAGACAAGGAAATGACAGATGGTCCCAAAGTCAAGGACGAAGACGAAGTCAGTGAGGCCTCTAGCGAGGATCTCGAGCAAGAAAGCAGTGATGAAGATGACGATGATGAGGAAGGCGAAGACGAAGAAGGTGCCGAGGGAGAGGACACTGAAATGGCGGATGGGGACGACAAGCCTACTGCCTCTACTGGCACTGCGACCGCGACGGCTGAGGCGAATGGTGAGCAGAAAGGCGGAGAGTCCAAGCCGGAGGTCATGGTCCATTAGAGCGGGAGTGATGCATGCGGCAGAGCCACAGCGCAACTGGAGGATGGAATAATTTTCACCGGCCAGATCAAAGTTTGAGCGGCACGGTTTCGAACAAACAGCAAGGCGTTAGGCGTACCGGGTATCGATCGACAGTTGCCAATATGGCGATGATATGACCAGGCAAGCACAGCATGTGGGTCAAGGGCAGAGCCGGACAGGCGTTGACGACAGCGAGCATGGCTTGGACCTTTTTGCAAAGAACACGAAAACGACCTGTAACTAGCATTGATGGTGTCTACGGTGGGTTGGAGACCAGGGACCTACGAGGATGGAGTGGTGCCTGAATAGACAGACATACATATGCACAGGATAATGGCTGAGATGAATTGCTTTTGACAGTACTCGAGTTCTGCACTTTCTTCATTTCCCTCTCGGCTCATCTCTCAAACCCCTGAATAAACAGCAGTCACATTCCTCCCGCACTCGACTCTCTGCTCCATCCGAACCTTCCGGCCTTTGACGTTGACATTCTTCATCGGCGTCAAGTGGAGTCTGTGCTCCTCTTTCCTTCCCGCTTCGACCTCACTCGCCGTGTCCAAGGGCTTGATATACACCGGGGTGGGGTTGTTGTTCCTCTTGCCTGTCCCCAACTGGTAGAACTCGTTGCCTCCCCACCAGAGCACGTCAGAGCCCCAATTTGTATCGTCCTCGGAGGATTTCTCACTCGCGTTGAGATACGTGACGTTGTCTAGGACGGCGGAGGCGTGGGTGCTCCCAACAGAGATCTGGGACATGCGGATGGGGACGACCTTGCGGGTCTTCTCGTCGTATTCGAACATACCCGAGAGTGCGGGGACCTTCGTCGGTGTTCCCTGGATATGCGTCCATCTCCCGTTCCCTAACGTTCCCTTGATGCCGGTACCGCATGCCCAGGTGTCTGCGGTGACTTTGCCCAGGGTCGGGATGGAAGACTGATCTTCATCGGGGCCCGCGACCCGGGTGGCTTCCACGGTGAAAAAGCTGTTTTGGCCACCGGCGGCGATAGACGTGACACGAGGTTTCTGATTAGTTCCTTGGTATAGACGAGTTGTGGGTAAAAGAGAGGGTGTATCAACGAAGGGTGCTTCGGGATTATAATCGAAGCCGAGTTGGCCAGAGGAGTTGTCTCCAAACGCGAAGACTCTGCCTTCTTTGTCAAGAACGAGTGAGTGGTGGTCTCCGGTGGCGAGCTTTGCGATGTCGAAGCCCTTTAAGGTGGTCAGTTCGTGACACATGTCGTAGCGCCCTTCGGGGCGAGTGAGCCATGTTACACCGGGGACTCCGAGTTGGCCACGACTGGGGAAATCCTCTGTCCCCGACGCGGCGGAGAAGACTCGCCCGGCCGATGTGAGAAGGAGGACGTGTTCTAGACCACCGCTAATGGCAGTCACCTTCTCGCGCGAGCCCAAGCCCTTGGGTTCTAGCTTCCTGTAGCTGATTGCGGAGGTCGAGCTCCAGAATGGGATCCAGGAACCCTCGGTCTGCTTGTGTCCATTTTCTTGGTCCGCTTTTGAGACTGGGACGGAGTAGACAGTCCCGCTTTTGCCCAGACCGATTATTCGATCCTTGGAAATAGCAATCGACGTCAGATCCTTGCCTTTCAAGGTGACTGTTGGCTGGCGGATGTCCTCTGAATACGCATTGCCCCATTGCACGAGATCGCCATTCTCCAGCACTGCGGCGCCGAAGGTCCTGTCAAGCTTGAGATCTCGCAGTAGGACATCATCAAACCAGCTTAGCCTCCGCGGCGTCTTGATATACGTCTCGTTCGAGTCTGGTGCGGCGACCCGACCTGTGTTCGATCCCCAGGCGTAGACACCCGGATTCTCCCAGCTCTTCTTGACTTGCAGATGCTGTGAGCTAATGAGATCCCTGTTCTGTTCTTTCGACAATCCTTTCTTCTTCTTCGACCTCTCGATCAGCAGTTCCGGGGCATCCTGAGCAGGTGCTTCTGCTTGCGCTGGGGCAGGCGACCTGGTACTGATATAGATTAGAGCGAGGGCCGCGGCTGCGACGAGAAGCTGGGTACCAGGACGCTTCGCCCCACGACGAGAAGGGGAAGACGCTGGATTGGTAGCTTTCTGCGAGGGCTGCCTGGTAGTAGAGAAGTGCCTGCACGGCTTCGAATGGACCAAAGGAGCCCGCTGCGAGCGTGCCAAAGTTCGTAGCGTCGAGGTCGGAAGAGTCCTCGACATGGCTGCTTGCCTGAAATAGTCTGTTTCAGGCCGTCGTTTCCTCTCACACCCTCCTCAGAATCATTCTTTGCACCAACAGCTGTACTCAGACACCAGAAGCCAGGTGATTAATGGGAGACAGCGGCACGTATTCGGAAATCGAGAACGTCATGAGGGCATGCGACAGCCTCGTCCGCTTAGACGCGTTTTCATTGGCCGCCTCGTGAATTTGGTCAGCCTTGTCCGCTCCATGCAATGTGGCATTCCTCAGAAGTGACTGATTGGCATTATGCGCGAATGGCGGGCCTGCTAAAGCGACACAGTGAGAGCTGGCATCTACGAAATACAGCTGGCTTACGGCATGGCAGAGACCACAGAGTCAGTCGAGCCGCGAGAGAAAGATGGTCTATTGGCACAACTGGAGGAAGCCGGCTCTGAACTGGCGCTGTCCAAGCTGTCCGGCGACATTGACGACGCACTGATAGACGCCAGCCTGGGTGAATACCAACAATATCTCGACCAGCTCGACGCCGCTCGCTCGCATCTGGACACTCTCCTCGCTTCCACCGCGGCAACCTTGTCCGAATTGTCCTCCATCTCGGCCTCATTCAGATCCATCGACTCGCAGACAAAATCCTTCCAAGCCCAATCCGCCTCGATTCGGGAAGAACAGCACAAGAATGAAGCCATTGCACAAGATATCGCCGACAATCTGCGGTACTATGAGCCTCTCGAACGCATTACTCGACGGCTCAATGCACCACAGGCGGGCAATTTTGTCAGAAGCCAGGATTTCTCAGACATGCTAGTCACGCTAGACGAGTGCATCGACTACATGCAGACACATCCCGCTCACAAAGAAGCCGAGAGTTACAGGTCGAGGTACAAACTGCTCCTGACGCGGGCACTGACACTCGTACGCAACACCTTCATGGCTGGCGTGCGAGAAACCACGACCGAAGTCGCCGGACGGATCGCCGCGAAGCAGCTGAACGACACGACCATGTCGGCCCTCCTGTATGCGAAGTTCCGCGTCGGAGCGGCCGAGATGAAGGAGCTTGGGCTGGAAATCCAGAAACGAGCCAACCCGCCTGCCGACGCGGAGCCAGGCACCGAGGGAGAATACCAGAGCCTGATGAACGAGTTGCACGCTAGTTTCGCCGCCTGTCGAGGGCGGTTGATCCTGCCGATTGTGCACAAGCGACTGGCCGAGACGGCGCAACTGCCAAGTTCGAAGGACCTGGTACAGTTCGCCAGAGCGGCCATCAGCTACATCCGCGGGATCTGCCTCGACGAGTTCGAGCTGTGGGGGGAATGGTTCCACGGCTACCGTGGGCTCTACGACTTCCTCGAGTCGCTCTGTGAACCACTGTACGATCACCTCCGGCCACGTATCATCCACGAGAACAAGCTGGCGAAGCTGTGTTCGCTCGTCACGTTGCTCCAGACCCGGTTCCTGCACGACGAAGAGGAAGACGGCGCCCCGGACCTCAACCAGCTCGACTTCTCGGCCCTGATCCAGCCGGCTCTCGAAGACGCGCAGACCCGGCTCGTCTTCCGCGCCCTCGCCATTCTCCGCGAGGAGATCGAGATGTTCAAGCCCAAACCTGAGGACCTCGACTATCCGCGCCTGACATCCGCACCACCCGTCTCTGCCGCGACCAAGACACCCCTCTCCGGCCGCCGAGGCTCCCGTGACCAATTTGCCTCCCTTTCCAAGACATCCAACGCCGACCTGGACGAAGACTCCGCCGACGAAGGCCCCTTCTCCTGGACGTTGTCGGCGTCCCGCCGCTCGGCCCTGCGTCACAGCTACCCGACGCTCTCGCGCTCGATTCGCCTCCTCTCCCGCATCTACAGGCTAGTGAACTCGTCCGTGTTCGACGATCTGGCGCATCAGATCGTGCATCGAACGACCCTGTCGCTCGTGTCCGCGGCGAGCCAGATCTCGACGAAATCATCCCCAGCAGACGGCCAACTCTTCCTGCTCAAACACCTGCTCCTGCTCAAGTCGCAGATCGTGGCCTTCGACATCGAGTACGTCACCCCGGACGTGAGCTTCGACTTCTCCGGCGTGGCGTCCACGTTCTGGGAACTGCGCGAGCGAGGCGGCCTGTTCAACCCGGCCACGTGGATGCGGCTGTTCAGCTCGGGCGGCCTGCTGCCCAAGGTGGTCGAGAACATGCTGGACGCGAAGCAAGAACTCGACGGCCGGCTCAGGCAGGTCATCAACGAGTTCACGGCCGGCTTCGCAAGGTCGATGTGCAAGGACTTGCCTCGCGGGGTGGACAAAGTGGGCGGTGGTGGCAAGAAAGCGGACAGGGACAGGGACAGGGACAGGGACAGGGAAACCATCCTGGCTGAATCCGTGAGCAAGACCCGCGCGACGATCGAGAAGGAGATCCCCATCCTAAGGGCCAAGCTGGAGCAGTATCTCGACGACCATCGCACGCGGGAGACGCTCGTGGCCGCCGTGGAGGACCAGGTCGTGCAGATCTACGAGGCCTTCTTCGACGACTATGCCGCGCACCAGTCGGCCTCTAGTGATAAAGGCGGAAACGGCAAAGTCAACGGTGCCGCTGCCACTCCGATCTCGCGCAAGGGAAAGGGGCCCGAGGACGCGGTATGGGATATCGACACCTTCGCCGAGTGGGCGGAAGGTTTGTTCAACGTGGCGTTGCCGAATGTCGAGGATGAGGACGAGGACGACGGACGGGGAAGCCATGTCGCGAGCAGGAGTTTGTCCAGGAGTCGGAGTCCTTAGATGGGGTTCTGCACCCCGGTCGTGGCGCCGAGATGAATGAACAGTAAACAACGTGGTATGCGCAATGACGAATGATTGCGACGATGACAACGTATCTGCGATTGAAATACATTTCGGCTGCTTCCGGCTTTTTCGTGGTGGTTCTGTCCATTGAGTCTTCGTCGGCGGTGGCTCTCTGTCGTGGTCTCGGTATCCGTTTCCGCCTTCCTCTCCTGAGCTTCCACGGTTTGCTCGTTGACATGCTGTACCTTCTAGCAATAAAGCGTTGCGCATGTTTATTGAACCGGCGGGGCGCCTCTATCAGCGGCAACGGCATTATGAGCTGGCGGTAAGCCGCATGTTTGTCTACATTCCCCAGCGAAACAACAAAGTCTTATTGGCCCTTGCTACCAGTCTCGAAGGCCAAATTCAATCGTGTCCATAGTCCTCCCCTGATTTCCCGCCCAGATTCACCTTCCCTCTTCCCCGGCCCTTTTGGAGCTTCTGTGCTCGTTCGATCCAAGTCCTTGCCGCCTCGGCTAGGCCTCCGGACATTGCACATTCACGGGCCAGCAATCGGTCGACCTTGTCTTGTACCGTGGGTGCGGATCTGACTGATGCGCTGGCGGGGTCAGACTCTGGCTGCTGCTCAACTTGCTGGCTCTGTGGATTCGGTTGACCAATAAATCCGTCGACGGCGCTGAAAGTCCTCCTCCTGTTCCCTACAATGCCGATGTTCCTCGTACTTGGGATTCGCATGAGCGTCAGCTCGATACCACAGCCAACTTCCTGTGCCAGGGCTACGACTTTCTTGGTCAAGCACGCGTACATTGACTTGTCGTCCTGATGGGATGCGGCTTTCAGCTTCGCTGCTCGGAGAGCCTTTAGATCTCCATTCGCTGTTTGATGTTCATTACCGTTAATGCTTGGTGCGGGAGAGATTGAGGTAATGTCTTTCGGTAAATAACGGTGCTTCGCACCACTCAGAGCGTGAGAACAGCATGGGATGGCGAGGAACGGGAGCGGCGACTCCGGACACGAGAGAGCCGCGAGCAGTGGCGTCCAGGGCGTGAGTTCGTCAGCGTGGTTAGAAATGATGAAGGTGCCAGGTCTGAAAACCCCGTTCCGGAGACCGTTAAAGACACCGTTGAAGAGCCCGTTGTGAATCTGCATGCCTGCCTCGTGCAGGCGGTCGATGCTGAGCTCCACGGGCGCGTGATCAAGGAACGGCTGCGGCACGCAGACCATGACATCCAGGTAGTCTTCCATCCCCAGAACTTGCCAGGTAGAACGACGGCGGGCGTCGAACCCACGGCCACGGTAGCCCTCCTTGATCAGCACATAAGTGAGCACGCCGTTCCCGCAGGCGAAGTCGATGAAGCCCGGGAAGGTTCCAGGAGGATACATTTGCTTCCAGAGCTCAATGAGGAAGGCGGCGATCGAGAGATCCTCAAAGACGTGCTTGGACGGTTCCGTCTTCTCGACCCAGCGGGAAATCAGGTCACGCGCATACTGTTGTTTGAGGCGAGCGTAGGTGTCCTGAACGATATGTTGGGGCAGAACAGTGTCTTTCAAAGCAGCGGGTGCCAGAGACAATTCTGTTGCTGTTCGCTCCTCGCCATATTGCACCCCCTCCTCAAGGTGCTCCCCCGTCGTACTCTTCGAAAGTCTAACGAACGTTTGAAGTAAAGAAATCATGGTGCGATGCAGACGAGTTGGCAACGAATCTGTGGTGCTGGAGAAAGGCAAAAGGTGAACAGATAACGTTGACTCACCCTCCTTGTGCTTGACTTCGTAGACGTATGCCAGGGCCTTGACTGGTGGATGGTACCATGGCATTTCAGCTTCTCCTTCCACGACGGGGACATAAAGCACAACAAAACCAGAAATCTCCGGGCCATCAGCCAATCTGTATATGTAACACCACTGGTCTAAGGGGCGATCGAGCTGTGGTTTTCGAGGAACGAGTCTTCTTAGCACCTTCCTGTGCAGGACGGCGCCCGGCACGAAGGGCGCTACACTGGAGGCTACGCCGACAGGCTCTTTGGCATAGGAACCCTCGTCGTCAATGTCATCCGAGCTGCCAATCTGACAGCGAGTCTCTTTCTCAGAGACCGTTCTCAAAAGGTGGGCGTCATCGTAGAGGATGTCGGCTCGAAACAGATGGGTGGAGTTCAGATTTGGATTCTCGAGCAACAGATCCGTCACCTGCAGAAACCTTTCCACGGTGAACGTGGATGGTGCTTCATATTCCGGTGCCGTCTCCCACTTGTCGTTAGTAGTCCTCAGTCTTGATAAAGGCATTCTGAACTTGACACTTCCTGGAGTAGAACATTCGTGGCGGTAGAAGTATGTATCAAGGAGTAGCTGCTAAGAGGTATACGAGAAACTTCTTGTGATGACCTGGGCCATGTAGCGCGGTCAACAACTCAACTTTCAAAAAGTCTCCTACGAACAAAAAGATGATGTCGCCACAAAAGAAAACCCATTAAAAACGCCCTGGGAGAGGCTCGAACTCTCAACCTTGAGATTACTTGCTTCTGAAGAAGTAAAAGTCTCACGCGCTGACCAATTGTGCCACCAGGGCTTGTGAAGGCCAATCTCGACCATCAGTTTTGACCCTGTTTTCTGGCTATTCAATTGATGTCGTTCAGAAAAGACGGGTTATGTCCGCTAATGGATATTGAGGACATAGGGATCAATGAGTCACCAGGAGTGACTAGACACTGGCTCGAGTGGGGAAGCGCATTAAGCATCGTCAGCCTTGCCCCTCTTCTATTACTCTCATTCCATGGCAAGCAAACTAGCAGGAACACCAGGAGGGCATCCCCCATCTTCAGTCGGAGCTTTGACCAAGGACTTTGAGTAGATCTGCCAAATAAGTGACCTTGGTCACGACACTGCTGGAAAGCGGTACAACCACTGATGACACTTTGTCGTCATGGAAATCATAAAGGACAGTTGGATGTGATGATCACTGAACGTGTACGTCTAACTCGCAATACCTAAGAGAGAATTTGGAGACAGTACGGGTGGTTGGTGATTAGAACGGCATCACACTTGTCGACGTACACAGTATAAGTTGTAGGAAAGCGACTTTGCATTTCGTATGTCATCCCATGGATGATCTCGAATGAGTTAAGCTCAAGCTCCGTGTGCTACCATCTGTTGGTGGTCCTGGTCCTTGCTCTGCTCTCATCTTCTCAACGCAGCCCGCTTTGCTAGGTATGTTCTTGTTGAGCCTGTGTCATACCTGTCAACTTCAGCTCATCATCTTCCTCGCTTGGCTCTGTCATGACTGCATGGCACACAGCTCTGAAACTCCCGTCATGACGGCTGACAGTTCTCTCATCCATCTCTCATATTCGTGTCATCTGCAGACTTTGATGGATCGACACTCATTTGAGACTCACATGCTCATCTCACTGAAAGTAAGTGACGGACAAAATGTCCTGGCGAGACTAGCGGACCTCTTCCCAGCTGGCGATCAATGACGCTGCTGGTGCGACGGAATACACCATCTTCACGGGCTTTCTGGCTTCGTCAAGCTTGACTCTGTTACCCTTCTTGTCTCTCACCCACATGACTTGCTTCATTCTGTCCTTGAGATTGTAAGCACATTTGTGGGTGCTGTTGAAGAACTGGTTGATGATGACGAGTTTGTAGCACTTCATCTCCGTGAGAGCTCTCAGAAAAAGGCGATCGTACTGGGTGACCATGGCGCGACCGGCAAACTGGAGAGCAAGGGTCTTGAGAGTGGCGTTAGCTCCAATGAGGTTGAAGATCTCTTGAAGCATAGGGTCTTCGACGAATCTACGGTCTGTAATCTGTCCAGGGACTGTTCGCGTGCGATTATCTGGGGCATCCGTGAGTTGGAAGGAGATGTGTTTGAGGCAGGCAATCTACATGAATCCGTTAGTCTCACCATAGCAATCTGGTGTGTCACTGCTCGTGCAGCTGCATGTAGAAGGAACCGTGACTTACGTTGTCGGAACCGATGCCTTGGAGGAATCTTCGGATGTCCTTGTAGCCAATCTCTTTCCAGACGTTGTCCCAGAACATCCCTCGAGTCCTAGTGTCACGGGTGAAGTGGAAGGAATTTTCGCCATAGAGAATTTCTCTGCCTTCTTCGTGGGCCTGCTTGCAGGTTCGCAGGAACTGAGCTGATGCTGAGACGTCACTCTTCCCAAATTCAATTGGCTTGTCCAACTTGAAGAGTTGCTTGTAAATTCGCAGACGTATTTCAGGGCTGATAATGTCGAAAAAGCCTGTCTTCTCCGACTGACCAAGTGTGGTGTCTTCTGGGTTGTCCATGTTGGGAGCAGCCTTCTCGCCTGCGGACGCATTTGGCAAAGTCAAGTTCGTCATGCCCGCGTCGTTGACAACAGATGCCAACTTCCTGATGAGTTTCCTAGCTTTCTCGTTGCCAGTGATCTGAATGGACCTTTTCATTTGTTAGACCAGTGTAGGACAGCGAGCGGGGCACCGAGTGAAGGTAAATCAAGAGGCGGATGGCACACTCACAAGTGAGGAGCAACTTTTTTCTTCTTTTCCATTGCCGATGCCACACCCTTGCTGCATCGCGAAACAGACCAGAGACCATCGTCATCTGACTCTGCGGCAATCACCTCTTCGTTGCGGCAATATTCATTGTCAGAGAGATCGGGAGCAGGCAAGGCTGGTGGTCCTTCGAAGGTGGTCCAGGGTTTTGGCTTTGCTTTCTGCGCTTTGTCACTCTTTCTCTTGCGCTTCTTGCGACCGCTCGCGACATAGTCAGAGTGATCAGAGTCGCGGTCAGACTGGGCGTCAGCGAAAGCGTCTTCGAAAGTATTGTCATTGCGACCGGAACCTTCCTCGACCACATGTGGGGTTCCACCTGTGTCGGCGCCAGCAGAATTGGTCGTCGCGGCCATCTTAGCTCTCTTCCTAGTGGTGGGCGCCATAGCGACAACGTGATTTGACGTGATTGTTGATCTGTTGGCGTGTCAGCAAGTTGATCTCCAGCTGAACAAGGTTTGACTTACAATTACAAGATGGTGTCGAAGGCCCTTGTACGGCTGTTACCTGCACATGGACAGGACAGATCAAGACAGTGATGAGAATGGTTTGAGTGAGAAACAAAGTGGTTTGGGGGGTGAAGGGGCTCAGATCGATAAGGGTGGGAGGCAGGAAGGCGGCACCTCGTCTTCACCAAACGCTTGGCAGTGGTCTGTATAGCACCACGTGACATGGTATATCGCTGGGGCGGATGCCCTGACCGCCTTCAAGATGCCCTCTCAAAGCAGCGAGGAAAGGAAGGTGTTGTGCAGACATGCAGAAGTCAGCCTGTCTGCCCCACAGGCCAGCGACAATGAGGTCTAGTGTCGACGTTGGGAAGGAACAACATGACAACAATGGCGCGGGACAGGAAGAAGAGCAGTGATCGCAAAGGAAACTCTGGTGGATATCACAACCCAGGAGGCAGCTAGCCAGCGAGGCAAGGGAATCGAATTCAGTTCATTGGTGGTGGTAAAAACTCCCAAGGAGATCATAAATACTCAGCCTGTGAGACTTCCGAACTTTCCACAATCCATTGCCTAGCAATTCCCGGGTTCAACCAGCAGAGGGATGGTAGACAAGGCTCCAGAATATCCAAGTCCTACATGCAAAGCCTGTAGCCATCGACAGCTGAAACTGCAACAGTCAGGTAGGGACGAAGCCATATCGGCCCGTACTTGTTGATGACGGTCTTTTCCCGGGAATGAACAACATTTCCAATCAGCCCTTTCAAATTGTCCTTCAAGGTGGTGCTTGGCCCAGGACATCTCAGCACCGCCCACAGACCTCCAGCCCGGGAGCCAGAGCGCGGGAGCTGTGATTGACGTATAGGTTCTCTTCATCTTGGATTTAGTTGTGAAGAGGAGAAAGCAAAGCAGGAGAGAAGACGGGCTGACGTTGAAAAGTTTTGGCTTCGCGTCACCTTCCTCAACAACTTCGGCGGAGTAATTGGACGCCGGTCAAACCTCCGCATCCATTGGACTTCATTCCTTGACGTGACGCCACTCTGGGGAAGCAAGAAGAGTATATTATCAGTCATACATCGCCCGAGTTGCAGGCCGATCTTGCTTCAAACTGTAGAGAAGGGTGATGCGCAATGTGCAGCTGAGCTAGGCGGTAACTCCTGTCTACATCCCATTCCTTGAGCGATACTCCTGAGGGCGCTCACACCGAGACCAATTGAATCGTTGCGATCTTCCATCTCACCACTATCGTGCAGTTGTGCTTGTGCCTGAAATTCGTTAAGAGGCGACCCGGCACTGCTCTGCTCGACCGAACATGGCGCGGTCGATGCTCACAAGGCGGATATGGTCGGCGCCGCTTGCCACGAAGCCGTCAGTATGCCTGTCGTGTAGAGCTTCTGTTAGAAGGTTTTCGTCCTCTCAACCACTGAGTTCTCCCCAGACAGACGCCCAAAACAAGGTAAACTCCGTTCGTCTTCAGATGGAAAGTCATCCTCTTACAGGTTCTTAGCTCTTGGGCGAGCACCTCAAGGAAGCGGATCCGGAGATTTACCAAATCCTGCAAAGGGAAATCCGGCGACAAAGGCACTTCATCAACCTCATCCCATCCGAGAACTTCACGTCACAGGCTGTGCTTGATGCTCTCGGGAGCGTGATGCAAAGTAAGATTCTTACTTCTCGTTTGAGCACGCCCCAATCTCACACCGATGCAGATAAATACTCCGAGGGCTATCCCGGAGCAAGGTACTACGGCGGCAACGAACATATCGATGAGTCTGAAACACTGTGTCAGAAGCGAGCTCTTGAGACGTACCGTCTCAATCCTCAGGAATGGGGGGTTAATGTTCAGCGTAAGTGAGAAACACCCCACAACTGTTGACCATTAATGCTGACCACCCAAGCCCTATCTGGCTCTCCCGCAAATCTGTACGCCTATTCGGCTTTGCTCAACACCCACGACCGGATAATGGGACTTGACCTTCCACACGGTGGCCACTTGTCTCATGGCTACCAGACCCCAACCAAGAAAATCTCCATGATCTCCAAGTATTTCGAGACGTTCCCGTATCGCCTTGACGAGTCCACGGGACTGATCGACTACGATAAGCTGCTGGAGAATGCCCTGCTGTATCGACCCAAGATTATCATTTCTGGCACTTCTGCTTATAGCAGACTGATCGACTACGAGCGGATGCGCTCCATTGCTGATCAAGCAGGTGCCTACCTCTTGTCCGACATGGCTCACGTCTCTGGGCTGGTTGCTGCGGACGTGATCCCCTCGCCATTCCAATACTCTGACGTTGTCACCACCACAACCCACAAGTCCCTGCGTGGGCCTCGCGGAGCGATGATATTCTACCGTAAAGGCGTCCGTCGAACGACCAAAAAGGGCGAGAAGGAAATGTACGATCTCGAAGGACCCATCAACGCGTCTGTGTTCCCGGGTCATCAGGGAGGCCCTCATAATCATACCATCACGGCTCTTGCGGTAGCGTTGAAGCAGGCTCAGTCGAAAGAATTCAAGGAATACCAGAAGACCGTCCTTGCAAACGCGAAGTCTTTGGCCGAGAGACTGGGCAATTCTGCGTATACAGGTGGCCTAGGCTATAACATTGTCAGTGGTGGGACAGACAATCATTTAGTCCTTGTGGATCTGAAGTCTAAGGACATTGATGGCGCTCGTGTGGAACGTGTGCTTGAACTCTGCGGCGTGGCCGCCAACAAGAATACCGTCCCGGGCGACAAGTCGGCTCTCAAACCCGGTGGCCTGAGGATGGGTTCGCCGGCGATGACAACCCGCGGGTTTCAACCGAGTGACTTTGCGCGCGTGGCCGAGATAGTGGATCGCGCGGTGGCGATCGCAATCAAGGTTGACAAGAATGCGCGGTCAGATGCCGAGGGGAAGGGGAAGAAGAACCCGCGCACCGTGAAGAGCTTCTTGGAGTTTCTAAAAGATGGCACGGACGTGGCGGAGATCTTGACGTTGCGGCAGGAGGTCGAGGACTGGGTTGGCACTTTTCCGGAGCCGTGGGTGGCGAACGGGGCGGCGTGATGAGAAACACTGATTGAGACTGCGGGACTTCACGGACGAGGATGATACGCAGTGAGGACGGTAATGTTGCCATCGACACTACTGGTCCAGTGTCTAAGTCGAGGAGCGGAGGACTCAAGGCACGCAAGCCTCCTGTGTAATGCTTCTGTGGGCGTGAGGCCTACTCAACGGTGGCTCCGAGATCTTAAGAGGGCGTTTGTTGGCGAGCAATAGTACGATGCCGCAGTACTGTACTCCGTACTGTGAGCGAGGTTTCAGCAACCAGGTCACCAACAGGTGGAGGAACTCTGTTTCTCGAGATTACGCACACCTGCCTCTGTAGAGACCCCCTTTCCGGGTCGATGAGGAGTGTCTTCCATCTCACACAATCACTGGATGCGAATCCAATAATTATGGCCACGCAATCTGGAGCTCATAATGTCGAATTGGCACTTTAATGACGCTCGAGCAGTGAAATTGGGAGCTCACGTGCCCAAGGAGGGACGGGGACGGTCGGAAGTTGTGGCCATGTTTCACCGATAGCAAGATGGAGATCTCTCCATCTCTCATCCACCTTGAGGCGCGTCTAGGCGTGTCTCAGAGCAGGCTTAACGTCGAGTTTCAGACTAGTCGCCGTTCCGCACCGCACTCAGTGGCTGTGGTGAAGGAATGCATGGCGGAAAAGGCTGTAGTAGCAGAACCCATATACACAATGCAGCAAAGCTGTACGTAGAAACGCGGGATCAGTGTTGTAGACGGAGTAACTGCTTGCCCGTTGCTCCGCTGCTGGTGTCCTTCTCGTACGAGGCTTGAAGCAGAGAACTGTTTAGGCATTACGTGGATTGGGATTGTGGATCGGCGACCGTTTGATCGACAGGAGAGCGAACGGTGCACCTCTGTCTTGGGGCTTTTTCGTCAGCCTGCGTTGTGTTGCGAGCTTGGGAGATTCGATAATTAGACCATACGCCACGTGGACGAGATGCCGTGTCAACAAGCCTCGCGTCGTGTACTTAAGTCCCTCGGGCTCTGGACATGAAGAACAAGAAGCGGCCCTTCCTACTGTACATCCGACTGTGAGCCCGAGTAATCTTTGCCGGGCAAGTTGCAACGGGTGTTCATCACGGCGAGAAAGCAGCGAGCCCTGATCCTCGGTCGTTCTTGTGTGTTGGACCCAGGAGTCCCACACAATGATATGTCATTTCTCCTAGGCAGAGGACAACAATTGTTTTGATTAACCTGACCTGATACCGTATGCACTTATGGGTACTCCGTACAGTCAATAAACTTACCTCGTAGTGTCCATAGAGCATATCCGCACGGTCGCCTACATACTATTTCCAGCGACTCGTGGCTACCCTGGGCACCGGCATCGGACCTCGACTGGTTAGCGAGACGAGGGTCGCCATTTCGGATACGAAGGTTCGCGTCGCCGTGTGTGTGCCAACAGCTGTTCTTACTCAGAGTCATCCTTGCATATCGTCGACTACGAGTACCGATCTCTCGACTGCAAAAAACTGCAAGTCATGCACGAAAACTACAGATCGAGCTACAACCATTGGCAATTGGGACGCGTGTCTTTCCAATCAAATGCTCAAACAGCGGCTCGAAGAAGTGGACATGGTCAGGAAGGAGGTGTGACTGGAAGACGAAGGCGCGGGCAGTGCCGAAGTGGCAGGCGCGGCGCTCGCTGAATCCGCCGATTCGCCGTCTCCTTGATCACAATTTCACCCGTTCATTTCCGACAGCGCCAGATCAGCAACCGCGAAGGCTTCCCCTCCACTCTGCTGTCTGTCCAAAGCATACAGGCGTTGGTCACGCCGGCTCCAGTAGCGCAGAGGGACTACCCGCACTGTCTCAATCCACGGTCTCCATCACAATCGACTGAAGTTTGAGGCCTACGCTGCGTGCAGTATCGATGCTGGCTGCTGGCTACCGGTCAAGCTCGGCTGGACAGCGTCAGAGTCTTAAGAGGAGGCTGTGCCGCTGCTCACACACACCGGATCGTCACCGTGCTCGATGATGGGAAAGAGAACTATACTCCGTACGGAGTACACAGAACTGGATTCCGCATTCATCGATGGTGGTGCACACGAGCCATCTTGGAATATCTCGGTTAACATAGCGGACGTGGTTGGGCGGGACCACCTGCTCTCCTATTCTCATGAACCCCGTAAGCACAACCGCATGAAAGTCTTGCGTTCCGGGACCGAGATCACCCCAGTTATTGCTGGTGCCACCAGCGCAATTGCCTACGCGCGTCCAACAGCATATTCTGCGATGAACAATCACCGTCCCTCAAGTATATGATTTTCCACAAGTCCAGCTGTCACATGTTGATCTGACAGTCGACAAATAACGTCACGATGCAATCCTTCAGCCTCCAACCTCATACGGGCGCCCCAAGCTTCGATGAGACAGGTCCAAGGTTCATGAAGGCCGTGGCACTTTTCGCCGCCACAATCTCGGACGAAGTCAGCGTCAAGCCAATGACGGCGGCCGGAGGCTTGATGAGGCTGGCCTAAGCACGCCATGTGGGCACCGCTATTGTGTCGGCGACCAGACAGACCCGCCGCTGCCCCTGACAGAAGGAAATGGCCTCCTCCACCACGCAAATGGGTATCGACACTAGAATGATACCCTAATTTCCCACACACGCTCCCATGGGTCAACACAAGTGTATATGAGTCCAGCTTCTTCGCAGCTATGGTTGAACTCCTCTCCTCTCTCCATCCCACGATCAAACTCCAACTTCCAGTCGCTCGTTAGCAACCACAACGCCGGTCTTTGTACCACCCACACTCGTTTTTACAACAAACCACCAACAACCTCGAATCCACTACCTATTTTCTAATCCAGAAATTACTCCATCCATCAAAATGAAGGTCACCGCTGCTGTCGCTGCCGTTGCAGCTTTCGCCTCCACTGCCTCCGCTGGTGTCGCCACCTGGTCTGACTGGAGCTCCTCGACCACCACGACCACCACATCCGCCAAAGCCGCCAAGTCAACCACCACCTCCGGCTCCTGGGCTGACTGGACCACCAGCACCAGCGCTGCTGCCAAGACCACCACCACCGTCAAGAGCGCTGTTGAGTCGAGCACTGTCACCTGGGGTGACTGGACCTCCAGCGCCCCGGTCAGCTACACGACCACCGTTGTGAGTGCTATTACGACCTACGTTCCCGGCAAAACGTCGTTCGCCCACGCTGGCAAGACCTATGAGATCTCATCAGCCACGACATTGACCATCACTGATTGCCCATGCACCATTTCCGTCCCCGTCTACACCAAGACCTCCACATCTTGCAGGTATTTGAACCAAGCTGACTGTTTTGCCTTTCCGCAGACTGATTCTTCCAGCACCTCCGAGGCGGCCGTAACCTGGTCTGACTGGACTTCCTCTACCGCCGTGGTCGCCACCTCTTACACTCCAGTTGCTGCTGCTGAGAGCTCCAGCACTGCCTGGTCCAGCTACGCCCCATCCAGCACCGTTGCCGCTGTCGCCACCTACACTGGTGCTGCCAACGCTCTCGTTGCCAACGTGGGCGCTGGTCTTGCTGGTGTTGGTGCCATCGCTGCTTTCCTCCTGTAAATTGGAGATCTTTGCTCGCTATGAATGGTACTGGTCGACAGGCAGAATTTGGCTTCGACTTGACATCATCGCCGGGCATTTGCATTCTCAGCACGGGCTAGGGGTGGAATCAACGGTCAGCCAAGCCGACTGTGACAAGCCATGACCGTCTGCAGCATGGTGATATTGGCAAGCTCGCAGTCGTCGCACCGGACAAGACCAAGGCTGGCCGATTGAACGAGGTGGTTGATACGATGTACAATACCGTGCATAGGACAATGACAATCCGCCCTCAACCTGGGTACTAAACATTTAATGAATGGATTTTGTGGATAGGATTGCCATCGCATTCTATGCTTGCGTGAGATGAAAGGAGACCGAGTGTAATCTCGATATATTCTTCGGCCATACAACTCCAGCTGGTTAAACTCCCACTGTACGGAGTATCGGTTTCTTGAATTTGCGCATCACTAAGTGTCTGCGTGGTTTCTCTCACTGTGAAACCCCCTTCTGCCTCACCCATCCGTGTCGTTCCAGACAGGGTCGGCCACTTGTTGACCGGCTGCCCGCTTCTCTTCTATTTTGACTTGGAAGGACGCCTCTGGGCTACTTCCACGTCAAAACGCACAGTGGTGTCGGGCTTCGTTTAGGGAATCGAGCTCGGATGCTCATGCCACCGCCTAGTAATAGAATCGACGTCGCGGGCCGCTGAATGCCGCTTCACGCCTGTAAGTCAGCTTCAGGTACTCTGTACGGAGTACAAGGCCTTTTGTCCATCTTGGGAGACACCAAGACCATCGTGACATGACCCCCGAGGCATTTCCGACACTGCGGCGAGAGAAGCCCGCTCAGGCCTGGAACCGCCCCTGTCTCCCCTGCATAGCGGAACTGTCCAGCCTCGGGCCATCCCCAGCGACCCCGGCTTCTCATCCCCACAATCGGTGACGGTCGTCTGATGTCGCGCTTCAAGCACGCAGCTCCGCTTGCCCGACCAGCTTCGCTTGCGCTGCCGTGAGCAGCTCTTGAAAGCACACAGTATTCTGTCTACAGGAGCTGGACCCTGGTGCTCGTACTATCGTTATTGCAACGAGCTCCAGCTTCGGAATAGCTCAGTAACTGGACCTCATGGAAGTTGTCTCCGAAGCTCCTCGGATAGAATGCTAAACCCGTTGAGCGGCCTTGTCTAAATCAATTGCATCTGTGTCTCTACATGAGTCAACGGTTGACTCGACCTTCGAACAGGACAAACTGGGTCTAAGGCGCTTGACCCGGGGCTCCCTGCCCTCGTCCGTATTACATCTTAGTTCTGGGTCGAATCGCTGTCTCAACACCAGAGGTGTTGTCGACCACACCAGACCGAAGCGCCACTACAGCCACGGTCCACCTCCTCCCACAATGGCACCACATAACACTGTCCAAGATGCCGTGCAGCAGGCTTCCCTCTCTGATCCCGCCCGGTTCTGGGACAAGCACGCAAAAGAGCTCCACTGGCACAAGCCGTACAGCACGGTCCTGCGGCAGCACACCAAGAAGCTGAAAGACGGGACGACACATCCACACTGGTCGTGGTTCCCTGACGGCGAAATCAGCACGACGTACAACTGCGTCGACAGGCATGTCAAGGCCGGCAATGGCGACAAGATGGCGATGATCTGGGACTCGCCCGTCAGTGGATCCAAGGAGAAATACACATACAGCCAGATGCTGGAAGAGGTGGAAACCCTGGCGGGCGTGCTGCGAGAAGAAGGCGTCAAGAAGGGCGACGTGGTGCTCATATACATGCCCATGATCCCGGCCGCCATCTTTGGCATGTTGGCGGCCGTCCGGCTGGGTGCCCTGCACGCCGTCGTGTTCGGAGGCTTCGCAGCCGCCAGTCTGGCGCAGAGGATCGAAGCCGCGAAACCGAAAGTCATCCTGACGGCGAGCTGCGCCATCGAGGGCGCCAAGGGGCCCCTAGAATACCGGCCTTTCGTGGAAGGCGCCATTGAGCAGAGCAGTTTCAAGCCCGCCAAGACGATCATCTGGCAGCGGGACGTCCGACGGTGGGACCCGGTCAAGAAAGACCAGGGCCAGCGCAACTGGCAGCGTCTCGTCAAGAGCGCGCGGAACCGCGGCGTCAAGGCCGAGGCTGTCCCCGTGGCCAGCACCGACGGCCTGTACATCATCTACACGAGCGGCACGACGGGTCTGCCCAAGGGCGTGCTCCGCGAGGCCGGTGGCCATGCGGTCGGTCTGAACTTGAGCATCAAATACCTCTTCGACGTCAAGGGGCCAGGAGACGTCATCTTCACGGGAAGCGACATCGGCTGGGTCGTCGGACACTCGTACATCGTCTACGCACCGCTGTTGGCCGGGGCCACGACGATCCTGTACGAGGGCAAACCCATCGGCACGCCCGACGCCGGGGCCTTTTGGCGGATCGTCGAGGAACATAAAGTCACGACGCTGTTCACCGCGCCCACGGCCCTGAGAGCCATCCGGAAGGAGGACCCCAACGACGACCTCTTCAAGCAACGCGGCGAGAAGGGCTCGTTGCGACACTGGCGCGCGCTGTTCCTGGCCGGCGAACGCTCCGAGCCCTCCATCATCACGCATTACCAGGACTTGATCGGCAAATACGCCGCCCCGGACGCGAGAGTCATCGACCACTGGTGGTCCAGCGAGAGTGGGAGTCCGATGACGGGACTGGCCTTGCGTCCTGCCATTGGCCTTGACCCTACCAGCCGCGAAGAGCACAAAGCGTTGGCCATCAAGCCCGGCAGTGCAGGAAAGCCGATGCCCGGCTGGGATGTGCGAATTGTCGACGACGAAGGCAACGAGGTCAAGCAAGGCAACATGGGCAACATTGTGCTGGGCATGCCGTTGGCCCCGACGGGCTTCACGACGCTATTCAACGACGACGCGCGCTTCTACAAGGGATATCTGAAACGGTTCCAGGGCAAGTGGATCGACACTGGCGACGCCGGGATGATCGACGACGAGGGCTACGTGCATGTGATGAGCCGGTCGGACGATATCATCAACGTGGCGGCCCATCGATTCAGCACAGGTATGTTCCCAGGCATAACATAGCGGCATAACGTAGCATTTGGTGGTCGAGATTGACACGCGTGCACTCACTAACACCCGTACCTTCACTTTGTAGGCGCCATCGAACAAGCCATCACGTCACACTCGTCCGTCGCCGAGGCCTGCGTCGTGGGCATCCCCGACGCCATGAAAGGCCATTTACCCTTTGCGTTTGTCATCCCCGCGGCCACGACGGACGCAAACCTCCCCGCCACGCCGGACAAGGAGTTCTTCACGGCCATCAACAACATTGTGCGCAACCAGATCGGGGCCATCGCGTCGCTGGGCGGCATCATCCAGGGGAAAGGCATGATCCCCAAGACGAGAAGCGGCAAGACGCTGAGGCGCGTGCTCAGGGAATTGGTCGAGAATGGCGTGCAGGGGAACTATGACAAGGAAGTCAATGTCCCTGCCACGGTTGAGGACAAGGAGGTCGTCGAGGTCGCGAGGCAGAAGGTCAAGGAGTGGTGCGAGGAGAGGAAGAAACAGCAGGGGACGGCGAAGCCGAAGTTGTAGCCTGCCTGGATATAGTGGGATTGAGCTTGTTCTTGGAGGAGGTCAAATGTATGTGCATGTGCATGTGCGTGTATGTATGTGTATGTGTCTGTGCATTCCATGAGCGAGCTGTACTTGTTTACGATATCTGAGATGAGATACAGTACTTCCCCCTCCGTCCCTGATGCCCCTGCCTTCGCACCGATATCCTTACAAACCTACTTCTGCAGGCTTGCTTAGTACACTCTACAGCAGGACGGATAGGCGTGAGTGGCTGCGTGCGTGCAGCCTCGATTCCCTCACGCGAGAAGCACTGATGCGTCCATATCACACCAAATCTGACAAGACCTACATGATACATGTTCGCCTCATACCACCCGATCTCACTTTCTGCCATCATGAATCGACTACCCACGATATAGCGTCCGTCCGTCCGTGCATTGTCGACCAGTCAGCTCTGTCGAACATGACGGACCACGAGGTATATTCAGGGGGTTTGCTTCCCCGTCACAATGCCCGAGGTCAATTGCGGAACGACACGAGTGAATTGAGTACACGGGTCCTGTTGTAGCGAGTTGAGCTTGTCGTATAGTATAGGATCTAGATATGGATGACATGAGCAGAAGTTGGATGGAAGTGGACTCTGCTGCGAACGGAGCGTCCAGAAGGGATACTCAGCTGCATAGGAATGCGGTCATAGGGAATGTTCGCCGGCGATGGAGGCAAGTAAACGTGATGTGAGGAGGTGTCATACGACGTGGTTGTATGTTGGGGAGCCGTCAGTCAAGTCGTTCTACGTCCTGTTCTACTGTTCTACTTCATGCGTCGTGCTCACTGAGTGTTACTGCTTGTGCTCAGTGACTGTGCTCACTGAGTGCCCCCGCAAATGTTCCCTGAACTGTCGCTAATGCTCTATGTCATCCCAACTCCGACCCTGCACCGCGTTCAACTCATCCATCGACATGACCTTGCCGGTGGTAAAGTACCCGGCGTGGATCTTGGCGTCAATCTCCACCCTCGAGTCCTCGGGAATCATCTCGTCCGGGATAGGCACCCTCTCGAGAATAGGGATGCCCTGCTCGACGATGGCGTCGTGCTTCATATTCGACATGCTCAACATGCGGTCGATCTTGGTGATGCCCAGCCAATGCAGGATATCCGGCATGAGAGCCTGGAACCGCATGTCCTTGACGCCGGCAATGTTCTCGGTGCGCTTAAAGTACTCGCTCGCGCGGTCAGCGCCGCGTTTCCGCGCATTGTACACGAGATACTTTGTGACCTCGCCGAGCGCGCGGCCTTCTTTGCGGAAGTAGATGACGACGCCGGAGCCGCCGCGCTGGGCTTCCTTGACGGCCTCCTCGATGCCGAAGATCAGGTACGGCCGACACGTGCAAATGTCCGACCCGAAGACGTCGCTGCCGTTGCATTCGTCGTGGACCCGCAGCGCGAGCCGCACATTCGGGTCCGCCATCTTCGCCGGGTCGCCGAAGCAGTATACCGTCAGGCCGCCTATGGGCGGCATGAAGACCTTGATGTCGTTTCGCGTGACCAGCTCCGGGTATGAGCCACCGGTGTGCTCGAACAGGGCGCGTCGGAGGGCCGATTCTTCAATGCCGAACCGTTCCGCCACCCCGGGGAGGTACCACACAGGCTCGACGGCGAACTTGGTCACATTCAGTTCGCCCGTGTCGTTCAGGCAGATTCGGCCATCGGGCCTCAGCCGGCCGGCTTTGACGGACTGTTCCAGCTCGGGGATCTTCATGTGGGCCTTTGTCACGGCGATGGTGGGTCGAATGTCCACGTCTTGAGATTGGATCAGGTCTTTGTACAGCCAGGGCGCCAGATGGCCAAAGGGATCCATGGCCACGATCTTCTTCTTGTCCCCCCACGCTGGGAAGGGGCCGATCGTCGCGGCCGGTTCGGTGTTGGTGAAGTCGGGTTTATGCTCGAGGTTCAGGTTGTGCGACGCCACCGCTAGGGCGTGGTAAATGCTGTACGAGCCGCCGTGGGCGCCGATGGCGTTGCGGCGACGGATCGTGTTGTGATGCCGAGACACCACGATCGGTCCACGCTTGGCTGGGTCCGGGTCACCCCATTCCATCGGGATGGGGTCGATCCCAGATTGACCAGGGTAAGTGGTCAGGATGATGCGTGAGGTGATGGAGGATTTCCTGGCTCCAGATGTCGGTGACGAGGGTGCCCTGAGAGCTGCGTCTGTAGGAGGGGAAGCCGCTCCCGTCGCCGACCTGCTCAGCTGGATGGGATCGAGGCTGGGCGAGTCTCGAGATTCTCGAATGCTTGCTCTCCTCTGGCCAGGTGCCGGCCTGAGCTGGCTGATTGAGTGCGAGGTATCGACTTTGCTCTGCAGGGCTTCGACGCTGGCTGCCAGGTTTGCGTGGTCCGTCTGCATCGTCTTCAGGGTGGAGAGGATCTCTGAAAGGACGAGCTCGGTGGTGACCCCGTTGGTGGGGGGCTGCGAAGCCGCCATGGCGTTAGACGGATGATAGTTGAAGCAGACCTCAGCCCGCCTTTCAAAGAGAGATATATACGACGAAGGGCACCGTATGAGTTGGCTACTCTCGATCCTATCTGTATGCCGTCTCCAACGAATACCCGGGCTCCACGATGTTGGTGCGACGCGTGAGATCCAGATCTTGCGTCTCCCACAGAGGTCTAAACCAAAGAAGAGGTGTACAGAAAACTAGATGCGTGTACAGAATAGGACCGAATAAAAGTATGGGCAAGGACCAATCTATTGATGAAGTGGCATCGTGGCGAGGGTGACAGGTGGAAGCTCTCAGAGCTCTTTAGACAGCGTGACAGGTACCCGGCATGTGGACGTGCCCCTCGATGCGGCGTCGGAGATGCTGGGTCAGCTGTTGTCTGATTGGTGGCGCGGCTATCGGACGCTACCGACTGCGATAAGATGAGCCTTAGCTTGTTCACGTGACTAGCGTCGCGCTTATGTAACAGGCGCCACTGCTTCTGCATCCGCGCTCACTACGGAGTACATAGACGAGACGGCATCCCTCAGCACTCTCCAGGAACGAGCAATCTGAACAACTCCAAACCTTTAGCCACCGATCCATTACCGGCTCAACCGAGAGATCGTTGAAATTACAATGGTACGTCCTGTAGAGAATTCTGGCACTGACTTTCTACATCTGACCAAGCCGCGCACAGGGCAAGCGCAAGAAGTCATCACGCAAGCCGCAAGGCCCAAGAAAGGTTTGTGGTTGCCCATCCTGCATTCAAATCGCAGTCGGCAGAACGCCGGACCCCTAGACTGACGTTCTTGTGCCCATCTGCAGCGCGAACCGCTCGCCTCAACCTTCACCTGCCTCTTCTGCAACCACGAAAAGGCGATTCAAGTCAAACTGGACAAGAAGGCCGGCGTCGGCAACCTGCACTGCAAGGTCTGTGGCCAGAAATACCAGACGGGGATCAATTACCTCTCGGCCGCCGTGGACGTGTACTCGGACTGGGTCGATGCGTGTGAGGAGGTCGCGAAGCAAGCCGCAGACGAGGAGGCAGAGGATGCAAAGTTTAGTAGTTATGCTACTGGTGGCACCCGCCCCGGAGCGGCAAGGGCTGGAGTGCCGGCTGGCGGTGGCGGTGGCGGCGGGGATGACGAGGAGGATGATGCAGAGTATGGGGATGAGTGATATCACTTGCACAGTACGGCAGGTGGAAGGGGGCAATTACAAAGATGAGATGCATAGCATGGCGTTTGGTGGCGGGACGGGACTTTTGTACAACTACAGTATGAACAGGGGATACCTAAAGGGCAATCGAAGGGCAGGCAGGCACATCTCACCCAGCGTGCCTGAAGAGTTCTGGGTCCGAAATCTAGGCATGGGCTATGATGCGTCGAGCTTGAGCAGAGAACCGCGGTCTCGTGGGGAACCAGAAGATATCTACCTCACAAACCAATTGAGGTTGTGGCCGCAAGATATTTCATCTTTGTGCCATTGCTCTGCTACGGATCGTCTTTGGTTGTTGCGGCGGATTACTATAGCTGGACACAAAGAGAAGACTGCCACTTGTCACCTTGAAGCCCGACCTCTACTTGGCATCAACGTCTCTAACCAGTGGCCCTCGTCCGTTGCCAAGCCATGGTGGCATGTGTGTGTACTTCCCGGACGCGAGGGAAAACGCCTTTACGAAATCGATGTGCTGCACAAGATGCAGACGTAGGAGAGAAACTGGTGAAACTGTCGGCCTCGGAAGCCAGCGCGTTACATGGCATCAGATCATCGCACTCGCAGGCAAGCCCAACAGATCAAAAGAAGCAGGACATCGAGACAAACATCTGATGGTGATGTGCTTCTTGTGAGCCGCATCTGGGCTTCAAGGGACCGATTGTCTCGAGTAGCTCTTTGCAAGTGCAGAGGTGAGACCGATGGGTGAGACCGACATGCACCTTGAGCATGACGTGCCTGCACAACGGCACTACCAGCGTGGGGGAGATGAGAACGTTTGGTGTCCATGGCATACCTCTCCCCATTAGAAGCCTTGCTTCAATTGTTGTTTCTTTCAGACATCACCATCTCGATCGGGGCCCCGATGGGATAGGTAAGGTTGGTGACGAAATCAAAGACTGCATCTTGCTCCTTCAGGTGTTTTGGTTTCATGAAGGCCCTTTGCAGCCCGAGAACCGCCGAGTCACGGTTCCGACGACGGTACGTCTGTGATAGTCAAATGTCGCGGAGCCAGGAGGCTTGGGATCCCGTGCCGTAGATAGGTTTTAGGTTTCTTAGGAGTAAAGGATCTGACGCGAATGTGTGTCTTGTGCCGTCAATCCCAGGAATTGAGATCTCATCGACGCGGATGCTTGCCACTGTCTCTCGAGGCGGATCAAAACCGACACTCAGGGAAGGCAAATAAGGCAGAGGCCCATACGTTCGGACACCGGATTGCGATCGATGCAAGGGTCTTGTGCGAAGGAAGCAAGCCTTTCGCCCTGCTTGTCCCTAAGTGCTGGAGGTTCGCAGGGCTGGACCTTTTTGACTTCGCACTGATTGTCCCAGGAGTACGTCGTCTCAGCCTGACCACCACCCAGAATCGTGGGAAGTGTACGGCTTTCCAACCCGTTGACCCTGATGGGTCCGCTGCGTTCGAAGGGGCTAGAGTCCCAGACACCGGCCGCAGGTTGATTTCAATAAAGATGAATTTGACTCAACTCTTCATACCCTGAACGTCCCTGTCGCCAGTGATGGCGAGTCTCTTTCGTCTTATTGGACTCCCTCGTGCCGGATGATCTCGGATTCGCGAGAAGAAGAGAGGAATGAGACGAAACCCACCCACCTCGTATAACAATAGTGTGCTGACCACATAGGCGTACCGCTTCATGTAAGGGGTTTTGATTGTTGGCCCGGAGGAGCCTGGATCTGACAATGCAAGACATTGTTGGTGTGCGATTGTTCCGCGACATGTTGCCACGTTCTGGGGGCCCCTTTGCCCCATTCTCGAGGCTTGTCTGACGTATTGGACGACGTCTCCTTTCGATTGCCGTGCCTGCAACTGTGATATGCATGAGAAGGGGAAGGCTGTTCCGTCGACTTACCGGCAGGAAGCTCGGACGAATCGCAGCCAATCGAGCGCTGGTCCTGCGATCATTCGAGACACGGCGTTCACTAGGCCTTGGGATCTGGTGCTTGTCCCGACATTCGCGGCTGCTTCGTACTTTCTCGTGCCCTTGTCCGAGGAATCTATGCCGCTTTCGGAACGGGGTTATCGTTGCTCCTGCGTCGGCTAAGCGAGGTGCTACGAGGACATTGAGCTGACGACGACGATCTGCTGGCCATTTCTTTCAATGGTTGGCCGTCGTCAACCTGTCTTCTGGTGCAGTGCTTCCTGCACAGACGATCGATGCAAGATCGTTGAACTTGCAGTGAACAGGCATCGGATGCAGTGCAATGCAACGACGGAAGAGAAGGCTGGTCATGGCAGATGTGAAATACGCCTAGTCTGGAGTTGGCTCAAGACTTACTGACATCACGGGGTAACGGCCAACACAGTACTCCGTACTCCGTAGACACGACAGCCACCCCTCGGAGCGAGCGACATGGCGTGAGTGGAAACTAGTCAACGCTGTGGGTTCGTCGCCAGAAGAAGGAAAAGTCATGGCTGGGAGAACAGCAAGGCATCCCATGTCCGGAGTTCTGGATAGTACTGTCGTGACTGTGTACAAGCTGGACGGAGACACGGCGCTGATCTAGCGAACCGTGCGACCACTGAGTAGTGACTGGAATACAGTAATTGGTCACTCCGGGCCACACCTGGTCGAAACCAGGAGGAAGAGCGGTGCTGGGGCTCTTGCTCCGCAAATCATGCATTGACAACACAGCAGATGCTGGCATGTGGGCGGTAAGGCGGACTGTGGATTTTGAGCCGGCCTCTGCCAAATATTCGACCCTGGCTTTTCTTTCACCAACGTTCCGGAAAGGGATGGTGATTGCTAACCCAAAGTCTATTCGTGTGATAGCTCAAGAGTACGGATCTGCACGTCGGCATGTAACTCGTACTGCTAAGACATCTCCGTGTCATCTCAAGCCGCGTATCCTCCGATGACAGTTGACATGCGGACCAGAGACCCGAGACCGTCAAGTACCACGGGCGGGATGAGCAAGAGGCTGGAAAATTGGAAGCCGATCGACGTGGCTGCATATGCCATTACGGAGGGCTGTGCCCCGTGCATAACACCTCGAAGGTCGAGAACGAGTCGTGTCCAAGCAGCAGACAGGAAACTCGAGGAAGTGGTCAAGCTTTGCAGCGACCGCGCTTGTGATTGCGCTGGCTCATCATCCACGCATTGCGGCCTTAGGAAGCTATTGATCTTGCAGCCTGCACACCTCTGGTTGGCATGCATAGAGATTCGAGCTGCAATGCGACCTTAATTCTAGCGGATACAAATGCACAGCGGGAACTGCCCTGTGTGCATCCCCGCATGCACGCAAGCTGAAGATCCCTCTTAGGTATTACCAGCAGCGGTTGAGCAGCTTTGCAATATATAGTGCACTGGCGTGGCTGTAGCCGCGGCAGCTTCAGCACTCAGCACAATGCTGGGAAGTCTTGATCATCCCCAAGACTGTGTGTGGTTGATGCATCACGCGAATGACCGGTCCTTGAGAAGTATGGAGGACTGCAAATAATATGCCCCGAATATTCATCCGAGGTGGATAGCCCGGTAAGGTCTGGAATGGAGCGTTATTTGGCGACGTAAGGACCTCTCGAAGGGGAAGTAGTGGAATCGAACGTATTCCATATCAAGGTGCACAATAAAGTGTTGAGTCCAGTACGTCCTGACCGCTCTGCAAGGTTTTGGGAGGCTGAGAGAGAGCGTGAAGGGACATCCACGGTTGTGGAAGACCGGTGTATAACTCAGTCGCGCGAGCATGAGGCCTTCACTACGGAGTACGATTTCCATCATGTTGGAACATTGTCAGTCCTTGCGTTGGCTATCGACTATGCTGAAAGGCGACATCAATACCACGCTTCAAGCGACGCGTCAGTCCGAAGCTTGCGGCACAGCTCGTCGGCCAACATGCGGTTGGCCATGAGCATGACGCGCAGCACGCGGATCAGGCTAAACCTGAAACTTGACATGGCCGAAGGTCTAAAGCTGCGCTTGCCAGCCATATGCTGACAGATGATGCCGTCAGCTCCGAGACTGGGTTCGGGATCGGCCTTGACTTCTCTGGAATGCCAGCAAGAACAATCCCTTGTAGCACAGGGTATCTGAGACCGACTCACCTCGGATGCTTGTACAGGACCATATGGGATATTCTTGTACCATGAGTCGGCACTCAGATTCTCTTGGGGAAGGCGGCTCTCCTTCTGGCGACGGAAGCTGATTACCGCCGTACCTCACTTTAGCGCCAAAAAGGGTCCCTCAGAGGCGCCCAATCTGGAGTTCGTCAAGAGGAAAATCAAAATCTGTGTTCTGTCTTAACCGAGGCCAAGGTGCACTTGCCGGCACGATACCGCGAGAGTTTGAGCAAGGGCCTGGGTTTGACCTGTCTTGACCACAACGACGGCGTGTCGGGGTCAGTGGTAGCGACGCGAGAGCTAGCTGATCGCGGCTTGCGAGATGGCTTGTGCGCATCTTGCGAGCATCCGCAAGTCAGTGACAAGGAGCAGGGGAGGAGGGATTCGAGGACCACTGACCAGGGTACCAGGGGTGGCCTTGCCGGTCACTTGTCACCGGTCTTCCCCTCACCCAGGATGGGCGCCATCACTTTCCGTTCCGGACTAAGCGCGACATCCAGGCCAGGACACGCTTCTGTTGGTTGGTGCCACCTGGAAATCGTCCGACACTGTGGCACAAGCCATTTCGTTGAGGCCGAGGAAGTTAGAATCCAGACCGAGAATTTGATTGGGCAAGGATTGAGTAACATTGTGACGAGAAGAATGTCGCAGCGGGAGGAACCAATGCTCGTGACATGAAGGCAGTAACTGAGGTCGCACTGGATGGAGATTCAAAAGCAAGGTCAGGAAGGCGCAGGCGCGAGTGTGGGCGCCGGCGGAAGTGCCCTTGAGGGTGGCTGGGCTCCTCAGATGGCCACGACTCACGGGCTAGACAAAACAAGGCCCAACATCCACCGTCCGGGCTTTGCCTCGGAGTAGTGGGACTAAGATTTTAGAAGGCGATTTGGCGCGAGCTGGTGTGGTTGGAGCGTTCCTTGGGGGCTGATCGTGATAAGGTCGAAGATTCTCCGACCTTGCACGCGTGCGAGGACTGATAGGCGTGCCATGGGCGGTACGGAGTGGATGCCAGGTGGTGAGGAGGGATTCGCGGGCGTGGTTCTAGTCCGGGTCTGTGGCTTGAGAGACATCCAATGACTATGGCTTGGTGGGCCTATCTTGACTGGATGGCTGGGGACATGAAGGCTTCAACTTTCGCAGCATGTCTGGGCTGCTGCGACGAGCCGGAAGAGAATAATCTGGCTACGGGTTGATTGTAAAGAGTAATGTACTTTCTTTCTACTGTAGACCGTACTGAGTATCGAGGTGGTTATACGTGAGCGCTAAAAAAACACGGGCGCAACAAGAGACGGACGCCACAAAATCTCTTCCTATGGGACAATGATAAATGTTCTTGAATTTGAAAGACTCTTAACCAGAACCAGCAATCCCCCGGGGCGCTGGGTAGATGCCGCTGAGTGTTCCCAGTAGCCTTTCCGGCTACAGGTTTTATGAGTCTGACAAAAGCTCCTCCCCCGAGCTCGGTTACTTGGACGTCCAATTTGTATACAACCGCAGTAGCACCCTTGTCCTCGACAACTAGCCTACTGAGTAAGGTGAGCACTTGCCGCAGCCCTGTTTTCATCCGTACGAGGAATTTCTCGTGGCGAATCCTTCCTTGCGAAGGAGATGCCCTGGGGAAAGATATGGTAAGTGGCAGGAAGCTCTCGGGCTTTGCCCAAGTGTTCCTCTAGAATATACTGTGCACTGTGTACGGAGTAGCTCCCAGTGCTCCCACGCGATAGTCGGCCAAAGTGCAGCTTATCGATTCGAGGAGTTCCTAGCCGGAGGGCGTCAGTCCACGGTCATCGCCCTCGCGTCGTTTTGAGATGAACTCGGGAATGGAGGAAGATGGACAGCCAGCCGTTTCCCGCCTGCGATTGGCACCCTGCGCCTGCCTGCCGTGGGTCTTTGTTCGACCTTTGATGGAGGGTCAGGTCAAGTCGCCAGTTGCGGGACGCTGGGGATCGCTGGCAATATCGCTGCGTGTGGACAGTGGACACTGGGCAAAAGGCCACGGTTGGAAGTGGAACCCCGTGGGCAACCTGCAAAAGACTTGCGCCTAGGCAGGTCAAGGGACAATCTGGCGCCAATCACAGCGTGTGGCCAGCGGGTGATGGGCTAGCTTAATGGGCCAGTTAGCGGGCGGCTTATCTGGGAGGGGAAAGGATCCATGGCGGGCGTGAACCAACCGAACAGCGGCATCGGCTTCGCTCTGGGCTTCTGGCTTTTCTCTGAAAAGCGACCCCAGCGTCTCCATCCACTGCCCGCCACCCTTCTGCCTTTTCTGCTCTAATGCACCACCTGCACACCTTCCTGTCCTCCCGCTCGGCTACTGCACACCGTCTGCATCCTACCTGCTTCTCACACCTCGTTGCCTCTTTCTCCAGATCTCCATTGAACGCTTCTTCCTGCATATTCCAACCCAATTGTACGTGGTCCTCCCAGTCAATCAGTTATGGCCTAATTGCGCATTACGGTCGTTGTCTGTGTTCGTCCTGTGCTGAGCAGCTATTTGGTACGTGCGAAAATCTACTGTCGGTCGCTGAGGAAAGATCCGCTGCCAATGCTCCGTAGTTCGCACAAAATCTTACCAAGCTGCTATTTTTTGGCTGGTCTTGCTGCATGCTTCATGTGCCTGCATGCTGCAACACCTCCATCGTGAGCCATTGCTGACGTCTTGCTCGACTGCACAGTTTGCGACCCATTGACGGTTCTCGTTGCTGTGTGCTTTCTTGCGCTGCAAGTTCGATCCAAGTCGCAACCTCAACCTGAGCCAGGCGACGGTTCGTTTTTGGACCTCGGCCACCGCATCCAGCCCTATACGCATTAGCCGTGCTCATCCACAATTCGGTCTTCTTCGTTGAAGAATAGATTGTTGGACGTGGGCTGCATCTGCACCATCGAGACGAAGACAAGGCTTGACACGAAGCCGTAGTCAATTGCGCTTCCTGGCTTCCACCGAGTACACAGTGTGTCGACTCTGGGACTCCAACTCCATTCAAGCAGGCTTTTTTGGCGATCAGGAAAAAGCAGCCTTGTCTCGGTCCTTCAGTCTGTTCATAACGGATTCCCGGCTGCGGAAGTGTGTTGAAGAGGTGGTCCATATTGCTAGATCTCGGTCCCACAAGTACGCCCTGCAATCGGGAGATTCGTGCCTGGACGAGTTGTCGACGTGCGAAGGAAGTAGCCATCAGGCCACGAATTGCAAGCTTCGAAGGGGTGGTTGTTGTGCTTTGCTTGAAGTCCGGCCTGGGCGGAGATAGTATCTTCGCAACCTCACCCACTAACTGACAACATCGGCCCAACATGAACCAAACTCAGTCGTACATGGAGATGCATCCCGGCTCTCACATATCCTCGGGACCGTCATACACGCATGCCGCTCCTACTGCGCCTTTGGGACATTATCAGCAGTATCCTCAGCCTCCGCCTCCCGCGACCTCCCATTACGGGCCATCTCCAACCTACGGCACTTATGGCTATCCAAATGGTGTGACTTCTCCACAGTCTGTGACCGGCCCGGTCCCGCAACAAGTTCAGTCTCAAATCACATCCCTGCCTGGTAAGTTTGACGTGACCGAGCGAGAAACCGTGCTCTTTGACTAACATGGTGAGCAGCAATTATGACTGGCGGCCCAAATTCCCAGCATTCGTACGTGTCTCAAACGCCGACTCTACCTGCTCCGAATCAAGGCTACCCCCAACCACAACAGCCATTCGATACCACCGGCCAGATCGCGCCTCCAGGGATGAAGCCAAGAGTCACGGCGACGCTGTGGGAAGATGAAGGCAGCCTTTGCTTCCAAGTCGAGGCCAAGGGAGTTTGTGTTGCCCGCCGTGAAGGTACGCCGCTTGAAAACACGAAAACCTCCGAAGTTGCTCAGTGCTTACTTGCTTGATAGATAACCACTTCATCAACGGCACGAAGCTTCTTAATGTTGCGGGAATGACTCGAGGACGTCGTGATGGCATCTTGAAATCCGAGAAGACTCGACATGTGGTGAAAATCGGACCTATGCACCTCAAAGGTGTCTGGTAAGTCTCGTGGTCACTTCCTGTGGCCTTTCTTTTCTGACCTTGTCCAGGATCCCTTTCGAACGTGCTCTCGACTTCGCGAACAAGGAAAAGATTACAGACCTCCTCTATCCACTTTTTGTACATAACATCGGCGGCTTGTTGTACAACCCTGAGAATGCCCCTCGAACAAACGCGGTGGTACAGGCGACGGAGCGGCGTCGTATGGATAGTGTCGACTCCGGCCGTCCACCTCAGCCGTCTGCGGCACCAGCACTTCCGCACCACAACAGTATGCCAGGTCCTGGTCAAGCTCCGCCAACGCCGCACTCGATTGCTCCACACCCGAATGCACCCCGGCCAGGCATTGATCGTGCGCACACGTTCCCTACTCCGCCTACGAGCGCATCAAGTGTGTTGGGCATGAGTAGCCAAGGAAACTCATATGACTGGGGCAATCAGAACATGACGAATGGTGCTGGAGCTCAACCGCTATCCATTGATACCGGTATGAATGCGCGATCCATGCCCACCACGCCTGCCACTACTCCGCCTGGAACGTCTGGTCAAGGCATGCAGTCATATCAAGGGCAAACGGGTTACGAGAGCTCGAAACACTATTATAGCACTACACCAAGCTCTCAAACTGGCTACGCGCAGCATCCAGATGGTAACAGATACGGCCAGCCCATGCCTCCTATGCAATATGGCAAGTCCGACATGGGCCCTCCAATCGCTCCAGGGAGCAACAGTGCAGGCGCAGATGGCCATGAACCGAAGCCTGATGCGTACTCTACTCAGGGCCATCCATCACAACATGAAACCGATCATCCGGACAGTGGTTACATGAGCGCAAATGCCTCGGCGTATGGCGCCAACCGACAGTATTCATACAGTACGAGCGGCGACCACCCGCACCTGTCACCTGAGCAGATGTCGAGCTCTCCGACACACCAAGCTGGGTCTGGACATGCGACACCTCGGACCATGCCTTCAGGTCAGCCACAATGGCCAGGCGAATATAACACCCCACCGCGACCACCTACATCGAGCAATGTATATAATGTCATGGGTGGCCGCACACCACAAGGAGCCCCTACGGACAACTACGGGAACCCGGGATACTCAGGCTCGGGTCATGCCACTGGTGTGCCTTCAGCAAAACGCGGACGAGAGGATGACGACCAAGACCGCCCTGGCAGCCGAGATTATGACGCTTACGACTCGAAACGACGCAAGACGGGACGACAAGATACCTTCGGTATGCCTCTCAATGCGCCTCCCCACATGCAAGCCATCAAAACCGGCGGTCAGCGATAGAGATCCACGAATATCCTGCTTGGGATGAATTTTTGTCGTTGTGGCCGACACATACGGCCGTTGGAGAAATGACTTGCACCTTCTGATGGCTAAACCTCCGACATAATGGCCACGTCACGATACACTTCCAAAAAGCGATTACGAGATTATGACGGCCTTCGAGCCAAAAAGATCAAAGACTTCACGAACGGAACAAGCGTGTATGGTTTGCTTCCCCAACCTAACGACCTTAACGAAACGACTTCTTTTCGCTAGCGCTCGCAAACGGCGAAAATTTACGATTGTTCTTGCGATTTAGGCCAGTGGTTCAGGGTTACGGGCTTAGATGTTTTGCGCTTCTTGTTGTGTATGAGGGAATGATATATGCGTGGACGGATTATGATGTGGGATGAATGGCTACGATACTTGAGGCGCATGCTATATCCTTTGACTGCTGGATACAAGAGCAAGACTACATGCGGTCCATGGACCTTGTCAATGACACGACATTGTATAACCGAGAGTCAACCTTGTTCATGGTAATGAGGAGCTTGCGTCGTTATGCAGTGTCACCGATGTCAGCCGCCGACGGATCGATGGCTTTAGGCTTCTCCATCGTGGGAGCTTCACTCAAGGCATGTCAGCTACAACAAAAGCTCTATTTCTATTCATCATCGTGTTGCAAAATGAAGTAGGTCGCTGGCGAGTGGCATTCTTACATCCGTTCTCCGTACTGGTTGACCTTCTGGTTTTCTTTGCGATGATCACTATGGCAGGCATTTGGGTTTTTGTGCGCTCTTTACCCCTCCAAGCCTTCATTGGTCCAAGATAACTAGCGCACAATTCGAGGTCTTGGCAGTCTTGCACCCGAAATCTGATCAAAGTCATCGCACGCCCACAGGTCAACTCTCGTTCATCGACGTCGACCCTCTCACCATCCTCGCATCAAGATGTAAGTGACGGATTGATTGTTAAGTGGACGTGTTCAGTGTTTTCATCTGCTGGCCCACACCTGCACTGAGGCTGCGGAGAAGGATCATGAGCTCGTTCATCTCTGAGGGCCAGTCCAAAGCTAATACCGCCTCTTGTTCAGGGTGAACCTCCGAACTCAGAAGCGCCTCGCGGCGTCCGTTGTTGGCTGTGGCAAGCGCAAGATCTGGCTTGATCCTAATGAAGTCAACGAAATCTCCAACGCAAACTCCCGCCAGACCATCCGAAAATTGGTTAGCGATGGCCTCATCATCCGCAAGCCAGTTGCCATGCACTCGCGAGCCCGTGCCAGAGAGTTGAACGCCGCGCGACGAATCGGGAGACATCGAGGCTTCGGCAAGAGAAAGGGTACAAAGGATGCAAGAATGCCTAGGTATGATCGATCGAGCCCATGACGCACAGAGTCACGGGCTACTTGAGGAGGAGCAATTTACTGATGGATGTGGTTTTATACAGCCAGGTACTCTGGATGAGACGCCTTCGTGTTCTCCGACGCCTTCTTGTCAAGTATCGTGCCGCTGGCAAGATTGACAAGCACCTCTACCACGAGCTCTACCAGTTGAGCAAGGGTAACACATTCAAGCACAAGCGTGCATTGGTCGAACATGTATGACACCCAGCTTGTCTTCCCCATGCCGCCCGCATACTGACAACGCATGATAGATCCACAAGGCCAAGGCCGAGAAGCAACGTGAGAGAGTCCTCAAGGAGGAAATGGATGCCAAACGTGCGAAGACGAAGGCTGCTCGTGAGAGGAGGCAGGAGCGCATCCAGACAAAGAGAAGCGCTTTGGCTGGTGACGCCGAGGAGGAGACCAAGGCTGAGTAGATGGTTGCACAATCAAGGGCGTCGGCGAGATGAGATGATTGTTACGATGATGTGGACAACCATAGTCAGCTGGGATTGTCTATGGAAGATTCCACCACGAACAATATGGTGCCGGGACATGCGTAGCTCGGTGGAGCGGCCTCGACATTCGAAAGAGCGATTATGCCCTTCGACCAGCCTATGCCACCATTGAGAGGATCGTGATTTTCAATCGGCGTCACGATCAAGCCAGGAAGAAATCCCTTAGAAGGTGTTTTCTCCCACAGAAGTCTATGATACAGCCTGCAAGTCTTGCCTTGTCTCCTCGTCCCTGTGTTGTCGAACAATTAAAATATGATGAGAGGTCTAGTTTTCCCAACCAGTAAAGCCTGAGCATTGCTAGGTACCTAATCTTGAAGTCGACAAGCCAGAGAGGATGCTGCTGGTGCTGGAGAGTGCGTTCCGCCAGCACAACCTTCTCACCTCCTCACCTCCTCAACCTCTTCCGGCTAGGCGTCCTCATCGCCTATTTGACTGCCCATTTCCTTTCCTCTCCCAGACGCAGGGCCTTGCATCACGCCAGCGTTAGACCTGCTGCAACCCAATGCATGATATCCTGCCACAGACGCATCCGCTTTCCGACAAGACAGTGCGCAAGCCTGAGCGAGTATCCACTGCAACCGCTGAGTGTGACGAGTCATTTCTTAGACTCACAACGCACGCACAAACTGTCACGCTGTTTTGGGAACGATGCTTAGCCTTGTCGATTGATCCAGCATAGATGCCACCAGTCTTGATCTAGTCCGTGACCGATTCAACTTCATCCTGATCTCCAAACTGCTTCTCACATCTGGCAGACGAATGAAGAGGTGCTGCGTCCCATCTATATGCCGTCTTCCATCCTCGGTGCAGGTTGCAATCTTGGTCACGCGCCCTCACTTGCCATATCAATCATTGGGACTGTGGAACGAGAACTTGGTCGTCCCTCATCTAGTGAATGATTTGACCTCCACCTGCAGTCGATTCAGATTGAGCAACGTTTTGCAATCACTTTATGGGCTGATGAGGCCCGCGCACGTGGGCACACCCCATCTTACTGCTGAGACCCATGCTGAGCTGTTCAAGAACCCCCAGAACAAAGGATGTTCGGTGGTAGTTGGGGAGCTGTAGGTGAGTATGTTTTGATCCATCGAATTTTCCCCCTCCATCGGATCCCTCTTGCTTCTACCTGTCGTAAAAACAAGCATGGAAGCCGCCATTTTAGGCTCCTTCTTGCAGCGAGGAAAGGATTTCATGATTTAGAAGGACGAAGTATGACACAACCCCAGACACGCTCGTCTGGCGTCGGACGCTCTTAAGCAGCACTGGTTTACGAGGACCGCCGACATGCAGTTCCACCTACAGGCTCCGTGGTGGTGTTATTCTTACCACCTTCCTCACGACAGAGACGCCGATGACCCTCTCCTGCCCAACTGCCCTCTCTCTCCCTGTGTCCCAGAGCATTCATCGATGGAGCGGTATCTAATCTATGGCAATAGCTCCTGGAGGAGATAACCTAGCCGATAGGGAGCGCAACCCGCCACCTAAGCCTATCCCATTAGAGTTCCCGAACTATATCCCACCACGATGTGAATCCCCCTTGAGCCAGAAACATATCAAAACCGTTTGCCGGAGTCTTGCGTCTATTCGTCGGCTTGCAGACATTCAAGACTCCCATCTTGCACATCTCAACGTTCAGCTCGACCAAGATGTTCCCCCCTCAGAATTAATCCCCAGCCAGGGGTTTGAGGCTCGCCCGCTCCTGTACGATGCCGATCTCACAGCCATGCTGACGGAACTCGAAGCTGACAATGAAGACGCTTACCGGGAAATCCTCCGGATGCCTCCACTAGAGGGCCGAAAGAAACCCCGCCTAGCTTATTCCAGGAACTTCTTTGCAAGTCTAGAAGATATGAGTCGGTATTGGGACGACAGCAAAGACAACTACTATGAGGTTGAGGCGAGCCATGCAGAAGACCCGGGCAAAGATCTCGAAGACGCTGGCGACAAATCCATGGAAGCCTTGGAGTCAAATGAAGTCGAAATGACAGGGATCTCCCGCAACAGACAGAATGTACAACGAAGCAACGAACAGGTGGTCAACGGAAGCCCTTCTGGCGTTGACATAAACACACAAACTACAGAACTTTCTGCTCGGCCGAAAATGAAACAGGTATACAAAGGAAATCGATTAGGCAACGGCGAGCAAATGACGGCAGGTACACGGGTCGCGGCACTGCGAAACCTCCTCAAGATGGCCGTCCACAAATTCAATTGCCGGGATTACGACGTCAGTCCACGGGAGAGGTTGCGGATACAGAACATCAATGTTCCTGCTGCGTCGTACAACTTCTGTGTCGCAAAGCTGCCAGCCGAGCCGACACTTCTAAGAGCAAGAATGGTGGAAGGGCCGCTTATGGCCGTGCATTGTCGAAACGAAGTGCGATTCAAATCCAGAGAGGGTCTTCTGAGTCCAACCAGTGATTTTGTAGGAGAGAAATTCGATCTCTTTCGCGAAATAGGGGGTATGTTGATGCTTGCGAAACAGAGAGCGCGAGAAGGGCAGACACTGTCTAAAGAACCTAGAGAGGATCAGTGGTGGGCTGTCAAAAGCCGATGGGGCGGAGGCGAGATGAAATGGGGTCAGCTTGCCAGTGAAGTTTTCGAAGACGACGATCCTAGCTGGAGTGTCGCAGAGCGGCGACTACAGCTGGAAAAGCGAGAGAAAGAAGAAGATGAACGCAGAAAGGCAGAGGCAGCAGTCGCGACTGACCTGAATAATCTCAAACCGGAGGATCTGATTTCCGGACCACCGACCCCTGGCAGCGAGCGACCCAAGAAGAAGAAGAAAAGCGGCGCAGAAGGTGGTGCGTCGAAAGATAGGAGCGAGTACAAAGATGGGCGGAAGTTGATGTACGTTCCTCCCTTACGGCGGAAGTGGTATCAGGAATGGGTGAAAATTCGACCGAACGGACCTTGCTGGGACGAAAAGATCATCTATCGAACTGTTGGCAAGGTCGGAGAAGGCGAAGGGAACGTTGGCTGGGATGATGTCTACATGGTTTCGGGTGCCAATCACCACGCCTGCATACTGAGGATGAGCGTCCACGACAACTACCTCGAATGGCTGGAGACTGGGAAAGCCAGCAGTGTGAGTCGAGGAGGCACGTCTGAGAAGCCAGGCTCCCGGCAGGACCACGTGCTGTATGTGAGTCGAAGTCCATGGTTTGATCTCTTCGAGATCGAGCAACGAAAAGAGCTCCTCGTTGCCATATGGCGGATATTGAGCTGGATGAACAGAAAGGAAGTGCCAAAAGAGCAGATCGAGAAGATGGAAGAGCTCAAGCAGCAGCAGACGGAGCAATTGAACGGAGACCGCGAGATGGAAGTCTGATTTGGGCGACGCGCTGGCGACCTCTGGTTCAGCCGGCATCAAGGAGGAATCCCAACATTGAATGCAGACTGGAGGACACGAAATCCCCCAGGCCATCAACATGAACCTGACACTATCAGACAATCACATCACCTTGCTCTGGCGCCCTCATAGTACAACTGGAACCAGGTGGCAGAAGTAGATGCGGCCGACGCTGTTTAGGTGCACCTATGTAGCTGCCCATCCACGAGCAGATCATACACCGCCATAATTAGAGCTGTTCGAGCGGAAGAGGCTGATCAGCCTGGCTTGCCTCCGAGAGGTGCAAGAGATGAATTGCTTGGCCCCACTTCAGCCTCGTGCATACCCGCTGAGCGGAGGCGGACCAATAGAAAGCACTGATTTGTGGACCAGGCTGTGAAGACGTCATTTTCCATGTTAATTTTTGTCCCGCAGTCTTGCGAAGAGTCATTACGGAGTAAGTACATAGGTTTCCACGAGTATTCCACCTGCTCGGCTACACCTCTCCCCAAGCGACCACCACCACTTTTCCTATCGCATACCATGCCTACATCGAACCTCACACAAAGCATTCGCATCCCCAGCAATGGCGCAAACGGCGATCAGCAGCGCCGGGAAGTCTCGCGCAGCCTCTCCATGTCAACCTCTCCCGACCACCATCGCAAAGCCTCGTTCGGCGTCACGGACAGCCAGAGCTACAGCACCTCACCGAACCTGAGAAGAGTGGCAACCGGGCCCCAACCCAAACTCCTCAAACCTTTTCGAGAACAGGACGTCAAGATCTTATTGTTGGAAAACGTTAACCAGACCGGGAGGGATATACTCAAGGGCCAGGGCTATCAAGTGGAATTCATGAAGAGTTCTCTACCGGAGGATCAGCTGATTGAGAAGATAAAGTATGTTGCAACTCAACAGCGTCCTTCTATCCTCCCTTTGCCAACCGATATGATGAGATATCCGGATGTAAATTCACAGACCTGTTCTGAAAGCGCAAGCTGTGTGGATATTTCCGTTGCCTTCCTTCTGATCCCACGTTCCATCTGATGTCCCTTACTACGTGAACCAGAGAGAGTCGATTCTAACCACCGTTTGTGGCATTCAGAGATGTCCACGTCATAGGAATCCGATCAAAAACAAAACTCACCTCCCGCGTCCTCAGCCACGCAAAGAACCTCATCGTGATCGGCTGCTTCTGCATCGGCACCAACCAAGTGGACCTGAAATATGCCGCCTCGCACGGAATCTGCGTCTTCAATTCGCCCTTTTCAAACTCCCGTTCTGTCGCCGAATTGGTGATATGCGAGGTCATCGCCCTGGCGCGACAACTGGGGGACAGAAGTAGCGAGCTGCACGCGGGGACGTGGAACAAAGTGTCCAACAAATGCTGGGAAGTCCGCGGCAAGACCCTCGGCATAATCGGCTACGGACACATCGGATCCCAGCTGTCCGTCCTCGCCGAAGCAATGGGCATGGACGTGATCTACTACGACGTGGTCAACCTGATGGCGATGGGCACGGCGCGCCAAGTGCCCACGCTCGAAGCGCTCCTCAAAAATGCCGACTTTGTGACGTGCCACGTCCCCGAACTGCCCGAGACGATCAACATGATCGGCGCGCACGAGCTCGAGACGATGAAATCTGGCTCCTACGTGATCAACGCGTCGCGAGGCAGCGTCGTCGACATCCCCGCGCTCATCGACGCCATGCGCGCGGGCCACATCGCCGGCGCGGCCCTGGACGTCTACCCCGCCGAACCGGCGGGCAACGGCGACTACTTCAACAACGACCTGAACCCGTGGGCCGAGGACCTGCGGTCGCTCAAGAACCTGATCCTGACGCCCCACATCGGCGGGTCCACCGAGGAGGCACAGTCCGCCATCGGCGTCGAGGTTGCGGAGTCGCTCGTCCGCTACGTCAACGAGGGCGTCACCACGGGCGCGGTCAACATGCCCGAAGTGGCCCTGAGGTCGCTGACCATGGACGAGCCGAACCACGCGCGCGTCATCTTCATCCATCAAAACGTGCCGGGTGTGTTGAAGCGCGTGAATCAGATCCTGGGCGACCACAATGTCGACAAGCAGATGACGGATAGTAGAGGGGAGGTGGCGTATTTGATGGCGGATATCAGCAACGTCAGGGAGGAGGAGGTTGCCGAGTTGTACGGCGAGTTGGAACGGGTCAAGGAGCGGATTTTGACGAGAATTCTGTACTAGAGGATTGATGAGGCGAGTGGTGCGCATCATGGTGTTGGTGGTGGTCAAACGGATGGGAAGGGTCTTCTCTGGTTTGACCTGATCTGATCTGGTCTAGGTGATGGCTTCTACAGGCCGACTAGGCTTTGCTCCCAAAAAACCTACAACTCGGACGGTCAAAAAACAAAAAAAGCATTGTGGGCGTATTTGTGGCTAGACCTATCACGATAACAAATGACACGACACAGCTTTCAACAGCTGGATTGGGCGTTTCCCGGAGCAAGACATGGGATGGAGCATAGGGTTGCTGGCGGTGGCTTCAGGAATGCTCCAGGTTCAACAGTGACAGACAGGGAGGAAGCAAACGCTTGGGAACTAGAATTAGGGACTGGGTAAATCTGCATAGTCCCACAGGGGGTTTCTCTTGTCGTAATCGAGCACTGTCCACTCTGATGCTAAAAGTCGCTGATACGACTGATATACTGTGGCATGAAGATTGAGCCTGATAGCTCATTAAGACCCCAGTAGCCTCTCAGTCCCCTGGAGACCCAGATCTGTTAACTTGATTTCGGGCTGGTCGCCGAAGCACCCACACGACTGTATCACGGGAGGTATCCCCACGTCGTCACATCCTTCTCGAAATATCATTTCTTGCTGAGTGCCCTCAGGGCAGTATCAAGGAATTAACCCAACCTCGTCACATCCTTCTCGAATTACCGTTTCGCTGCTGAGATCAAAGAGCTTGGAATCATTGTTTTGTTTTGATGCCACTAGGGCAGCCAGGAGCAGGTGATCATAATGTGAAATAGCGATCGCCAAAATCACCTAAGCCAGGAACGATATAGCTGCTCAAGTAAGCATGAGAGTCTCAACCATGGACGGTGTCTACTCACTTCTGTTCGTTGAGGCCTTGGTCCACAAAAGCCGTGATGACCCTCACCTTGGGAACCTTCTTGGCAAAATTCTCAATGCCTTCGGGGCTGGCAATCAAGTTTAAGAAGAGGATATGTTCTTCTGGAACGCCCTTGCCCTTCAACACCTCGACCGCCATGATGGCACTACCACCAGTTGCCAGCATAGGGTCCAGAAGCAGCACCCACCGGTTGTGGATATCAGGAGGCAGCTTCTCATAGAAAAGCTTGGGCTTGCTTGTCTCTTCGTTGCGCTGGATGAGGATCTTGCCTATCCGCACTGACCGACAGCATTCTCGTAGACCCTGCTCCATTGACTCGCCTGCTCGCATTATTGAGACGCCACAAATCTTGCCTTCAAACTTGACCCCCACATAGTCCTTGCCGACAGGGGATGTGACTGTGTGGGCGACCACCGGCAGGTGATTGAGACCTTCTTCCACCAACAGGCGAATGATTCGATTCGAGTAGAAGATGAAGTCGGCTCGTTGGGTGTCTTTGTCTCGGATCATGCTTGAGCAGGCATGTCAGTCAACTTTCAGAGAGTCTCCTGCGTTAGACCTACGTCAGGAGAGCAATGAGCTGAGGGGTCTGTGGGAGGACATGGACGTTTTCCTGCGGCACACTCTTTGAGACGGTGGCTGTGGGTTTCTCTTCTTCAGGACGATAAGAAGGGCCAACGCCCAATGCAGGCGATTGAACACCGTTGGTGCGAGGGACTGAAGCCATTTCCTGACTCGGGCTCTAAGCTGCAGCTTATCGTGGAGAATCCGTGGGTGGCAGCTCGCGTGACCTTGGAAGGGTTGTCTGCAGGTTGCCCTCAGGTCGGGCAAGATGTCTTGAGGACGACCAAGGCCAGGAGCTGTGGTACTATCGGATCTGGTGGTACGTAGAGAGGTAGAACGAATTTACAAGGCAAGTGAAGCCATGGAGCCTTTGCTACCAGAGCAGCTCTCTCTGATCGAGCACTGCGATCTTCGTGGCTCAATTGTCAGGAGAGGAGTGAAGCTGAGCTGAGCTGTGGTGGGTGGGTGGGCGCATGCCTGTTCTGGGGAAGGTGCCAAAATCAACTCGTGGTTAAGATCGATAGGGAGAGGGGCGCCCGAGAGCTTAACTGAAAGGCCAGGGTCCAGGCATGTGCTTCGTGTTCCAGTGACCGCTTTGTTGATGCTTGACATCACCCCGCATGTCAAGATCAACAAAACACCAATGCCCGACTCTCCAAACTTGGGAAGCGCAGACAGCGTCTTTCAACGACGACTCAACCTTCACTTGCACTGGCTGGCCTTGACCTCATTGACGTTCTGCTTCGCCATTCTCTCACTCAAAGCCATGCGATAAAATGAATGCCTCTTCTTTGTTCTTGCGCGTGCCCCAAGAAACCCATAACAACAGACGAGCAAGCGTTCCACGCACCGACAAGAAACAAGTTTGAAAGAGTCGACAGCTTTTGCAAAGCGCCCTTTAGCGAATATGATGGAATTTCCAGTGGTTCGCCGGAAAGCGAACACATATGGGAAAGGCGCACGGAAGGTTCGAGTGCATGACCTTTTCGACGTCGGGGCGCAACCGTTGTTCGAGTCAACAAAATCAACTGAGCGCCATGCGCCCACGCCAACTGCACCCAGCCAGGACAACTATATATCTCAGAATAGCGAAGAAATCCATGGAAGAGCTACGCTGGTAGATGAGACGCGCGAGACAAAGGAGGATGCCATAGCTACCAGGCCATCAATCCCGCCATCGAGTGATCCCTCCGCTACATTCGACATCCAGTCTTCGGAGGACGACTCGGGCAAGCTCAAATCGAACCGACTCTCGAAGAAGAGGAAGATAGTCACCGTCGGTCCAACCGGGTATGATGTATTTTCAAGTACGACAGGTGACACAAAAGTCGCAATGCACAAGGTCAAAGGTGCACAGGACTTGGTGAAAAATGGAAGACCGAAAACGCTGCAACACGAGTCAGCAAATGTTAGCGGGATGGCTGGACGTACGAAGCCAGACAAGTCACCGCCTACAGCCAAAAGACTTGGTAAAGCTGGCATAAAGAGCGTTGTAAGACGTGCATCTGCAAGCAAAACAGTGTCTTCAGTTAGTGTTGTCGTTCCTAAAACATTCCAACGCAGAGAGCTTCGGACAAGCAGCGGCTCCTCTGCAGACATGTCGGATGCTTCCAATCACTCGGGTGTGTCTGGACGAAGCACTCCGAAGAGACAGCGGGTTGTGTCAGATGGAGGCGTGGCTTCTCCCACTCCTAGTGATCTTCATCTGACTGCATTGCGGTTGACCCCCGGTTCTGGTTCACAGAGATCGCATTCTCTGTCAGATGATGAGGAAATGAGAGATGTTCCCGTTGCGACTGCGTCAACAGGTCGCGCAAGACTGATCGATCGGCTGGATGCTCCTCGGACACAGAGTACAAGGAATTTGTCGACTCAGGTACCGGGCCTTCAGAAGGAAGTATCACAACCTCTCAAGGAGCCTGCCATCAAAACTGCACCGTCCAAGACTTTAGTCCGGCCAGCGCTTGAGAAGCAAACGTCCAGTCAATCAGTTGCCGCTTCAGGACGAATACGAGCCACTTACGCGAAGCAAAGGTCCTATCTGAGCGATATGGTCGATAGCCTGGACAGCGACCTGCCCGCTTCTACTAGCCAGGCATCCTCGCAGCAGAGCCATTCGCAGGCCTTGTCCTTCACAAGCGGGATAACGCCAATGGAGATGGACCTAGAAGACAGCGACGACGCTGACACCGGCAGTCGGATCAAGAGTATTCACGAGTTGCGTCGTGGTGGAGCAGTCAGGAAATTTGACCTAGAGCTTCAGACCATTCTCGAAGACGTTGAATCAACAACGAAGTCACTCCGAGTTACTGGCCTACTGCAGCTTGCCGATAAATTGGACGAACAGATGTTCTTGCGACATTTCCAAGACTCTGGCAACTTTCAACGCTTGATAGACTGCGTCAACGACAGCCTCGATGAAGTCAGTGCCTTGTTTGTGGCGTTAATTTTCCAGTCGGTGGTTTCGGCGGAAAGCTCATCCCCGAGAGTTTTGTTACAGGTATTGGACGCGCTCTACAGGCTACCTCCACGCTTTCTCTCCGAGACGCGTTCAGTGTCCAGGCTTGCGAAAGACCGAAGTCAGAACCTCTCCAAGCTGTTGGCCAACGATATCGCGGACTTTGAAAAAAGATGGGTTAAGGATTTAGGGCAACCCTCCTTGGATGTGGACAGAATCTTCCTTGGTGCTATTGAATCTGCTCAGCGCAAACTCATCAGCCTCAAAGAGCCGCTCCCGAGACTGCCACGGAAACTGGTGACTGAGGTGGTGTCCCAATTCACAAAGCCGCAAGAGGACATTACTGCAGGTGCAACATCCCGGCAAATTGGGGCCACCCGACTCTTGCTTTCCTTTCTGGAAATTGCTTGTGCGAACAATGAGCTTGCTGGCTCTCGCTTTCCAACTTCCCGTCTCCACGAACTGGGACAAGCCGTGGCGAGCACCATGAGAGAAGTTCGTCACTCTCATCCTGAGGTGGAGCACTCGTGCCTTCGACTGATCGTCAGTCTGAGCAATAACGAGGCGGAGGTCTGTGAGGCTTTGAGCAAGGGCAACGTTGTCGACGCTGTTTTCCAAGTGGTTGACGAACATTTCTTGACACTCGCGCGGCTTGCAGTCCTTGAGAAAGAGTTCGACAACTCCAGACTTGAATCCGTGATCCTTGCTGTCGGCTGCCTCCTTAATCTCGCCGAATGCGCAGATGCGGCTAGGGTGAAGATGCTGGTTCGGGACTCAGGTGGAACGAGCCTAGTCCACCGACTCATCGACATATTTAATCGCCATGTGAATCAAGCGACCGAGGTAGGCACCACTGCCAAGCAGTCCAGAGGCTGAATGCTAACAACGACAGGCGTTGACCATGGATCAAACGCAGATACTTGTCGCCTTCGGTTACATATCCGCGTTGCTGTGCACATTGTGCCTCAACCGCGCCGCCCGCCGAAGGATCTCCAAACATATCAAGGGAGAGGGCCTATCGCAACTGTTCGGTGCTGCGGACACATTCCTCCAGCATCTACAAACAGTTGAAGCGGCCCTCGAGGATGGGGAAGGCTCGTCAGTAGGATTTACTGCGCGGTTCACCACGGTGCTCGAAACTGTTAAAAAGCAAAATGTATGATTTCTCCGATTCAAGGAGAATGACGCCTCACGAAGATAGACATTGGGTAAAGGGCAGCATTGGAAATGTCAGAGTATAGTTCCTTCCGCACATATTAGATTCCCTTGGCCGTCTCTCTCGTTCAGACCGCAATGACTTGGTTCGAGCGCGAGAGTTCTCCCGGGCAAGCCCCGGTGTACTTGCCTGTCAACTGGATGTACCTCGTGCATCCCCAGCCACCATCCCAGCCGTGCTGCAAACGGATGCGGCGGCGGCTTCTAGATCATGTGCGGAAGGAATGACGATTGGCTGCGGGCCGCAAGATCATCCCGGCCAAGGTTCGAGGTCACGACAATCCCCCGCCAAACAATTCTCGAGCTCGTCTTGCATGCCTGAATTCCAAGGTCCCTTCCGATCATCACCAAGATGCCCATCACGCTTTCCTTCGCAAAGTGTCGGTGAGACTGACACATCGCCGGTTCCTGCCTGACTCTCTGTCGGGCCTGGCTGCGCCCTGAGTTGCAAAGTTTCAAAACCAGCACGAGGGGCGGCCCCGTTCACATGTGCTTCAAACAAAAATATCTCACTACACAAGACTCGCGCATATCGTAACACTTTGTACCTGTAACTCCGCAGAAGCCGTCATTCTTGAGTTCTTATTACATACTGAGTTCCTCAATCTGGTTCCCGACCATCATTCGATCCTCCTAGGGCCCGACTTTGTCGCTTCGAGTTCTTCGAAGCTCATTCCTCACTTCCTTTTTCCTTGCCAGACGTTTGCGCTAGGACACGGCGTCCCGAACCATTTTTCTGGGATCCAGGATTTAGAGCCGCGTTCTGGGGCCTGGCAACCTCCACCTCCGACTTTTGACGAGCACTGTCACCAGTATGGCTCCATCGGTTAAGCAGAGAAAGATTGCCATCCTGGGCAGTCGATCTGTCGGTGAGCGCCTCATTTCTAGCGACGGCTATACACGGCATATGCCAAGACAAGCGAAGGGTTCAAGGACTGACATCGACGACCGGAGCATAGGGAAATCCTCCTTGACCGTTCAATATTGCGAAGGCCACTTCGTTGAAAGCTATTATCCCACGATAGAGAACACGTTCAGTCACGAGATCGTCTACAAAGGGCAGACCTTCCTGACGGAAATCATCGACACCGCAGGCCAGGTTCGAATCACTGAAGAACAAGCGGGTTGCGCCACTATCGGCTGACAGCAGGATTACAGGATGAATATAGTCTACTGAATTCGAAATTATACATCGGCATCCACGGGTACCTCATCGTCTATTCGGTAGCCTCGAGGCAGTCGTTCGAGATGGTTAGGATCATTCGGGACAAATTACTGAATCACCTGGTAGGCGCGCCACCGTGATTGTGCAGGAGATTCCGGACTCGTGCTGACCAGCCAATGTAGGGCGCCGACTCTGTTCCCATCATGATCGTAGGTAACAAGAATGACGTCGACGCAAAGAAACAACGAAAAATTTCCGCCGAGGAAGGTCAAAAGTTGGGACAAGAACTCAACTGCGGTTGGATTGAAACCAGCGCACGAAACAATACCAATGTCGCGAAAGCATTCGAGCTGATGATCGCCGAGATCGAGAAATCGCAAGAACCTGACAAGCCTGCCGGGGGAGGAAAGTGCATGGTGATGTGAAGAGCTGCCGTACGCACATTCAAGAATCTTTGGAAGCGAGTCGCGGCCCACCAACGACTGGGCTGGGTGTCCCTTGGCCGTCAACACACCTGAAATGTCGGAGGGGCTCGATGATCTGATCTGGTGAAGATGGCGTTGCATGTCTTGGTTCAACCAGTGATTGGTACTCATGTCAGGATAGACTCAAATGGCGTTGGTGGATGCAACGAATCTCGGGTTGGGCATTTGCTGTTGCTGGCGGCCAGTTGGTCGTGAACAAGTGTACTGCTTAGTGCATGGCAGCGGCTTAACGTGTGTGGCGTTTTACCCGTGTATACAATATATAGAGGAGAGAAGAAAGTGGTTATGCTATTGTCACAAGATGGGCGACAAATTCGCTGGCCTCAGGAATCCGGAGTGACTCACGAGGCTCCGAACCTCTGCGGGGGTGAAGGGGCCGAAATTATGTGTGTAGGAACAGTTTCACCTGCACCACACGTGCTGTTGACAGGACACTCATTATTCCACGACCCGCCTAGACTCGCTGCCTCTCGTTTCTCTACTTCCATCAGACGCCCCTGTGACATAATGATAGAAGTACAAGATCTCATCGCCGAGAGGTATGTCGAGCCTGCAGCCTCTATATTTTGCTGGCTCACCGTTCGCGCAGAGGCGGGGACCCGCAGAAGGTGAAAGACAGCCTACAGAAGAGATACACCTCGACAGACGTTGTTGACCAGGTCATTGCACTGTGGCAAGATGCGTATCAGAGTCCGTCGCCTCACCATCAGCCCATGTATTTCCGCTGAGTCGTCGTGCAGCGCGGTACAAAGCCAGCCAAGTGGGCGCAAAGATCAATGCAGTACAGAAAGAGATTGGCCAGCTCAAGAAGGTCGGCGAAGCACTCCTTTCCCACACCCTACGGTCTGTCACTGATGGGAACATACTCCCAGGCAAAACAAGATGCAGACCACCTCCTGAAACAAAAGGTTGAGCTGGAGAAAGAGAAGAAGCAGACCGAAGACGAGGCCGCAGAAAAGGAGAAGCTGAGAGACCGCAAATGCAAGCTGATCGGCAACTACGTGCACGAGTCAGTGCCGGTAAATGACAACGAGGTCAGCAGAACCCTCACGCATCCATAAATCAGGGCGAACTCTCACGCAACTGGGCTAGGACTTCAACGAGGTCGTAAAGAAATGGGCGCCCGAGGGCTTCACGGAAGCGAAGCGCGACTGCCTCTCCCACCACGAAGTCATGACCCGCGCAGAGATTTACGACGGCGAACGAGGCGTCAAACTCGTCGGCCATCGAGGGTATTTTCTGAAGAAATGGGGCGTGCTGCTCAACCAGGCCCTCATTAACTACGGACTGCACTTCCTTGTCGCGAACGGTTACGATCCTCTTCAACCGCCATATTTTATGAAGGCCGAGTACATGGCCAAGACAGCACAGCTGGAGCAGTTCGACGAGGAGCTGTACAAGGTCATTGAGGACAAGGATGCAGAGGATAAATTTCTCATCGCGACAAGCGAGCAGCCCATCTCGGCCATGTTTGCAGAGGAGTGGTTGACCGCGCAGGATTTACCCAAGAAATTCGCCGGCTACTCGTCGTGTTTTCGGAAGGAGGCCGGTGCGCATGGGCGAGATGCCTGGGGCCTGTACCGGATACACCAGTTCGAGAAGGTGACGTCGCTGTACCATGAGTCGTCGTGCAACTGCTAATGGTTGGGATCAGATCGAGCAGTTCCTCTTCGTCAAGCCCGAAGACTCCTGGCAGGCCCTCGAAGACATGAAGTCTATTGCCGAAGAATTCTACCAGTCTCTGAAACTACCTTACCGAGTCGTCGCCATCGTTTCCGGAGCCCTCAACAACGCCGCAGCAAAGAAGTACGACCTGGAGGCGTGGTTCCCGTATCAGGGCGAATACAAGGAGCTCGTCTCATGCTCCAATTGCACAGACTACCAGACTAGGGAGCTTGAAATCCGGTACGGACAGAAGAAAGGCGCCATTGACTCCAGAAAGTCGTACGTGCATGCTCTGAACGGGACATTATGTGCCACGGAACGGACGCTGTGCTGCCTCCTGGAAAACTACCAGAAGGAAGATGGCTTTGAGGTGCCCGAAGTGTTGAGACGGTACATGCCGCCTGGCACGCCGGACATCATTCCATACACGAAGGAGTTACCGAAGGATACGGTGACGGCGAAGACCAAGCAGCCAGCCAAGCCAAAGCCTGACGGAGGTGCCCCTACTGGTGGACCAAAGCGTGAGATGCCAGCTGCGGACAATGTAGCCGACAAGATGAAGGATAGCTTGAAGGTCTGAGCGTGTCAGATGGCAAGGAGGTTCATGATGGGACGATCAGACATGAGGGCATGGCAGATTGTGCACCTGCATTCGGACGGAGCGCATCAATGGAAGGAGGGATACCGCCATCGACGGGCAACTAGAACGAGGAAAGCCTAATAAGACACGAGGACGCATTGTGGGCTCCGCGTGCGGGACAATAGATAAGCGTAGCTCGAATAACTCCCATGGAAGCAACCACTATTCGTCTTGCAATTGAGAAGGTATAAATACCTGAGATTGTCCCTCCCAAAATCTGAAGGCACCGCGAAGGCAAGCGGTGCAAATGGTCTCGTTGGTGCAATCGCAGGCAATGGTGACTAAGCGGGTGATGAAATCTTGGCAGCCTGATCACGTGGTCCCACGAACTGATGATTTTCACCGCGACTTCATTTGGCCAACCCATAGAATCCACCTGCCCATTCTCTTCCTCGCAACCCTTCAACAACAACCATCCTGCGACTTGACGACCTGTCGCAATCATGGCTGTTGGCAAGAACAAGCGCCTTTCCAAAGGCAAGAAAGGCCTCAAGTCAGTGCGCCGTCGTGTGAAGCCATTACGCCCATGCTAACGATCATGGCAGGAAGAGAACCCAAGACCCTTTCACCCGCAAAGATTGGTACTCGATCAAGGCTCCCTCAACCTTCAACCAGCGCGAGTACGTGATCCTGCATCGCCCCATGAATTTTTGATCCGCGAAAAGAGATAGTGGACAAGAGAGAACGAAGCATTGACAAGATATTTTCTGGGGCAACAGTGTAGGCAAAACCCTCGTCAACCGCACGACCGGTCTGAAATCCGCCAACGACGCCCTCAAGGGCCGCATCTTCGAGGTCTCGCTCGCGGACCTGCAGAACGACGAAGACCACGCCTTCCGCAAGGTCAAACTCCGAGTCGACGAGGTGCAGGGCAAGAACTGCCTGACCAACTTCCACGGCCTGGACTTCACATCCGACAAGCTGCGGTCGCTGGTGCGAAAGTGGCAGACGCTGATTGAGGCCAACGTCACGGTCAAGACGACGGACGACTACCTGCTGCGGTTGTTCGCCATTGCTTTCACCAAGAGACGGCCCAACCAGATCAAGAAGACCACCTACGCTGCCTCGTCCCAGATCCGGGCCATCCGCAAGAAGATGACGGAGATCATCCAACGCGAGGCCACGTCCGTCACGCTCGCTCAGTTGACCGGCAAGCTGATTCCCGAGGTCATTGGGCGCGAGATCGAAAAGTCCACGCAGGGCATCTACCCGTTGCAGAACGTGCATATTCGAAAGGTCAAGCTGTTGAAGGCCCCCAAATTCGACCTCGGCGCCCTGTTGGGCTTGCACGGCGAGAGTGGCGAGGATGACCAGGGCCGCAAGGTCGAGAGGGAATTCAAGGAGCCCGCGCCATTGGAGAGTGTTTAGATGTGATCAGAGAGGAGAGATGAATGAGCGGTCCATCATGTCAAAGCATGCTTTGGATTCAAGGCGGGACAGATGGAGTGACAAAAGGGAGGAGCAAAAGCTCATCCAGGTCAGCCTGCAAGCTGAGGCATGTCGTTGCGGCGAGTGGTAGATGCAACGCAAGTAACCCATGCCGGTGCGGTGGGCTGAAGGAAGAGTCCTTGACCACTTTGGCATTGTCGACCTCGATGCCGTCGACTGCGCCCAAGTGGAAGATCGGAAACGCTGTACGTAACTCGAATGCTAGATCGTGGCACAGGCTTAGCATTCTAGCATTGCAAAAGAACAACTGAAACCATGAAGCCAAGTTCCGAAACTGACACTAGAGGGCGAGTGTTTGTGTCATGTCGTCCATGAGCCTCTGCAGTAACTCGGCGTCGCCTCGCGACTGTATGTCCACTATGCTGGCGGCCGTTCATGACTCCCGTGGATGTTGCCAAAACGGATGGCCCATTGCTTTCTCCGCCAGAGGACTTCTATGGCGGCCTGTGAGTGGCAGACGTGGCGGCAATATACCACACCACCGCCCGCTCGAACCAACGCCTTTCACTAGCCTACTATTCTATCCCTGCGTAGCACAGCTCCTATCAAATGGAGTTTAATGCCCTACTACGTAGGGGTCTTATTGCTCATCAACGACCCTCGTCACAAACTCGCCGACCCCCCTCCGAAACTCCTCGAACCGCTCACTCATGACCCAATGCCCACAATCGACATCCAGCAGTTCGAAGCGCGGAAAGAACGCCCCCACCACGGGCAAGCTCTCATCCGCGACGTAGTGGCTCTTGGTGCCCCTGACCACCAACGTCGGGCCCTTGTATTGACTGGCCTCGGGATCCTTGAACGAGAAATCCGCCATGTGCCCCAGGTTCTTCGCCAGAGTGGCGACGGGGATGCGGAAGCCCAGCTGGGTCCGCGGCTGCGGCTGCGGCTGCGGCCTCTCGCTGTCTGGTGAAGAGCCGTGGCCGCCAGCGCCGCCCGCGTTACCGCCCGCCGGATGTGTCTGCGTCTTCTTGACCAAATTAGTGAGCAAAAACTGCCGGATCGCCAGCTCGGGCTCGTATTTCTGGAGGATCGCGTCCGCTTCCTTCTGCGTTTTCAGGGGCGGTCGATGCTCCTCGATCTCCCGCATCGCGCGCACGTATTTGGAGAAATCGCTCGCGAGGGCCGCGTCCACGGGCGCGTTGTCCACGGGTATGACGGCCGAGTATTGCGAGGGCCGCCGTAGGGCTAGCGTCATGGCGACTTTGGCGCCCATGGAGTGGCCGATCAGGGTGGGGTTGCGGATGCCGTGTCTTGCCACAAAATGTTCCACGTCGCGCGCCATGGCGCAGTAGGTGTGCGTGGACGCGTGCGGGCTGTCGCCGTGGTTGCGCAGGTCGAGGTTGTAGACTGGGCGGGAGAGGTCTTTGGCTAGGGTTCTGCGGAGCAGGAAGTGGAGGTGGTCAGCTGGCTAGATCGCCGTGCTTCGCGCACGCGTGTTGCAAAGTCATGGACCACGGGTTGCTGCTTACTTACTCATGGTGCGGTTGTTGCGCTGCGAGCCGAAGAGACCGTGCATGATGATGACGGGGCCGGGGCCTTTCGTGCTGGATTTCTCGGGCGGGTCGTGGCGTGAAAAGGCCAGGTCGACGATGTCCGCGTCGTCGTCAGCTGACCCATGGCGGGAGAGGAGGGTGCGCAAGCTGGAGAGCTGTCGGCGTGTTGAGAGTGCACGGATGGGTTGTTGCTGGCTCGGAAGCGCGACGCGGCTGAAGAGACGGTGACCGCGCATTGCCTGCACGAAAAGTTGAAATTCACAGTCTAATCGAGAGCCCAAGGTCTGTGCTACGTGTGGTGGAAAGGTGTTTGAGGGAACAGAAGCTCAGGGTATCTTTGAGTCTTGAAGAAATAATGTACATGGTGGTGAACGAGGCTGTGGGATGACGTCGGCGTTCAGCCTTGCGATCCCGCAGCTCGCACTGTGGCTCCTGCGGCCCCCGTTACTCGGTACGCGGAGTCTTCCCCTTGTCCCCTTCTTCGAAAGCCACTTCGTCGGCGAACTCGTCCTCGCTGTTGGGGCCCTCGTTTTCAAATGGGTTGTACTCGAGATCCAAGGCCGAACCAAGCTCTCTCCGTGCGATCGCCAGCCTTCTCTCTCGATTGCGTGCCGCCTCCTCTGGGGTCAGGATCAAGGAGGTCAAGCCCAGGGCTTGGGAGACGTCTCCCATGGTCAGACGCGCTTTCCGCCGTGCTTTTGCGCCGCCGTTTTCTATTTCGCTTCGCAGCCGTTTGGCATCCTTGTCGGCCATTAGTTCCTGAAATCGCTCGCGGATGCCCCTCAGTGCTATAATGATTTCGTCGGCAATCAACTCCTTGAAAGCACGCATGCTGACGTCGGCGTTGTCCTTGGCGATGAACTCGCTGGGTTCCCGAGACTCGGTGACGTGCTTGAGGATTTCCACTAGATTGGAGACTCCTGGCCGCCGTTCAGGGTCATAAGAGATGCCGGGCTCCGAGTCCGTTACGGCGCCCCGAATTTTGGCATGGATCTCCTCGGGGCTGTCCGTGATCAACACCCGGGACTTTGGATCTGGGTCGGATTTGGACATTTTGTGCTCCGGTCTTTTTAGAGACATGATCCTCTTCGCCGGGGCTGGATCTGGTCAGTAAAAGTCAGAGAGTAGGAGTTGACCTGGAGATCTCACAGATGACTGGCCATGGTAGTCGGAATACCTTCTGGCCGACCTGGGCGTTGAAGCCTCGAGCCAACGTCCGCGTGAACTCGATATGCTGGAGTTGGTCCTCTCCAACAGGAACAATAGAGGGTCTACTCGATGTCAGAGAGTGCCATGCCTAATGGTACCGAGGACGGAACTCACTGGTAGAGGAGGATATCGGCTGCTTGGAGCACAGGGTAGGAAAACAATCCGAGTTTGAGCTTCGCCGTGGCCTCGTCACTGTCGAGGTTGGCGTTTTCGGGCAAATTCAGTTTGCTCTACAGAATATGCCGTTAATACCGTATAACATTCATCGTTCCATCAGCGACGTTGACACACCTTCCATTGAGTCATCCGTGACAAATAGCCAGTAGATGCGATAGTGCTCAGGATCCACATCAGCGATGTATGTTGCGGCACCTGTGGATTCTGGTGAGCCATGCACGCCGCCAATCAGGTACGGGACGTCCTCACGTCGGATTGAAAGAACAGGGTAGTGTTGTCATTATTGTTCAAGCCGATGGCTAGAAGAGCTGCATAGGACTCCTGCCTCAGACGCGAGCGCTCCGAGCCTGGAACATCCGAGGTCAAAGCATGCAAGTCGACGACGGAGAAGTACTGCTCGTAGTGGTGGTTGACGGCAAACTTGGGATTGGTCGCTTGACCATGAAGCCGTTTCCATTGCCGCAGGGCTCCCAGATAGTTTCCGAGATGCGGTACCCCCGTAGGTTGAATCCCGGAAAACGATCTCCTTATTGTAGAAGTCGGCGCAACTCGTGCCCATGGATTGTGTATCGAATCATCAGCCTCGACCTCGGCCTCCTCGTCAGAAGGCGCCGGCGACTGTGACTTTTCGGAAAAGCTCAAGGGTAGCCTCTTGAAAATTCTAGGTCCGTAGGTGCGGGTGCTACTGCGAGATTGAGCCCTGCAAGGCTTGCACTTCCGCGTCAACACATGGCGGAGGCTGGGTGGCATTTCATTTAGCAAAGGAGTGTACGCGCACTCAAAGTACGCAAGAAGCCACAGGACGCGACGTCGGAAGAAAGAATTGATGGTCGAGGTCAACGACGTGATGCTCGTGGTGGAAGTTTTAGAGGAACGGGGTAATACGGGCCAAGACGAAGCGGAGCGGCGAATTTGACGTAATTTTACCGTCACAAACGCGCGCAGTACCGTATGTTCAGACCACCGCAAACCTGGAACTCTGCTCAATCTCTTCCCGTCTTTCCACTCTGTTCTTTGAACCTTCTACTTCGTAATATCTACTCCTCCACGATCGACTCACTGATCCGTCCTTCCTCACGTCTTTGTCCATCTTCGCTTGATCAAATCAGCCGCTTTCTCGCCAATTCCGTATCTGCAACGTGTCAGCTCCATTCCACCGCGGTTCAGCGGCGACATCCTTACGCTGGCATTTGGGTGTGGCCACCATGCAACGTAGGCATAATGCTAGTATCAGCCACGCTGAGGCCTTTGGTACCACGGACGAGAAGGTGCTCATCCAGGACAGCCATCTCATCGTCCGCCCGGCCCATCTTACAAGTCCCCGCAGCATGATAGCAGGTGGTGGCCTCCTGCTTGACGTAAGGGATCCAGTCTTCGCGCTTGGTGTACGCATGGTGTGTCAAATCTGTAGCCTTGGTCAGTTTGATCCTCTAGCGTCCTGCCCTATCGGCGTACCAGATGGCCATGATCCCTTTACAACCTCTTCCCCGGCGATTTTGTTCACATTCATAGCAATCTCGTTTCCGAGCCTGCAGCCTTCGGTGAGGACAAGCAGGTCGAGAGGATCAGAGAGATAATTGCAGTCCACAACAGGGTTCTCTAGCGGGTCTGCGGATTTCAACGTTACTGTGCCTTTGGAGCGCGGTGAAAACAGCTCCGTGATCACTGCAAAGGCATGCTTCTTATCTGCAGACAGCTGGTCAACTCTCCGCTGCGACATGCCCAGGGTGCATAACTCACCGATGGGATATTTATCGTATTGCTTGGGTCCTCCATACAGCTTCACAGAGTTAGCAGCGCACTCCCCGCCGTGACGACGGCTTCCGACGGCTTACCTCCGTGGTGAAAAACTCGATATTTGGCTGCTTCGGGGTCAAGCCCATCGGATCACGGCCGGCTTCCCTCTTGGCCTCCTGCCACAATGGGTCGTCCTTTAGACGCTCATCGAGTCTTGCAAAGGCGAACGCGCCAAAGGGGAATGTGGAGAGAATGCCTTCCTTCTTCTCCTTGTACAGCATATACGCGGCCATCGCAGCGTCGCCGTGGTACCTGAGATTCAGTCAGGAAGAGTCTCTGCAATCGACGGAGTTGATGTACACAAGATGGTCGTTTGTCAGGCCTTCCTTGGTAACCTCGTAAAACGCAAAGACAATCTGTGCCAAGTCAGTCGATTGAAGTAAGCTTTGGTGTGCAATTCGGTCACCAGGTGATCCAGTAAGTTCTTTCCCACTCCCGGTGCATCTACAAGACACTTGAGTCCCAACTGCTCCAGCTCCGCTTTTGGACCGATCCCGGATCGGAGGAGAACAGCAGGAGAACAATATGCCCCTTCAAGAGTCAGTTATATTCAGCGAAAGTAGTGGCCTGCCGAGCGCTACCTCCCGAGACAATAATCTCCTTCCGGGCCTTTACTGTTTTCTTCTCGCCGGTCTTGTCAATGAGCACGACGCTGACGGCCTGTAACTGGCCGTCTCTCTCTTCAAAGTTGATTTTGTCGACGACAGTCTCAACGACCAGATCGATGTTGTGTCTATGGTAGTCGTTGGTCACGAAGTCAGCACCCGTGCATCTGATGCCTTTGTGCACTTGGCAAAGAGTTAGTACCACTCCTACAGGAACAGCGTGGTGCCAAGCGTACCAGTCCGAACAGCATGGCCACTGCCATGTGCGGTCTCGCCATTGCTGAACATGTCAGCCACAAAAGGGAGACCTTTATCTTCCATACTCTTCAACAACAATTCCGAAATGGGCGCAAGATCGTGCGGCTCGGTGTGCAGTGGTCCATCGTAGCCGTGTGCCTTTTCGTCTGCCCTGAACCATGGCTTGTTGTGGAATGTCTCGGCCTGTGTGGTCATCAGCCAGGAACACCCATGCTCGGTTCAAACTCTGCAGACCTTCCGCATGTACTCGAAGAATTCTTCACCAGACCATCCTGGAAGACTGGAAGAGTGAGCAACTAATTATGCCGGGTGAGATCAAGGTGGTCCGTACTGCCAGTCGTCATAGTCCTGCTTGCTGCCTCTCACGCACAACGTGCCGTTGACACCACTGGATCCGCCCAGGAACTTCCCTCGACTGAGCTTCACTTGTCTCCCGTCGATACCTTTCATCGGAGGCGTGACGAGATTCCAGTCCAGTTCGCCGTCGAAGCATTTCGACCACCCACCAACCATGTGGACATTCTCGAGATCCTTATTGTGAGGACCAGCCTCGACAAGGAGAATGCGAGAATTGCTGTCCTCGGCGAGCCTGCCTGCCACGACACAACCTGCTGTGCCTCCGCCACTGTCATGCCCTCAGTATGTGAGAATAACCGGGCGTTGAGAGACCTACCAGACTATGAAATCGTACGCGTCCTGTTCGAGGATCCGACCGGGAGACATGATTGCGTGCTTGGGTCCAGCTTGACTCAATCGAGAGACAGAATGCGGTAGACAAAGTCTGAATTGTACAAACACGCTATCGCGCGATAGAATGGCGGGATTCCACGTATATCTCTAGGATCCCATATATACGAGGGTATGGCAATATGGAATTATTCCACGCCACTCCCGAACCCGAAGTACCACACTTCAGTTGCCAGTTCCAGGCCACCACGTTACTCTGTATGCGCTGAGTCCGACGCCAGAATAGGTCTCATTGGACGACACAGGACTCTCACCCCCCGCAAAATCCACGTCTATCTGGGGCACCCAGCCCGAGCGGAGATGGGATCGCGGAACAATTCCCTGGAACGGCATCTCGGGATCGGGTTTCAAAATGGTTGGGCTTTCGTTCTAACACTTCAACAGCAGTGAAACACGATCGCAGAGAGACGTTCGCTGTACGGAGTAGTACTGTCGTAGCGCTGACTTCCGAGCCCATCGTCAGGTGCCTATCCACCTCATTCATGCATGATCTTGGAATCTTCGACCCTTCCAGGAAGACGCACGCAGGATCTGCCGGCGCCGTGCTTGCTACTTACCCCGTAGGGGAGTCAAGGGGGGCTATTACATCCCTAGGCGCATACAGACATACATACGTGACCGGTGTGTCGCCGACCCCGCCGAGGCAACGTCCACGTTACTACATTACTGTACCTATGTTAGGGCGGCCTGTCAAAATGGGAGGTCGAGTAGGAATACCGTAGCAAAGCTGACGCGATGATCAGCGACGCTCCAGAGAGTCAGCACAGTCATACTACGCATCCGCTGTCAATGCTTGACGGAGGAACGGCCGAGGAATTACCCACCGGCTTCTCTGCGACGGCTGGAAGAGTAGCGGAAGATGGCCAGCGACAATGATCCTCAATCATCTGTTTTAGGGGTGTGTACCTGTCGAGCATGTGTTGTACCGCCGTCGGTCACATATGCAAAAAGTCGGGCTTTGTACACATACATGCGCAGCACTTTTAGCCAGCGATGAAGAGATGACGGTCTGGGATGTCCTCTGGCTGCCGGAGACTACAGTGCCGAGCGCCCACGTCTGTATACCTCCAGGAAGTAAGTCCTGCATATATACTCCGTATAGCCACTATGGATAAGGATTTAGGCATGTCTAGCACACAGTACTCCTGGAAGGTGACCTGATCAGTCGACAGGCAATGAAGCCCTGCGCTGCGCCCTCCCTTTGAATAGCTGTCGTTTCTTCCCTTCCCTCCTCTCCTCTTTTCGGGTGCCACCCTCATATTGGCCACTCTGATATGGTGCATGACGGACCTTGCACAAGAACTCTGGACGCCATCAATGTTTGTATTTATACAGGATACAGACGTGGTGTCCTTTGGGGGTGCCGCTTACTGCACTCCGGGCTCGCTCCATTCGTCCCATGCAGCCTGCTAAGCTGCGAGACGAACGCATTGCCCAGTCTTTCGATCACTCGAAGGGCCTGAGACCTGGGCACACATAAGGCATGGTACATTTCAGTCCTCTATGGGTGCAACCCCCCATGCACAGTCAGCCTCGCGCCTGCACCTCACGATCTAGTAATGAGCCACGAGCTTGGGATCATTCGGATGCTTCTCCCTAGCCTTCTCCCGGACTTCACTCATGCCCACGCCCTCACGCCTATGGTGCTGCCGTTCCATCAAGCCCAACAAGTCCCGCTTGGCAGCCACGTGCTTGTTGAACCCAAAGAGCCGTAGTTTGTCGTCGAGCTCCTTTTCCAGGTTCGCAAAGTCGGCGTCCATTTTCGACGCCACGTCTGGAGCCACGTCATGTCAGCATATGTCCCCGAAGAGCAGGGAGGCGCGAGCCAGGACCACCAAAAAACATACCTATGGATTCCCACCCCCACACGTTCGCCTTCATGCCTACGCCGTAAAACTGCCAGCGGCGCACAAAGGCCAGCCACGTCTCCACCACCTCCGGGGCGCCGTCGTAGACCGTGATCAACCTCTTCAACGTGATTCTCTCAAAGTTCTCCTGCGACTTCTTGTGCACGAAATTACTCCTCAGGACGGTCCAGCGCTCAATCTTCTTGGGCAAGGGCGCGGGCCCCGTACAAGGCAGGGAGAGCCAATACGCGGCACGGACGCAGAAGTCGGCGAAGAACTCGAGGTTGCGGGTGGAAAAGGAGCGCAGCTGTAATTGCGCGACGGGGATGCCGTGGGTCAAGGGGTGGTAGAGAGGCGTGCGGTAAGCTGCGAGCACGTTGGGAGGGACATTTGGTTTTGTGTGCTCGTCGAGGACAGGGGCAGAGGGAGAAAGATCCGTCGAGGAGGCCGCCAGAGGTGCAGATTTCGAGGATTGCCGGGGTGGAGAAGGGACCTCTCCTAAAGTTGAGGACTTTGTGGCTCGCGTGGGTGTGGGCGTGGGCGGTGCCGACGCTGACGTCTGATGTAAGGCTTGAGCTTGAGCCTCCGATACAATCTCTGGCTCAACTGTCTCTGTGTGTATGGAAGTTGCTGTGTGCTTTGGCGTGCGGTCGCCGGATGGATGCTCCGTGCTGCCTTCTTCTATGAACTTTTCGAGCTTGATCGGTTCCGAAATTGTAATGGACCCAGGCTCCGGCATGGAGAAACCGGCCGTGATATCGATAGGACCGATCTGCGCCTCTCCGGAGTTGTTCTTGTTGTCTTTGTCATGGCGCGACCTGGTGCTCGAGAATGGCCGTGTGGATGTCGTCCGAACATTCTGCGAAGGGGGCGCAAACCGAGGGCGGAGGCCAATTGTAGAGGTCTGAAAAAGAAAGTCATAATCAGCCAGTACCCCCAAAAGCAGCCGGTGACGAGGTGTGATTTCTGGTGATAGTGTCAGATAGATCATACCTTCTGCGGTCGACATGCTTCGATAGCTACGCGCAGACACCGCGGTGCCGACATGTTCTCACAAGATGAACCCGGATGGCGAGTTCGGCGACCAGTGACCCTTGTGTGATGGAAGCTGCACTTACGCTTGCTGGCAGCGTGAGCCCTCAAACACCAGCGGTACGAACAACTCGAGACCAGCATGCGATGTGCAGTGTCTGCTAAAGAGAAAAGCCAAAGGTTCGGGGTGGAAAGCCGAAGATGAACCGAAGCCTGAGCGCGTCGTTTGCACCAAAACCACATTATGTTAGGTACCGACACGATTCACCACTCTCTCTAACGACCTTGATTTCCAGGTATCGCGTGGGTAGTGCTGTAATGCTGATGGAGTCGTTCAGGCCTGCCTCCGCCCGGCCACGAAGCAAGCTCTGAATGCCTACAAAGGCCCGACTCTCAAACACCACATTGCGGTCGAGTCTGGTGATGAGGGTGCCGAACAACAGTCTAATCGAGCTCGTAGCGAGCTGAAGCGACAGAGTCCTCGCGCAGAGAGGCGCCCTCGTCCTATATGAGAAGCTTCTCAAGCATACAGCTCTCTCGTAGAGCGAGGCAAGTCTGTCTGTGTGCTTCTCGGCATATCGCCAGCAAGTGAATAACTACCTAGGTAGCTAATCAGCTGCGGCCTGCTTGCTTCTTCCTCAACTCCGACATGTCAAGCCTCACTAGGTTCTCCAGGAAAATGCCGTGGCTAATTTTCCAAGGTCCGACCGACTCTCAAACCTCACTTCTCCCCACACTCAATCATCCCCCAGCCCAGCCAGCACAGTCGCACTCGGCACGAAGAAGGTCGTCCCCGTCAAGGCCCGCGAGTAATCCAAGATACGATCATGCAACCCGGGCGGACTGCCCACAAACATCCTCTCCAGCATCTGCTCAATGACCCACAACTTGCTCGAATACCCGATGAAATAGGTCCCAAACTCGCCCTGCCCGGCATTGCCAAAAGGCATGTTATCCCTGAGGATGGACAGCTCGGCCCCGGTATGCGGGTCCTCGATCGTCGCGAGCTGCTTGTGGGGCTTCTGCTTGCCGTCGTCCTCCTGGTCCGCCAGCTCGACGTTGTCGAACTTGCGCCGCCCGATGACCGCCTCCTGCTGCTCCGTGGACAGCCGCTGCCACGCCGCAAGATCGTGCACGTACTTCTGCACGACCACGTAGCTTCCGCCCGCCGAGTGGGAGTCGTCGGCCTCGGTGACCAGCACGGATTCGTTGACCGCGGCGCCCACAGGGTTCGCCGTGCCGTCGACGAACCCCAATAGGTCGCGCACGTCGAAGTACCGGAACCCCACGGTCGAATCGATGACTTTGACGCTCTCGCCTAGCACGTCCATCAGTTGGCGCTCGAATTCGAAGCACAGATCCCGCCGCTGCGCGCGGATGTGGAAGAGCAGATCGCCCGGCGTGGACACCGCGGTGTGGACTTTGCCTTCGATCTTGGGGAACGGGTGCAGCTCCACCGGCCGGGGCACGTCCGAGAGCAAACGGTCCCAGAGGGCGCTGCCGATGCCGACGGTGCAGGCGAACGAGGCGTCGAGGTCGCGGATCGACACGTTCTTGCAGAGGTCGTCGACGCTGGCGAGTGCCGAGCGCGCCGTCTTGATGGCATCAGGCTGTTCCGTGACCGAGAGCACAAGGAACGTCGCCGACTGCGTGAGCGGTGCGTCGACCCGTTGTGACTCGATAGGCGTGCGTCGACTCATGGTTCTTCGACCCCCCGTAAGCCCCACCGCTTGTGCTTGATCCAGTAGCGATTGACTGAATGGTCTGCGGCCACAATGTGTTGACATGAGACGCCGGTGGTGCGGAAGCAGCGTTGTGCGTCCACCCTGTCTGGCTGCTCGCTTCGTGCCCGCCGCTCTCCAAGGTCTGAAGATCGACCTGTAGACCACCCGGCTGATCCTATTCGTATTCATGCCACAAGGACGGAACAGGAAGAATGTGCTCTTATCCTCAATTGCTTACCAAACATGGAGAACTTGCACGTCCTCCTTTAGCTGCGCTCGATTACATTGTCGTTGAAGCGATTGGGTAGGCAAGATAGGTCTGCCTCTCATGTTGGATGACTCAGCGTGCAGCGAGACCAGGGGTACGTACCCCCTTTTTGGTTACATTGGACGGTGAAACATCGACACAATTTGATGTCGTGGCTGTCGGTTTCATGAAAACAGAACATCTTGCAAGGCGATGTAGTTTCTTGCGCCAAGCACCTCATCTGGACGTTGTGATGACGACAAGGACCATAAGGACCAAACTACGCCGAAAGGAGGGCGTGAATGTGCTCAGCTCGCCTCGGTGGAGGAGATTCATTGCATTGCTGCTGAAGTATCTAGGCCTCGTGACAAAGGCATGCGCCGACCTCGAGGTAACAGTAGTCCATTATTCTGTCATACAATCCCATATCATCATAGCAAGAATGGCATGGAAGCCAAGTCATAAACTCTTAACATCATACGAGTAGGGTTTCTCCACGGATACCCAAGGAAAAGGAGAGACCTTGCATGCCCAACCAGCCCGAACCGTCGATCGTGTGTTGATCGCTGGGGAGCTGTGGCCAGAATTTCCAACAATCTGGTAGTGCTGAGCCAAAAAGAGTCGGCCCGAAGCGCGTCCCTCCCAGCCGATAGAAGTGAGCAATCGTCATTCAAGTACATGAACACAAATTAGAAGCGAGAAGTGAAACTGCGACCCAAAGATGGACGTCCCCCGTGGTCACTCTTCGTCACAGCGCTGGGTTGCGTGGACGCCACACCGATCTTTCCGAAGCCTTGGAGGATGTCGACGCCTTCATCATTGTCGTCGGAATTATCCTCAAACGACTTGAAGTCGAACAGGTCGTCGACCTGGTCAAGGATCTGAATATGTGTGGTTGAGCCTTTCACCGGGGAACCAGTTTGGGTAGCTCGAACGCGAGGGTTGAGGAGGGATCCACGAGTAGGGGTCTTCGCGTTGAGCTTGTAGCCATGGCTGAACACGTCGGAAAGGACGTCGGTCGAGGTAGCTGCTCGTGCGATGGATGGTCGCTTAAGAGGTGAGGAGGCAAATGTTGGTGTCGCCGGCGTAAGCCCAATGGCTGGGTCCGAGAAGATCTCAAACGCGCTTTCAGGCAGTTCAGTCGCCGTCAGGCTCGGCCATTTAAGAGGACTGTAGCCAGTGTCATCTGACATGAAAAGGCCAGAACTCTTGATGGGTGAATTGGCAAACTCGCGCATAGCTTTGCGATGCAGCAGGAGCTGTGTGTTTGGCGAGACTGAAGGCGGAGGACGGATCGGCTTCTTAAATATCACTGCAGGAGTCATTGGGTTCAGCGTGACGGCTGGACTGACTCGAACAGGAGAAGACGACTGTGGAGGTTCGGCTGTACAGGGTCGAAATCTAGCATGGCTAGGAGTCAGGTCGTGGGAAGAGCTTCTGATGCGGACTATCTCCTCTTCCGCACGACCTCTCTTCTTCCTCATTGGCTCAATGTCCAGCTCTGAGGTTAGCACGACGGCATTCTTGTTTGGCTTCAGAGCAGATGATTCAATGGAGGAGAAGTATCCACTGTCGTCGTTCTTGGTGAGGTTTTGGGCTTGCCGGTGAGTTGCAGTCGACCGCGACAGGCGAGCCGAAGGGGAAGAGATGGCTCTGTGATGGTTCGACACGACCACAGGTGGTGATGAGTTGATTGCATCCGGTGGAGGCGACTTCGGGATTGGCACAGTGGCGCTGTTCCCAAGGTCGGCAGTCTCATGCTCGTGCAAGGCAGCGTCTGAGGCTGGCAACGTGGCGTCCGAGGACAGCTCGGGTAAGGCAGGAGCTGTCTGGGGTCGGGGAGGTTCACTTGACTGACCAAGGAAGACGTTTGGTGCTAGAGCCTCCGACAGCTGTTGGGCAATCTGGGGTTGCGGGCGAACCGTGCTGGGAAGGTTATACATGGGTGCCAGCATGTTTCCTCTCGGTTTCTTGTCTTTGATAAACTGCGCCTCCATGCCCGGCACAATAACCCAGTAGCTTCCCTTCCCTGCGTCTCCTTTCGGTCTCTCTTGCTTGGTGAAGGCCTTGTGCAATGATAGGTTATGTCGGATGCTGTTGTGCCAGCTTTGCTTGGTGTCTCGTGCGTAGTATGCAAATGTGGTCGAAATCCAGTCGTAGATTTGTGCCAGCGTAAGACGTCGATTTGGTGCTCTCAAGATGGCCATGCCGATCATTTGCGCATAGCTGTAAGGAGGTTTGTTGCCGTCGTCCTCAACGGGGATCATGTCTTCCGGTTCCGGCAGGTGGAAGGTCGACTCTTCATCCTGTCGCGTCTTCTTGAAAGGTCGATCCGGCGGCAACTGCGCGTCCGAGTACGATCTCTTCAGGGGTTGCTTACGGAGGTACGAGGGCTCGGGAAAGTCGACAAAATTCTCGTGGGTTGTTGGCGCAGGGAAGTTTTCTTGTTCATAGGTGTCGAAATTACTGTTGAATGTGGTGAACATTGGTTGTACCATCTGAGGAGCGCGGGACTGTTGATCATGCAGCATCGCAGTTCTCTTCGTTGGTGACCCGATGTGGCTATGATTGGCCAGCTGGGGCGGAGGGATAGGGACATAGGTGAGATTTCCGAAGTAGGGTTTGGACGGTGACAATGTTGTAGTCTTCTGTGGGGAGAATTGATGGCACGGAGCCAGTGGAGCAGCCAGAATCACTGCAGGATGGCGAGATGCAGCAGGAGGATTTCTCATGGGCTGGAGTGGCATTGCTGAAGGTTGCAGGCGTGGTGGTGGCTTCTCGATAGGAGAGACGCTGGTAGATGGAGGTAGCATCGGATCCTGGTAAATCTGTACTAAAGGATGGGGACGTGTCGACGCCATTGCGACGAGTCGTGGAAACTATCAGATACACCTAGTAGGCAGAGAGTTGCATAAAAGTCGCGTCGTAACGAAGTCCGTATGTCCCATGAAGCAGTTTTGGAGCGAGTGAAGATGCAGCCTGAGTTGAGCCAGAGCCTCGAACCCCGGGAGCGGACGGTCACTGCACCTTCGAAGGGGGATCTCGATTTCGAAGAAAAGGGCGAGACGAGATTCGATGGACTTTGGCGAAGTGGAATAATCGAGACTAGGAGGTGGGTAGAGGTATGGATGTGTCTGTGCGGGAGGCCGGAAAATCGAGGCCGCGTTTTTGCGGTGGTGCAGATCGAAGGGGGCCGGTATTCAATGCTGGACCGTCGAAAGGGATAGACAGTGATAATCGAAGAATGGCTACCGAGTCAAAGAGGCCATCCTATGAAGTAGACCGCGCTGAAATTCTGGGGGAGGTGTTGTTTACTCTGTACTGAAAGTCGCGTCAGTCGATGTCAGCCCGAGTCGAGCATGTGTGTGGGATGGAAGATATCGAGGCGGGCGGCAAGTCAAGGTCTTAAGAGGACTACAGGGTATGTCCAGCTGGAAAATGGCAGGTCGGACAGGTGCAGAAGTTCGTTGGAAGCGGAGAAGAGTGACGGAAGTGGGATGCGTCAGAAATCAACCACCGCAGCCTACTGAGAGGCGACAGGTGACAGGTGGGATGAAGCAACCTGGAAGAAGAAGCAAGAAAAGAACGCGACGAGGCGCGTCTGACCCACGGCCGCGATCGGCGCTACCAGGACGCCTCGACACCTGGATACTTGGAGTTCGCGCTTGGTCGGCCTTTTTTGCTTCTCTAATCCATGTCCAATCATCGCCATCTCTATCAACCTTGGCCGCAGGTCATTGACGTGTCATGTCCGCTCATTTTCTTGTGTGTCTCATTGAGTTGCGGGACAATGCACCGAAAGCCCGTCTCATTGGCGGAGGTTGTTCAACAAAACGCGCCCTCACATGAGTGCAATCACCCCGGCCCTAGCACCACTAGCGCGTTTACAATTGTCGGATCGGAACAATATAGCTCCATCGGTCATCGCTTGATCCGGCTCCTGCGAGCCCGCTCAGTCTCTCCTGTCCATGTGCTCACTCAGGAAATTTATTGTACCATTAAGATTAATCAAAGTGTATTTTCAGTTGTGCACATCTCCGGTATTCTAATCGCCTCTAGATATGGCTATGATAGGCACCGCTTGATGTCTGCCAAATCGTAGATGTTGGATTCTTCTGACTGACATCTATCATCGCAGCAGCTTTCTCAAGTCAAGCCTTGATTGTTGGAATCATCTGCTCTGATCAATCATTTCCCGCGCCCACCTGATGGCATTTCTATACACGCTGCGATGCCGCCAAACCAGCAAGCCTGTTGCAAGATGCACCGCCGAATCAGATATAGCCTGCCCTTTTCACAGTATCCATGCTTTTGCCGTGCCCCTTTTATGTAGCCGTATTCATGCCCAAAGCTCCTGTGAACGCAATGGAGGCCGCTCAAGTCGCTCGCAAGATAATAATCATGGTCCAAGGAAAGTGAACAAATTCGTGTGCAGAATGTTGAGCGCTCGATCGGCGTCTCGTTCTTCGATAACGCAAGAGATGTTGATCTCGCTCGCCCCTACTCGCCTTGTCAGCGCAACCACGCCTATTGTTTAAGGGGCGTTGAACATACCTTGTGAGATCATTTCAATGTTCACATTATTTGCTCCCAGCGTGGAGAACATCTTCCCAGCAATACCCACCATATTCTTCATCTCTTTGCCCACAAGGCTCACGATGGCCATCTCCGGGATGATATCCACGGTGCCGTAAGTTTTGAGTTCTTCAATAGCTCCTCTCAGGTCTTGATCGACAATGCGGTATTCGTCGTCGCCTCCTCCAGTGTATAAAGGAGCTTCCGAGTGTAACGCCATGGACATGTTGACCTCGCTCGTGGAGATAACGTCGACTGATAGTCGCCACTTATCCAACGTCGAGAAGATCCCAGCAAAGAACCCATGTGACAGCGCCCTTTTGTTGGAGTGAATGTTCATAACCAAAATCTTGTGCTTCATAGTAACAGCAGTTGGGCGCTTCGGTTTCTCGCGGTCTGTGATGAGGCTGGAACTCCTAGAACGCCGAAAAAGCTTGGGGTCATGGCCTGACAATGACGAGTCCAGCTCTGATGGCGTGTCGGGGTAGATGATGGTGCCCCCTCCCCTGGGGTTCATCACGTTCTTGATGCGAATGGGTATCCGCGCCCGAATGACCTGATCCATGGTAGAGGGATGGATGACTTCGGAGCCGTAAAAGGTGAGTTCAGCAGCTTCTGCCGGGCTGATTTGCGGGATAAGTTGGGCTGTAGGCACTTTGCGCGGATCGGCTGTGAAAATGCCGTCCACTTCTTTCCATATCTGTAACTCTTCCGCCTTGATTCCCACAGCGACCAGCGCGGCACATAAGTCTGTGTAGCCTCGCCCAACCGTGGTCAGAAGACCTCGAGGTATCGCACCGAAGTATCCAGTGATTACGGGTACTGTGCCTGTTGGGATGTCGCGCAACCGCCTCGCCAGTCTTGAGGCCATGTCGTCGTAAAATTGCTGGTCCAGCCCATGGGAGACCCTAAAATCAATCACATCTGCCAGATCGACATATTCGGCCTCGATTCCGCGATCTTGTAACAGCGCCGTCATGAACCGACAGCTCAGCTTCTCTCCCGTACTCATGACCTTATCTCTCGACCTTGGGCTGGTCTCGCCCAAGGTTTGCGCCGCCTCGAGTATTCGCACCACCAGGGCGCATTCATCATCAATCTCTGCTTTTAACCGTCCCCGTATCTTTTCTGATTGTATTGAGGCATCGGCAGCCTCGCCGTGGTCTAGACGGACATTCTCAACTAGTTGCTGGAAATCCCTGTGGTTCTCGGCTTCAGTGGCGGCTCGCAGTAACCGGTTCGTGGTGCCCGCGGCTTTCGTGCTACTTGATCTCTGTGTGCGCTTGTCAGCCTACGGGTGCGCAGTGACGCGGATAAAACTGACAGCTGAGCAGACGATAGCGACATTGTTCTCTAGTAATCTAGACTGTACCACTTTGACAATATCTTGGGGAAATTTGCCCACACTAGTGCCTTTAAAAAATGAGTCAGACTCTAGCTAGACATTGAGAAGAAAGCTGCATACCCCCAAACTTCAGGACATGGATGGCTCGGACTCTGGGTGTGCTGGTCCCATTGACTCTATTGAGAATGGGTAGCTGGGGGTGGACGGCATTAGGGAGTGTCGAGGGACTCATAATGAGGAGGGAAATTTTGACGATAGATGACTTATGTGCATAGTACTCTCAACGAAGCATGTATAGGAGGAGGCAAGGACAGCAAACTACAGTGGTCGGAAGTGAGTGACTCTGCGCAGACGACCTCGAGCCGAGAGAGCATTTTTCGGGGTCAGAATCAGCTTGGATGAGTCTCCAGTGGGTGTAGTACCGTAGTTCCATCCCACTTTCGCGGGCGGTGCGTCTGGCCCCAGAACACAAGACTTCCGATGGCAGAATTTTGAAAATTCTCGAGGGGTTTTGCAGGGCGGTGAAAGGGATCAGCATCCAAATGCAGGTGGTTTGTTGCGAAACCGGCGAATAAACTGCCGCGACTCGCTGGCGTCATCACCTCGTGTTTGCCCTGGCGGTGCTGGTGGTGCCCGTGTGTGGGCGTCCCAATTTAAAACCATGCCTGACGCAGCTTGGTCGTTTCAGGGCCCGTGGACCTGTCGTTTGTTTGCGATGCAACGCTGAGTACGAGCGAGGCTGAACAGGTCGGTCTCGCAAAGAAACAGGCACTGCAGGCGGCTCCCCATGACTCGGGCCAGCATGTCATAAAACCGAGGTGAATGTAGTCTTTGTGCTAACGAGAAGAGCCAGAGCGCGGGCCGGAATCTTTTCGATCTGGAGTCATGGCGACATTCCTGTCAACTCCAGAAGTGCAAACGGCCTTTCAATTCGCCCACCTTCAGCCTACCCCAGCCTTTCTTTTCCACATAAGCACTCCACGACAAAGGCATTTTGTGTGTGGCGTCCTACACCTGAGATTCTGTTGATGACTGGCCTCCGTTCTGTCCTCTTCCAACAAGGACAAGCATAGTAAACCAGCTCGGTGTGCAGGTGAAATCACGGCCCGGGTGAACGATCCTTGTTTGCCTGCATCCAAACCGTGCCTGGACAAGATGAGGCTCTAACAGCCGTCTCTTTCAAGTTTCATTCCCCAAACATTTTGGTACTCGAAGATGTCACATCAACCTCAGCAACAATATCTGGCGTGTCCATTCTGCCGATTTGGGAGCCATGACTTTAGCACTCTTGAAGAGCACGTGCAGCAATTCCATGCTGACCCACAGCCCGGTCCGAATGGAGGACCCCGGCCTGACCAACATCAGGCCGAGATGAGCGATGCAGAACTGGCGCAGCTCCTTGCCTTTGAAGAGGCGGGTCTACCTGCCGAACTTGCTCTATCTGAACGGCCCAGTGCTCCTGCCCAATGTGAGAACCAGACGTCAGAAAGAGCGGTGCAAAATGGGCAGACTACCTTGCCCTCTCCTCCAGGTAGCGAACAACCATGGGTTCAGTGTGCCTGTGGCGAGCGTGTGCACTTTCTCGAGCTCGATGCCCATTCCGATATGCATGCTCAGGAGAACATCTCTATCGACGAGCCCGAGATGCCGGTTAGGGATGTTGAGCTATCAGTTTTGAAGTCGACGTCCCGGCCGTCGCTACCCGATATTTCCAATTCATTCAGCACAGATATCCCCAAGTCTCTTCGGAACTATGATCAGCTCCATCCCAGCAGACCTCCTTCACGTACGGAAAAAAGACGTGGCCCTTCTCTTAAGGAGATTTTCTTGGGCACACCTGCGTCTCCTAAGAGGAAGTCAGCATATTCGGCCGTGTCTTCAAAGCATGGCAGGACAAGACGGCTGGGGGTAAGTCTATCAAATGACCTGCCGTCGGCAGAAAAGCTAATAATTCACAGAGATCAGAGCTAGGGCCATACGCGCACGAGCACCAGATGCCGAATTGGCTACGGAAAATGCTTGAAGAGGGTGCGAAGGTCACAGTCACTAACAGACTTGGCCCAGACGGTACCGTCGTCCGAGTCGAGACCATTGCCAACGAGACGCCAAACCTTGTGCCAGTTCTTGCCCGATTGTCTCATCTGGACAGAGATGTCGAACGTGCGTTCTACTGCAGTCCTGAAGTGCGCCACGTGTGCAAGATGCACAAGGAAGGGGGGTTTTGCGGGTATCGGAATATTCAGATGATGATATCCTACATTCAGGATGCAGACACAACTGGCTCGGAACATTTCCGTGGAAGGTTGCCATCGATACCGAAAATCCAGGAACTGATCGAGAACGCCTGGGACCAAGGCTTCAACGCCAGCGGACGGCTTGAGACCGGAGGCATCAGGTACACTCGAAAGTACATCGGAACCCCCGAGGCGCAAGCACTGCTGATGAGTCTGAAAATTCCTTGCGAGGCGACTGCATACACCACCACCAAGGAAGTGGAGGGCTTTGAAACAATGTTGTGTGCCGTTTGCGAGTACTTTGACGACGACTCAACCAAAGATAATATCGACAAAGTAGTCATCACCGACAAGCCGCCGATCTACTTCCAGCATCACGGTCATTCTATGACCATCGTTGGGGTGGAGCAGAGATTGGACAGCTCCATCAATCTTGTGGTTTTCGATCCTATGTTCAATCCGAGCCCTGCACTCAAGAAGCTGGCTTTGGCCAACACGACTGCCTTTAGGAGTCCTGAACCCGAAAAGCTGATGAAGGCTCACCGGCGAGGCGAGAAGTACTTGGGAAAGTACAAAGAGTTCGAGCTGCTGAAACTGAAGTGAGGCCAGATTGGACACCACAGGCATTATTACAGTATTGTATTATGCAGGCATGACAATTGGAAGTTCGTCGAGTGTGATGTTAATGGAGGTCCTTTGGTATGCACAGCGACGGAGTGGGTAGATTTTATTAGAACAGATTGCTGCTCGGCGCACATGGCCAGCATTTTCAGCACAACCAAGTACGATAGTCTCATCGAGGACTTTACGTAGAGGAAGGACAATCGACAGCCTGCTTTCCCATATAGGTGCTTCTTAACACATATTCTTGCCGCGCCCACGTCAAACGCCTGTACTGTAAAGCCACGTCGCTCTATCGTAACCCCATGACTCACCTCTGTGACTTCATCTGCAACCCCCCCGTGGCCTGAGGCATTTCTTACCAACACATCGGTAAGTCCGCTGTACATCTAACTGACTATTACCTGAGACGTATATCTCGCTCCTTAGAGTTCCCGCCACACGAAGGTAGATAGACTCCAATCAATCGATACTCAGCACCTGTGGTACCGACCCGACCACGAACAATCGGTCGCCGCATATCTCATTTAGTTCGATCCCGTCGCTTCGATTCTGGACCTTGAACTTTCGGCCCACTTCTTCCATAATTACCTAGTACTTCTGGACAAGTCACATCATTTACTGAACGATCTTCTTCGAATCAAGAGGCCCCTGCCATCCCATATCAGTCTTAACAATTAACTGCTACGTTACGCCCCGCAGGATAATGTGCAACCAACCACGCCCCCAGCTCCTCAACTTCATCACCGGCAACGCGAACAAGTTGAACGAAGTCCGAGCGATTCTCTCAGACGTGCCGGGCCTGGACCTGCAGAGTCGCAATGTCGAGGGCGCGGAGATTCAGGGGACGATCGAGGAGGTGGCAATGGATAAGTGCTCGAGGGCTGCGAGGGCGGTAGGTTTCCAAGGTTTTCCTGACTTGATTCGTTCTTGTTTCTACCTTAGGCTGTCTTGTTGAGGGTGCGGGCTTTGCTGTGTCGACCTTGTCTTTATCCTCGTACGGTCGTGTCTTTCTTGCGTCTAGCTTGTCCTATTGGTACGGTTGTATCGTTCTTGCGTCTAGCTTGTCCTATAGGTACGGTTGTATCGTTCTTGCGTTTACCTTGTCCCATTGGTAAGGTTGGATGGAGTGGTAGCTCGCGAGAGAGGCGTGACGGGGATGTCAGTGCAGGAAGCCAAATGCAGTGGTTTGAGATCAGGTTACTCCGCCCGCGGCTTCACAATTACTATGATGCGCGGTAATCACCCACTGCTTGTACGTACTTCTACTGACATTGAGGAAACAGGTCAACGGCCCGGTTCTGACGGAAGATACGGCCCTCGAGTTCCAAGCACTGAAAGGGCTACCCGGGCCGTATATGTGAGTGACCCTTCTGCCTTCAGTCTCCCATTCTCCGAGAGCTTGGAAGGACTATCCTTGTCGCCCTCTACCTCAAAAATTGTTCCTCTCAACTTTGGCTCTTCGTCTTTCAAGGCTCAGAATATCAGATGTCCAAAGTACTGACCGCCACCTTTTCGGTCATGCAGAAAATACTTCCTCCAAGCCCTTGGCCACGAAGGCCTGAACAATATGCTCGCGGCATATGAAGACAAGACCGCCTTTGCCGTGTGTACCTTTGCGTACTGCGCCGGACCCGACCACGAGCCGATCCTGTTTCAGGGTCGCTGTCAGGGCAAAATTGTGCCGGCTAGAGGGCCACCTGTCTTTGGTGCGTATGATACTCTTGCTCGTGCCATCTTGGTGCTCTCCTGAAACAAAGCCCGAGCTGACTGTCCGGTGGTCAGGGTGGGACGCTGTTTTCCAATTCGAGGACGGTCAGACGTACGCAGAGATGGAGAAAGAGAAAAAGGTGTGTTTCCTCTCCTTGCGCCACCCTGGAGCCTGGCTGATCCTGGCAGAATTTGATCTCCCATCGCGGCAAGGCCCTAGCCAAGCTGAAAGCCTGGCTCGCCGGCGGTGACCTCGAGCCTTGAGTGTGGTGCCCTCACTGTTCTCCGAGAGTCATAGACATAGACATGGACACGTCTGTTGGCATGGACATGGATCATTAGAAGACACTTCCGTAGTAGAACGGGGTCCTTTCTCAATCCTCTTGTCCTGACGCATGATCTTTGACCCAATTCTTCACCCACTGTAGGATCCGCTCTGCGTTGTCTTCGATATCTTCAGCGTGGACACTCTTCAACTCCACGACCTGCCCTTCGTCCACCCACCCCTCCTTCGCCTCTTCACTGACCACTCCAAAAATCTCGGCGTCCATATTCTCCTGCACCTTGTCATCCTTGTATCCTCTGGCGGTCAGCCTGTCAAAGAGCACATCCGTCTCTTCACACCTCAACACCACAACGAGATCCACCCATCGTACCGCGAAGCCCGCGGTCGAGTGCCAATCGATCACCCACCCGCCCGGGCCTTCGCCGTCGTCAATCTCTTTCTCGACCTCGTCCATCAACTTGTCCTCATCCACAACGAGGGTCTGTAGATCTTCGTCGAAGCCTGTATGGCATTCGCGGGATTTCACGAGGTCATTGATTGAGAGATGTTTCAGGTTGATGGCGGGACTAGAGGACGAGGCCAGGCCGAGGAGTTGCGTGGCAGTGGAGGTCTTGCCGACGCCGGGAGTGCCGGTTATGATGATGTTTGGGAGAGAGCGCATTACGGGATTGTCGAGTTGGACTGGGGAGAACAACGCGAACGATAATTATCCGTTCCCAAAGTTTTTGCGACTCGTTTTCTGTGTAGTTACTCCGCATCGACAGTGCTGTGTCGTGCGGTTAAATTTCCAGTTTCGGAACCGCACGGCGGCAGGACAAATACTCTCCGCGAAGTTATTTTCATGGCCAGTCTCACCACCAGCTGTAATAGGCGCACCGAGAGAGAGCCCGGAGTCGCTACTTTGATTGAGTGGGCTGGCGTTGGCCCTGAACCAACAATATCTTAGGGCCAGCCAGGCAATGGACACAACATATCAAAACACAGATGGAGACCGCGACTGCGGGACAAATAATTACACCACAATGGAAGCGTGGTGTGTTCGGAACGTCAAGCGACTCTCTGGTCCAACTGCTGCTTTTGATCTTGGACATTAGAGATGTTTATGCTATGTGGTACACACCCACTCGCATATGCCCGCCAGGAAGGAGTACAGGAACAATATGGCATACATTATATGGAGGCTGATCGATCCACCAAACAGGTCGTCACATTCAGGCCGACGTTCCGAGTACACGGTACGGGTAAGTAGAGGGTGTTCGCCCCAGAGGACATTTTCATCATGTAACATGTGGTAACCTCACTCTCCACGGTTCAAGAACCAAAGTTCACACTCGATTCGCTCGTCCTCAGTCAAGTTTTCTCGCACGTCCCCCAGCCTCCTCATGACTTTCCACATCCCCGCCGTGTTGGTGCTGATGCTGGTGCTGGCCAGTCTTCGCACCGGTGCCGCCAACCGTGTCCTTCTCCAGCCGTACCGCTGTATGATTCGTCAAATACTGCGACGAATCCAGCACAAAGCACGCCGCAATGATGGCGATGACGCCGAAAGGGATGGTCGCCCAGAACACGCGCTTGAATGCATACCCGTACGCGGCGCGGTAGGCGGCCAGCGTCACGTCTTGAACCTCGGGTGTTGCGCCCTCGATGGCGGCAAAGGCGTTGGGCACGCCCGTCGCGGCGCCGACCACTGCCGGGATGAGCTGCTCGAGGTTCCCGGCCGGGAAGCCGGCGGCCAGGGCGGCGGCGGTGACGCGCTTGGGCATTTCAACGGTCACAACCGAGGTGAGGATCGTGTTGAAAATGGCGTTACCGACGCTGCCGCCCGCGCTGCGGAACGTGCCGATGAGGCCGGAGGCGATGCCAAGTTCGCGGAGCGGGACCTATGTGGTTGAATTAGTCCGAGCTTGACGAGGTTGTGCTGGCAGAAAGGACGAGGACAATCAAACTGGTTCCGGCTCTAAAAAGGGAGATGAACAAGAAGGCAGAGGGCAGCCGTCACTCACATGCAGACCGGCAATAAAGTAACACAGCAGGGTGATCATGCCGAAGCAGCCTTGGCCGAAGAACTGAAAGGCCATCCACGCGGGTTTGCTCTGCGGCACGGCGACCGAGTAAAGCGCGACAAACACGAGCTGGATGGTCAGCGCCACGATCATCTGCATCTTCAGATGCTTGATCTTGTGGGCGATCGCTGGTATGAGCGTGCCGCCAACGAAGTTGCCAATCCCGTTGGGCAGCTGCGTCAGGCCGATCTGGATGCCATCGCTCTCGAACATGTAGAGCGTGCCCTGCGGCAGGATGCCGGACATGGAGTAAAAGATCATGCCGGCGACAAAGACCACGACGAGGAGGACCGTGAATTCGCGGTACCGGCGGAACAGGTCGAGGGGAAACAACGGCTGCTTGGGCACGGTGAAGTCGTAGACGAAGCAGGCGATGAAGACGAGCACGCCGATGACGATCGGGGCGATGACCGACGCGCTCTTCCACGGATGCGCGGGCGTGCCTGCCCAGGTGAGCCCCACTAGGAAGACGGTCAAGCCCGACGTGTACAGGATGATGCCCATGTAGTCGATCTCCTTGATCTCCTGCCACCGGGTCTTCTCATAGTCTCGCCGCGGGCGCGAGGGCGGGAAGTACACGAGCGCTGTCCCGACGAACGAGATGACTGAGTAGATGATGGCGATGTAGAAGCACCATCGCCACGAGGCCTTGGAGACGAGCTCGTTGGCGATGATGACGCCGCAGATCGCCCAAGGAATGGCCATGGCGCCTTCCGTCCACGCGAGGCCGACATTTCTAGCTCCAAGTCAGAACATTCATAACCTTGGATGAAGTTGCCATTGTGGCTGCGGTAAGAAATCAAACACATACCGCCACTTATTGGGAAGCAGCTCCGGGATACCCGCATATGCCACGAAGATGATGCCGGTTGCAAATCCGAGCAAGGTACATGCCACGACGACTGTCGTTGTGGTTTTCGCCGTCGCGCCGACAATCTTTACACGGCCGTCAATCTCAGCAATTCTTGCATCTTCCTGACACGGACAATACTTACAGCGCCGACCACGGCGAAGAGCTGGCCGCTGAGCGTCACGTATCTGCGGCCAAAAATGTCGCTGAGCGAGCCTGCAATGGAGAAGGAGACCGAAGACGCTATGGACCAACCACCGGGCATCCACGCGATGTTTGATACGTCTCCCAGCTCGGTTCCGATCTGGAACAAGATCGCTGTGATAAGGAGGAACCCGCCAGACACTGGTCCCACGAAAGCGAGGCCGAGGAACTGTACGGCAATCCGTTAGTACTTGGCAGACACGCAAGAACCAAGGTCGACTTGCGAAGATAGACAGCACGGTGCCCCAGGTGAGCTTCTCCGGCCTGTCGGGGTTATCTTCAAGGGCGGCACGATGCGGGTCATCTTCCAAGTAGGCATCGTCAGCCAGAGGCTTCTCGTGGGCCACGGCTTGAGGTTTCTCGCTGTCGCTCATGGTTGTCCTGATCTCACCCGGGTACTATGGCGTGATGCTGAGCTGTCTAAGCAGGGAGCTGCGCCAGCCTAGCCCCGAGCATCATTTCGAGCGACTCAGGATATATAACCCATCGATTATCGTTCGAGACCCGTCGAAGTCTGGGGAACCGAGGGAAGCTTCCCAAGCACGAGGGTCGGCCCCGCCTTTTCCCCATGATTCATGTGGGGACATTCCTCTAGCCTGATCTTCCAGTGGCTGCTATTGGTTGTATAGGCGTGATCGTGGAGAAGACTTATCCTTGGCTTGAGCTAAGTTAGGCTTCTTTTCGCCCGAAGCTGGAGACGGCAGCGACCTTGTTGGTGGACCACGTGGTGGTGCTAGAGCCAGCTCAGTAATGAATCGAGCGGGATACGAGGTCAGGAGCATTCAAGTGTGGCCGCAGAACTCGTCGGACATAATTGTAGACGCCGGAAGCCCCGGGAGGGCCGCCCACAACACGACCGAAGGAACCGGTCACAGAGCTTGGTGGAGCAGCGCCGCCGCCAGTCTTCACCTGCGCGATCCTCCTGTATACCAACTCAGCCTCGACTTATGCCACTTGCCACTATCGATACTGCTGCTCGTGTCTCAACGTGGTTGTTCGTGGCTGTTGGCGGCTCTTCACCTTCGCGACACCTACGACGCCTTCTTCAAACGTCCCTCATTGTCAGCCTTCCGCCACCACATCATCTTGTGGTACCTCGAATAGGATGACCGGCCTAAAAGCATGGAATTCAAAGTCTGATTTTTCTATCACAGTTTTGCTGCAAGATCGACTAAAGTATACTCACAAGGTCGCCATCCATAGCCGCACAGATTACTGCTCGAAATACCCCGTACTCCGGAAACCTCTACCAGGCAGCCAGAAGGGACCGCCTGATTCTCGCCTAAGGCGCAGACCCTTGTTCGATCGCTTAATTAGGGAGTCTGGCCCACAGCCAGGCTTGGACCTCAACGAGTAGAACCACGAGCGGAGGCGAGACTCCGCATTGAAACGCATCTCCTGCCTGCCTTGTGTACTAATCGATTCTCTTCCTATCTGCAGGTGTCTGCCTCAGCTCGCTTCGAGCGCATTCCCGATTCCCATGCGCTCGGGAGAAGATTGGGACTTTTGCAATCGAACACGCCTCATTGGTTGCCGACACAAGCACTACAAGCACCACAAGCACTCTAAGCAAACAACTGGGCAGCTTCGCCTTGCGGAATACGAGGATGCCGTTCTGTACCATAGGTCGCATGGCAGGTAGACAAAACGCAAACCACAGAATGCAAGCCCCAGACGCAAATTTCAGCCTGACTGACCGGCTGACCGGCTGAACGGCAGTGGCAGAGTCTGATGCTCCCACCGCAAACCCTTGAACTCCAGGAAGGAAAGTTGGCTGGGACGCAAATGGTATATTATACTCAGCCGCGTCAACCCTCGACCTCTCCTCGGAGCCATTTGTGTTCAGTGTCCGGTATATGTTCACTCTGAGAGCCTTACATACTGCATATCTCATCATCCTGATCCTGATTTCCTGCCTGCTTTGTGCTTGTCTCCGGTAATCCCCACTCCCTTATACACTCTCACTAGAGTACATTCCGATCCCGAGCAAGCAGTCAGCCATCCAGACAAGTATACGCATTCCCACGTCTCTCTCCACAATGAGCACGACGCAACACCTAGGCGTGGCCCTCTGCTACGACACACCCCGCCTCCAGTTCTACAACTCGGCATGCCACACGGTGTCCCCACTAGGCAACTACGGCAAATACGTGACCGGCGTGTCCCGGCGGTTCAACTGCTTCGGCGCCGCCATGGGGTTCTTCTACGACAAGCTCGTCGCCGGAGGCGAGACCAACGCGTGCGTCTGCACCTTTTACAGCCCCGACGGCGGCGATACCGTGCCGTGGGAGTTCGTCACGCATTACGGGCCCTGCAACGGCGCGTGTGTCTCCCAGACGTTCACCTGTAATGGGTTGAAGCCTGTGCCTCACAACGGCGTGGAAGAGAAGGTCAAGAGGGAGGACAACCTCCTATCTGCCGACGAGAGCGTTTACGAAGAGCAGCATCTCTCTGGTTTGGCCAAAAGGAGCGAAGCCGACACGGCCACGGCCGCTTCTTCTGGGGCTGCTCTGCTTGAAGTTGCTGGTGCTGTCAATTGGAAGGCGGCGGTGTTTGTCGCGACGATAATCTTGTGTAATGCATTTTTATGAGCGAGGAACCACTGGACCAGCGTCCAGGCTACTACGAGTGACATCAAGGTCCGAATCGATATCGGTGAGGTGGTTAGGTAATTAGTGATCATGTTGTTGGAAGAAGGGCTCGACTTCCGAAGCATGTACTAAAGTCATGGCTCAGCCTATGCCGTACTTATCTGGTACTCGTACTCATTAAAGTGCCGTCTGATTTGACGCGTGGGCATATGGTCCGAATTAGATGTTCGTAAAAGCGTTCGCTACTAGCCTCCCTCACAGTGTCTGCCTATGTTTGAGCATGAGCGCTGTCCTTCTCGAACCACGGCCTGCCCGGATACTATTCCCCGGGCCTGCTCCAACTCTTCATCGCCACGTTGCTCTGATAACCGCCAATCCGCATTGGGCAAGCGGCATGGCATGTTCAGCTCAAGGCGCATATCTGAATCCTTCCACGCCCTCCAGCGCCGGCCTCTTCCCCTCGTCCGCAAGCCGGTTCTGGCGCTTCAGATACATGCTCATCCCAAGCGTCACGGCCGAATAAAGAATCTGCATGGCAATAGTCGACCACATGCCGGGCAGATATTGCTAATCACCGGCATTCAATTAGCATCGCATTCACGACGTTTTTTTCAAGGGCTTGAGCGCATCGCAACCGTCGCAAGACTCACCGGCGCATCCTGGCTGCGGAAGATCGTACTCCCCGTGATCCCGCCCGCGGCACCCACACTGATCATCACGGCGGCGACGACCCCCTTCTTGCGCACATCGGCGGTCTGGCTCTGTCCGTACGCCAACGTGCCGGGCACATTGGCTTGGCAGCCGAACACGGCCAGGAAGAGGCCAAAGTACCGCACGCCAGGCGGCTTCGGGTACAGGATGACCAACAGGCCGACAATGCCGATGACGCTCTGGAAGACCAGCACGGGCCAGCGCACGCGGTAGTGGTCCGACACCCACGCCATGGCGAGCGAGGCGATGATGGCAAAGACGTAGGGCGGCGACCCCAAAATCTGGGCGAGCGCGTAGCTGAAGCCCATGCCTTCGCGCAGGATGATGGGTTGGAAGTACGCGATCGAGTACACGCTGGAGGCGACGATGAAGTATTGGATGGAGCTGCACAGAGCGTCAAAACTAGGAGGAGTTTCCGCGGTGGGGAGGAACGTACTAGATGATGAGTTTCCAATCGAGAAGCATGCGCATCGATTCTCGCAGGGTCGGGTGGACGTATGCTCGCGCCGCCTGGTCGGTCTGGAGACGCGCTTGAGCAATGTACTTTTGTCGTGGGTTCAGCCACTTGACTCGTTCCGGAACTGTTGGCGAGCATGTCAGTGGTTTTTCTTGCGCAAGACCAATGCCAACAGTAATTCTGCTGCAGAAGACCCAAGGCCAACGCCGGTGCTGCTGCGAGGACCGAGGCCAGAGAGGCGACGCTTCACAAGGCGCAAGGCGTGGCACAAAGGGGGTGCACTCACATTCGACCAGGAAGATGGGAGACACCAGCCCCGCCACGACGGTGGCGATGCCCTCGATGATGAATATCCAGCGCCAGCCGCTGCGATACATGCCGTCACCGACACGGATCAAGGAGAGTGCGTAGGCGAAAATCGGACCGAACCCCGACGCCAGCAGAGACGCCATATAAAACAGCGACACGCGGCGGGCGGTCTCGTATTGACGATACCACGACCCGATAATGAAGACGCCGCCGGGGAACACTTCCGGAACACCTGGTCAGTACCAAGGATGTGGAAGGGCGGGAAGGCAGCATGCTACTCACAGCCGGATTCAAAGATCCCCAGCAAGGCCCGACACACCGTGAGAGCCTCCCAGCTGTGTACGAAGCCCATGCCGAGCACGCAGGCTCCCCACGCGGTGATGAGGAAGCCCAACCACATCTGGGCACCCAGTCTCCTGATCACGAGGTTGCTTGGTAATTCGAAGATGGCGTAGCCTTGGTGTGGTGATTGAACATCAGCTGTCGGTTTTAGAATCGCGGTTACCGTTGGCACTAACCGATGAAGAAGACCAGTAACGCGATGGAATACCGTGCTCCGACCGTGAGCTCGAGATCTACAGCCATACCAGCAATATATGCTGCCGAGATGTTCGTTCGATCGAGCAACGACAGGCCGAAGACGACGCAGAGCATGGGAAAGACGCGCCAGTCCAACTTCTTGCTGGCATTATTGTTAGTCTTCTGGGCATGTGTGCCATAAGTAGGACAGCGTACACAAGCGCTTTTTCCTCCTCGGGGGTCCAATCTTGCTCGGTAGGCGTTGAGATCTCTTCATCGTTGCGATACGATGCCTCTTCTGACTTCTCGACGTGAGTTACTGAGAGCGGCTTCTCTGCCATTTCGATGCTCGTGGAAGCGCGCGAAGAGTTCAGAAGTACAAACGTAACAAACGTCCGAGTGGAGCAGGGTCGAGATCGACTCGCCGTGGTGGTTCAGACTTATATCACAGCATTACCGCCTTTGTTCCGACACCCTCGGTTTCTGGCCTGCACGTCGTGGCCCCGCGTCCTGGTCCCATGGGGTGTACAACCGACGCTGTTGCGCCAGGAAAGACATGCATCCAGCCGAAAGCGCTGCCCAATGGTCCGGGGCGGGAGAACAAGGGACAAGAACGCAAAATAAGACTTCTGAGAAGCCAAGCCTGAGCCTTGGACCGCATCTTCGTCGAAGAAGGAACTTGAGCCCGGTAGGCGACGTCGAAAGGACCTAGATAGTCAATGATCTGTGGCTGTGGTGGAGAAAACAAGACGTGGGCAAGGCGCCAATGCTCTCGGCAGCCGGTTTCGAGGAGATCTGGGGAAGTCCGTCTCCTCGTATTTCCGCGTGCCCAGAGACGTGACAAGGATTAAGAGCATCGCGGAAATCTGCCGATCGCCTTCGAGTCAGTCTTCTCGGAATCAGAAGTTCAACTGGGTGGCTTCTCGAACTGTGGGGGGCAGCGCTTCCCTGCTTTCGAGATTCGACAGTTGCGATTCGAGGAGCGATGTCGGATCCTAAATCCACAAGTGAGTAGTACCACCAAGGAGAAGAGCTCACAGTCCATTGGTCTCAGAAGGTTCAATACTTGTTCTTGAACTCTCGCTCAACATTAACATTGACATATAGTGTTCGGGTCCAGGACACATAACAACTCCACGGCCAAAGTTTGTGCCAGTGCGTGGGCTTTAACCAGCACTGCACAGCAGTCCAAGTGTCTCGATAACTCCGTGGTGCTATGCCCAAAGCTTGTGTATGAAATTTGCTCGTGTCAAATCCTCTCCCCCCCGCTTACGCTCGACAGGTTCCACCCAGAATCCAAAGTCCAGGCTCTTAGGCGCCAATGGCTTCTGAATCACTGATCGCTCCGTCCGGTATACCTTGTTGCTCTTGCTGGGCCATGGCTTGGGCAGAGACGATTTCTGCGAGGCGCTTGAGGCGCGGTGTCTGAAGCCCTATTGCGCGTTTCAGTCAGTACGTGATCAGAATAGTTTCCGTGCAATATGGAATGCACAGAGATGGATACTGAACTTACATGACGGAGTATACGTCTCCAATGCGGTGATGACTCTTGGCTCAGCAATCTCATACGGCCCACTGTCTTCCATGTCAACCGGGGCAAGCAGCAGCACGTCACTCTTCTCGGTCACTCTCGAGGCCACGGCTTTCATGATCTCACCGTTGATGGGCTGCTCGTAGTCTGCGACGAGGTACTGGTTGAGGAGTTTCTGGATCTGATTCGGCGACAGCATCCAGCAGATGTCCTGAATGATCTCGATGTCATTGAGCGTTGCTTTCTTCAGTTGCAGCAGTTTTGTCGCTTGCATAAGATGCTCCAACTGCAGTGTGCCCTCGGGCATATCATGGCTTTTGCACCATTCCTCAATCCTCGTAATATTGTAGTTGATCTGCAATCCACGCTTCCACGAGAGGAAGTTGCGCCTCATGAGGAGGTCGTTGAACGCCGTAACACCGACTAGACGCAGGAGTTCCGTCACTGTCTGAGTGATGATGCTGTCTTCGAGATAGTACGCCTTCATCGCCTTGAAGACATTATTCAGCAAGCTGAGCAGGTTGTCCATGCTGTAGGCCGGGGTGTTGTTGGACGGAAGCAATTTGCCCAAGAAACGGTTGCTCTCGTTCGTGACAAAGCCGGGAAGAGACTGCGATTCGATGATAGCAGGCACAATCATCTTGTGCAATTTCTTCTTCAGCACCTTCATCCAGGTATGGTAGATGTTGAACTCGAGACTCTCGAGGTCGTGCTTGACAATTTCAAGCAGACGATCATACTCATAGTTGTCCGTCTTTTGAGCTTCATACCAGTCCTCGGCCAAGAAGACGAAGGATAGCATCTCGTGGACGTTAGACAACCAGAACGCCCCAGGGTTGATCGCTTCCTCTCCTTCGTGTTGCATGACTTCTTGCTGAATGGATTGCATGACATTGGCGAGGAAGCGCTCGGATTCCTTGACGAAGCCATTGTTCCACATCTCCGAAGTCACCAGATTGATGAGGTAAGATGGGAACAAGACCTCTTTGTCTGTCGGAGGAGGGTTGGCGCCTGGCTGAGGGATCTTGATGCCTCGAATAAGACCCATCGTGACTTCGTCGTTGAGTTCTTCCTCTTGAGCAAGGAGGTTTTCAAGTTCCACCTCCACGCTATCCAAGCCGGGATTGAACGTAGAGCCGGAGAGAGTCTTGGTATGGGTGTCAAGTGCCATCGACATAGGACGTGCGTTGTATGCGCCGCTGTATCGGTCCGTTTCACTTCTCTCCGCAGCTCCAGCACTCCGTCGCTTGACGGGCTTTTTGGAGGAAACGAGATTGATCAGACCATTGGCGAGCTGTGAAGTGCCGTTGACATACTCTCCATTGGTAGCGCCGTTCGTGATAGGGGGAGGAGGAGCGCGTCTGGCAATTTCAAGCTGATCTTGTAGCTCGTTGATTTGTTGCCTCAGCGTGCCCTTCTCGCTCTCGTGCGTCGACACCGATGCCCGCAGGCTCTCAAGCTCGGCATTGGAAGTTTTGAGTGACTCCCGCAGCTTGCGTTCTTCCTCTTGCAGTCTCTTAGCATTGCCCATATGCTCGTCGTGACTGCTCTGAAGCTTGGCGTGATCTTCTTCCAGCGCAGCCAACCGTGCTGCGACAATGCCAGCTTGATTGGCCTCGCTTTGGAGTTCCCGAGATCGAGTCTCCAGTGCATTGTGTCTTGACCTCCACGATTTCAGTTGATTCTCGTAGTTCTCCAATTGTGAGACCAGACCCTTGTTCTCTCGTTTGAGTGCTCCCAGCGATTGCGTAAGCTCCACGACTTTGTTCTCCAGTTTGTAGGAAATCTGCTTGAGGTCGCGGGCTTCCTCACGCATCTTCTTGTAGTCTCGCCGGGCAACCCTACCACGCCACAAATTCTGTATGATAACCACCTTTCTGCGGTGTTGTCTCCAGGCACGTAGTGCTCGCCACGAGAGGAAAGCTCGTTGAATTGTGATCGCTGCATTGCCAATACGTGTTTCGAGGATGTTCTTCCGGCACAGATAACCTTTGGCGATCGATTCGAACAAGATGAGGTTGCTTCGGATCTGAATATACTCTTTTCGCACCTTTTGGCCCCTCCACACTCTCTGGATGTCGGTGGCCGCTTTGGTCCGCCTCGTTTCCTCGGCTTTCCGTCGGGCGAGGAATGCTCGTGTCGCGGCTTGAAAGCTCAGAATGGACTGTCTAGCATCAAGATACTTGTGGCGGTAGTATTTCGCGCGCAAGTTCTTCTGAATCATGATAGCACACTCTTTAAGACGGGCAGACCGAAGATTCTCCAAGAAAGCAAGCATGCCGGCACGGAAGAAGATCTTTGTCAGACCAAGCTGATATTTGTCCGACTTCTCGTGGGCAAGCTTGCCTAGCGCTTTGACAAGGATGTTTTGTGCCATGGTACGAATCTCGGTCGTCCATTCTGCGGATCGGCACAACATATAATAGCGGAGAGCAAATTCCTCGTAGGTCCATCGTGTCGGGTAACCGGCGGTGCTGATGCGGACGGTTTCAAGAACACCACAAGCTCGAAGTTGATTCAACACCATAGGACCTTCAAACTTCCACGACTCCTTCGCTTCATTGGGCTTGATACATCGAATGTAATGTGCATCCGTCGAGTTGATGGTTTGCATGAGCTCGATCAGAGAGCTCTTGAAGATACCGCCCAGGGTGGGCTTGCGATTAACAGCCACGCCGACTCGGCGTCCTCCTCCAGCACCTACCGTTTTTGATGAGGCCTGGGCTGTGTCCTTTTCTCTGACCGACGCGGCAACTTCAAGCACCTCGACCAGGAAGCGATTTGTCGACTTCTTCAGGACTTCCATCTGTTCATCAGGTACGGTATCACGGTTCTTGTCGATGAAGCCATCGGACTCGTAGGTGACATCAAGGGCATAATGACAAACCGTGAAGGCTGATTTCCCAAAGCGGGGCTTCTTGTAGAACTTCTGCTTGTCTGCAGCAAAATGGTGGTGCAGTTTTGTCACGAAATGCTCATCTGAACCCATAGGAAGCCTAGATTCCTCATCTAAAAGCGACAAGATACCCAGTTTTCCTTCGATCAGGTCGATACAAGGCTGATTGTCGGAGAAGTCAATAAAAGTCCAGTCGATCTCTTCGCGCATGTATTCTTCCTGCTCAAGTTTGAACACATGTTGATTGAATTCTTGCTGGAGTTTTTCATTGGCGTAATTGATGCAAAATTGCTCAAAGGAGTTCTTCGCAAAGTGTTCGAACCCATAGATATCGAGGACACCAATAAAGGTATTGAGTCGCTGAAGGACTTCCTCAGTCGCGAGACCGTGATTAATCGTCTCGACCAACCAGTCGAACAGGCTAGAGTAGATGAATTTGGCGACCGAATCCCGGACGACAGTGGCTTGCTGTTGAGTGAGGTTTGAGGTGATCTTCTCTCCTCGCGTAATGAGCTGCTTCTTCACCGTCCACTTCGCAAAGTCGCCCGCATCAATACCCAGGATCTCACATGCTTTGACAACGGACGGCTCGTTTGAGGAAAGGGTTGAGTCAGTTCGTGTGGCAGTAATCTTGATGTTACCGATATGCAGAAGAGCTGCAAGAATCCGGAAGATCTCCTTTTGCGAGGCTGAGGAGACGTTAATGGTGGTCAGCGACTTCCTTGTCGCAGCGAACTCAGCAGCATCGTCAACACCGTCGATTGTAGGCTCGTTTCCCTGATTAAGGTAGTCGAACTCCTCTACCGATAACAAACCGAGCTCTTGTTTCTCTTCTTCAGTGGCGCCGGCCACCAACTGGTAGAATATGTGGTAATTCCGCTCTTTCAAAGGCTGAAACACGAGTCTTGATCGTTCCAGCAGATACGTTCTTATCCGGGCACCAATAATGTCGGTATTCGAGTCGAACATGATTTCGATGTATTTTCCAAATCGCGAGGAGTTGTCGTTTCTCGTGGTCTTCGCATTGCCGAATGCTTCCATGACTGGGTTGGTTGCCAGGATCTGCTCTTCGGTCTCGCTGATGGCATCAGCTCGGGGCTTTGTCCCCTTGCTCGCTTGCCCAGGGGCTCCTCTCGTCGCAAAGTAGCGCATGATGTATTTGGCACTGACTGTTTTACCGGCACCAGACTCTCCAGATACGACGACTGTTTGATTCCGCGTGTCTCGCAACATGTCTGTGTATGCTTCTTCCGCGATTGCAAACAGATGGGGTGCTTGGGACGCTCTTTGCTTCCCGGCGTATACTTGCACCATCTGGGGCACATAGAGGGAGTCTACTCGTGCGAAAGGATTGGTTGCTATAAGGACGATACCGCTATACGTGTAGATCTCTTTCTGTGCATATCGAAGCTTGATGGCCTGCAGGATGGCAGGTTCGTTCAAATGTGAGAGATTCGTGAGATCTTCGGCGGCCTCAAACATAGGAGGATTCATCAGAGGCGGGAGGGAGGCATTTTGCGTGTCTTGCAGCGCGGTCTCTGTGGTTTCGACGACTTGCTTGGACTCATCGGAGAGGGTGAAGACGAGGGCTATCCTCCCATCTCCAAATGCCTTTCGTTCCGCAAGCTCGCCGGGGATGAAGCCCTCGGCCTGGTTTGGGAACCAGGCCCGGGTGCCTACTTCCCAACTCGCCATCGTGGGCGGTGACGATCAACGCGTGGGCTCAACTCTCAAGTATTGCCAATGAGGACAGCCATGTATTCGGAGATGCAAGGAGGTGCCTGCAGACGTGTCAATGGCTTTCTTCGGCCCGGAGGGAACTGAAGATACCGCCAGAAAGGGGACTAACAGGCAGGAAAGAAGCCAGTGATGGTGATGAGATGGTGATGAGATGGTGATTGAGATGTGTGTACAAACGCCTGCGCTGAGGTGCGGCTGGCCGTTGACTTTCTTGGGGACAAGTTTGCGGGTGTCAGAAAGTTCCTGGGTTCAGCAAGACGCGTGCGCCAGCACCAAGGGTCCCGCAGGGGTCACTAAGCTCTTTCCACCCAAGCGCCGCTTCATCGCCAGCCCCTAGCCCGCCCTGACTCTCCACTCCAGGCCTAAGCAGCCTCATAAATTGTCCGGCGGCCGTTGATGGGCTGCTCCGGGCTAACCCAGGCACCCCCTTTTGCCGCCTATCTGCACGAGCAAGGGTTAAAGCGAGAACTGTGACAGGCTTCCGCGCGCCTTCCACGAGATCTGCCCACGATGTTCCTACATAGTGCAACGGTCTCGATTCCGGTGATACGCACAAGGAGGGCCGCTTTTCTTCTTCGTTATCCCCTAATCCTAGGCTCAAAGCAATTCTCCAAATACCTCGTAGTACCTACTGCTGGGATGCTGGCTAGGAAACTTTCTGTTGCTTTCTTCTCTCATGCCCTCTCAACGCCATACGGAACCCACAAATGACTTTGATTTCATAACGGAACTGGGAGGAAGGCCCGCCTTGGGCTTGACTTGCCTGTCGTGCCGTCACGCGTTATCGATCAAATGGATCTCAGCATTCTCAAACGCCCATCATGCCCCAAGCCGCTCAGTTTGTGGCGCATCTGCTGTCTGTGGACCAGCATCGGGCGCATATGCTGCCTCAACAGCATGCCGCAGACCTACTGCTCCTATCCAGGGAGACATAGCCGTCCATGTCTTCCTTGACAAACTGCGCTTACTGGTTTTTGCACTCTGATGTCTGCTGAGAACGAGGCTTTCCACCTTCTTCCTCATCGTCTTCGTCAGATTCAACCTCCTCATCGTCCTCGTCGTCATCTTCGTCCTCATCGTCGAACTCGCCCTCTTCGGCGTCCTCAAATTCTTCAAAGGCCAAAGCTTCGCCAGTGAACCAGTCAATGGCGCGAGGGATCAGCTTCTCCTTGATGTCTTCGCCCAACTGGTAGTCAAGCTCGAGGCGCTCTTCAATGTCGGAAGCAACCTCGTCTTCCTCGCCGGGCGCAGCTGGGGGTGCGAAGAAGTTGAAGAATGACTCTGTAGGGACTGTCTTCTTGATGACTCGGGTTTGCTTAGTGTCTGTTCAATCGTCAGCAATCAGTCTTAGTGGAGGTGATGGCTTGCGCACTCTTGTTTCTCTGCTTCTTGCTCTCAATTCTAACGGTCAGATCTTTGCCAGCCTTCCAGTCGATCTTGTCGCCCTCGGCATGATCATAAATGAAGTCTCCACCGTAGCCACTTTCCTCCCGATAGAAGTACGTTTTTGAAATGGTCTTGTTTGTGAAGAAGTCATTAGGGGCGAACTCGAAGATCAGGCGGAAACCCGGGCGATCCAAGTACTCCATGCGGATGTCTGTCAGGGATCTGAGGGCTTCCTCATCGCGGTCGGTGATGAGTTCGGCGAGGGAGATTTGGTTCTTCATGGCAGACAGCCAGAACTCTGGGATACCCTTTGTATCGTCTGCAGGTGTCTCTTCCTTTTTCTCCTCCTCTTCCTCATCCTCGTCCTCGTCCTCCTCGTTCTTTGCCTTCCCGGCTGCCACCTCGTCTTCGGTAGGCTCGGCATCGCCATTGACGATTTTGGCGCGCTTGACGTAAAGTGGGGTGAACTTGGCAAAGTACTTCTTCTCAAGCTGTAACACCTCTTCTTGGAATTCTGCTTCTAGCTTTGCATGGTCCTTCTGAATGCCCTTCAGCCCATCGACTCGGCGACGCACTTGAGCAGGGAGTGACTCGATATAGCCGGAGGAGCGGCCGATCAGCCCACCCAATTTCGCTTCCATCATCTGCACTAGGGCTCTATGAAGAATGTCAATATGTTTCGGTTCTGGGGCGTGCAATCGCAACGGCGTTTCTTATAATCGATCGGATGAGCGGATGAGGGGGAGACTTACGGATTCCGAGCAAACAAGCTGGCCGCAGCAGCTCGATCGAGATCCTCTTTGCAGCATTAGTTTTTTGTCACAAGATCGGTGGGGCTTCCACAGGCAAGTCGTGCTCACCTTCCTCAATAGATGGGACTCCCGGCTGGGCGGCATGACTTGAGATGGGTGCGTTCGACGCGGGTGCTATCCAAAACTGTGAGCGGCTTCCTAGATGTGCGTAGGAAGTATTCACGCACTGTTCTGGGGTGTAGGCGCCGTGATGTTGTTGCGCTTGGGTATTTCTGACGCCATGGCGACGGTCGCGGTCTTCGTGTGACAAGTTCGACAAAGTGGAAAATTCGGATGTTGTGGGATGTTGAGAGTTACTCTGTCCTGGCCACGGCCACTTTAAAGTGAAACTGCGGTCAAAGTTTTTTCACAACAGCCACTTGACAATGACGTTTCCGCAGTCAGAGACCAAGGACTGAACACACGGTGTAAGAAGGCACCCCGGAGGAAGGGAATAGCAGTGATATGTGAAAGGTTGAAAGGTGCAAGCATTACCTCGAAGATTGACGATACCGACTCAACTAACCTAAAACTTCCAGCCCAACCCATTTCCCATTCACGTTGTGCAATCCCGCGCAAGAAGGTGGCAACCAAGGCCGGTCCACGCTATGCCGAAGTTGTCGTGGCTGGACGTGCCCTGCCACGCCTGCTCGCTTTGGAGGATCAGAAGCGGCAGTATAGCACTACGGTGGTACACATACACGCTACGTCGGGCACGGTCGGGCTCTTTTCTGACACGCCTGGACGTCATAGTGCTGCACGCTGAAATTCTAGGTAGGTATGGAGCATACTCCGTACTGCACGGAGTGCCCATCGTGCTATCTCAATGCTGAGCGCCGCACCGAGCCTTGCCTAAACCACCCTTGCTTCACATTTTACCATACGGTATCCTTCCTCCTCACCTATCGGCAGGCCAGCATGTTATAGGATTGTGCCGTAGAAGGCACTTGTCCGCCCGCCATGGACACTGATGGACATCGTCGGTCGTTCCGGCGCAGCTCGAGCGCAGGACGACGTTCGATGCAGAGAAGAGACTCAAATCTCTCAAACGCAGCTTCCATTCTCTCCCAGGTGGAAATGTCGAGTGATGACATTTTCAGTGGTCCCATATCGGAGTCAGTGCCGTCCAGTGTCACGGGCTTCCAATATGCCCTTCCCCGACGCCGCGCCGGGAGCATCGCCAGCTTCACGTATTTCCAAGAGCAGGAGGATCAAGAGACAACCCCAGACTTCTACTCCGATGAGGAAGCGGTCGAGAGCGACGACGAGCTGGGCCACGCACTCGATGAAGCCCGAGATTTGGAGGCTGGTGTCGAGCAGGAAGCTCCCAGGCGCAAGAGTTCGGGTCGGTATCGATCGTCGGCAGACCAACCACTCCTCCGAAGACATGAGTCGGCGCGAAGCGACACTCAAAAGCACGACGATGGCGGCAATTTCAGCCAGAAGCTGTATATTGAGACCGAGGATTTGACAATGGCCATTGCGGGCTTCAGAACCAGCAACCTGGGCTACCTAATATACCTGGCAATCTGTGTTCTAACCGCGGGTATTGGATATCTTGTGTTCCGCTGGATGCCGCGATGGCGTATGTCTCTTATTGGATCTCCTGCCCCTCTCAGGAAATGCTCTTGGGTTGTCGTAGAGGTGAGCTATGGCCCAGAGCAACTGCGTCCAAAGAAGAAGGCTAAGAAGTTTCAGAACCAATGGGGCGAGTTCACGGTACACAATGTGTCTTCGGAGGAGTATGGCCACCCAATGTCAACCGTCTTTACCGCACCGAGCAAAGAGAAGATGAATGGACATCGGTACGACGAAGATGCCGAATTACCTCGCCTTAGATTTGTCGACTACCGGTACATGAGGCTGCTGTATCATCCACTGGAAGACAAGTTCGTGTTGAACAACGACTGGTGGGACCCGCAATGGGTTTCCGTCAAAGCTCTTCGCGAAGGACTTGATGCCGAGGAGAGGGAGCCACGGGAACAAGTGTTTGGCAAGAACCTGATCGAGATCCATCAAAAGACCATACCTGAACTGCTGCTGGATGAGGTCGGTTGTTTAGGATTTATCATCTCTTGACAGACGCTGACATTTGTCAAGGCATTTCATCCTTTCTATGTCTTTCAGATCGCTAGTCTCATCCTCTGGTCGATGGACGAGTACTATTACTATGCAGCAGCCATATTCCTGATATCAGTCTTCTCCATCACCACCACTGTCATCGAGACTCGTTCGGTAAGTGGTCCTATATGGTCCGTGCCATTGACGCTGATCATTGTGCAGACGATGCGCCGCCTGAGGGAAATCTCTCGCTTCGACTGCGATGTGCGCGTCCTTCGCAACGGCTTTTGTGGGTTCCGCAAGTATCATGTCGTGCCTTGCTAATTCTCTTATAGGGCGCGCGGCACTCGCGAGTGAACTTGTTCCGGGGGACGTCTATGAGGTCTCCGATCCTTCGCTGACTCAACTTCCTTGCGACAGCCTGCTTCTTGCGGGTGACTGCATCATCAACGAGAGCATGCTGACAGGTATAGTCGACAAATGACACAATGTACAGGACTGACAGCTGCAGGTGAATCTATTCCCGTCTCAAAAATTCCTATCACCGACGAGGCGCTTCCCTATGTCGATCTTGGGGCCACGTCGATTCATCCAAGTGTAGCTCGGTATTTTCTGTTCTGCGGGACGAAGATCATTCGTGCTCGACGACCACAGGATACCGATGATGATGAAGCCGTCGCTCTCGCCATGGTTGTCCGCACTGGCTTTAACACGACCAAGGGTGCACTGGTCAGATCCATGCTTTTCCCCAAACCGTCGGGTTTCAAGTTCTACCGCGATTCCTTCCGATACATTTCAGTCATGGGCTTCATCGCCGCGATTGGTTTTGTCGCCTCCTTCATCAACTTTGTCAAGCTTGGTCTGGCATGGCATCTCATCATCGTGAGAGCCTTGGATCTCATCACCATTGTAGTTCCTCCAGCTCTCCCTGCAACCCTGACTATCGGCACCAATTTCGCACTGTCAAGGCTGAGGAAGCAACAAATCTTTTGCATTAGCCCTCAAAGAGTCAACGTGGCTGGGAAGCTCGACGTGGTTTGTTTCGACAAAACAGGAACGCTGACGGAGGACGGCCTGGATGTGCTCGGCGTACGCCTTGTGCAGCACCCAGAGATTCGGTTTGGTGACATACTAGAGGAAGCACGCCAGCTTCTTCCTCCGGCTCTGTACGACCGCGACCCAACCATCGACTATCGGGTCAACAGGAACATGCTGTACACGATGGCCACCTGTCATTCGCTCCGACTTGTCGACGAAGAGCTGATCGGCGACCCGCTCGATTTCAAAATGTTCCAGTTTACTGAGTGGTCATTCGAGGAAGGCTCTCGCAACACAAGTCATTTCGTCGAACCAGGAACGCATCAGGCTGCTCCAAGCGTGGCTCGACCTCCACCTGGCCTCGAGTACGACCTGGACGAGTCGCAGGACAACGACAACCCAATCCGAGTCGAGCTCGGGATTTTACGCTCCTTCGAATTCGTGTCGCATCTGAGACGGGCCAGCGTCATTGTCCGCCAGCAAGGTGACCCTGGTGCCAACATTTACGTAAAGGGTGCCCCCGAGGTCATGAAAGACATCTGTACCCCGTCTAGCATTCCTGACGATTTTGAGGATCTACTCAGCTACTACACCCATAAAGGCTTCCGTGTCATTGCGTGTGCCTCAAAATATGTCTCAAGGTTGAGCTGGGATGATATCCAGAACATGGACAGGTCCGACGCCGAATCTCGCCTTTCACTCATCGGCTTCATCATCTTCGAGAACAAGCTAAAGGAGATCACCACCGAGATCATCGAGGAGCTCAATGAAGCCAATATCCGGAACGTCATGTGTACGGGTGACAACATCCTCACTGCTATCAGCGTGGCAAGAGAATGTGGCGTCATCGACCGTAATGCACATTGCTTCGTACCCCATTTTGTTGAAGGCGACAAGATGGATCCGAAAGCACGACTCAGCTGGGAGAGCGTGGACAACCAGATCTACCAGCTCGACGAAAATACCTTGCTCCCAGCGCCGCTTTCTGCCGAGGACGACACGGGTGCTCCATATGATGCGCTCGCTATCGGTGAGTACACTCTGGCTGTCACAGGAGACGCGTTCCGCTGGGTCATCGACTTTGGCTCCAGCGAGATCCTGCAAAGGATGCTCGTCAAAGGTGCCGTCTTCGCACGGATGTCCCCTGATGAGAAACACGAACTCGTCGAGAAGATGCAAAGCATCGACTACTGCTGTGGGTTTTGTGGCGACGGCGCCAACGATTGCGGTGCACTCAAGGCTGCAGATGTCGGTGTTTCCCTATCTGAAGCGGAAGCGTCTGTCGCTGCACCATTTACCAGCCATATATTCGATATCTCCTGTGTTCCCGCGCTGATCAAAGAAGGCCGTGCAGCCCTGGTCACGAGCTTTTGCTGTTTCAAGTACATGAGCTTGTACTCTGCAATTCAGTTCACCTCGGTCAGCTTTCTCTACGCTTCGGCATCCAACCTCGGCGATTTTCAGTTCTTGTTCATCGACCTTGCCTTGATCCTGCCACTAGCCATCTTTATGGGGTGGACAGGTGCTTATCCGGTCTTGAGCAAGAAGCGACCGACGGCGAGTCTTGTCTCCCGGAAGGTCTTGACTCCGCTGCTTGGTCAGATCGTGCTCCAGCTGCTTGTCCAGCTGGTAGCCTTCGAAACGGTCCAGACCCAGCCTTGGTACATACCGCCACGAGTCGACAGACAAAAGTCCAGCGTCGATAACTCTCAAAACACGGCGCTCTTCCTGGTCACCTGCTTCCAGTACACGCTGTCCAGCGTCGTTCTAAGCATAGGACCACCATTCCGACAATCAATGGCGACGAATGTACCATTCTGCGTTACGATCGTCGCCGCACTCCTCATTTCCTTGTACATGCTTCTTGACTCGGCCAAGTGGTTGATGCAGTTTATGGATCTGACCGAGATGTCCCTAGACTATGATCTCTTCCTGCTTGCACTCGCGGTGGCCGGGTTTGCAGTTGCCTATCTGACAGAGCGCCATTTCTTCCCGTTACTCGCGAAATTCATTGGGCGGGTCAAGGTGAAACTCCGTCCTGCCCATCCGAAGAAGAGGAAGCAGTACAAAATCATAGCCGAAGAGATACAGATGAGCAGATAGACACTCTGAGCTTGCCAAATGGAAGGATCTGGGCAGCAGACACACGGCGTGCTTGAATCGCCAATTTCATGCATATGTCCCAGGTAGAGCTTGTCTTCCCCAGGACAAAATCAAGAATACCAACATCCCTGCTTGCCCCACGACGGCTCTACTGCCTAGCGTTGATAGAGCCATACATGCCCAAGTGCAGCTACCTGCCCCTTACATCTGGAACGACAAACATGCACATTTGTCGGCACTGAAGTCGTCTATCCCGCGGACAGCTTCCTAGAGGTCGTATCAGGGGGTTCACCGACTGCCGTTCTGAGGGGTATCTTATACGCAACATCTAGGTAGTCTATCATCACTTTCTTGAGATCGCAGAGGGGAGGGGACAAGTTGAGTAGAACAGCCAAATCAGGCGCGAGACTTCTAGGCTCACGTATCTGCTCTGCGTCCGCAGCATAAAGCACAGAAGCTGATGCTGTGTTTGATGGCATTGCCGGTGTGGCGAGAGGACGAAGAGGAGCGATCCACCCTTTCCTGTCCGCAGCTGATATACCGCAGGGTATGTCGAGGGAAGCTGTATACTGTGTTCTTTGTCATCTCTGTTCTGTTCCCTCGGCATGACATTGACGCATGTTTCTTGACATCACAAGCACAGCTGCTCAAACGCCGGGCAAATGCTCATGTGGCCATTCGTGAATGGATGTATGTACAATCAGTGGTGCTCCCCCCTTATGCCGTATGCATGCGCTTGCCGACGAATATACCGCCATTAGAAGCCTCTCATTCTTCTGGTCTTCGCCCTGTGATCGATTCCCGCATCCCTGTCTGTGTGTGGGTACTGGCCGTCTTCGCCTCAACTTCCATGTACTGCAGTTTGCCCTCCCTCTCCCTCTCGCTCTCGCTCAATGATCCCAGGGATGCTTCCACCCCAAGAGCGCGGGGCCATCCTTCTTCATCCGGTAAAACAGCTACGTTCACATTTCCCGTCAGCTTTGGGCGTTCGCGTTCACTGCGCACCTCAGGTGAGGTGTAAACTTACGAAAAACCACATTGCGGCTCCCAACCCCGTTGCTGCGACTCTGTATAACCGGGGGGCGGCATTGATCTGGCCGACCGGGTGGTTCCCTTTCCAGACGGGTTTTCCGTGGGCTGCGCCGCCGGCCATGGTGGCGGATTCTGGAGTCGAGTGGGTGAGTGCGTGTCGTGAGTGTCGCCCTGTGTCTGCGACTCGCGTGGAAGGACGACTGGAGGAGGTTGATGAGCTCGGTGAGGTTGGCTGGAGCTTGAAGTGAAGAAGGCGCAGTGGATTGGATAGACGTTGGTGTTGGAGGTTCTGGGTTCGCCAAGTAGTAGAGTGCTTCGCCGTATATATGTACTTGTGCACCGCGTGTGTTGTGCTTCGCCAGGAGAGCTTCCAAGATATTTACTCCGTGTACTCCGTACGGAGTACGGAGTACAGAGTAATTAGGGACTCGATGGAGTACAGGGCTCCCTAATTACTTTACAGAGCATTCAACTTGACTGTCACCGTCTTGTCATCCATCTCCCGAGACTACAGTATGCCTAGCCCGTCCCGTGCATTCTCTATAGGCGGTAATACTGTGTAATTCTCCCTAACATGCTTTCTTCCGGTAGCAGATTCCTACTGGTTTCTGACACTTCTGCTTTTGCTGTCCATGAAGGTCCGGTCGCAGTGGAAGTGTAATCTTGCAGTGGGAGAAGTCGTTGACCGCGACCCGTCGCCCGGACCAGCACCTGGCGCTCATCCCTCGAAACGGCCCAGGACGGTTTTCATGCATCTGAGACGTGCTGTCTCCAGCTTCCAAGTGGTAGTACCGGAAAGTGTACTCTGGCCAGTCTGCCGCTTACCCTGTCGGCCCTGGGGCATTACTTCAGCTGACGGGCATGGATACCGCCAGTGAGACGGCTGCCCCAACGTACGTGGCCATCTCACAGGAAATGGCACTTTGTTGATACAAGGCGCATTCGGGATCCTGCAGATCTAGTATATTACAGCCGGTGCCGAGCCGGAAGGAAGATCTGATGCTGTGTACGGAGTATCTCGTACGAAGCGACTCGCGCACATCGTATTGTCCCTTGCCTATTTTTGGCCAACAAGCCCTGTAGAGGCGGCAAATTCGACCGCAATCTGACCGATTAATGACACATCCTCTGTCATTTCTTGACTGGCTGCCAATGTCATCAGAAATTCGAGGATCAAGAGGCTCTGATGTCCATTGAGGCGGCAAGAAGAGGCCGCGGACGAGCCTGTGTAAAATACAGTAGCTGTGGAACCCGCAGCCATGTGCAAGTTCACGTTCTCGGCCGGATTGTCGGTTCTGCAACTCGCTACTCCGTACTCCGTACTCGGCGCCATGTTGTGTTTCGCTTCCCCGAGTCTCCGGCTCCAGTACGATGTAGACGATCCGGACCTCGTATTCCAATTGCTCATGGACGCAAAATACGGCACGAATAATGCAGTTGCCCGAGTGCCAACCATTATTGGGGGCGGCAAGGCAGCAAATGCCGTACAAGCGTGGCACCATGGTGATGAAGGTTTTGAGGATGATATCAGCAAAGGCCGCTTCTGGTGGTTCCAGTTCAATCAGATCTCAGCATCATCGAGGAGTCTTAGGGCTTGGGCACTTTTGGCGTCTGCTTTGCTGAGCTTCCGGCCAGCCCGATCGGCTCGCTAACCACTAATTTGGACGGGAAATGCTCTGGAGTCGGTGCCAAGTTACCAAGTAGTCTTCGAGTAATGCTCTCTTTGTGCACGCCTGATATCGGATCTATCCCGCCGGGTTGACACCCTGCGGTCATTGCTCTCTGAATCCTGTCGACTACATCTCTGGTCACTTCTGTAAAGCTGTCCAGCTACATCGTAGTATTCTCGATCCGGGTGCTGCTGCCGCCGAAGTTCTACCCGCCTTTCCATCGCGATTTGTCGAACCGCTGTGAACCGCGATGAGCACTCTCTACAGAACCCTCACCGGTCAATCGCAAAGGTCGCATCATTCTGAAAACACCGTCGGCTCCCAGGCTCACCCGACCTTGACACGGACTACAACCACCGATCCGCTGACCGGCACACTTCACCATCTGACTCCGCCTCAGGAGCAGAAACTCGAGGAGTTCAAACAAAAGCTACAACAGGGCGGGTGGTGGTCACCGAACGGAGTCAATGGCAAACCCTCGCACGATGATGGCACACTGCTGTACGACTGATCTTTTCACGAGCAATGAAAGCATTTGCACTGACATGTTTCTTTCCTAGCCGGTACCTGCGAGCCCGCAAGTTCGACGTGCAAGGCGCAATCGGCCAATTTACAGATACGGAACAATGGCTCAAGGAGCAAATGGTAGAGGAGCTGTATGATACTTTCGACGTGGAGATATACGAACGGTCGCGGCAAGTGGTAAGCAGAAGATGGACATGGGCCTGGAACCGCAGGCTGACACGACACGCAGTACCCTCAATGGACTGGACACCGCGATAGGCGAGGAATTCCCATCTACGTCTATGTGATCAAGCAACTCGACAGTAAACACGTGAACAAGTACCAGAAAGAGTCGCAGAAATACAAGGACAGCCTTCCCAACCACAAGAAACTCCAGACGCCTGCCAAACTCCTCCCCCTATTTGCGCTCTATCAGAATCTCCTCAACTTCGTCCTACCGTTTGTGTCAACCCTCGAGCGCCCGAACCCCGAAGTCCCCGTCACGAACTCCACAAACATTGTCGATATCTCGGGGGTGGGCTTGACGCAGTTCTGGAATCTGAAGGCCCACATGCAAGATGCATCAGTGCTAGCGACGGCCCATTACCCCGAAACTCTGGATAGAATATTTGTGAGAGACTCTTCAAAGGCCCAGACTCACATACACGCTAACATTAACTCAGATCATTGGCGCACCGTCATTCTTTCCCACAGTCTGGGGCTGGATCAAACGATGGTTCGACCCTGTCACCGTGTCCAAAATATTCATTCTCGGCAAAAACGAGGTCAAACCCACGTTATCGAAGTTCATGGATCCCAAGGACTTCCCCAAGCGATATGGCGGCGACCTAGCCTGGGATTGGGGAGACATGCCACATTTGGACGAAGACACCCTAGCTGCTCTCGAAACGGATGGAAACAAGGGCTGGGTTCGCGGTCCATGTCTGTGGCTCGATGGGAAGCGAGTCCCCGTCGGCTCGGAGAACGGGAAGCCACGGCGGCCTTCTACAGACATCGAGAAGATGAAGCCTGTCGTATATGCGGCCGATTACACAGAAACCCCAGTCCACCCGGACAAGAAGTTATCTCTGGTCTCAAAGCCACATGCTTCTAAAGGGACGGCGCCAGCCCATCACGCAGCTGAGGAACACGCGGCGGAGGCGAAGGATGGCGCGACAGCCGCCAATATCCTTGCGACCAAGTCGAATTCGGAACAGTCCGCACAAGCAGTGCCGCAGCCTCAGTCGACAGAACCCCAGCCGGAACCGTCGAAAGTAGCTCAGCCGGAACCGTCGACCAGCTCAACCTCAGGTGCACAGGCAGCCTCCCAGCTAATATCATCGGCCACATATGCCCATCCTCCGTCCCAGCCGCAACCGGGCCCTATTCCGGAACACACGATCGCCCTAACCTCGGCCATGGAGAACAAACTTGCCGACGAGTCCGTGTCGATAATTCCTCCGACGGCGAACGGACACGCTAACGGACACGCCACAGCACCCAGCGAAGGACACGGCGAGGTCGTCGTGGCAAGCGATCTGAGCAAAGGCTTGGCTATTGAGACCGAGAAATTGAACATCACGGACGATCCGCATCATCAGAAGGAGGGCGCGGCGCAAAGGCCTGCAATGGAGAGGTTTGTCACCGCTCGAGAAGTGGCAACGTGAGTCGACTCTGTCAAGCAGACAGATGCGATTGCAAGGGATACCCAAGTGGAGCTTCATGTTGGTTGTCATATGGATCACGTCATGGCAGGTGTGGGTGCGATCTGTGATTGACCATCTGTCTTTGTTTTTGGATCTGGTTTTCCGGTCTGAGGGTTCCATCAAGAACGTCCTCATGAGGGGATTAGAATCAGGTGGTTTTCTGGTTCAGTGGACCAAACGTCGTGGAGGGGGTGTGTGATTTGTAGCATTGCGCCGTGTTTGTCCAAGGTCAAAATACCCATCAATGCCATGCAGGTACAAAGAAGTACCTAGTTGTCAAACCAGTTGAGGCCTTCCTCCCCCATGACAGAGGTTGTCGATCCCTGATCATACTGTGTGGCTTTCTGATTTGTCTGATGGTCTACTTTCCCCCTCGGCGAAAAGTGAGGACCTTAAAAAAACTGGACATGCCTCACAGTTACGTGCCATGCTATAAGAATGCTATTCCCCGCCCTGGAGGGAGTTAGACCGTTAGGATTGTGTTTGATTTGGGTACTTCGTTGGCTTTTTGCTATCTACGGCGAGTAGGCCATTCAGACGAGTCTTTTGCTGCTTACAGGTGAAATAGCAAGAAGAAAGCCTTCTTTGCAAAAATTGCCGCTCTTATCCCAACCGACTTGAGGCAGTACATGCCGGTTCCAGCTTGCACCTTTTCCATTGCTGGCCTTTTTCCAGCTCGTGCTCGTACGAGGGTCACCCACGTTGTCAGGTTCTCCCGAGTGCTTGACTTAGCGTCACTTGGTGCTGGCACTACATACCCCAGGTCTGCTGACGGGTGGACGGTTTAATTATGCGGCGATGCCGATGACACCGCAGGCGGGGCGAGGTCCGGCGTTACCGGTCTTCTTACTTTCCTCGCTGCCGCCCTTGCCGAGGTCGTCGGTGCCGGCGTGGACGACGATGGTTCGCTGGATACACAGGCAGTCTCAGTCACCATTCATGCTTACAGACGGATTGGACAGGGGATGGACACAGTGACAACTTACGCCCAAAACACTGTGCTCGCCAATCAGCTTGATGAGGCTGTCGCTGACGCTGCCCTTGGAGTTGCCCTGGGCGTCGGTCTTGAAGTTGCCTAGATCGCCAACGTGGCGTTCATCGTCGGACGGGGCGCCGTGCGTCTTGCCGTGCGGGTTGTCTGTGGCAGTCTGTCAACTCTTGCTCGATTTCAAGCCCGACGGCATGGCGAACATACAGTGGGGGCCTGCGCTTGTGCAGCCGTTGGTGTTGTCACCGAACTGGTGGATATGCATGCCTCGCTCAGCATTGGCGTCATGGCCTGAGATGTCCCAGGTGACGGTGGTGGGGGAGGACTCGGAGCTTTGCTCAAAGGTCACATTCCCGGTGACTTTGGAATCTCCTCGGAGGACGGCGACTGGAGGGAGTAAAGGTTAGTTGACAGTGCGTGATATGACTGATGCTTCGACGACGGTCGTCAGCAGCCTCGAGTCACATTGACGGGTGGTAATGCCTGGAGCTGCGGTTGTCATGATGCTGACAAACATGGTTGACACTCATAAGAAGCTGGGAAGGCACATGGACAAAGCTGACGGACTCACCGGCTTTAACCATTTTGACGAATTGATATCTCTTTGTACAAGGACGTTGATATTACAAGATGTACAGTGGGAAGGGCACAAGTGGTGAGATGGAAGCAAGGAGAAAGCTCTTTGAACGAAGAATCGAGAAGTAATCACTCGGCCAGTGGAGTTGATGGGGACAATCTCCAGCTGGCTGGCAAGTGGATGAGCACATGGAGCATTTGGTCGCAAAGTTCGATGAAGCAATCATGGAATGAGGGGTACCTGCAATTACGCCGTCCGAGACCTGCCGTGGTCGCAATGAGGGGCACCGCGCAAGGTGCAAGGGCTTCCGATCCCCTGCTTCGGCCGGTCCGGATAATTCAAGGTCCTGTTCCGAGAAATTGACCCGCACCGCCCTCGCTGTCTGGTGACGTAACCCCATAAACAGAACTCCAACAACGCGACGAGGTTGCTCGTTCACGCCCCATGCATGTGACTTGGATTTGCAGATCAACAACGCATAGTTACTTGCAAACTGAGATGTGCTTCATGTCGTGGACTGAATAATGAAGATACCGGAACAATTCACTGCAGAGCGAAGAGTTACATGTCTGCTGTTTCACAGCATCGCAAGCAGTGATTGTGCAACGCCGAATGCTCGTTTGAGACCAATATATCAAGCACACAGGTGCTGCTCTGGTTCGCCTCCTCGATCCAGAAGCCAACTCAGTAAGTTCCCTTCTAACCAGCCTCCCATTCAATTCAAGCAACACGCATCTGCTCTATCACGCCATCGAAGCGTCCACATAGCAGCCATGGCCTCCCAAGACAGCACCGACAAATTCCCCAACTTCCTCGAAGCTATGGCCTCAATCTACAGGCCGCTCCCCTCCTCGACAGATCCACAACTCACTTCCTGGACTCCTCCTCCCGCAGCAGAAGGTCACCGCGGCCGCTACCTCTGGACCGACGGCTTCGCAGTGGTAAACTTTCTGACACTCTATAATCTAACCCACGAAACACGCTATGTCACATTCGCGCGAAATCTGATCACCGCGGTGCACAGCATCCTCGGGTATACCCGGGACGGAACCTCGCGTCTACCAGGCGCCACAGAAGAAGAACCCCTGAAAGGCGGACTGCGGATCGGCAAACACGACGAATCCGGTCCGGACGGCGATGGGCAATATTTCCACTACTTGACCGTGTGGATGTTCGCGCTGAACCGGTTCACCTTCGTCACGGGCGAGAAGTGGTACAACGAGCAAGCCATTTCTATGGCGAAAGCAATTCTGCCAAAGTTCATGACGAACCGCGCCGCAGCACGGCCGCGCATGTTCTGGAAGCTGAGTACCGATCTCTCCAGCCGGTTGGTCTTGTCGGAGGGAAACCTCGATCCGATCGACGGTTATGTCACATATAAGCTCCTTCAGGCCACTCATGGCGCGGGCTCGGAAGTCTTGAAAGAGGAGATTGCGCTGCTCAAGAAAATCGTTGATACAAAAGTCGAGAGTTACGGCTCGACGGACACACTCGATCTGGGCATGACATTGTGGACTGCGCACTGGCTCGTTCCAGAAGAAGAATGGGCAGTGCAGCTTACTTGTCGAGCGCTCACGTGTTTGAAACGTCTAGTCGAGAGCCGACATTTCGAAGAGTCGACACAGCGACGGCTCGCATTCCGGGAGTTTGGGACCGCATTAGGAGTTACGTCGGTAACCACCCGAAAGAGCGACAGCGGTCGACTGTGCCGCGAGGGCGAGCTTGTTGACGACGAGATAAGGGATCTGCCGGATCAGATTTGTAGACAGTGGGAGGACGCTGGTTTGGTGCCGACGCCCACTGAGCAGATGCAGGGACGTATGGCAGAGCTGATGCCCATCACGGCGGTTATGTACGCGAGCGCCCTGATACCGGGTTTGATGGTCCGGCAGTCGTGATACCAGAGAGCAAGATGACCAAGACACCAGTGAAGATGTCGAAAATGTCATGGTAGGAAGGTGGACTGATGATCAGACCGACACCCCTTGAGAATAAGCCGTGCACCAACCTCTATCTTACCAACAGCACGTCAGACCTCTTCGAGCACAAATCATCCGGAAGAGATGTACAATAATAACGCCCTTGTTGTCCTCGTCCTTCTTACAGAGTGAGCCGCAGATTAAGCGCCCTCCGGATTGCCCATCCACCAAGGACAAATAACGCAATCGGCACGGCAACCTTCCTCATCCACAGCTTCAACCCGAGACGCATTCTCCTTTGTACAACACTTTCCATATCTTCTTGCTCGACGTCGGTTATGGGTATGGCGACTTCAGGCTCCTTCCTGCCCAGAAACTCGCACAACGGCGCCCAGCCCATACCCGGTTCCCAAATCAGCATCTGTTTCCCCTTCCTTCGACAAACATCGAGCACCCACTGGTTGTGAGTGTCGTATAAGTCCTTACTCCAGACGGAATCGACACCGAATTTCTCGCCAACAAAGCGTTGCCATTCCAGCAGACACGAACGGTGCCACTGGTCAGGTACGCTCCAGAAACAAGCAACGCGGTATCCCCAACTCATGAAGGGGGCGATCCTCGCCTTTAGGCTAGCGGCCCATTCTTCGCCAGCAGCAGCAGCACCACCACCACCACCACCACCACCACCTCTGTGGACGACCAACACGACCCTGGCGTCAGGGTACATCTCAATGAGGTCCTCTAGGAACAGATGGCCCGGGAAATCTGCAGTCGCGGCACACCCTGCAAAGAGTTTATACAGGATGGCGCGGCGTCTCTGCGTGTCTCCCTCCTGCAAGGCCTCCCATATGAAGCGCAGGTTCGGCGGCAACGGGAGACAACGACCTATGTGCATCGTCGGACCGATGTCAAGAAGGTGAGGACTCTCGAAGGCTTCTATTAGAGATGTCGTCGCGCACTGAGGCAGTCCCACGGCGAGGACCTGCACGGGACATCCGAAGCAGGTTGCAATGGGAGGTTTGGCTGTTGGTGGGGCCATCGTGGTCGTCAGGTCCGCGTATATATCCTCGAGGGTGGCAGCGGCCTGTGACAAGGATAAGACTGAGGGGGTATGATACTAGGCTCTGAGGTGGTCAGAATCGCAACGTCTATCGAAGTGCTTAAGGTATTTTCTTATGCTCCACGAGTCAGCGAGTCGAGAACCATTGCTGACTTCCGCTCATGTTTGTATGCTCTTTCATTATTATATGGCGGCATTGGTGATGCAAGCCATCACGCACAATAACTAAAAATATATACAATACATGCGTGTACCGCACTTGATATAGACCCACTCCCAGCACGCGGAAGTAACACAACGCATTCGAAGTAACAAGGAAACGGACTCGCGGATTGCAGATCCCAGACATGGGCAGCACAACAAGCTCTGCCCCGGAGCATGAAGGGTGTCTTGTCCTGTCCCGTCTTGTCCGTCCACGACCGCTATCTAATTACGTACTATCAGCGAAGGATATTGCTCGTCGTGACTACGGGCATGACAGATGTCAAGATCGGAGGGTGGTGCTTGTTGGTAGTTACTGTATGTTCGTAAGGTCGTGAAACGTATGGGGTTTTCCCAATATTCGTGCTTTTTGAAAAAAGGACAAGAACGGCAAGCTTGGTCCATGTCTGAGGTTCGCGACAACTACTAGGTCAGAACTTGTATAGCTCCGAGCGCGGGTTTATACTCGGTGGATAAATGGGTCGCCATGTCCACATGAAAGCGTTACGGACCGTGAAGTCCAGACTTGATGTATCTAAACCTGACAAATATCAAGCATGTTCCCGCCCTTCGCTCCCCAGCACCCCATGGGTATCATGTAATCATCTCAATTTCGAAAACAGCGCAAAAAGCTTGAGCACCACGTTGATAACCAGCGCAAGGGTAGCCAACACCACGTAGAGCTGCCCGATCTCCAGCCAGTTGTTGAGCGTCATCTCCGTCTCGATGAAGCCGTCCCTCGAAATACCTCTCTTTGAGTCCGCCGACTCCGGGTCGGATGGAAATCGGCCAGTATTGTACCACTGCTCGAGGATCTCATCCTTCTCGCGCCATCGCTCGATCAACCACTTCTCAAACTCCTTGGCGTCGGCGAGAGGGATGGAAGACATGGAAAAGCGACGCCAATACATGTTCACGCTTTTTGGTGGGCGACCCTGCAAATAGGTTGAGCGAATGGTGAAGATCTCTGGAGCGAAACCTCCTTTCCTGCAGCGTGAATGGTCAGTCTTGGTCGGACGGAATGTCTCCCCTTTGTCGAAACTCACGGTGTTCCTTCATATGCAATGGTGCAGTCATACACCCAGTCGACCGTACCCTGCAGTTGCTGGAGACTGAAGAAGAGACCGGTGCTTCGCGGAAGAAGCGTGTGTTTCATGTCGGGGATGCCCTGCTTTTCCGCCCACCTTGCACTTCCCTTCTTCATGTTTGCGGACAGGTTAGTGCCCTCGGGAAAGATCAGCAGCCACATGGGATCCAGGCCGTCCGAGCCAGACATGGGGCCCTTGTGGCGGGTCTTGAGTTTGTTCAGCCGGTGCTCCAGCCGCGGCTTGTCGGACAACCACTTGCGGGCCATGAAAATGAAGCCATAGAACATCATGCCCGGGCCCAAGATCGGCACGTACTTGAGTGACTCTTTGAGGATGATGAAGATGTGTCCGTGCATCCTGCTCGTGTACGCGATCCACCAGAGGTACAGCCACTCGGTGTACACCTGGTGGTTGGCAATGTATACCAGCCGCTCAGGGAACATCGTCTCAAGCCTCCCCACCGATGTCTTCTGAAACTGTCCCCGCAGTTCTTTGTCCCAACTCACCCGGACTTTTGTAGGCGCAAACCACCTTGTTCCTGCAATGCCCATGATGGCAAACGACTGCTTCGTCAACGCCATGTACGCATAGTAGTAGTCCTTGTTAATCCAATACAGTGGTGCACCAAGGAACTGGGTGGCATTGATGCAGACCGCCCCACAGTTGAACCATGTCGCAAGCAGAAGTGCACGGATGACTTGACTGGCGCCGCTGTACTTGACTTCTCCAGCTGGGTGTGGTAGTACATCGTGATCTCCGGCCACGCCCAGGCCGCTGCCCGATTCGACCTTGGCCGAGAACTCCGGATTGCGCTTTCTGACGGTACCGTTGAGGGTCGCCATGGTATGTGGCTTCGAGGTGAGGAATGGGCGATGCTATGTTCTTGAAGGGGTCATACGAGCTTCGTCAGCAGTTAGAGGAGCGAACGTAGCCAGGCAGGACCAGTGCTGCCATTGACTCAGTCACTATGCAGGAGGCCGCAGGAAACGACAGGCAGTTGTTCGAGAGGGGGGAGAGGTATCAAATTGAAAGAGGACAGCAAACAGAGGATCGTGGCACCCTCCTTCGGTGCAACGACAGCATAGCATTCCACTCTCTCGTACGATGATGTTGTTGACTATGCACAAAGACGGCGTGCAGTCAAGACTCGCAGGAAGCCGGAGTATCCGCAGCTGTTGCCTAAATTTAATGCGGCGGTATGGATCAAAGCCTACACAGTATTCCGGATCCTCGGGCGCGTGCTCCGTAGTGGGGGGGTCTCCGTGGTGTCCAAAGGGATGACTAAGCGCATCGGGGTCCCAGCTCCAACAACCGCCATCACGACACGTTGGCCATGGTGCCTCCAAGCAGCCATCCAAATCCTCTCCCGGACTCCGTACCTCGTAGCTCTGTCTCTCATGACTGAACACCTCGATTACTCTCGGATGAAAAACCTGCTTTCCAAAGACGGGTTTTGTTCTAGAGCATGAGCCAAGGCCACTTTAAACCTGAGCTTGACCTTGAGTCTCCCTGAGCACTGGCAAAGGGGAAGGAGAATCTGAAGTACTACTCCGTACGGAGTACATACAATAATCATGGGGCGGGGTTGCGAGCGGACGCAAGCACCCCAGGTACTGTACATCCTGTAATTTGATGGAGTGTGTTTGCGTGTCCGACGTTAGTCTAAACTGAGCTTCCAAGCTTCCAAGCTTAGGCTGAGCGTAGCTGAGCAACTCCCCGAGCCCTGAGCCCTGAGCCTCCCTGGGGATGAGAAGGAGGGAGCCACGGAGCCTAATCTGGCTCCTTTCGCCTGACTACCTAGGTACCCACCCAGATACCACCGCGGCGTCACGCTCTCTGCCCATCTTCTGCAGCAATTGTACGACTCGGCCCTTCACCAGCTGAACCTCGTCGCTATTCTCGGCAAACCTCGTCCTCACCAGCCTCAGGTTGACCCAGAGCCGCTGCAATCTCGCCTGGTCATGCAATGCATGCTTGGCTCCCGAGCGCTCAAAATGTCCTCCGTACATGATGGCCTCTTGCATGTCCATTTCGTCCTTGGTCAAGTCCTTCAAGTACAGCGTGGTATTGTGCTGGATTGACCGCCAACCGAGCTCCTTAATGAGCTGCTGATCCGAGTAGCTGAGATCGCGCGGTACTGGCCACGGAAGAATGCGCAGTCTCATGCGGTCTTGTCGACGACGATTGCTCAACGTACCCCTAGTAGGTCTGCCCTTCCCACCCACAACCGCGTCCGGGAGCATGCGGTCGATGAAATCTTGGGTGCAGAGGTCAGAATCGAGGCGACAAAGCGCTTCCATCTCCCAGCCTTCGATCTCAGTGGACACCTTGTACGGGATCAAGTAGGAGAACTTCAGCGGTCGGTCGTAGGCATTGAGAAGCACGCGACCATATATGTCACACTGGGGTCGGAATTCTCGAGACGCTTGCTTACGACGCCCGTTCTCGGCGGTGTATGCGAACTCGCCCAGCGGGTAGAGCTCGAACAGGATCTGCGGACGGGGAGCGCGTTCATTTGCAAGGGAGGGCACGTGCGTCGACCACTCGGCACATTGGTGTCTTCGCAACGTTGCATTGTCACCGCCCAGCAGGTACTCGGCGTTGACGGCGTACAGGAAGTGAGTCTCGTCCACTTTGACATATTTCTCGCCCTTGATGGTCAGGATCGTGGAGCCGGAACGGACACGAGTGCGCGCATCAGCCATCTGCATGGAGACAACTGGTGGAAGGACAGGGATGTTCTCTATGCTTTGTGCTTGTGCTTCTTGACGAGACTGCTCTTCAAGGGATTGTTCGTGCTGACCCTGCTCCCACTGGCCGAAATGAGGTTGAACATCACCTGGGTGGGCAAGACAAGAAGGGAGAGCACTGGGTCGCCAGGGTATGTACAACGGAAGAGCACCCGGTCCCAGATCAACGACGGCCCATTCGGCGGTTGCCTCTTCAGCGTTTTCATGGACGGTCGTCACAGGGAATTCAGCCAATGCGTCCACACTTTGGAAAAGATCGGGATGTCGGAAAGCCGCATTGCGAGCTAGAAGCCAGAGGATGTCGCTTCCTCGGAGGTGTGGATACATTTCAGCAAGCTGTTCTTCGACATGCTCGTGGACAAGCGGAGGAGGCAATACAGCGAACTTCCAGGGTGCGACGACCGGGGGAAAGTCAGGGCCCTGAAGATTTGCAGCACCGACCGCCATTTCCTGAGTGTTCACGATTCCCGAGGCAACGACAGCTCGACCGCCCACCGCCATCTCTTCTTTGGCGTCTTCAGCCTCGATGTCGACAATCTGCCGAGCAGGAATGGGTGCAACGAGAACGATATTCGTCCCGCTCTCTTCTTCTACGGTCGTGTCGTCGTGAACCGTCGGGCCTACACGAAAATCATTAGCTATCCGCACCCTTACTCGGAAGCTCTTGGTGCTCACCTTCATCTGGCGCGGCTGATCTAGGAGGCTCAACATGCTCACCTTCAGCTGGCTCTGCCGGTGTACGAGGCTCAACAAGCTTCGTCCGTGCATACGAGTCTCGATGCTCCCCCACCCTCAAATGCATCCCATCCATCGTAGGGTGTATGAGATCAAGACGAGACTCCTCTTTGTTCGGATTTGGAAAGACAGTTTGAGCAACGCCATGCTCGTCCTTGTCAATGACAAAGTGACTCTTGTATGTCTGCTCAAGGAAGACAACTCTGGCGACACCTTCATCGTCAATTTCCAGTCTCGGTGCGTCTGTGGCGGTGTCGACAACGTTCTGGTCAATCTCCATTCTCGGTGCGCCTCTTTCTACGCCTGTGTCGGCATCATGTCCTGGAGGCACATTGATCGGTGGCATGGTGATGAGGCACGAACAGACAATTGACAAAGGAAGGCTTGCAAGTCCTCACGCTTGCTGGTTGTGAGAAAAACAAAGATGAAACGCCGAAGGTGAGACCAGACTTGCGATGACAGGAGAAGAGTCTCCACAGGCTGTACTGTCGTCGTTCGTTTGTTGTTCTATCGTCACGGGTGACGCTGGGAACTGTCGACAACGCTGCTTGGCGACGGTGAGGTCTGGCAGCGCCGCTGATCGCCCCGGCGACGGTACGAGAGGGTTACCGCGGGCAATACCTTATGCAAGTTCTAGCAGGACCCACAGGAAGTCTGTTCGACCTGGTCTGCCAATGTTTCCGCGAGTTTCGGTTCTTCAGCCTTCTTCGATGCCGCCCACATATACTGATCCGCCCTCGACGCCGTCCGAGGTACGAGAATCCAGGAGAGGCGCACAACAAGATACGAGCACAGAGCACGAGTACCACAGCCCAGCTGATCCCTTGACCCCGCCATCTGTCGAGTCGACAAGGAATTAACCATCGACGAACACCGCGAAACACCGCCTGGCCATTCGCCAACATCACCGCGTACGTACGGTATGTACGCCCATCTGCCCTTGCGGACACCGCCTTCCCGCAAAGCCATCGTTTCTTCACCGTCCACAGGCTCACGGTCGTCACCGAAACAGAAACACAAAACAGCCGTACTGTGAAGAGACAGCCTTGGATACCCGAGTGCTGTACCGACCAGGACTGACTCCATCAGCATCACGATTCGGACTGTGTGTGCCAAAAGGCAATATATATCCCTCGTCCCCGACTTCGACCGTGTGAGCCAAACGCCGATCCATCTCCATCGTCCTCAGCTCCACGGGAAAAGAACGTCTCGTCCCCAAGGTGGGCCATGTCGCTTGCTGAGAAGCAGATTCAAACCGACCAAATCGACCATATCAAACCAAGGCGTTGATGAACGCCATCAGCTCCGGCGCGGTGAGCAGAAGCTCAGGCGGACGTCGTGTCTTAGGCTCTTAGGACATGATAGATATAAGCTTCGGCACTGTAAATCAGTTCAAAGCCGCCGTCCTCAGCTCCACAAAGAAAGAACGTCTCCACCCGAAAGTGGTCCATATGGCTTGTTGAAAAGCAGGTCCAGACTGAAAACTGAGTATATCATACCAGGGCATCGATGAACACCGTCGGCTAGCGGACCGTCACAAGAGCCCAGGGGGACATAATGCCTAGGACATGGGTGTTACAGGAAAAGGGGTGCGAGTGTTCGGGTCACTCTAGCCTACAAGGATTATTATTATTAGGGGGGTAAAATAATGTGTTTCGGCCATCCACATGACGGGTACTGTAGGTTCGAAGCCTATATCTATTTACTATTCAGCCTGCTTATTTCATTTTACTTCATCCGAGTGCTGGAATTGGTAGGCACCCGTAGACGGGACGAATTTGAGCTTCGTTGATTTTAATCATAGACGTTCAAATCGTTTTTCCTGTGGTAATTACTCTTATCCTCAGGGAATCAAATGCAGTCCTTCGGATCTTGCTGTTTAGCCAATTCGGAAAGTGGTCGGCTTGGTTTGTTGGTTAGCGAGCTGTCAGATGTGAAGTACTGCAAAGTGTGGAGTGGCCCACGTAGACAACGGACTTCCAGTACGGAGTACTCTCGCCGATTATGCTCTCTACATTCTTCACAACGAGTTCAGTGTCGCTGTTGTTGGAGGGCCGGACTAACTCTCGCCGACGATGCTCTCTACATTCTTCACACAGAGAGTACGAGTAATGTCGCTGTTGTTGGAGTGGCGGGATGGGTACTAGATGCAATGAAACAGCTTCGCACATCCAAGCCAGGGCACGGCGGGGACGGCATTGGAGTCCTCTCGATTGCAGATATTTCATTCCATATCATCCATGGGCTCATCTTCTCATATCACAGTAGAACATACATTACGTTTTTCGTATTTCCTTTCCACATCAAAATGCCGTTATGCACTAGGTATATACAAACGCCGCCTTTCAGAAATTATGTGACGCCCCTAAATGACCGGGCCGGTAAGGGACTCTTCCCTCCATACGCTGGTGAAGAGGCACTTCTGGATCCACGCCGCGATATCCCCCTTGTCCTTGGGCAGGTTGCGCTGCGCCAGGCCGGGGACTCTGGCCCGGTAATTCGTAAGACTCTTGTGCCGAGGGCGCTGATGGTGCTGAGGGTGCTGAAGGCGCGGATGGTTGGCCAGACCAGTACCCGTCGTGGCCCATGTTGGCTTGTTGATAGGACTGGTGCGACATGACATCGTCGTTGGGAAATGAGCGGTCATTGGGATGCGGCGGGATGTCATCGGATAGCTGATGGATATTTCGGGAGTTGTCGGGTAGCTCGTTGGCAGTAGGGAAGTAGCCTCCCGCTGCTGCTGCTACGCCAGCAGGTGGCTGTTGTTGATGTTGATGTTGTTGTTGTTGTTGCGGATACTGGTTCCCGAAATGGGACGCATACTGGTTGTTTCCTTGCGAGTATTCACTCTGGTCGGATACGGACATGTTGGAAGGACCTTGGTAACCCTGGGGAGGCGGGGAAGTAGAGCCCCAGCTCCGAATTGTTGCCGCAGTAGGTGGTAGAAGACGATCTGGAGACCGGGGTGGTGGGGATGGTAGAGGTGGAGATGGGAGATCTGAGCGAGTGTTGTCTGTGAGTCTGTCGGAGCGGTTCGATGTATCGCGGTAACCTGATACGGCGGCCATTGCACCCATTCCTGCTGCTGCTCCACCTCCGATACCCAGTCCTGTCATTTCAGGACCCAAAGGATTGTCCGAGTATCGATCGCTGGCCGAGTAAGATTGCCGTTTCCTCCGGCGTCGCATGAACCAGCTGTACCAACCTCCAAAGATTGCGGCCGCCAGAACAAGAATACCAACACCAGCGCCTATGCCGGCTTTCGCACCTGTGGACAAGCCCGAAGAGCTGCTGCTGTCGCTGTTAGCTGCAACGAGTGTCGGAGCACCCGGAGTGCTCGTGAAGGTTGCTGGTTCAACAATTGTGGTGGCTGCCTCCGTAGTGATGACGACTGAGGTGATTGTGGTATAGCCGACGACACCATCTGATGAGGTCGCTGGGAGGGTCTGGGTGACGAATGCTGTGCTTGTTGCATACACGATCGAGGAGCTTGAGGTCGTGATCACCACCGGAGTTTCACTAGAGGTACTCGACTCAGATGTAGTGGATTCCGGCTCAGATGTGGTCCTGGATGACGAAGTTGTGGGCGGTGGAGGTGGGCTAGAGGTACTTGTGGTTAAGGATGTTGTGGCAGGGGGTGGAGGTGGACTCGATGTGGTGGTGGTCGAGGATGAGGTTGAAGGTGGCGGAGGAGAAGACGTAGTGGCTGAAATCAGGTCAGTAATCAGGTCAATGGCAAGTAGGGCGCTAGCAAACAAGATGGCACATGCGGCAGAGCAAACGATAGGACCTATAGCAAACATGAACTCACTGGTAGTGGTGCTCAATGTCGTGGGCCTCGTCGTTGTACTGCTAGGAGGTGGTGGAGGAGGTGTGGTTGATGATGTTGTAGAGGGTGGAGGGGGGGAGGAGGAGGAGGAGGTTGTGGGAGTGGGAGAGGGGGTAGCTGTGGATGAAGGGGAGGTATAAGTGGACGTCGACAAGCTAGATGGAATGGACAACGTGGTTGTGGTTGACGAGGGAAGGTCACTTGAAATGGTGCTGGTGGTGGTCAATGTGGAGGGAGAAATACTTGAGGTCGTCGCCCTGCTCTCGGTCGTGGTGGTTGAAGCAGAACTAATGGAGCTATCTGACGACGTTGGCGGAGGAGTTGTTGAGGATGGTGTCGCTGACGCGGTTGTAGTAGCTGCCACGGAGCAACACGTTACAAACAGCAAACAGCTGAAGCAATGGTATATAAGGCTGAAGTGGTGGCAATACCAAAAGCAGAGAGCAGACGACGATCAACTTACTAGTGCTTGATGTGGTAGAACTCGAGGTGGTAGTACTGCTCGAGGGCGGAGCTGAACTGGTGGTGGTGGTCGGAGGAGGCAAGGAACTCGTCGTCGTTGTGGTGGACGACGAATCTGAGGTCGTACTGGTACTAAAGGTAGTTGGGCTGCTGGTGACCAGCGAACTGGTGGTGTCGCTAGTGCTGGTAGCCATAGCGAGACAGGTCAGCAATGGCGCACCGCACAGTGCTATTCAACGATGGTGATATCGCCGTCCGCACCTGGCGGGGTCAGCTGGCGACGATGAGGCTGCGGAAGAAGAGAAAAAGGTTCAGCAAGAGCGGGACAGCGACATCTTGAACATAGCGGACCTGGCTTCCACTGAGCCTGGCCAGAAGAGCTAGCGGCTACAACCCTGCGAGTAACAGCCAGTATCTGTAGGCATGTGTTTGTACCTGCACGACTACCAGTTGAGAAGCCAGCCAGGCCGCAGCTTGCGCACATGTAGTTGGTAAGCCCTACTTGGGAAAGCGGGGTTCTTTTTTCAGCTCTGACCACAAGATACGAGTCTATCGGGGCATTGGCAGCGTAGTTCCGAGGGCGGAAAGGTGGGAGCGAGAGTTTGGGGTTGGTCCGTCACAGCACGGCTTATGGCCGAGAGATGCCTAGCGGCAGCACTGCAGCAAGGAAGCGGAACAAGCATAATTGTCGGCAGGGTGTCATCGTGGAAGCCAATGAGGCAGTGATGCGACGGCAGCAGAGCCCGATTGAGGCCAAAATGAGCCAGTGATGATGGCGGATCAACGCCATTCGGGCCCATTTACTTCTATCCTTGCGGAGGACAAGGCGAGAGCTCGTGAAGAAAGGATCGATACGAACCCGTTTAGCAAGTCTATCATACCTACCCTTGACGTGCTTCGTCAGCCTGTCGCATGGCGAGATGGAGGGCGCAACGTACGGGCTGCGGCAAGCTGGCGCAGATAAGAACCCTTGACTGCGCATCTCAGGACTTTGCCAGACAAAGAGAATGACAAATGTAGGATGGTCTCGGCTTTTGATGTACGGGTCAGGAAAGGAGGAGGCTGGTGAGGCTCTGCCAGATAGTAAGCAGTAAGAAATACCCCCGAATACCGTAGCGGCTGCTAAAACTGAGTAAGGCAAAGCTGAGGGCGGAAAGGGAAGTAAAGGATGTGCCCCAGTCCGGTGTACGAGGCACTCGTATAAGGAGGAAAGGAAGGTGCGGCTTGTCGGAACAATGACTGCGTTGCCCCTCCTTGCCCTCCATCAACCATCGACCATCGACCTCAGCGGCCTTGCAGGCTGCAGCCCACGATGATCGCTCTTGGACCGTCGGAAATGTACCCTGTACGAGTACCTGAACATCATGTTCTTTCTATTCACCTGCTCTTGCTTGACTCACCGCCGGACCTGTGCCCTTACCAAGTACTTAGTCTTCAACGATGCAACAACGGCGAGCTCCGATGAGGAACCAGAATCTCGAGGCGCTTCACGTGGCACCAGCAAGGCCTAGTTCTGCAACGTCATGTTGACTCACAGGCCAATCCGCTGACCACTTTGACAGGTGAACAGTCTTTCCAGGCCAGTGCTTCACTGCCAACAGATATATTCGATCCCCAACCAGCGTGCCACTGACTTTGCACCACATAAAGTGTATAGACTTCACTCATTCTTTGCGTTTACTCAAGTTATTGGTGAAGGCCGCGCGATCTGTCACCAGCCGCATAATTCAGACACAGGACATATAAAAGTTGCATTTTTGATCCCTCTGAACTTGTCTCGATTTCAGTTATTGGTCTTCAACGGAACCTTCGCAAAATGCCAGCTTCTCAGGAGAAAGGGACAGTTCCGGTGGTCTGCGTCTTGTACGTCGAGAACCACGGCCTCTGTTAAGTCCTTATACAATCACTAATATCTTCTCTAGTTGTGCTTCCTCGCCAGGAATAGACCCTGTCCATCTAGAATCAGCACGCAAGCTCGGCAAGTCTCTCCATGAAGCGGGCTACCAATTAGTCTACGGCGGCGGCACCATGGGCATCATGGGCGAAGTCTCTCGCACTCTGGTCTCACTGTCCGGCCCGAGATCCGTGCATGGGATCATTCCTCGGGCACTGATACGCTCGGAGAAGGACCCCAACGCACGAGAGAACACGAGCACGAGCAACGGTGGGCCGAAGAGGGCGGAGAGGACGATGTCTTCAGAGGAGCTGCAACGGATTGACAGCAACGAAGACCCCGATGCTCAAATTGTGCCAGAGTCCGAGTTTGGAAGGACGACGATCGTACCGGACATGCATACACGGAAGCGCATGATGGCGAACTCGGTGCAACAGGGTGGTCCCGGATCGGGATTTGTGGCATTGGCTGGCGGGTACGGCACCATGGAGGAGGTTATGGAGATGGTTACCTGGAATCAGCTAGGCATTCACCAGGTTCCGATCATTCTCGTCAACATCAAGGGGTACTGGAACGGGTTGCTGGAATGGATCAAAACAGCCATCAGAGAAGGCTTCGTGGGTGAGGGCGCGGCGAATATCTTGGTTGAGGTTAAGAGCACCGAGGAGGTGATAGACGCATTGAAAGGGTACCAGGTAGCTCCTGGCAGGTACAAGATGGACTGGTCATGAAAGTGAACAAGAGGTCAGCAGGAAACGAAGCTTTTGGACCGAGTTCACTCTGTTCCTCCTGCCAGAAAATGCCCCGGCAGGTCCGTGACTGCCAATTCCATGTCCTCTGTTTGCTCCAAACGCCGTGCGGTATGCATTTCCGTCGACTCCGCCACTATGAGTCTGTCTCCATAGCATCGCCGCCTTCCGTCGTAGTCGACTCCACGTTGGCTTCCAGCAGAGGTCCAATGTCTTGCCCGTCATAGAGCTTGAAGGCCTCGAACTTCTTGCGGCCATCTTTCTCGCCGATGCCGATCACCGCCAAACTGGTGTTGTCGACTGTCAACTCCTTGTCTTGTGCAAGAGACTCCTTCAGCGCAAGCAGAGCGTGCTTGATCAGCTCGTCCCGATTGCATTCGGCAAACTTGTCCAGATGTCTCTCAAGGTACGTCCTTGCCATTTGACTCCTCGCACCAATTGCACACGCCAGCATCTCCTGGGTCATACCAGAGGGGGAGAACTCGAACAGATGCGGCCCCAGCTCATCCACGCCTGCAACCAACAGTCCGACACCGTAGGGTCTCTTACCGTAGTGCTGCGTGTTTGTCTGAGCCCGGTCTCCTATCATGTTCACAATGCGCTCGACGGGTATGGGGCGACCGTAGGTCATTTTTGAGGCTAGGGACTGTTGCTTCATAAAGTTGGACAGGACGCGAGCATCGGACGCGAGACCAGCCAGGGCGACTCCCAAGTGATCATCGACACCGACGATCTTTTTCTGGTAGGATGACAGTTCTTCTGCATTTCTCTGCATGGGTTGGTGAGCATTGGGCGTATAATCATCGGCACAGACGTTGTGAACCAACCTTGAGAGCTGTAAGGACAACATGTCTCTTGCTGACGACTCCAACAACTACTGAGCCTTGCTTGACAGCCTCCTGAGCATATTCGACCTGGAATATCCGGCCTTGAGGCGAACTGTGAATGGGGTTAGTACTTAGAACACCGGCACAGCTGCTCACGACAGGAATCTTACAATGTAACAGAATCGTTGTCGTAATTGTTTCTGAACATGTTGCCTGGAAGGTATTCAGCAGCTCTACTTGATACGGGTTGAAGGCAGGCACAGGTAGTGGAGCGTGAGTTGGTGGTGCTTCAGCATAAAATAACTGAAGCCAGGCAATGGGCAGACGCGCAAACCGCAGGTCGCTTCCTCGCGATTCGCGGAGCTCGTCCAGAGCCGCACCAACCCAGCCACATCTAACACCTGCCTGGCCCTGACCTTGAACTATCGTCAGTCGAGGCACGACAAACCAACCCTGTACTCAATTCATTTTCCAACAGTTGATATACCAACGTGAGCCCTCGCCACTCGGCTCGCTCTGGCTTTGCATCATTACTGAACACCGTCCTCCGCCCTCGATAAGGTGTCCGGCGACGACCCTGGACATACGCAGGCGCCGAATACACCTTGACACCCAACCGACCTCTCGCTTCACCTTGCGGCAGATCTCGCCATGACGACGGCTGGATTGAAAACCATTATCGCACTCTCTTTCGTACGGCGCATTGACAATACCCATGGCTTCTCAAAATCAGACTAACACGATCAGATCCTTGCCATAGGATTTCTCCTGGTCATCCTCTCCGCCGCATTATTTCACAACTTCCTCACCCTCCTTGTGGTCGCAACTTATGTGTTGGCGCCCGTACCTAACTGGATCGCATCGAGATGCGCCAACCCAGATGACTTCATTGAGAGTAACTCTGGCGCATGGATCGACTTGGGCCGATTTGCGACGGGGTTCCTTGTGCTTATGGGCATTGGTACGTTGGCGTCCTGCGGTAGGAGATGTTGGTCGTACATGCTGACAAGCGGGAAAAAACAGCTCTGCCCGTCCTCCTTGCACATTCAGCGCTCATCCAAGTGCCGGCGATGGTCATGTCAATCATTGGTGGGCTACTGATTTATGGAACCATTATCAGCTTCACCCAATTTTTCAAGGAGGAACAGGACTTCTGACGTGATGGCGCTGTGGGCGTCGACCGGTTTTGTGTGTATCACGGGAGTGCTGGCATTGCTTTGGCTTTAGCGGGGATACTGGGCGATTTGGACGAACAGTTACGCAGCGCAAGGACTATTGGTAAGGTTCCGCGGTGCATACGGCTTGCGCAATCGGAAGTCAAGTATATTTGTATACGGAAGTATATTTGTATAGGGGGAAATGCTCAAAACGCACTTCAGACTCCTGTCGTAGGGCTCAGCTGGCTACAGGCATTTGATCGCTTTTGACTTGCATGTCGGGTGCGTCTGTACCAAGTTGGGTTTCCCACTCATCTCTATGTCCGTGCCCCTGAATGCATATGGTGATGCCTCACGGTCTACCATCCTTCGAGCCAGGATTGACGGTGTCGATCGTCGTCCTATGCGGACTAAACATATACTCCGTAGACTGGGTGATCGTTGAGAGTAACTTAACGTGTGAAAGTCACACTACACTTTGAGGCTGGGAGCCACGAGTTCAAGGCTCAAAGCCGGCTTGGCGGAATTCATTTCCGATTCGTCACGTTGTGGCCCAGCCTCCAATTACAACCGGGCAGCCCTGCGACACCTGGACCCAGTCTGCGTTGCTCATCTTCAACTTGCGCAGGCACGGTACCGGTATTGCGTATCATCCATCTCTCACATCTTTACGACACTGCACTGCTGGCACGTCTTTCGTGAAGCCTACGAGTATCCACAGCCGAAATATCCTACCACCACTGAAACAAACAAATCATGGACACCTCGCAGCGTCTGTTCCGCTTCACGAAGCCGCAATGGCTGAATAGCGCAAACACACGCACCGCAGGCGTCTACATGGCCGGCGCACTTGTACGCTACTCCCCCCACCTGCCTCTGCGTGGAGACTCATACTAATGCCCACTGGCGTATCCAGTTCTCCCTCGGCTTCTTCTTCTTCATCGACGCCAGCGTCTTCTCCAAGTCCCCCCTCAACGGCTCGACCGTGCACATCAGCTTCGTGGACTGGATCCCTTTCATCTGCTCCGCGCTGGGCATGCTGGTCATCAACAGCATCGAGAAGTCCCGCCTCTCGGCCGACTCGTTCAGCTACAGCGGCAATGGCGTCGCGTGGAAGGCTCGCACCGTCTTGTTCCTGGGCTTTGCGCTGATGGCGGGCGGATTGGCGGGCAGTGTCACGGTGATGGTGCTCAAGTATTTGTTCAAGGACTATGCGTTGCGGACCGTCTACATGGGGGTTGCGAATGTCGTGGCCAATGGGTTGGTGATGCTGAGTTCCGTCGTGCTGTGGGTGAGTCAGAATATGGAGGATGATTATACCTACAATTTGCAGCTGTGAGGCGAGGCGAGGCCACTGGCGCAAGACATGAGGTGTCGGCATGCAGAGCAAAGCTGCAATGCTGTGTCTATCTGTTTTTTGAGCATGAAAGATGGAGCTATGATACATGGCGCTATCGCGACAAATGGGTCCTGGGTCGTGGAAATTGTTATTATGACAATGCAGGATATTCTTCCTTTGCATTGTGGAATTGGTCTATTCTACTCGGTACGGAGGACCGACTCTTCGATTCCAACTCATCGTTGGATTGAAAATAAGACGACTGCACAGAAGTGCGGTCCTGGTGGCGGTTGTGGGTTCTTCTATTCCACTGGCGCCAACTTGAGGGCGCCAGGGCCTACTAGCCTCCTTTCTGGCAGCCTGGCCTGCGATGCTGCTCAAAGGTGATGTGACAGCCAGCGTCTTCTGACCTGTGTCAACGGAGGCAACGTGCTCCGTCGCGGGTCTATCCTGAGCGTTTCAACTTTGCCCCAAGATACTCGACGCGCTGCTTGGTTCGGTGGGAATGTCGACCCTTCGCCTGTTCGTCCATCAAGAAATGGTCCAGCGATTGATGTGGCCCTTTGAGCCCGGCCTTCTGCTCCGATTCATTCGATATCCCTCAATTTGCCCATGATGGCGTCGATAACGTCCATATCCGTGGCAGAGACGTGATCCGGCCCGACGATGTCTTTGGGTAGTCGCTTGACTGCTTCATTCATGGCTGGCTGGTAATTCCGAATCGCCGAACTCAGTGCATAGACGGCCTTCTTGCGAGTAGCTTTGTCGGCATCGTCAAGAGAAACCTGTACGAGTTTTTCAATCCCGTTGAGAGCCAAGAGTCGTTCTTGTGCTTTGGCGTTGTTCTGGACCGCCGTGCCTACACACCAGGCCGCCATACGTCGCAGGTCTGCAGAGGCGCTGCTCAGTTGAGCCAGTAGTGGCGTCCACAGTCCGAGGGGCTCCATGTTGTTGGCGTTGTCGATCTGTTCGACTAGTTGCTCGAGGTTGTCGAAGGCGGTCATTTTAGAGTCATGTGTGATGTCGGGGTCGGACGAGGTAATGATTGCCATGGCTTCTTTCATAAGGTCGGCATCACTGGGTCCGCCCATCAGGGAGCGAAGTACCTCCGCTGACAGGCCTTTGGGTTCCTGAACGGGCTGATCTGGATTGCGACCTGCATCGGAATTTTCGATGCCCCAGGACAGTAATGAGTTCAATCCTTTGTCCATATTGTGTACCCGCGAAATATGTCGAAAGTTTTTGTAGCAGTTCTGTCCTAGAATACTAGTACCAGGAAAGAGCCTTTTTAGAAAGATATCGTCTCACCCGTGATATTTGAGTCTTCATATACTGTGTAGGCGCACGTGCAAGAGAAGTAGTGGTTGGAGAACGGGCGTTGTGGCGACAGCCAATCAGGAGAAGGTTCCAGCATTTGCTCGGATCTTCTTTGCGATTCGAGTCTCACAAAGACAATCTCACTCGGTGGTCTTGAGCGTATCTTTGGTTGAACTGGGACCGCCGCCCTGGGTCATGAACTAGCCGTCACCCAAGAGTGTTGATGCCAAGACCGCGAATCGGTGAAAGTGAAGCCCTGGACTTCGACTGTGAGAATGCTCCTACAATCACTTAACGAGGCGCATGTAAACGGCGTTGGTGGCTGTGCCCTCCCCAAAAGCGGAGGTTCAAGCTTCTAGCCACTTCAGATACCCCACAATCTGTGGCTGGCCCACACAGAAATTTAGACCAAGAAGTACAAATTCCAAACTTCAGCTTTTGCCCCGGTTTGCCCGCTATTGACAGGGTCCGAGCCCGTGTCCGAGCCCGTGTCCGATGAACCCACGGGCTTAATAAAAGGACACCCGAGGACAGGTAATCAAGCCAAGCAGTGGCCTGAAGAACATACCAAGGTGGCGGCGTAAAAAGTAGAGAAAAAGCGCAGGGGACACAGTCGGAACGGTCATCTTCAGCCGCATTAAATACCACGGGTGGAACGTAGCCTATCGCATTGTCATCTTTTTGTCTGGAATCGAAGGACGATCTGAGCGATGGCCCCGGAATTGCAGCTGCCTGCGAAAGGTGACGATGCTCATCTGTCAATGTGGAAGGGACATTGCGCGGCTCCCGCCACTCGTGCACCATCGCATGATCTTAGTGATCTAGGTGCCAACCAACGGCTTTGCATGGAGAGCCAACTGTAACTCTGTACAGAGTGCGATTTCCATAATACTTATCGAAGCACTGCATCTCATGCCAACAACTAAATAACAGTCTTCAAGGCAACAGTATTCGTGCCCGCTCCGCGTTGATTGAGTCTGTTTTCACTTTACGGTCCACAGGTATATGGGTCTCGCAGGCGCCCATGAATGAACGAAGAGACTGATTACCTAGATAGATAATCGGCGTCCAGCTAGTATCAGACTTACTTCGCGGCCTGTATTCAGCGAAAGCTAGGCTCACGGCGCCCTGACCCAGCTTGGTCTTGGCGGCTCGCAGCTGCCCGATTCAGCCCACCGCTCAAACCACCGCTACTTCTTTTCTTCCATCTCACCCTTCTCAGCTTCTCGTGTCCATCTCCATCCCCATTAACTATCCAGTCTCCTCACTCGTCTCCTTGAAGGCCCGTTCACCTTCGACGATTCGAGTCTTTTCTTCCTACCAGCTCAATCGCCTCCTCTCGTTCCCCTCACTCTAATCTTCAAGAAAGCCGTCACAATGGAGGGTAAGCCAGATCCCGCTCGAGCCCAATGGTTTTGCGGCCACCGTTTACAGTGGTGAATGAGTGCTGATATATCTTCCTTCCAACAGAAGAAGTTGCTGCGCTCGTCATTGACAATGGGTAAGCGCCTACGCCCTTGAACTCAAGTCTCTGCCTGCGCCCCTCAGCCATCTCCTGCTGGACACACGAGCCCCGGTCGCGGGATCATCGGAAGAGAAGCAGAGATGCGATAACCTGAACACTGGACTGACCATGATTCTTGCAGCTCTGGTATGTGCAAAGCTGGCTTTGCTGGCGACGACGCACCTCGAGCCGTCTTCCGTAAGTTCGCCCTGCCCCGCATTAGCAAGCCAGGCCACGATTTGACACATGCCACCAGCATCCATTGTCGGTCGACCCCGTCACCATGGTATCATGATCGGTATGGGTCAAAAAGACTCCTATGTCGGTGATGAGGCCCAATCCAAGCGTGGTATCTTGACGCTGAGATACCCCATTGAACACGGTGTTGTGACAAACTGGGACGACATGGAAAAGATCTGGCATCACACGTTCTACAACGAACTTCGTGTCGCACCCGAGGAGCACCCTGTCCTCTTGACCGAAGCCCCCATCAATCCCAAGTCCAACCGAGAGAAGATGACCCAGATCGTCTTCGAGACCTTCAACGCGCCCGCATTCTACGTCTCCATCCAGGCCGTCCTGTCTCTCTATGCCTCCGGTCGCACAACTGGTATCGTGTTGGATTCCGGTGATGGTGTTACTCACGTCGTTCCCATCTACGAGGGTTTCGCCCTTCCTCACGCCATCTCTCGTGTCGATATGGCTGGTCGTGACTTGACCGACTACCTCATGAAGATCTTGGCTGAACGAGGCTACACCTTCTCCACCACTGCCGAACGAGAAATCGTCCGAGACATCAAGGAGAAACTCTGCTACGTCGCTCTTGACTTCGAGCAAGAAATTCAGACCGCGTCCCAGAGCTCCAGCTTGGAGAAGTCCTACGAACTTCCCGATGGTCAGGTCATCACCATTGGCAACGAACGATTCCGAGCCCCTGAAGCTCTATTCCAGCCATCTGTTCTGGGTCTCGAATCCGGAGGTATCCACGTTACTACCTTCAACTCCATCATGAAATGCGACGTTGATGTCCGTAAAGACCTGTACGGCAACATTGTCATGGTAAGTTCAGGACCATCAGTCGCCCGAGCGAATCGCTAACAGCCGAATAGTCTGGTGGTACTACCATGTACCCCGGTATCTCCGACCGTATGCAGAAGGAAATCACTGCTCTTGCTCCATCGTCCATGAAGGTCAAGATTATTGCCCCTCCCGAACGTAAATACTCTGTCTGGATCGGTGGTTCCATCTTGGCATCCCTGTCAACCTTCCAGCAGATGTGGATCTCCAAGCAAGAGTACGATGAGAGCGGTCCTTCGATTGTCCACCGCAAGTGCTTCTAAGTTCTTTGTGAGCATCCAGCCATTTTCGGACCTCGACGAGTTGCAGCAACCCTTCTAGAAGAGTAGTCAACGAGAACAATGTCACGATGAACAGGGGACAGACGCAGAGCATAGATTTGTGTTGGGCTGAGTGCGAAGCGGCTGGACAAAAGTACTTGTGGACTAGCACAGGCGAGGCATGTCTCACAGGCCTCCAAGGGATTGGGGTCGTTGGAGCCTGCAATAAGTTCACTCTTATCTTCACTGAATAGCGCTCTTCCAACGTAGTGCCTAGAATGCAAGGCTAGTCAGACAGGTCTCACATATTCTCTCTAGTTTTTGTGCGTACGTGTGGACACCTAGCTGTCGTCGGGCGCGTCCGCCAATGCGTGGGACTCAGGCATCATGTCGCCAACCACGTCAGCGAAGTATCACAATGTTCGTCGAGGTTCGAAATCTTTTGACTATATTTCGATCTTGGGTGTGGCAAGCACTGTCAATGTCGTGACCCCATGCCAGCCATGATTTACTTAACCCAAGTGGTTCTCATGTCGATACGTTGGCACGTCCCCAGGCGCCTCCAGCACCGTGGACCCATCCTCAGCGGGCTCCAAAAGCTTCCACTCGGCGGTAACTCCTTCGTGCCTGAATCGATCAATAATCACACTCGCGATGCTTTCGAAATTGTCCGTCGCGAGTGCCAATATCGTTGGTCCAGCGCCCGATAGACAGATGCCCAGCAAGCCGGGGTGGGTCTGAGGGGACATGGAAGAGAGAATCGAGGGGAGCGCAGGGATCAGACCGGCGCGATAGGGCTGATGGATGCGGTCTTGCATGGCAGAGTAAATTAATTGGGGGTCGGGAGGGGAGTCACTGAGGACGGTGGTCAGGAGGGCAATGCGTTGGAGGTTGAAGATCTGGCATGTGTTAGCAGAAGTGCGTCTGCTGCCCGGGAGGAGAAGAGTTTGCTTTGCTTTCGCGCAATGCTCCGTGACGCGCTGATGGAGACGGCGTCGAAGGCTCAGAAACTTACCATGTCCTTCCGCGAATACTCGATGGGTAATACCTCCCTCGCTTTTGCCGTGCTGACCTCGAAATCTGGAATAATTGCCAAAGCCTTGATCTCTTTCGACCAGTTGAACCGTCTATAATGTCCGATATTCTCTGGTGGGACGGGCGGCAGCAGGCCCGTATCAACACCTCCTGCTGGCTGAGGCAATACCTCCGAGAGAGGGACTTCCTTCCTCGCCATATCCACGGGATCGAGTTCATTGAGATACGTACCCACAAACCCGCCGTAGAGCGCGGCAGCAACATTATCCGGATGCCGTTCGACCATGAGCGCGAAGTCTAGGACGCGAGGTTTCGGCAGACTGAATCCCCCGACTACATTCCCCAGCAAAACGCCTGCAACGACAGCCGCGCCCGAGGATCCCAACCCTCTTCCCAAAGGAATAGGGTTGTGAATGTGCACGTGCGTGTGCGCCGGGAAGTCATGCTGATTGTGACACCTCAAGACATACAAGGCTGTGCGGGTGATCAGATTGTTCTCCGGGTTGAGGTCGATGTCCTCGGCGCCAACCCCGGTGTAGGTTACCGTGCAGTTGAGTGGGATCGAACGGTCAGGTTGCTCGGACGGGGAGATGCTGACGCGGAGTTCAAGATACATGGAGAGGGCGAGGCCGATCACGTCGAAGCCTGGGCCTATTGTCGACAAAGGTGGAAATCAGGATCGGTTCGGGCTCAAGCTTCGTCTGGCCAGAGCCAGCTTGCTGTCGACTTACCTATATTGGCCGACGAGCATGGCACCTCTGGTAACGTTAGCCCTCAAGTAATGTACTGACCCAGGGTAATGTACTTATGATCCACATCTTGAACAGGGTGTAGGTCAAGGACGGAGGGTTCCAAAAATTGGCGCGAACAGATGTATCGCGCCTGTTGACCTTTTTATGTTGGTGTCTCTGAAAGGTCCTCACTCCATGACCATCGAGCGACTAGACACACGACCTTCGTCTCGAATAACGCTTACGACGGGTCGCAATAACTGTGCCTTTTATTGGAGAGAACTTTCAACTGGCTCTTGAAGCCCAGGACAGTCGGTTCGTGCCAGGCTGACCAATCAGCAGACAGGAGGAAGCGAAAATCCGTGGGCGGGACGCATGAGGGAATTTTCCGGGCCTCAGCTTGGCGCCGGAGGTTTGTATATTTTTTCTTCTGCGAGAAATTTTGGATGGAGTAGCACAGGCGGCCTGGAGAACTTTGTGATATGTAAGTCAGTGGAGCGGTTCATCCCTGAGCGGCCTCAGTGTTATCGTACATTTTCCAGAGGACGACTTTACTGCTGGCTCATCTCGTTCAGGCACTTCATCTCGAAATGGCAGAGAGGCTACGAATCCTCGTCATCGGTTCGGGAGGTCGTGAACATGCTATCGCATGGAGATTGGCCAAGTCGCCGTCCGTCGATGTTGTTCACGTCGCGCCTGGTAATGGCGGCACAGAGTCCTCCGCGGACAACATCGTCAATGTCAATATCCCTGTCAATGACTTCACAGAGTTGGTGGCACACTCACGGAAACATGGCTTGAACCTAGTGGTCGTAGGGCCTGAAGCGCCCCTCGTTGCAGGGGTGAAAGAATTCTTCAGTGCCGCAAACATTCGGTGTTTTGGGCCCTCGAAGAAAGCTGCGCAAATGGAAGGATCGAAGGCCTTCTCCAAAGACTTTATGCAACGGCATGGGATACCTACGGCGGCCTTCAGAAGCTTCAGCGATTACGAAACTGCACGGGAGTATCTAGATTCGGTCCACCATGATGTCGTGATCAAGGCGGACGGGCTTGCAGCTGGCAAGGGAGTCATCATTCCAACAACAAAACAGGAAGCACACGATGCTCTCAAGCAGATTATGGTCGCACGCGAGTTTGGATCAGCAGGCTCCCAGGTCGTCATTGAGGAATTCTTGGAAGGTGAGGAGTTGAGCGTGCTTTCCTTCAGCGACGGTTACACTATTCGATCCTTACCACCCGCCCAAGATCACAAGCGAGCCCTTGATGGTGACGAAGGTCCGAACACGGGAGGAATGGGTTGCTATGCACCAACTAGGATCGCCTCGAAGGAGCTTATTGCACAAGTCGACCGGGACATTGTGCAGCCGACCATCGACGGCATGAGACGAGAGAGAATGCCCTTTGTCGGCATGCTCTTCACGGGCTTGATGATCACCAAGAATGGGCCGAAAGTCCTGGAGTACAATGTCAGGGGAGGAGATCCAGAAACACAGACCCTGCTTCCACTTCTCAGCGACAGGACTGATCTTGCCCAGGTCATGCTGGCATGCACGGAGCATTGGCTAGACGGCGTCGATCTCGAAATTGAACCCAGATTCTCTGCCACTGTGGTTGCATGCTCCGAAGGCTACCCTGGTCCCTATGCCAAAAATCGACCGATCACCTTACAGCAGCAGCAGCTTCCACCTAAGACCCACATTTTCCATGCCGGTACAATCAGGGAGGGAAAGCAAGTCATCTCCATGGGTGGGCGCGTAATCTGTGCAACGGCAACGGCAGACACGTTGGAAGAGGCGGTCGCTCTGGCATACGATGGGATGGGTACCATCAAGTTCCAGGGCATGCATTTCAGGAAGGACATTGCTCATCGGGCCTTCAAACGCAAGGCCGATAACCTGATTGTCGAGCAGAATGGGATGACCTACGCCTCCGCGGGAGTGTCCATCGACGCAGGCAATGACCTGGTCAAGAGAATCAAGCCCTGGGTGAAGAAGACCGCACGGCCTGGTGCTGATGCTGACCTAGGCGGCTTTGGTGGTGCCTTTGACCTTGCTAAGGCGGGATATCACAAGGATTCTCCAATCCTGATCAGCGCAACCGACGGAGTCGGCTCGAAACTCAAGATCGCTCATGCTATGAATATCCACGACACCGTTGGCATTGATCTGGTTGCCATGAATGTAAATGATCTCGTCGTCCAAGGAGCTCGACCCCACATCTTCCTTGACTATTTCGGCTGCAGTATTCTTGATGTGGACGCCGCGAGTGCCTTTATCCGAGGCGTTTGTGATGGCTGCGAGATCGCACACTGCACTCTGGTTGGTGGAGAGACTTCAGAGATGCCCGGTGTCTACAGCGGCACCGAATACGACGCTGTCGGTACGGCTGTCGGTGCTGTTGATAAGGCAGCTGGCCAGAAAATCTTGCCGGACATGGAGAGCATGGTCGAAGGCGACGTACTTCTGGGCCTGGCGTCGAGTGGCGTGCACTCGAACGGCTTCTCCCTGGTTCGGCGAATCATCGAGAAGATGCATCTTACTTTCTTAGATGCTGCTCCATGGGACGTGGAGACCACGCTCGGCGAATCCCTACTTATCCCCACCCGCATATATGTCGTTCCACTGTTGAAAGCCATCGAACGGGACCTGATCAAAGGGATGGCGCATATTACAGGCGGTGGAGTGCTGGAGAACGTACCAAGAATGCTGCCCAAACGCCTGGCCGCCGAGATTGATGTGTCTGCTTGGGATCGACCCCCTGTGTTCAGATGGCTTCAAGAGGCTGGAAACGTGAGTAACGAAGAGATGAGTCGAACGTTCAACAATGGAATAGGCATGGTTCTCGTCGTGTCGAGTGTTGCTGCAGGAGAAGTGAAGAGGATTCTCGAAGAGAATGGGGAGACCGTCTTTCGCATCGGTAAGCTGGTCGAACGGGAGAATGACGGCTGTGTCCTCAAGAATCTTAGCAGCTGGAGTGCGCCGTGAGCAGGAGGACTCTGTGCTTGCATTAGCTGGTTGGTTCTAAAGGAGAAAAAGGGCGTACAATACCAACCTCCGCCACAACGGCACAGCGTACGGACTCTATGCTTGTGGTTTTTCTCAGCCCGGAGGGAGCTATGCCATACCCTCCGCGTCATATCATGCTTGGAAACGGTTCTCCCCTGCGTCGCCTGCACTGCCACGCTACGGAGCGTTTGAGTCAGCATGGAGTCGCGGACCTTCGGACTCTGTTGTCCTCCGCACCCTCCGCAGTCCAGCTTCAGCCTTGCGCACGGTCTCTAGCAATGAAAGTGTTAACAAATGTTGCTGAGGCCGGCACGGAGTAGTGAAGGACCACCATGCCCCCTTATGTCGGTGCGTAGGAAGTATAAAGCTCAACACCGTGTGGCTTCATCGGCATGGGACTTCGATACCACAGCCACCTGCACATACAGGCCCTTCCCAGCACAAGCACGTATTCAGATCTCCAAGCTCGATACAAGTTAAGTCGCCATGCCATCTAACACGACAGTCGTCATTGGCGCCAGCCGGGGGATTGGCCTGGAACTAGCCAAGTTCCTCGCTCAGAACCCCGACAATCGCGTCATTGCAACCATGCGGAAGCCATTCAATCTTGACCAACCCAACATTGACGTCCTCGAGCTCGACCAGACCAGCCAGAGATCCGTCGACATTGCGGCCAAGAAGGTCGCGGAAGCTGATATCTTGATCGTCAACGGCGCCATTGGGGAGGACGAACTCCTAACGCAGATCTCCTCGGACAGGCTCCTCCACTACCTCGACACCAACGTTGTTGGGCCCCATCGAGTCATCAACGCTTTCCTACCTGCACTACGAGTCCGCACGACGCGCAAAATCATCTACATCTCTTCCACGGCGGCTTCGCTCACCGGACAAGTGGGCGAAAATTGGGGCCTTCGTGGACCGTACGCGACCTCCAAGGCTGCTGGGAACATGTTGACCATCCAGTTCCACAACGAGCTTCATGAGGAGGGATTCACGTTTGTGGCCATCCACCCGGGCTGGGTCGCTACGGATATGGGGAATATTGCTGGCCCGGGTGCAATGCCGGTGACCGAAGCTGTGCAGAAGATCATGAAGATCGTCAATGGCTTGGAGAAGGCGGATGGCGCTACGTTCTTCAACATTGATGGCACGATTCTGCCGTGGTGAGGATACATACTGTGTAGTGGGTTCCCCGAGTCAAAAGTGGCGTAGAGTTAGCATGGGGACGATAGAAATAAATGGCACTACATCACAGAGTACTCCGTGTACACTCTGGCATCCCGAGCGTGCTCTGTGCAGCTGCTGGTGGATATGGTAGATACAGAGGACTCCAAGGTAACCCGTAATCTGTAGTAGTTTGGGCGGTTGGGAGGTCAGTACAGAGTATGAGTACTAAGGAGGTAATGAAAGGTACACTCTCTCTGCGTCGGACCCACGAATCGAGTGACGCGACGAGGCTGAGGCACGGCTGAGCTAGACGAAATTTGGACGAGACCTTGTGAGTGGGTCATAGAAAAAGTTCCCAGTCTGCGGCGATGCGCTGCACATTGAACTTCTATGGGGAGTACGAGGTACAGCGTTCTGCTTTGTCTACAAGTTTTGCTCGAACTCGGATCGGCCTTCTGTTCCATCTCTTCGGTCCCTTCTACAGAGCGACTCACGCCTCCACCACGGAAGTGGACTATTCCACAGACCAGAATAGTTCACTTTTGCGGACTCGGTTGCTATCCATCTTCACATGCTGCCTCGCTCGCTGAGGCATTGCATATGTCCACCATGTCGAATCGATCATGGCATATGGACAGGTGTACCTGTAGCCATCAACGTCTTGCACGCCTGCGGTAACATCCGACATATTCGGACGCGCGCTCGACGGTCGCCGGTGCCTGATTCTCGGAGGCCCATTGAAGAGAAACGTGGCGAGCGGGCAGAAGGACTTGCGAACAAGACACCGGAAGAGGAAGATGGGTCTGGAAACCCTGCAAAGGTCGACACTACGGAGAGACAGGCTCGGAGAAACTTCAAGATGCCTTCGAATGAAAAGCGCGAGCTCGGTGTTTTAGAAGATTTCAGGTTATTCATGCGCAAGAGCATGGACTCAACAAAGCAAGCCTTGTCTACCACCGAACCAATGACTGTGGATCAGGTGATAGCGCTCACGAACGTCAAACCCCAGCAAAAAGGCTATTACCGCGTTGCGTCGCTGCTGAAGTCGGCGTATAGCGGACGGGACTATAAAGAGGTGGACCGTGATTTGAAGATGGTTACGCCTCTCAAACGTGGGAAGCACCCTCTGTCAAAGAACAAGGAGGAAATCTTGTCCAGGCTGGGCTTTCTGAAGCAGTCAAAATCCGGACAGTCCACTTCGGCCACCTATGATAGGGGGACGTCTGCTTCGGCAAAAAAGAAAAGAGCAACAGCAAAGAAACCGTCACTATTGAAGACATCAAACGTGTCGGGTTCGGGGCCGCCAGTCCCGGAACAACAATCCATCACGCTCGAGACACCTCCGAATCTCCTAGATCTCAAGCCACAGTCGCTCCTTGTGGCAAACAAAGCAGAACAGGACGATGTCCCCCGTCAGGGGCCCGTACGAACGGCAGTAAGGCGGCTCCTAGCCGCCGGCAAGCCCAGGAATCCACGTGCGGCCAAGCAAGGTAAAATCGCCGACATGAGAGGAGGTCCAGTTCAAGTTGCGAGCGCAGACAACTTTCCGCTGATACCATTCCCAATGGAGACGTCAGAAGTGCCGAGATTGAGTCACGACTTGTCACGTGTTCTCTTCAATCCAGGTGTCTATCAATTGCAGGATCCACGATCCAGGGTATGGAACTTCGATCCCTATCTTGGTAATCTGATGCCTGTGTCCGAGTTCAACTACGACGCACTGAACAGGTATATCACTTCGTCTGAGGACGTAAATCTCCGAAACGTCGCGCAGGCAAAGGACAAGCGCTACATTGGCTCAACTTCGAGCATGTCAGGCGTTCTCGCCCATTTCCATTTTCTCCTGTCCGGGTTCCGTGACCTGAACCTGGACCATCTGAGCCGAGGATTCGAAGACGAGGGTCACGTCAATTTCACCAGGATTCAGAAAGGCCCCACAGCAATCTTTCTGCGCTACAAGGACGGTGTATATGCGGTAGACGCGGACAAGGAGTTCGACTCAGCAAATATCCTGATGAGTCTTGGCCGCTCCATGGAGAAACTCCTCACATCTGACAAGGAGGAATTTGAGAGGTACAGAAGAACTGAAGATGCTACCAAGGACGCACAAATGAAATCAAGCCATCCCGAGGCATACCACTACTCCGGCCTCGGCCAGTTCCTGCTAAGATCACAACTTGACGCCCACGATCCCCGGCTGCCCGGGACAGGCATGTTTGACCTCAAAACACGAGCTGTAGCGGCCGTGCGGATGATGGTCCACGACCATGAAAAGGGCGTAGGCTATCAGATCAAGGAGAGATTCGGTACCTGGGAATCTTACGAACGAGAATATTTCGACATGATGCGATCGGCCTTTCTTAAGTACTCTCTACAGGTCCGGATGGGCCGCATGGACGGCATCTTCGTCGCATATCACAACACTGAACGGCTGTTTGGCTTTCAGTATGTACCGCTCCCGGAGCTGGATTTCGCTCTTCATGGGCAAGCGGACCGAACACTTGGGGACCAGGAGTTCTCCCTGAGCATACAGCTCTTGGACTATATCTTTAATGAAGCCACGATGCAGCATCCGGGTCAGTCTCTGAGGTTTCACTTTGAGGCAAGAGAAGCAACGCAAGTTACTCCACATTACATGTACGTCTTCGCAGAGCCCGTCACAGAGGAAGAGATTGTGGCAATTCAAAGTCTGAAGAAGGACGAAATCCGGGCGTTCGAGGATCGCATATTCAACCCAGGGCGCGCGGATTCAACCAAACTCGATGAGGAGGACGCTGATGAAGCTGAGGATGAAAAAGAAAGTGACGAGGTCGACTCAGCTCCATCAGGCGCCTCGACAAACACGGGTCCCGCCCAACAATCGAACGCGGCTGATGTCGTGTTCCTCAATAGCATCTTGGGTATGAATATTAACGAGGCTATGGCACCGAAGCCCAAAGCGGCGCGTGTACCTGAGTTCAATGAGCAGCATGCAGCAGGAGACTCAGTAGACACCACTACAGACACACAATCGTCACCAGCGCCCAGCAAACCCTTATTAGGATGGAAACTCAACATTCGCAACATAGTCAACGGCTTGCCGGTGACGCGGCCGGAAAACTTGAAGGAAAGGGACACGTGGAGTCTGCAATATACGTTGGTTCCGTTGTCGCCCTCAGAAGCCCAACGGCACTACACGCTGTGCAAGAAACGACGCCAGAATGCACTCGAAGCTCCACAAGAGACTGATGCGGCAGCCAATTTCTACCTGAAGAGGCTTGTGTCAATGAGCCGTAGTGGTGCGCAATGGCGGCAGCATCAGGACAAGCTGGATGCGGGCAGAGAGCGGATTGTACTTTATGGTGAATGAATGCTTGTACGGAGTACTCCCACGATATTTTGTACATTACAATCCCTGTTTGGGTGCCGGCTTAGCATAGAGGCCGTACACCAGACAGTCCCATGGCAGAAGAGCATATACTTGGACATGTAATCAACGTCTTTTCGGGCCAACGCTGGAAGCGCAGGTACAGGCTCAGCAGGCGAGAAACATGTCTCACCATGAAGTGCTCAGTGCGACTCATCGACTGGGGACACGAGAGACGTCGTATATTTGTATCAATCGCCCGCCCCATCTCTGAGACGTCTCATTCAGGATGTTCAGAAGACCGTAACTCGTACCTCGATGCCCTGCCCCATTACTATCTATGGATCAAAGTCACAGGATCTGGACCAAGGAGCTCGAAGCCGCCGAGACCCAGGGCCTGCGTGGCCTCAGTGGCGTGGTCCGGGAATCTCCAAGATCATCCACGCTCCCACCACTTCCACGATAGCCTCCCACGCCTGCGATGTGGCTCGCCAATCGCTGCAGCTGCTGAGCCGGCACGCCTGCCGATTGCCCCCATCGACCGGCGTTGCCCTGTTTTCGAGGGTTCCTCCCACGTCCTTACCACCCCGGTTGGTGGGCTCGCGCAGCTGCCGATAGCAACCGAGGGGTAGTCCCTGCATGGGTACAACGGAACCTCAAGGCAGAGCAGCGCGCAGATGTTGTGAATGGCCTGCTTCAACTCCGTATCATGGAGAGGACATGCAGAGCGTCGACCACTCCCGGTGTCATGCTTGCCCGTGGATACTTTACCCGTGCCCGGGTCGATCAGTTGGTAAATGAAAAGTCAAGCAGTACTGAAGCAAACCTTTACTTGCCCACCATTACGTCCGGCCGCCGATCCGCCGCCAGCTACTGTACTTCACCATTGCTACTTGACATGCCAACGCTTACAATTGCCTGCTCCTCGCCATAAAGATCTCTCTGTACCTCACACTGACACCAACTGCGTACAGGCACGGACAAGGTGACACCTCCATCCCCGGCCACCACCTTACGATCAGCCTCCTGGAGCGGATCTCCGTGCGACCTGTCAAGCCTGCCCCATTCCGACGGCGCCCTATCAGCTCGCGTTCTTCACCTGGTTACCTCAATATATTGCCAGTTGCGCGCCACCAGGTTCTAGTCACGAAGCACAGTCTCGGAGGCGTATCGTTGTTGCAATCTGCTCTGCTTTGGAAACCACGACCGCACACACCCCTAACGTTGTTCCTGGGCATGTCACGACAACCAGCGGTGTCTCACTGAAGAAAGAGGGAGACTACACAAGAGGGCGGGTCGGCGTTGAAGGGAATCGCTCGACCTTGTGAACATGTGTACCCTGAGAGACCCCATGAGTTTCTCCTGAGACCCGACAGCCATCAAAACAATTGGGCGGCGCAGTCAGTGTTTGCTTGATGAGAAGGACCTGCCGGACCTTTCCGTTTCCATACTTGTCACCAACATGGCGGACAAACGCAGAAGGAAAAGCCTGAGCATCTTCCGCCAGAAGGCGGACCCCAATCCTACAGTACAAATACCTGCCAGCACGCTATTCGAGAAACACTCCAGCGAATATCTGGCAAGTCCGGTCGAGTCAGATCCAGCCAGCCCCAAAAACCGGCCAAGGACATTGCAGAGGGCAGGTCGCGCCTCCGTGTTCGGATCTCTACGCTCCTTACACTCTCTCGATGAAGACGAAAAGATTGCCTTGACAAGATCAGACTCGAAATCTTCGTCACTCCAAGAAGAAGTTGACATGAATGTCAAGGGATTGTTGGGCAGCAAAGTCCTCCAGTATGGAGAGGTCCAAGCCGGTAGCAGCAACGTGTTTAGGAAACGGAACCAGTTCATGGTGCTGACCGACACGCATCTCATTCGCTTTAGAAGTCAGGTCAAAGCAGCCGAAATGTTTCCTAGTATTCCCAGCAGTCTTAGCAAAGGACACGTTCCGAGGTCGTCTTCCGTGAGTTCTTATCAAGAACTCCAATCGTCGGCCTATTCAGACATCACCTCGGCCGTTCCACTTGAGCAAGTGGTTGCGGTGTTCAAGATCGACGACGGACGGATCTCTCCCACGGTGGAAGTGGGATACCTCGACGAACGTGGGCGGAAAGCTTCAGCTATACAATGGCAACTCAACGATTATCGCGAGGCCGAGTTATGGATGACCGCGATTCGTCTCGCTTCTCAGCAGGCAAGGATGCTCCTCCAGCAACCCATTCTAGACCAGACAGTGGAGCACCTTGCACGAGTCCTTGAACGGGAAAGAGACTATGATCCTCAGCACTTCCACGTCTTCAAAGTCGTGCAACGGTCCGTCAACAAGTCCTTAGGAAGGGCATCTGCCGAAGACTTGACAAGGCACGGGTCAGCAACCGCATGTTACCTTGTCATTGGCTTGCACAAAATCCACCTTGTACCTCTACAAAGATCATCGACACGATCGTCAAGCACTTCTCTAAGCGAGTTGGATCCCATGACTTCCTACGCCCTTGTCACTTTGACATCAATCAAGGTTGTGGCTGGAGAGGATGCCTTTCAATTCTCGGTCAAACCTCCGCTGGGCCAACCATACATGATGCACCTGGGCTCTTACGCCACAAGCGAGATCGCGCTCCGCCTGCGAGCCGCTTCCGAGTATCTGCGACCAGAATGGGTCAGGCAGCCCTTCTTTTTCGACGTGCCTCCTGAGGTCGATGATCAAGCAATTCCCCTGATTTGGCCGAAAGAGGACCATGATTGCTTCGACCGGACGTTGATTGCATATTGTGCAGGCTACGACGTAAACACCTCTCGTATCTGTTACTCTGTGGACTACGAATGCGAGGATGCGCCATGCTTTCTCTTACTTCCTCCGTCGGGCATCGCTTCATACTCCGCCTTGGAGTTACTCGCCGTACTTCGAGCATTGAGATACAACGAGTCCTTCTCCTCTATTTCATTTGCGCGAATCAACCTAACGCCGCTACGCCACATTTACGACGTGTTCTGCTCGGACGTGGACAGCCTCTTCTCGCGATCTGGGAACCCGGTTAACATCGTCGGCCATCAAGATCTGCCAGTTCTATGTCAGGAAATCAGAGCTCTGGCACTGAAAAGTCGACGGCTGAGGCGGATGGATTTCTCAAACACCATGCCGCACACAGCTCGGGCAGACGGCGGAGAGCCTTTTGATTGTGGCATCCTGGAGGCTCTGGTCCCGTTGTGCAAGAGGTCTCTGACCAATGTGGATTGGATTGTGCTTACCGGACTGCGGCTTTCTGATGGCGACTTGAACTACCTCGTGGATGCAGCTTCGGAACGAAAGTGCCATCTTCGAGCACTGGAGATTGGAGACTGTGGGCTTTCCGTTCACGACATCGACGTGCTCCTGTCCTCCTTGTCTTGTCAGGAGAGCACTGTCGAAGTGATCGACATATCGGGAGCACAAGGCCGGTTCAGTCCCGAGCTCTTCCAGCGTGGTATAGGAGCCTTTACCCGCATTCGGCGCTTGAATCTTACACGGATTCAGATGACCGCTGGGCCAGAACCTTTGGTTGCTCCCGAAGTGCTGTTGGCCTGGAGACTAGAGGCGTTGTATCTGTCGCAGACCACTCTCAATGAGCAGTCCGTGGACTCAGTATCAGCGTATCTGGCCACGTCGAAATCCGAAATCCTGCGTGAGCTGCATGTCAACCAATGTGGCTTAACGGGGAATGACCTAGCGACCTTCTTCCGGTCCATGAGTCGGGACGACAAACAGCCGCGGATAATGCACGTCAGTGCCAACGAGAACCGGTTGAAGGTGGGCAACACGCTCATGTTCAGGACATTGGCCCACGGCTGCGGACCAACATCGCTGAGCATGAGGATGATGGACTTTGAGAAAGAGAGCCATTTCCGAGAGCTGATCAACGCGTTGAAAGTCAACACGACTTTGCGGAGTCTGGACATTTCGCGTGCATCCCTACCGTATGATGCCAGTATCGAGACTTGTGAGGCTCTGAGGGAGATGTTTGCCACGAACCAGACCTTGGAGGAGCTCGATATCAGCGGCGAACACGCGCATTTGGACGCGACCCGATTCGGCATTGGCCTTAACATCGCGCTGAGAGGATTGGAAAAGAATAAGACCTTGAAACTCTTGCGGATCGAACATCAAGGGCTTGGTTTGCAAGGGGCTAGTACCTTGGCCGAGGTTTTGCAGAAGAACAACACGTTGCTGGAAATCCATTGTGAGCACAACGACATCAACCTCCAAAGCTTCACCGCGCTTGTCAACGCCCTCGAGAGGAACCACACATTGCTGTACATGTCGAGCATGGACCATGACCGAGCAAAGTCATTGGAGAAGGTGCGGCGGGAGATCGATGTCGTGGACCGAGGAGACAGTCCGAAGTCACCCAAGCATCATGGTGGAGCGCTCAAGAAAGCATTCGCCGGGACGTTGACGGGGAAATCTCACGGCAAGGGGCACGGACATCGTCACAGTAGCTCGTTGTCTTCCATGGCCTCGTACACGGATCAGGACATTGCAGCGGTCATGAGCACGCTGGAAGACAAGTGGAATGCACAGGTTGCGCGGATGCAGAAGTATCTGTTCCGGAACTATTGTCATGCACAAGGCGTGCCTTGGGAGGGAAATTCCGTGGATGAGAGCACGCGGCCAGCGACTATGGCGGGTGAATCCTCGCTCGCTCAAATCCTCAAGCGCGTGAAGCTGGACAGGACGCCGACTTCCGGGACGGTGGATGCCCTGGATTATATTGATGAAAAATTAGGGAGGGACAGCGATGATCGCATGGTTTTCGAGATGCCCTAGGACCGAGCTCTCCAGAAGTGACACGGATTTTGACATAGTGAGGCCCAGCTGTACCTGCAAAGCGCATCTCGGGTCAGCAGAGGAGGGACTTTTATTTTACGCACGGGTGTTCTTTCATTCGTTTTCATGATACCCCGTTGTTTTCTGGGTTGGAGGGTCATTTCCGGGCTGTGCACGACACGGTCACACGCCGCGCACGATTCCGACGAGATGAGACCGAGATGGGGGATCGGGGAGCCAGGCAGCAGTCGATAACAGAGGTCCTGTACGTAGATTGACAGAGCCAAGACGTGGTCCCTCGAGAGCTTTTCGATAGACCTACTCCTTCAGAAGGATCAGGCTGTGTCAGGACCATTGAGGCACGCTGATAGTTATTGCTACAGTAGCTGGCAGTCTGTCATCAACCAGTGCAGCAGCTGTAGGAGCTAAGCAAACGCCGTAGATGAGGCATATGCATATATCTGCATTGAAGATGGACTTCCTTTGGGTGTAGGTGCATGGGCAATGTACGTACCCGGAGAAGAATGTGGGAAGGTGTACGAGGTACGGGCAAGTGAGGGCTCCACGGGTCCCCGGAGAGTATTGCGTACGGATGATTCTCCACTCAGGTACCCGTCAATCGAAAGATACGACCTGCCCGTGGCGGTCGAGTGGGTTCTTATTCATCCGACCGTCAGCACCTTGCTGAGTACTGTGTACATATGCGGCCTCCCACAAGCCTGCCTCGACGGGACCCATGCTGGAAGAACATCGTGAAAATGTGGACTAGAGGAGGAGGCACTTGCGATCTGCATCTGTAGGGTGGGTGCCTGAGAGGTAGAAAAGGTCATTAGCATTTTCGCCCTCGTCAGAATGGCGGAGAGCAGATGGCAGGTGAGCAGTATTGCCGGATTGGGCTTCATCATGCGAGCTCGACTTTGGGCAACAAGACGAAGCGGCGTATCTCAAGGCCGCGGGCTGGTCATTGGCATGAGGTGATTTTTACGGAGGACGCATGATGATGAGGTGCAGCTGCAGGCACTGCCACAATCTCGCTCCCGCCCTCGCCGCGCAGGCTAAACTGCATGTGGCTGTATGCTGAATTGCCTGTCGAGAAACAGTCGAAATCTTCTTGCCCGACATTATCGCTCAGTCTTTAGACACGTTCCTTTCCAGTCCCTCCTTTCTTGTTCGTCTGTCGGACCACCTTTTGCGGAGGCCATACAAGCGCACCTCGACATTGTGCCGCATCGCGTCCAGAATGCACTTCACCTTCCCCTAAACTCTCTCCAGTCGCGACAAAGGGTTTCTCGACTCCCGAGACCCTCCTATCTCGACTCCCCGCCGCACCCTCACTTTCGTCCAGCCGCCTCAAGATGCGGCGCAGTCTGTTGATCTTCCTCCTGTTCGCCGTCGTCGTCCTCACCTTCCTCTTACACTCTGTCTCGACGCTGTTGGCGCTACTCATAGAAGATGCGTCCCGGGACGCCATCCACAGGTCCGAGCTGCCAGCCCCGAACTCGACACTGCTCGAAACACGTCCGCAAGTGATCCCCAAGATCATCCACCAGACATACATCAACGAGTCGATCCCGGCCCACTGGGTTCCGGCTCAACAGTCATGTATCGACCTGCACCCGGACTACGAGTACAAACTGTGGACGGATGCGAAGTCCCACGACTTCATCGCAAAAGAGTACCCGTGGTTCTTGTCCACGTTTGTCGGCTATAGACACAACATCCAGCGCGCCGACGCCATCCGATACTTTGTGCTGGCCCACTACGGAGGCGTGTACCTCGACCTGGACGACGGGTGCAAACGACGGCTCGACCCCCTTCTCTCATACAACGCGTTTGTACGCAGGACAGTCCCCACGGGAATCTCCAACGACGTGATGGGTGCGACTCCCCAGCACCCGTTCTTCCTCCGAGTCATGGAGTCCCTGCAGGGCGCCAACCGGAGCTGGATCCTGCCGTACATCACCATCATGGCGTCGACGGGCCCGTTGTTTCTGAGCGTCATCTGGAAGAAATGGATGGGCGAGCACGCCCACCTGAACCCGGACACCTGGGTCGGGAGGGTGAGGGTTCTCATGCCGGACGAGTACAACCAGCACGCGTGGTCGTTCTTCGAGACGTACGAGGGGTCGAGCTGGCACGGCAAGGACGCCAGGCTGATCTTTTGGATGGGCAAGAATTGGCTGCTCTTGACGGTGCTGGGTTTTGTGCTCGTCCTGACGGTGGGATTTCTTGTGTGGTTCGTCTACTCGAGGCTCCTGATCTGGAGTGCGAGGAAGAGGAGGGAGAGGGGGAGTCCGCGGATGTCGGCTCTTAGGTTCGCTGGCAGTGCGAAGGTGCCCCTGTGGCGGGTGTGGGCTGGTGGGCTGGGACTCAACAAGCAGAGTTACGAAATGGTCGCTCAACATGATGCGTGATGGCACATTGGCTATGATGCGGCATTGACGCACGACACTCTACTCGGTCTCTCGTCGTCGAGATCACAGGCGGAGCGATTGAATTAATGGGGCGTAACTCTCCACAATCACGAACACAACACCCGCACAACATACATATATCTACACGGCGGTCGGAATCATCTCATCGGAAAGAATCAATTGCGTTTTGAGCGAGGAGTTTTGGCGACAGCATGATTATGTACATGCATTGACTGATGGTCGAGGCGGTTGTCGGCCGACTCGGTTGACTCGAGTTGACTCGATGTGGCCCGGCCCGGTTCTCACCACAGCAATAGATATCAAGAGCCACGACATGCTGGTTGATTGTCTGATCTTGGGCTTCTATGGGACCGATACATCTGGTGACGGGGTATACAATCAGAAGTTACCTCATATATCTACGATACGGCATTGTAATAAGACTAGTTTTGAATTTACCTTTTCGCGCGCTGCTGTACAGTATCTACTCTGTGCGTTCTACTCTGTGTCGCCTACTCTGTGCGTTCTACTCTGTGTCGTCTACTGTGTCCTCTACGGAGTACTCTGTGTGCTTCCTCCCGTGTGCTCCCTACTGTATGCTCTGCGCGGAGCAAGGCTCCTGAGAAACAGTGGTCAACAAGTATGTATCATGTACGTACGAATACAAAGCACCGAACTGCCCGATATATACGGAGTCCCACGACATAGAGACATAATGTATACGCAATGCAACGCCATGCCATTCCATGCCGAGGAGGATCCCAACCAACCACCCGAGACAAGCGAGCCCGTACCTAGGCAGAAGGATTCGATCCTTGAGATCCTCTGGTACTCCGTACAATCTCACCAGCACCTACGAAGGACGTACTGTACTGTATTCATCCATAGTGCGTCGACTGTTCAGGGACTTTTCCTTCCCTCCCCTTCCTTGCTCGGCTGGGCCATCGTCGAGGAAAATTTTCATTCCGGTGCTGCTCCCCCTTTGTCTCCGTCAGCAGTCAGCGCTCGGTACGAGGTACGCCTCTGCCCTGGCCGCCTCGTCTCGCCAGACTACTTCTTCCCACCGGAGTGCTCCAGGACGTACGTACATCTAACCCTGACCTACCCTACCATAAAATACCGTACTTTTGTCCTCCAAACCGCCTGTTCTGTCGTCCCGTCCACCCTGCATAGTAATTGGCAGATCTCGAACACCGTCCCAGAAGGAGGGGGAAAGGGCAGGATTAATGTGTCGCCCGAAAAAAGGCTGACTCCCAGTTTTTTGACGCATGGCTGCCGTTCCTCGAGGCCGAGACGGACGAGCCTGAGTAAGTAAGAATCAGCCAGGCCTTGGCACAGTATATTCGGCTCCTCAAGGCATTAGCGAGGGATGATACAGTAGTGTTTTGCAGGATGTTCGGCTTTCAATACGGAAAATGAAAATGAAAATGAAAATGAAAGCCAGTCCTCGGTCCATTCGGTTCGATAGCTCCGACCAGGGACCTTGATAGGTTGATCGTGCTAGAATTTTTTCTGAGCGCTTGGGTTGGGTTGCAAGCCGCCCCTCTGCTCGAGGCAGGAGACGGACCGCGTGAGGTGGTCCGCCGAAGCGTAGATGTCATGCACGTTTACGTTCGGCTTGACGAGACCATGCCATGCCCGGTGAAAAGAGCGTGCGGTGGAGCGCGTGATCAAGTATTTCCGGCAGTAGACGGAAACCCGATGGCGGGTATGCTGTGAGAGCGTCGTGGTCAAGCCTCGTTCCTGTGCTGGCGTTGTATTCAGCGTGCAATAGGATAGAGTCTTCTCTCTCCTAGGAGGACGTTAGCGTCGTAAGACTGACTGGAGGGTTCGGAACGTTGGATCTAGGTCTGGATCTGGATCTGTATCTCGGTCTGCTTCTGCTTCTGCTTCTGCTCTTAGAAAGATTGATGTGCCTGTCGTCGTCCACGCGGATCAGTGAGTCGCGAGGAAGGACTCTCATTCATCGATCAAGATCAACGTGGAGTCCGACACCTTGTAGTTAGCAGCGACTGGGAGGCGGGAATATCAGGTCTGGATAACGGCGCTCATTGCGACGAGACGAGACGCGGGACGGCGCCTAAATCTTTCCCTTTGTCGAGGACGATAAGTTCAATGAGGCAAAGAAGCCGCTCAAATCTTCCCCTTCGTCGAGGATGTTCGAGGTCAGGCACTTGGCGATAGACCTTTGCATTGCGGTGACCATGCCCGCTGAAGCGATCCCCGCGCCAGCGCCTTGCGGAGCTCGGGGGTTTCGACGTGATTGTCGCTCCGTGGACGAGACGCGGCCCAGCCCTTTCCCTTCGTCGAGGACGTTCGAGACAGACTCTGGCACTGGGAGATAGAGCCTTCGCCGTGACCAGGCCAGCTAGAGCGAGACCCGCGCCAACGCCTGACGGAGCTTGGAGGGTTCGACTGATACATCGATAGATCAACCAGTACACCGTTATTTAGGAGGTTTCGACATGCTTGTTGCTCCGTGGTCCCTTGGTGCCACAGTAAGTAATTATCGGGCGTGCTGGCTGAGGTCCGGTCGCCAGCCAGCTTGATGCAGTTGATACTGGAGTGCAAAGAGTGCAGAGAGTG